TGCGACGGACGCATCCGCTTCGGCGCACTATGTCAAGGCGCGAGGAAAGCAGCGCTAGAACCTGCCTACGCGCTTTGTCACATTTGCGCGAACCCGGGGCGCGAAATTTTTAAAATCGGTTACATGCGTAAGATCATCTTGGGAACTTGGACCACTTGACTACACGAGGACAGGAACTGCACAACATTTGCGCAACTCCACACATCACGCCGCCGGTGCGTAATGGCAAATGATTCATCTGCTTCCGAAGCACACCATCGTGCATAATGTTACGCAGCTTGGTATGAAGATGACGTTTGCACTTGGCACAGATTGGATGCAAGTGAAGAATCTGAACTAAAACCCTCTCCAGGTAGCGGTCTCCGCCTCGCGCTCGCCGTGGATTACCACATCTTTTTCGCGAACGTCCGACCTGACTACGTATGGGACTACTTTGGCAAAACCTTAGTCTACTCGAGCTACAAGAAAGAACGCTCAGAATACGTCGTCGTCTTCTGGAACATCCCCTCTTCCGGATCCGGTTCGGGTGCCGATGGGTCCACCACCGGTAACACGGGTGCCATCACCGGTGGAGTTGGTACAGGGACCGGTGGAGCTGCGGCGGCGACAAGTGGTGGTGGCGCCAATGCGGCTTCCTCCACCAACAGCTTAGCGCAGGCCAACGCGCAGTTGAATAGCGGCATTCAGGTGAAGTACATGAAAAACGTCCAGGCGATCAAGTCCTGCAACGATCACTGCGTGATCGTGACCAAAACAACGCACTTGGACGACAACCTTTCGAAAGGTGGAGCAGGCGGAGGACCACAGCAAAACACCCAACTGACCAGCTACTCGATCTTGCTGTGCAACGAAATCGGCACGGTGATGGAGAAGAAGGAAGTGAAGTTTCAAACGGCCATCAAGGGCGTCAGCATGACGAAGACGCATGTCGTCGTTTGCTCCCAAGACGCGGTGTACTTGTGGTCTTGGAATCGGGATAGCAACAAAAAGGGAGCGGCAGCCACGAGTGCGAAAAAGGCTGAGATGATGTTCCACATACAAGACGACGCGCATTTTGTGGAAAAGGATGAGTTTGCACACGGTACTAGAGTGGTAGTTCTTTGTCGACGCATGCTTGCAGTTCTTGTTTTTTGCATGATGTTAAAAATCTCAGTTGATGTTCATCTTGTACAGCACGATGTTGCTCCCATAAGCATTCACATCGTTCTACTTAAGTTTTATCACGAATACAGGTGCCCTCGACCAGGGCCAAATCCAGGATGGCATCGCCTGCGTTACCGCGTCAGACACGACCTTGCTGATTGGCCGCGAATCCGGCTTGGTGCAGAAGTATGCTTTGCCGTTTCTCCAGAAGGACGGGCGGTTCACGATAAAAATCAATCCGCAGATATTCCAGCTGAATGTCAGCTCCACGAAGCTGCTGGTCGTGGATATTAATGGTAGATACGTGGTTCTTCAGTAGCAGTTTCAGAATTGTTGATCATGTTCGTTGATTTGCGCTCGTGCGCCAGCAGGACGACCACTGCCCCCTGTGTTCGTGATGCATACGACAGCAGCATTCGCATTCCTCATTTCCTCTTACCGTTACCAGGCATCCTCTCTCTCTACGATGTGGACAAGCGAAAAGGCCAAGTGACGCAGCTAGAATTCGAGCGGAAGGATGTGTGGGACGTAAAATGGGCCTCGGACAATCCGGATCTGTTTTGCTTTATGGAAAAGCAAAGAATGTACGTCGTCCGGGGGTCGCAGCCGGAGGAACCCGTTCTGTCGAACGGCTACATCTGCGAGTTCAAGGATTTGGAAATCCGATCGGCATTAGTCGACGAACTAGTCCGGAATCCCGATACCGTGCCACAGAAATCCACGATAATTATGGATTTCGAAACGAAGTCTCTACGGGACACGCGGGACATTTTGACGAAGTTATCAAATTTGAAGGACGCCTTTCAATACGTAGAGGATAACCCGCATCCGAGATTATGGAGGTTATTGGCGGAAAATGCACTGGAATTGCTGGAGTTCCAGGTAGAATTGTGGTTTTCATCTTTTTGTGCATGACAAAGTGCACCATCCTCGAAGAAAAAATGCGGACGAGCAGCATAACATCAATTCCTATTCCACCTCCAAAATTCAGGTCGCCGAAAAGGCCTTCGTGAAATTCGAGGACTATTCCGGGATTCAGTTCGTGAAACGGCTCAAACTCCTGTCCGACAAGGTGAAGCAAAAAGCCGAGGTTTCCACCTACTTCCAGAAGTTCGACGAAGCGGAGGCACTGTACCGGGAGATTGACAGGAGAGACCTCGCGATCGACCTGCGGTTGAAACTGGGCGACTGGTTCCGGGTGATCCAACTGGTCCAGGGGACGAACCAGAACGAGAATTTGTTGCAAGAAGCCTACAGTTCGATCGGCGATTACTACGCGGACAGATCGAAGTGGTCTCACGCAGCGCAGTACTACAACAAAGCCAGGAACTACTCCTCGTTAGTCGAAGCGTACTACGCGCTGGAGGATTACGACAGCTTGCAGAAATTCATCCCAACCCTACCCGAAGGGGATCCGTTGCTGAAAAACATCGCGGAAAAACTCATCTCCGTCGGGCTCTGTGACTACGGGGTCAAGGCCTATTTGCGGTTGAACGACGTGAAATCGGCCATCGACGCGTGTGTGTTGCTGAACGAGTGGCCTTTAGCTGTGGAATTGGCGAAAAAGGAAAATCTGTCCGAAGTGGAGGATTTACTGGCGAAATACGCGCAGTACTTCCTGGAGAAGAACGACATGGCGAACAAAATCGAGGCGGTGCAGCTGTACCGGAAAGCGAATAAGTTCACGGAGGCCGCGAAGTGGCTGATGACCTTGGCGGACGAGATAAAAGCGTCGAGCATGCAGAAAAATCCGTCGAAGATGAAGAAAATCTACCTGCTCGCGGGCTTGGAACTAGAGAAGAAGAAGGACAAAGCGGTAGGGAATCGGGAGGAGCAGGCGAAGAAGATAAGGTATGTTTTTACTGTCAGTTGTGTCATCTTCTGCGTTGTTTCAGGATGTGGTCTACTGATGTCTCCTGTGCAAGAATTGCATGGCACTCAGAACAACCTGTGTAGTTGCCGAAACGACCGAAAAGTACGCAATCACAATCTACACCAGAACTTCCGCCGACAATTTTTCTGCCCTGACTGCCATGATGGACGTCGACGGGGAAATCGCGGTGGAAGATACCTCGTACCTGCAGCCCTTCCGCTACGCCGAGGCGTACCATCTCCTGATGCTCTGCCAGAAGCAAATCTACGAACACCAGTTGGAAAAAGCGCTCCGGACCGCAATCCGCCTAACCGACTATGAGGACGTGCTGGACACCAAAACCGTCTACTGCCTCGTCGCCCTGACCGCGTTCCAGTCCAAGTACTTCCTCCAGTGCTCCCGCGCGTTCATGAAACTGCGGAAGTGCGACCCGAAGAAGTTCGAGGCGCTGGCTTTGCAGATCTTCCGGGTCCAAGCCCCGAGGGACCCGTCCAGCCGGATGGTTTCCTGCCCGGCGTGTAATGTACCAATGCACGATTGGATGATCCAGTGCCCGTCTTGCTCCCACAAGCTCGCCTTTTGCGTCGCCAGCGGCCGGTCGATTTTCCCGAACCAGCCGGGCGGGGCGTTGGGGGTGGACGAGGTGATCGACTGCAAGACCTGCCACCGGAAAGCGTACGGCGCGGAGGCGCGCGGGCGGATAAGTTGCGCGTTCTGCCACACGAGAAGCACGGCGGTGTATGGCGGAGGGAGTGGGGGTGCTGGGCAGCAGATGGGACAGATGCAGTACGGAGGTATGTATGGAGGAGGCGGCGCGCAACAGATGAAGTTCACGACGAGTTGAGGTCGTCGTGACAAGATGAAGAGCGTGGTGCAGTTTGACAGCATGCACATGCTGGGATGAGGAGCTACCCACTATCCATTTGCCAAACCGTTTCTTCTTCAGTTTCAGATTCAGTTTCAAATTAACGAGTAATATTCGATGCTGTGGTTTTTGGTGTAGAGGTTCATATTCTTATTCCAAGTTTGAGAGTTTTTACCATCATTTACAGGGATTTCGATATGATTATGCGAGCGTGCCCTCCACAGAAACGGGGGGGGGCCCGTGTCCGACGTAGGTTTTTTTTGAAAAGGACATCGACAACAGATGATTCAGGAAGCGACAAAGAAAATTATCAGAAACACGGAGCAAGGCGAATACTTGATCGTTCGTCTTTGCAGAGGTGTGTAATTTGTCTTTCGGTTTATATGCACGGTGTTAACTCAGAAGCACGCGGCGCTAAAAGTAAAAAAAATGAAATTCAAACCAATTTCAAAAGTTTTAAATTTCTGGCTTCCCCCCTCGCTACAGAGCATGTATTTCGCGCAGCGTCTGGGATCGATTCAGGTCGATACTCGGACGCCCGGTCGCGGCCACTTGTGCTCAACATACTAGGTTCTCTTCGACAGTTCCCTAGTAGGTTGTGTCGCGTGGTGGATCTCGATTGCCTTCTTCACTTTCTTCCACTTGGAGTTCTTCAATTTCTGCACACGCTGCTAGGCAGTCGCAAATTGAATTCCGCCCTGTCCGCGGGATAGAAAGCAGCTTTTTGCCCATTCCTTTGCCTCGATCTTTGGTAGATGGGAGCTTACGCGGTCTTATGGCGTGCTCCTCTGCTTCTATTTCTTTTTCTTGTTGTGCCTCCTTTCTTTGCCCCGGGTGTTGGTGCACCACGCCCGTGTCTGAGTTTAGCTTTCGTTATCGTGTCTGAGTTTAGCTTTCAGGGGAAATCTGATCCGAATTTGATCCGAAAACGGTCCGGACGTGGAATGTAGTATGCGGACCAAATTTGGACCAAATTTGGACCGGTTCCTGACCAGATCTCGATCAACCATTTGAAATTGGTTGGAGGTCTCGATCAACCGTTTGAAATTGGTTCGAAATCTCGATCAACCGTTTGAAATTGGCCGGAGTCTCGATTACCCGTTTGAAATTCCCGATCACCGTTTGAAATCTCCGGCCGCCATGTGAATTCGCAGCCTGCCGGCGGCCGCCAAGCGGCGACTTTCGTCCGTCAGTAGTTGGCCTGCGGGCTTGTTAGCGGATTTGCCGGTCTCCCTTTAAGGTGTTTCGGAAAGATCGAGAGAGTGGTAGGCTAATGCGTGACGCCTCGTACAGATGGAGCGATCGGCCGCTCGGGTGAGTGGTCGCTCGGCGACCCATCGCGAATAAAACTCGCCTTGGCTGTCACCGTATGCATGCTCTGTTTCTTACATATGTCAACAAAAATGATGAACACCCACCCACCCCTGCATGCAAAGTCTGAAACTTTTGAAATTGGTTTGAATTCCGTTAGAAAAGAAATTAGTGCTCGCTTGCTTTTGAGTTAACACGGTGGCCGCGTGCCAACACGCGCATATAGTAAGTGTGAAATGTAAGTGTACTCGTGACAAAGACAAACAAGTTTTAAAGTCCGACGGTAGAATTTTTTTTTGAACGGCTTGAGCCACGGCTACTTGGCCCACCTGTATGATATATCATTTTGACGTCGTGACAAACCAACGGAAAGAGGAACCAAAGTGGTAGGCAGTCCCAGTATTTCTATTTGCTAAAATTTGTCCAGCTCAACATGAAACATAGAGTAAGAAGAAAATAAAGCAATCTCGCACGTCACACTACGTAAATCCGGGGAGGAAAGCGAGCATTTCGTCGCTATTCCTGTCATATATCTAGAGTGAGGTTGCTTGTTGAGTTCAGATCAGCGACCGCTCTTTTTTCGGAATTTCCGTCCTTTGACGAGGGTCGTCTGGGCATTTCGTATATAAAGGGCGCGCTTTCAATTCCGGCTCTCTTGTTTCTCTGTGACTATCTACGGCTTCATGCTGCAACAACGCGCAGCGTTGGTTTACGTTAGCCATCGTGAGTGATATGAGTCTTTGTCTGTTGACCGCCACTACTGAGAGCACGAGGGCTATCGCAGTTTCTCTCGGTGGAAAAATAGCCACGCCTGGTACGAACTGAAAGCGATAGATGAGATCCTCGTTGTGGAGCGGTATGCCTTCTCCTGGCACAAAAGAGAGATGCTGATGCCTACAACTCATTTCTTTTTTTCTTTAGCTCGAGTTCTGATGAACAAAAAAAGTGCAACGTGATAGAACTTCGAGAATTTCGCTTTTTTTGCAGCGCTAAGCTCGCAGAAAAAAAAAACAAAATGGTGGCTGACGAGAGACCGCGGGAGTCTCTCGTCAAGTACGACCCTCCGCTCGAGTTGGGACCCGCGAGCCAGAGCGGATCAACATCAGGTACATAAATTGAATTCATTTCTTGTGTATGCATCACAAACAAAGAGTAGACTGTATTCCTGAATGCAGGGAGACGTCGCATGACAAAGAATCTCGTCTCTATCCGAACTGCTTACAAGGTAACAAACTCAAGCAGCAACTAAGCAAGAAGACGACTTTGCCACCAGTGGAGTTCAAGCCGCAATTGGAGGACATCCTGCACGCATTGCTGCCGCCAAGGTAGGACCACCAGGGAGTTTCTGCATGACTAATTCGTTTTCCTCCACGGCCACTCTACATTGCGATTTTAACGATTTTTGCTTGCACGCTGTTCGTAAACGATGATGCGTGATAAAGTTCATGCGTCGACTTCTCTACCAAAATAATACAGGGAATGGGTCGAGTCCGAGAGGAATATGATTCAGTACGTCAGCGCAGCACAGGCAACAAGATTAGACGTCATCCAGCTGCAGGAAGCCTTGGACCACAAGCTCATGGAGAGGCAAGCACGAGAAACTGGTACAATCACTTACTTTCTTATATTGAAAATTGATTTTGTCATGCAGTTTCACTTTCACATTCACACGCAAATGCAAAAATACGAATACAACGACTTCGCATGCCAAAGCTCCTAGTAGAAGTGCTAGTCCTAGCTAAACGTAGTCGTCTTTTCCAATAACATTTTATCCAACTCGAGGTATCTGCCCGGTCCGAGAGGAACTCTATTCTCAGTGCTTCGACGAATTGATCCGACAAATCTGCATCAACTGCCCAGAAAGGTACTTTCTTACAAATTTTGTGGTACTGTCTGCTGCAATAGAACAATCGGCATTTCTTTGCGAAAATGCGTGGCGTACTAAAAAGGAAAAAATGTTGACTACCCAGGGGTCTCCTCCTTCTGCGAGTGCGGGACGAGTTGAGAATGACCATCGCCGCCTACCAGACCCTTTACAGCAGTTCAGTGACGTTCGGAACCAGGAAACAGCTCCAATCCGAGCAGGGAAAGGCAGACATGGAAACAACCTTAACGGACCTGGAGAAGAGTACTATTCATTATCATTTTTTGCATCACAGGTCTGAGTCTGAAGCTCCATGACCATCGCCATGCGTTTTCTTCTACATGAGAGAAAGATAGAAACAAGTGGTGATTGCTTCCAATTCGTAAGAATACGTCAAAAACTCACAGAGAAAAAGTCGCTGGAGGCGCAGGTAGTGGAGCTGAAAAACCAGGCGGAGGCTATCGAGCGGCGGGAGGCTGAGAAGCGGGCCATCGAGGACCGCAAAAAGCGGGAGGAGATCGAATTCCTGAAGCACCAGGGCCAGCACTTGGAGAGCTTCCTGAGCTCGGTGGAAAAGAACTAAAGTAGTGGATCACCAGTGGCGGTGATGTGGTCTTGCCGTTCTTAATACTCGTAGTGCTTCTGCTTCAGAAAGAAAATTGTTGTAATTCCATCAGTTTATTAAACTAATCGCTTTAGCAGTTACCAGTTAGCAGAAGCACGACACTAGCTAACAAAAACAATCACAAAAAATCACAGTCAGACGAGCACAATAGCAAAAGTTTAAGTTTCCTTTTCCAAAACAATAGCAGTTTTGTAGTATAAACATCATACGATTACGACCGAAAGCGAAAATTCAAGCGCAGTCACGGATTGCGTCGAACCAGCAAAAGTTTAAGTTTCCTTTTCCAAACCTGAAGTGCGAGAAAAAAGGGAGATGATACGCCTCTCTCCTCGACGAGGACCAAAATGCCTGAAGAATATCCTCGCACGACACTTATTTCACTTCCTCGAGCTTTTAAAGAACTTGCTTCTTGAACTTCGTCTCTCTTCCTATCAGACTTCTTTCTGCACTTCTATAGTACGACCTGTATACCATCGAAAGAAGAACAGGAAGACCAAGACAATTTTTCACTCGTTGCGCGTGCGCCACGGACACGGTTCGCTGTGCTTGCTCTGGTGCTCGACATGGCCCGCAACCGCATCTGGGTTTTGCTACGGGCTCTTGATGTTCGAACCATAAACAGAGTTTGTGCATAATAACTATGCCTGAAGGCCAACTTCGACGCACTACGGAATAAATCCAAAAGCAGGTCAAAATGACACAAAAAAGAGAGTAGAAGGCAGGGGTGTGAGTGCTTGCTTCTGAGGTTGACGTTGATGCACGATCAACAAACGCGAACATAAGATCGTAAGAATCAAGGAGCACTACCACTAACATCATCATGTCGTCGTCCTCCTCAACATCGCGTCACCATCTGCCATCGCTTTTGCAAGACCCGAGTCTGCTACCGGCAGATGGAACAGATGACAAATCTCAACGTCAACGAGCGGAGAATTTCGGCTCGGAAGTTCTTGTCGCTCCAGGTAATCGGCCTTTCGTTTCGGGAACCAAAACTGCTGCTGCTGCCGCCGAAGCCGAAGCCAATCCCAGAAGTGGAGGTGGTCGTGGAATCATTTCCAGCCAGCATCATGGGGAACCACTGCGGCCGCACCCCGGCCACCATCCCACCACTCCTTCGGGCCACGTCAATACCAGCTCCACCGCGCCCGGAATCGAGATGGACCTGCCCCTTCGCGAACTCAAGTGGGCAGCGATTCTAGGCGTGTATGAAAACGCTGATGGCAGCAAACCAGGAGAGCAGGAGGAGAGGGAGAGAAGGGCGCTGAAGGACGTAAAGTTCACCGCAGTACCTCCGAGTAGCTCCGCGGGTGGTTCCACGTCCCGGCCAACGACAGCGCCAGTTGGTGGTGCAAGTGCTTCTGCTTCGCGGCCGAGCGTTGGCCCGCGGGCAAAAGCGAGGCAGACTGCTGCGGCTAGCAGGAGTACCACAACCACAACTACAACCACGCGTGGCGGAGGATTCCGGAGCACTACGAAGGCCCCTGCTTCTGCAGCGACCGAAACCTCCTCCCGAAAGATTGCTGCAAGCGTTTCTTCGCCCAAAATATTGACGAAAGCACCACATAATGCAACGAAGACTGATCCTAATTTATTGGAAGCCACGTCGGCAGCGCAGCGGAAGTCCATCCAAATCAGCAGCATGGCCTCGCTGTTTGGGAACGACAAAGATCCATCAGCGCCGCGTGAAGGCTCAGCTGATCATGGTGTTGAGTTCGCAGAGGCAAGTTATGATGCGACGGCCACGTCGACAAAGCGTCATTCCGAGGACCTCGGCCTTTGGCATTTGAACGATCGCGGTGTGAAGACAAAAAACGCATCGGAAAAGCGACTGACGTCACGGTTGCGTGGAATTTATCTCGGACAAGCAGCTGGTGAGAAGCAACTACAACGCGAACCGATTTCACAACAGAACGACCTGCAAAGTGGAGAAAGAGAAAGACCGTCCACCTCGCCTGCAAAGTTTCCCGCTCGAGTTGCTGCGAAGCTTTTCCTGGACCCGAGTGAGGAGAAGCAAGGTCTTGATAAGAAGAAGCTGAATCAAGCAAAGGCCACTGCCCAAGATGATGATGGGGCAGTAGCTGCAGACCATAGAACAGAACTACAGCGTCGTCGAGGGCTCGAACTTCATGGCGGATTGGCACTAGCACGATCTGGCGAGTCAAAGGACGACGTAGATGCAGCTTCGTCAGCACGGAACAACAAGAGCCCGAAAACTACATCAAGTCCGGCGTTTCGAATGAATAAATCTTCTTCGCCAACAAGCCGTGCGCGCTCGGCATCTCCGTCTTCTCCAAAGCATCATCATGTGAGACCGAATTCGCCAGGCCGCTTTCAAGTTCCGGTCAGTTCCCTAAATTCGCCGGGAACTTTTGAGCAAGGTGGCGAAGATCGAGATAACCGCGGGAGCAGCGCTTCACCATCACAGCCATCTACCACCTACCTCACCCGCGTTGCCGTTTTGAAACGGCAATTAGACCAAAACAAATTCTACAACGCCAGTGATGTGCGAACTTGGCTGCTGGAGGACGAGGAAAACGCAAAGGCTTTGTTTCAAGATGAAAGTGATGGTCGAACAGAAAACTTCGTGCCAGGAGCGGAAAAATCGGGTGACGAGAATGACCACGACACGACATCACCCGAGCAAAAGACCGCTCGTCCCACCGACAAAAAGAAAGAGGAAGAGCAGCACTCCAAAACTACAACCCGACACCAAGAATCCACCTACCACGAGCTCGAGTCCGCCCTGCTAGCGGACCCGCGGAGTAACTTGCGGAAGAAGCTGGTGGATTTGCAATTACCGAACGAAAGCCTGGAAAAACTGAGCCGCATCCTGTTTGTGTACACCAACGGGCTGCATTCCGCGTTTAACTCCTTACTGGAGGATGCAAATAAATCGTTTGCCGCACCAACGGGGACGGGAACCGGCGGACCAGGAAGCCCTAGAAGCACTGCTGCAGGAGCGTCGTCTACTGTCCTACCGGCTGGCCGACACAATGAGGAAACACTAGGGCTTCTCTGGCGCGTGTATCTTGCGGCTCTGGACAAAACGGTAGGGGGCTTGGATTGCGGACCCGAAATTTCTTGGTTCGACAGAAATTTCGACTGGATCGTGAGCGAATTTCACGAGAAAGCGATGAATTCGCTGAAGGAACACGGTGCAAGAGCAGGTCACGAATCTTTCGAACAACACGACACTGTTTTGGAGCGCCTGCTGGATCAGCAGTTCTTGAACGAAGCGAAGAGTACTGCGCCCAAGAAGACAACGAGAAAAGCGACTGTTTCACAACCCGACGAGAAGATGGTGCCCGGTACAGCTGCTGTTGTCGGTGTGCCGACATCTTCTCCGAGTGCAGCTTCCGAGCAGGTAGCTGATGACAGCCAAGTAGGAACAAAGACTCTGACCTCCGCTGTTTCTGAAGACAGGAGTACTAAGGACCCCGGTGCGGAAAAACAAGATCCGCAACAACTTGGCAAACAAAGCGAAAAAGAAACGAAAACAAGAAGTGCGACCACCCTTGATTCCGCTTCGGTGGGAGTATTAAATGCGAATAACGAGAAAGAGCAGCAGAAAAAGCAGAGCATCATCCTCCCGCTTTCCGCTTTTCTGAAGCAGGACGAGAAGAAGCGGATTTCCCAGTATGTGCAGAACGCAACCACGACTTTCCGCCAATTAGAGAACAAAATCGAGTCCCTGGAGCAAACGGTTTTCGAACTCGAAACAAAGGACTACGCCCTAGAAAATGATCAACTACAGACAAAAGTCGCCGAGTTGGAGAAAAAACTGCACGAAACCGAAACCGAGTTAGACTTCGAGACGAAAGCGAAGGTGAAGCAGAAGAGACAGCACGACCAGCTACTGACCCTGTTCGGCGAGATTTCCAAAGATTTGGAAAAGGAACGGAATCTGAATTCCAGATTAGTGCAAACGGTGGACGCAATGGAAAACACCTCCGCCGTTTTGTACGCACCATCCAGGGGCGGAATCCCACCACCGAACATGATGGGCGGCGGCGGCGGGGGAGGTACTAACCGCTCGGACCGCAAAAGAGGAGGACAACATCACAGCACTTCTTCGGCGAGGCATTCGGGTGTTGGGGCCAACCGGGGGACGAGTAACCAACCGGAGGAAAATCTTTTTGGTGGTATGGTCATCAACAAGAAGGACTTTTTCCACAAGCAGAAGTCCTCGAACTCCGTGCGGTCGGGCCGACAAACCCCAGTTTTGTCTGTCCAAAGACGGCTTTCGTCCGCGTCCAATGCTGGTGCTGCGTTCAACATGATCCCTGGGTTTGCCCAGCGGAATACGTTCGCGAATTTCGGAAATCGGGGTAGCGGTTTCACTGCGACTTCATCCATGTCTCTGAACACGGCGAATTTAGAGTCTGCCATGAACAGTGTGCAGCTAGGAGTGGACAGTCCGTTTTTCAGTCGGAAGAACAGCATGCAGAGCAATGTTGGCACGAACAGCACCCCGTTCGCCAGCCAACCGCTCGGCGCGGCGAGGAGAAGCCGCGAGTTGATGCGGCGGATCTCGACCGGCCAGGACTTGCAGACTGCGATGGGAGGAGGTGGAGTTGGAGCTGCTTCCTCCCTGCCGATGTCGAATTACGCGAACCTTCCCCCCTCCTCCTCTCTCGACCGGCAGGGGTCTTTGCAGGAGCTTGTCGCACAGCGGAACTCGTTCAGTAAGTTTGGCGGAGGAGGAAATGCCGGTGGCGGAGGCGGCCGTGGAGGTGGTCCGCCTCCTCTTCCGTATGACGACGGCGGCTCGGACTCGTTGAATGTCAGCCAGCGATCGAGTTTCAACTCTGTCGTTTCTCGACAGACTTTTCAGCGCGGGGAGCTGCACCGCGGCGGTGGCAATGAAAGTTTCCACTCGGTCGGATCGGCAGCTGATTTGGATAACCAGGCTGGCGTGCCGGTTACCGTCCCACGGCCGGAGCGGATTTCGCAACTGATGCAGAACTTCTACCCGCATCTTGCTGGTGCGCAGCATCATGGATCACATCAAATAACGGGCGGCGGAGCTGGTGGACAGCGATCCGCTGGGATTTCTCCGAGAAATTCCTTCAGCAACCCTCCAGGCGGTGGAGCTGGTGCGCGGGGGGCGTCCTTCGGCGCCGCTTCGTCCTTCCTCCGACGGGCGTCGGCCCCGAATGCGGTCTTTGGTGGTGGCCCTCCTGGAGGTTGGGGAGCAGCGGCTGCTGCGGGAGGTGGTCCTTTAGCCTCTATGCTGCCAGCGGCCAGGAACAGCTTCACCGGGCGAAATTCGTTTAGCAATTTGGGAGGGGGAGAAATGTCAGAGCTGGCCTCGATCGTGGAGGGGAAAAGGCAGACAATGGTGGAAGATTTTATCTCTAAGGACTACAGCACGGCAGATTATGACAAGGAAGTATCTGGTACAGCAAGTGCAACAAAACATCATCATCCCGACAGAAAGTATTTGCACCGGAGAAGGTCTGACTTTGTGGATTATGGCGACAAGTTGAAAACCCTGTACATGACAGGAGGCACGACCAGCGGCAAAGGTGGTGGTAGTGGTGATAATGGGGGGAAGGAGAACCTGTTGCACGGCGGCACAAAGGCGGGGTTTCAAAAGCCTCCTACAGCTGTCTCTTCACAAGCAGCGGAAAACAACACGAGAAGCGATTCAATACCAAAACATCAACTGCCACTGCACGATGTCGTTCGGATGAAGCAGCACGACCCTGAAGCTGGGCAAGAGATGAAGAAGGAGACCGCAGACGAGCAAAACCGCCATTCCTCGTCCTCCGCTGCCACAGAAGTGGTGGAGCCAGGACAAGAGAACCGCGACTCCCTTCTACCTGCGGTTGCCGACAAGAACCGCACTTCCGCAGTTTTCGGAACTACACTACAAGAGCGGTTCTCAAAAAATAGTAACAGTTCGCAAATCGCGTCCAGCCCTGCGGAGAGCGACAAGACCGTGGAACAAAAGCAGCCGTCTCCGACGGATTCCGAGGCAACGGTGACGTCGGAAGCTGGTGCAGCTGCTCCCGTGATGCCGAGCTTCAGCTTTTCGCCCGAGGCGGCTATGCCGATTATCGATAGCAAGGAGATAAACCAACTGGCGCTGTCGGTGATGTCGAGTCAAGAAACTGCTATGGGCTCAGTCGCGCGGTCGAAGGAGTTTTTTGTTGGTTGGAGTAAAAACGGAACAGCTGAAAATGGGAGTGTTGGACGTGGAGCAGCAGCAGCTCGTGAGATCAGCACTGCAGGTGACAACAACGACTTCGAGCCAACGCTTCGACTTCAAGCAGATAGCGGCATAGTAGGAAGAACGACCCCAACCAGTAATACTAACAACCTCATGCAAATAAACCACGACCCAAGCGAAAACCTCCCCATCGACCACCGCGCGACAGCAGAGCGTGACGAGGAGGAAAACGAGAACGCTCCTGACTCCGAAAACGATTCCGACGTGGACGTTTTTGAGCAGTTGGAGCTCCTGCAAAAGGAAAAGCGCGAGTGGATTATCAAGGAGCACGATTTCCAGCACGAGAAGAAATTTTTTCAACGGAAACTGCTGCAGAAGGACTCGTATGCATTGCAAAAACATCGTACTAGTACAAAACGCATGACAAATTTTTCGTAAAGGAAAAATGAAATTTGTCATGCAGAAAAAGCTAAAAAAGCAGATCTGTCATGCAAGACCTGCATTTATACGAGTACGATACTTTTGCACAGGATAACTCGGAAATCGAGAAGCTCGAGGAAGACATAGATTTCTACGCGGAGCAGGCAGAGGAACTGCGCGCGAAAAAATTGGTGCAAATCGAGTCGGAGCTGAAGGAAGTGCGGGTGAAGTACGGAGAGGTTTGCGATGCGAAGGAGAAACTGGAAGAGGAAAAGGCAGAATGGAAATGTAAGTATTTCAACTTGCTGGAGTTGGACCAAAGTTGCACAGAAGGGGATACGGTGCAAGAAAACGTCGAAAAAAATCCAGACATCAGCGGCACGATAAGTAGATCAGGGGCTATTGATGCTGGGGAGGCTGCGCATGATTGCTCAGAAATAGACGAGCCTAATGTTGTTGATGGTACAAATTATCCAGGAGCACAAGCTGAGCATCACCCGCCCGCTGGAGCGGAAACAGGCGGCACTGCGACCACGACCCCAACAGCACAGCACCACAAGAACTTGACGAAGCAGAAAAGACTGAACACCAAACTCAACAAGGATTTGGAACTAGTGAAGCAAGAGAGAAATGCGCTTCTGGTGGATAAGCGCATTCTAGAAGCGGATGCCGAAACGAAAGAGCAACAGTTTTCGAAACTCAGTCAAGATTTCCGACACCAGAAAAAGCTTTTGACCACAACCCAAGCAGACCTCGAGTTGTTAACCGACAAGTTTGAGCAGAAGAGGCTAGAATTCAAGACTTTATCCAACCACTTCGACTTGCAGAAAACGCAAACTTCTCACTTACAAAAAGAGAATGAGAAGTTCGATTTGGAGAACAAAGAACTGAAGAACCGATTGGAAATAGTGGAAACGTTTGAGCTGAAGGATCTACAGCAAAGGAACGATAAAATAGAACTGCTGCTATCAGTCGAAGAGCACAAGAATCTCCAGCTCCGCGCTCTAATCGATGAGAACAAACTGCGGCAAGATTTGGCGGAGCAGCAGCAAACGAGCGACTTCACGACCTTCGAGAAAGTAGAGCAGGTGGGGAACTTGAGGCAGGTGGAACTGCTGGGCAAGCGGAACCAAGAACTGGAAAGTGAATTGATAAGATTGAAGCAGGGGAAGTTGGAGGAAGTGGAGAAAGAAAATTTGAAACTGATCAAACAAAATGAAGAATTGGAATATGAAGTGAAGAAGAAGGAACAAGTGGAAATCGCGAAATTGACCGAGTACGAGGAATTGATGGGAAAGCTGGAAAGCGGGCGGATATTGATTCTGGATTTCGAATCGCGATTGCAGCAAGCGCATATCTTCCTCGAGGAGGAGCGGAAGGAAAAGAACACTTTGTGGAAGGTTTTTGACGAAGAGCGGGCGGAATTGAAAGAGAAGCATAATCACGAGAAGGAGAAACTGCAGATGACCATCGAAGACCTACGGGCGGAACTTTTCTTCTCTGGCCTATCCACAAAAAAAACAGCACGATATCATCCCCATCCAGTTTGATGTCAACATCTACAAAACATGCATATGAAGTCTACTTAGCATGTTGTGCAAAAGGGGATGGTGATGGTTTTTTTTTTGTGGATACGGTCGGGTAGATTACTACAAGGACTTAGAGACCTGCTGCGAGGACTTCGGGACTAAGATTGAATTTTTCGAAACAACAACGATTCCGCAGAAAGATCGGGAAGTTTTGAAGCTGAAGAAGGAGTTGGAACACTTTGCGAAGAATGTGGAGAAGGAAAAAGCAGAACTGCTCGAATTACGGAACCTGAAACTGTCAGCCGATATGAACTTGATCGACTTACAAGCGTGGAAGGAAAACGCTCTAGCCGATTACAATCAAAACGGGATGCGATTAGCGGACATGGAAAAAGACGTGTTGGACTCGAAGGGAAAACTCGCGGAAACGAAACAAGAGCTGACAGTCATCACGAAGAAACGCGCGACTGCGATTTCAGTCGGTGTCACCGCAGATCCTGACATGATCCAGTATGGGTTCAAGCGGCACTATGTGAATAAAAATCAGCAAACAGATTGGAGCTTGCAGTTGGAGAAGAAGGAACGGAAACTCGTGACGGAGGAAGCGAAAAATGTGTACTACGATCAAATGCTGGTCAATAGTCCTGTCGGGGCGGCGGGGGATCATAGTCCTGACAATTTCGATAATTTTTTGTACAACGAAAGCAACAGCCTCTTCTCTCCAGTTTCCTTCGGAGGTGGAGACAACATCGGATCGCCGACGAGTCAAACATCCGCGCCAGGACTTGCAAGACCCGGACTTCCGGGAGTCCATCCAGCGAAAACGCCTAAGTCCGGAAAACAGCAGCGCTTTTCGTGGCCATAACATGCTGATTCGCCTGGTTTTTTGGGTCGTTTTCGTGCGCCGGCGCAAGTTGCCCGTGGCGCAAACCTCCTGGTGGAGGCTTCCCAAGCTGCCTAGCCATGGTCGCCTTCCCTGGCTACGCAGCACCTGGGGTGGCCGTTGTTCTCGGAGTAAATGCTCTGGCCATGATTGTCTTTCGATTCTGCTCTCAGAATGCCTGCGCAGCATCGGGCGAGGGGGTTCTTTGGCAGAGTGGGGCTTCTGCGTGCACAGCCAGAGAGGCAGCGCCCTATGGCCACGGCCTTGCGCCCTCCACGGCTAGTAGCCTAGGGCAGCAGGGTTTTGGGGCGTGTTCTGCCTCGCCCCGCCCAAGCCGGCAGACTGGCAGGCGTGCCTGGCGCCCTCCCTTGGTAACCTCGCGGCGCCTTGTTAGCGTCTCTACCGGCGTGCACCCTCTTCACCTGGCAGGGGCCTTGGCGTTGTCTCCCCTTGCCTCCTTCGGGCGTGTGGTGCAGCTGTGGCTTCGCCTCTTCTCAAGACGCCAGCCGAGCAATGTCAATTTTTGCCGGCCGCCAGGCCATGGTGGATAATGTTATCCCCGCTCTATTGCTGGTGGTGCGGGTGCGGCGTGCCACACCATGCAGGACGGACCCGGGACACATTGGGGCCGCACGGTATGGCGGCCTGTATTTCTGGCCAATGAGGTGCCGGGGTTTGGTCCAGCGTGTGATGGTGGTTGTGGCAAGAATGGCGGCAGGGCACGGCCGCCACGCTTCTGCCAGCCCAGTGCACCTTTTTTGCTTTGTTGGCGCCGCCGGGCTTCCAGCCAGCGGCGCCGTGCGCATTCGCCCCCGAACGGGCGCGGGGGGACAGGCCATCGCCACCCGGCCGGGCCACCCACGAAAAAAAACGCCCCGGGGGGCGGCGCCGGGGTTCTACAGATGTTTGTGGCGCCTGCCGTCTGCTGCTGAAAAAGCCGTATGCGCGCAAGTTTTGCGCAAGTCCGCAGCAAGTTCTGGAATCGTCTCGCGCTATCCACCGTTTTGGCTCTAACTTTTCTCCAGTCTCCTTCGGAGGTGGAGACAACATCGGATCGCCGACCAGTCATCTGGTATATTTTCGCTGCGACACATGGGTGGGGTGGTTAACTAGCTAGAATGTGGCCGCTTGTTATGACTATGATAGCCAACGGGAGAGATCTTCGTCAGAGATACCGGCCGCCACAGAAGAGAGGCCATTCCGTCGCGATTCGCGTCTGCAAGTGTAGTGGGCGCGATGCATACGAGAAGACGCCCGGCGTGTCACATGTGCAACGCTTGCTCCTTCAGCATGATCATGAGCGTGATCCTGCTGACTCAACAGCAACACAAAGACCTGGAGTAATAGATGGCCACAAAGGCCAGAAGCCCAGGCCCGTCCGCGGCCAGCTCAGCTGCCCCCGCGCCGGCCGAAAAGCCTGGATGCCGGCGGTGATCAGGGTGGAGGAAAGACCGGAAATCAAACAGCGAAAAAAGTGCGCGCACATGCGCGAAATTTGTGTTGCGGGAGGGTCAAAAGTGCCTCTTTTTTGAGTATGATCATGTTTTTTGGCCACGAGCTAACGGCGGCCATGGTCATATTTCCTGACCTGCCTCATACCACCGTGATTGGCGGTTTTTGTAAAATGCTACTTTTCAGCGTTTTCGCGCCATAGCATCGGTTTAAAAAACATGATCGTGCGCTACTTTGTGTCATTTTCTTTTAGAAATTTTCCAACTTCTCCAAAAGTGACACATCTGAGCTGCGGAAAAATGGTATGATCATGTTTTTCAAACACGATGGCACAGGGCACATAAGGCCCTCACCAGAAAAAGCATGATCATGCCCAAAATTGCCAATTTTCGCGGTCCGCGAAAATTGCGAAAAAGTCCGTGAATTTCTTGTGTCGAAGACAAGAAATCGTCCTGGCCCGGCTCAGGGCCAGCGGATCCCGGAATTGGTATGATCATGCTTTTTAAGCACGGCGAGGCTGGGCTCTCCGGCCCCGCCTTTTGGGTGACTTTTGGTCCTGGGGCAGTGGACAAGCGATTCGCCAGAGTCCAGGCCCCCTCCAATAGCACGCAGGTCAATCCTCATCCGGGGCGCCCGGGCTCGGCTTCCCACCCCCGAACGCCCCAGCTGTGGCGCTGGCCATCTTCCCTGCTGACGAGGCTGCAACGCAGGCGGGGTGGCGTCCCGCACATGCTCACCCAGCAAGTGCCTTGCCAGATCCCTCCTGTTAGCTAGCTAAGTCATCACATCAAGCGGCCACTAGTTGCTTCGTGACATTCCTCCTTCCAACTCAATCAAAACACTACGCACGCCCTACTATCCCGGCGAGGAAAAAAAGGAAAAAATAACGAGGCTTTTTTTTGAAAAAAAAGTGGCATTTTTTAGGTAAAAGTGGGTGCGTGTATGATTATGATCATTTTTTTCAGCGCGATATCGGAGGTGGAGACAACATCGGATCGCCGACGAGTCTTGTTTCCTTCGTTATGCCTTGCACGGTCGTTAGCATACAGAATGGTGAATTTGCAGTGAATTTGTATTGCATGACTTGCATTTACTAACAAAAGAGAAGGGCGCTGCGTAGGTATGGACACGAACCCAAGCAGCCCACGCAGCGTGAAGGGCTGCTCGTCGCCCGGTGGCACTTGCAGCACCGAAAAAAGTGGTCTTGCGGGGGCCCGCCGGACTGTGTGGGGCACGCATATGTAACCAAAGATGGTGAATCGTGTGGCTCTTGTTCATCTGCGCGTCTGCCTCAGAAGTTCCTCTCCGGAAAGGCCGGGAGGGAGGGCGACGCCTGAACACAGGGGCACTAGTTCAACACGTGCGCTCTCACGAGTTGTGGATGTGGCTTGGAATTGGATATCTGGGAGTAGCCTCGGGTGGAAAGGAAGGCACGACTCGGCTACGGGCACTAGCTTGCTTGGCCTGGTGTGCTCGGCTTACAACTCCCAAGGCGTGTTTTTGCCCCCGGAGCAAGTCTGTTTCGACGTGGCTCTCAGGTCAAGAATTCTCTTGGTGAATTTTGAGGCTTTTTGTTTTTGCGACACTTTTTTGAAGCCCCCAAACCCGGAGTTTCTCACGCGCTAGCGAATTTTGAAAAGGAGCCGGAGGCCAAAATTCACCGGCGCCCTTTTCAAAATCCACCCCAAAATTCACCGGGCGCCCATTTTCGACCGTGATAAGCAAACTTTAGCGCAGAAAAGTACTCAAAAAAGTGCACAGATAGGCCATGAGAAGGAACGCAAAGGGGGAAAAAGCGGAGTCCTCTGCTGCCCTAAGCCCGTCTGTATTCTGCTGAAAATGCCGCAAGATTTCACGCGCCTGCCGGGAAAATGCGTCAAAGCTCTCGGCCGGGTCCTTTCGTCCTTGCCTGCCTTCTTGCTTAGTTGTATGCGCTTCGCAGCCTTTATTTCTGGCGTCTTTGCCGCGGCTGCTGCAGTGCTCTTCTGCGAGAACCCGGAGGCGCAAAAATCTGCCCAAAGAACGGCGCCCGGGCCATGTCCTCTGGCTGCCCACTGCACAAAAGCCCGCGGCTGCTGCGCGGTGCAGGGCCTTCTACTTCCCAGAACAGGGCCAAGAGGGACAATGTCCCGGCGGGCTCATCTGCAATTTGGCATGCAAAATTCACTGCAAATTCACCACTTCTCATGCTAACGGGTGTTAAAGCTCTAGTTCCTTCGGAGGTGGAGACAACATCGGATCGCCGACGAGTCTCTCATCTCTGCAGAAGCAGTTCTCTATCGGCGGCAATGGTCCCCTGGCCGGCGGCGCGGGTGATAGTACGAGCTTGAGTTTCAGAAAACTGCGAACCACACAGCAGCTCGACAGTCCCCCCGGCGCGATGGCTTTGAGCAGTCCGCTGAACCAGAGCCAAAACATCCGTGCTTCGCGGTGGCGGAAGTTGCGTGCGGTTACGAAATTCGTTGTACAGCAGCAACACGCGCCGGCGGCAGCCTCTGCGGGCGATGCTGATGATCAGAAAACGGACGGTCGGAGGAGTCTGACGCATACACAATCACAAGTGGCAGAACATGGAGAAGACGCGGAAGCGGAAGCGTCACAGAGTCAGGATGCTTACCACGACGTTGCGGATGTTGAGGAGCCGCGGTCGCACCATTTACCTGTTACAAAAGTCGCATCCTTCCCGAGGACCCCCGCGGGAACAAATGTAAACCAATCCAACAACGCAGGAGCTGCAGGACCACGAGGTGGAGCGAATGGCAATGACGTTGAACAACCTGGATTGGTAGAACAAACTCGTGGCACCTTCTCTCCGAATCTGTATGGTCCTGCTTTTGGACTGCGCAAAACTACCTCATCGTTGGCCAACACAAAAAGTACCAGGAATAATTACAACACGGCGACAGCAGCACCAGTTGTTTCTTCTCCACCTCCGGAAGAAAGCATAAGCAGAGGTCCTCGCACAGGTAACGATGATTCATCAGCGACAGGCTCGAATGTGAGGAGTCTCACTACGGGGATCTTTTTCTCCCCAAATAGACAGGCGGGAACTGCAGCTGCATCTCCTGCGCGGCCATCAAGTGCGATGAAAGCGGGGGCCGCGTCAACTTCATCTCCACATAATGTTCCCGAGACCACACCACTTGCGAACAAGAGCAAGATCGGAAAAACTACCTCTCTTGGCGGGGGCCAGATCAGGAAAGCTGTTGCCACGGCAACTTCTGCGAGCGGGCGGAGCCTTGATGGTGTCAGCATCGCAACCGCAGGAACATCGAATAAACTGCCGCTTGCCACGGCTACAACCAGGACAACAACCCTCGCAGACGTGATCAAGTTGAAGCATGCTTCGAACGAGCAAGAAGCCAAAACTTCGTCGCGTAAGACGGAAGGAGGGTCTTTTTGTTCGGTGGAAGATAGCAAAATCTTCGCTACTTCTGGAGTAGAAGGGGATGCTCGTGGTGGTGGTGGTGGTGTCTCCTCCACAAACAACACGGGCCACCACGATATCCTAAACGGCGACGGCGTAAACGTAGTGGATGCATCTTCCTTCGCTGTGGGGGACTTCATCCGCAGTAGCGTTGATCAGCTGATAAGCCTGCGGCGGGGAAGCGGGCTCAACCGGACTTTGAACTATCCGACGGCGCCAAGGCGAAGCAATTCCCCATCGGGAGATAGCTTGTAAAAAGCTGGTAAATGATGAAGATCGCGTTGTAAAATTATTGAGAGCTCTAGTACTACAACCGTATGACGATGTCGAAGACGAAGATGAAGATGAGGAATCTTCTGTAGCTGCACTTGATGAAATTGAAAAGGAAACTTCGAGACACTCCTGCCCAGCTGATGCTACGGCGGAAAGTGCAAAACTTTTCTCTCAAAAGCACAATCGGGGCCTAGAGGTGAATAAAGCTACAAAATGAAGTACCAGAACCTGATCGGCCAACAAGCCAAAATTGCATACGCGCTCAGGCGGGGTCCGTTTGTGGATGCCGCATTGACTCTGTTCTCCCTGTTTTATCTTCATGCAGGGTGAAGAAGAAGTAGAAGAAAAACAAGATGAAGTAGATTAGTCTAGATGAACGAAGTTATCTCCTGTGATATCACTTATCGTGTAGTAAGCAAGACGCTTCGTTTTTAAGTGTCACGCATTTTACTTTTTCATCTTCGACTTCGCGCCTGCCCCAAGTGGGCGTGCAATTGAAAATATGCGTCGTTCTCGTTTCCGTGGAGCAATCTCTTTTCGCATCGGTCTCAGTTCTTCTTACTTATTTGGTTTTTCTTTTTGAGACGCCGATCGTAATGAATATCAATATGCTTTTGGCTTTGTCGTGGTGCTCGGTTTGGGTTTACAAAAACCTCGCGATCGCAGACGCAGACGGACCGCTTGTTAGAATTGCTGATAGCGGCAAGAGTTTAGTATTCACAGCTCTACTTGTGACTTCTGTACAACAGGCACATGCTCAAATAGAAAAACGCTTGAGTACAAAAGTATAATCGACTTTACATGTCGGCTTGTGTCCAACGTATTTACGTTATGCGGTAGGTTTGAGACCTACGGCAGGAAGCCTCTACATTCGGTTATGTCTTTACAGGCCAATGTGCTTATCTCTGTAACGTCAGAATGCCTTTATTTTTCGAATCGAATCCGCGTGCCTATGTCGCAGCGCATGATCGGGGGATATATTTACTGCTTTAGCTCTTGATGAAATCGGAGGTGGAAGCGGAAGCGGAAGCGTCACAGAGTCAGGATGCTTACCACGACGTTGCGGATGTTGAGGAGCCGCGGTCGCACCATTTACCTGTTACAAAAGTCGCATCCTTCCCGAGGACCCCCGCGGGAACAAATGTAAACCAATCCAACAACGCAGGAGCTGCAGGACCACGAGGTGGAGCGAATGGCAATGACGTTGAACAACCTGGATTGGTAGAACAAACTCGTGGCACCTTCTCTCCGAATCTGTATGGTCCTGCTTTTGGACTGCGCAAAACTACCTCATCGTTGGCCAACACAAAAAGTACCAGGAATAATTACAACACGGCGACAGCAGCACCAGTTGTTTCTTCTCCACCTCCGGAAGAAAGCATAAGCAGAGGTCCTCGCACAGGTAACGATGATTCATCAGCGACAGGCTCGAATGTGAGGAGTCTCACTACGGGGATCTTTTTCTCCCCAAATAGACAGGCGGGAACTGCAGCTGCATCTCCTGCGCGGCCATCAAGTGCGATGAAAGCGGGGGCCGCGTCAACTTCATCTCCACATAATGTTCCCGAGACCACACCACTTGCGAACAAGAGCAAGATCGGAAAAACTACCTCTCTTGGCGGGGGCCAGATCAGGAAAGCTGTTGCCACGGCAACTTCTGCGAGCGGGCGGAGCCTTGATGGTGTCAGCATCGCAACCGCAGGAACATCGAATAAACTGCCGCTTGCCACGGCTACAACCAGGACAACAACCCTCGCAGACGTGATCAAGTTGAAGCATGCTTCGAACGAGCAAGAAGCCAAAACTTCGTCGCGTAAGACGGAAGGAGGGTCTTTTTGTTCGGTGGAAGATAGCAAAATCTTCGCTACTTCTGGAGTAGAAGGGGATGCTCGTGGTGGTGGTGGTGGTGTCTCCTCCACAAACAACACGGGCCACCACGATATCCTAAACGGCGACGGCGTAAACGTAGTGGATGCATCTTCCTTCGCTGTGGGGGACTTCATCCGCAGTAGCGTTGATCAGCTGATAAGCCTGCGGCGGGGAAGCGGGCTCAACCGGACTTTGAACTATCCGACGGCGCCAAGGCGAAGCAATTCCCCATCGGGAGATAGCTTGTAAAAAGCTGGTAAATGATGAAGATCGCGTTGTAAAATTATTGAGAGCTCTAGTACTACAACCGTATGACGATGTCGAAGACGAAGATGAAGATGAGGAATCTTCTGTAGCTGCACTTGATGAAATTGAAAAGGAAACTTCGAGACACTGGCACTGCCCAACTGCTGCTACGGCGGAAAGTGCAAAACTTTTCTCCCAACAGCACAATTGGGGCCTAAACAAGGTGAATAAAGCTACAAAATGAAGTATCAGAACCTGATCGGCCAACAAGCCAAAATTGCATACGCGCTCAGGGGTCCGTTTGTGGATGCCGCATTGACTCTGTTCTCCCTGTTTTATCTTCGTGCAGGGTGAAGAAGAAATAGAAGAACAAGATGAAGTAGATTAGTCTAGACGAACGAAGTTATCTCCTGTGATATCACTTATCGTGTAGTAAGCAAGACGCTTCGTTTTTAAGTGTCACGTATTCTACTTTTTCATCTTCGACTTCGACCCTGCCTCAAGTGGGCGAGCAAATATGCGTCGTTCTCGTTTCCGTGGAGCAATCTCTTTTGCTTTTCGCATCGGTCTCAGTTCTTCTTACTATTTGGTTTTTCTTTTTGAGACGCCGATCGTAGCGATGAATATCAATATGCTCATCTTGGCTTCATCGTGGTGCTCGGTTTGGGTTCACAAAAACCTCGCGATCGCAGACGCAGACCGCTTGTTTCAATTGCTGATAGTGGCAAGAGTTTAGTATTCACAGCTCTAGTACTTCTGACTTCTGTACAACAGGCACATGGACATGCTCAAATAGAAATACGCTTGTTGAGTACAAAAGTATAATCGACTTTACATGTCGGCTTGTGTCCAACGTATTTACGTCAGGCGGTAGGTTTCTTGAAACCTACGGCAGGAAGCCTCTACATTCGGTTATGTCTTTACAGGCCAATGTCCCAGCACCAGAGTGCTTATCTCTGTAACGTCACTGCCTTTATTATAATTTTTCGACGAATCAAATCTGCGTGCCTATGTCGCAGCGCATAATCGGAGGATATATTTAGCTCTTGATTAACCTTGAAAATAAAGATGCGCAACTGCATGTCTTGTGCGACGTCACAGATGGTGGGTTTCCCAAGTTGCGTTTTAGTTTTTTGCATCAGAGTTGTCGCCGTATCGACCTTTATCAAATGTAAAAATGTCTGGGTCTGGAAGATTCTGAGACTTGTCATGCATGTTTTGCCTGGGCCATGATGTCTGTGATGCAGGCCCTAGCATCACAGATTTTTTGAGGGCGTCGCGATGCCTTTTCCGCATGACAAATGCCCTCTCAGCGTAGCAAAAATCACACTCCCTTTGCTGCTCATGCAATACAGATTTTTTTGGAATCCAAATTCAGCATCACAAGTTGCATTCTTCCAGACCCAGACATTTTTACATTTGATAACCTTGTTTGTTGCTGCGATCCAACATCCGCCGGGTGAGGGTCCGGGGCCGCCGGGATCATTGTCTGGAAGGAGCACACGGCAGACCGCTTTGCAGCAGGACGCTACTGGGGACGAGGAGGAGAACTACGATATGGGCGTTAGCACCTTCCGGCCGCGCCAGCGTCACCACGAAAAAACTTCTCCTCGCCAGGAAAGGCAGCTACAAGACGCGGCGGCCACGGAGGTGGACGACGGTCAATTTACGGACGAAGTTGCGGACGAAGATTTCGATGCGGATTATGGCTTGCTCAGATGTTAAATCTCATTCTCAACTGTTACATAAAGCATCTGGATTTTGTCTCGCGTGAGCAGGAGCATGGGCAGCATACAGAGCTTTGCGCTTTTCGGTACAATGAATTTCGCCATAATATGTGTAATTTCACTGTGGTTCTTTGGGGCTCGTCCGGATGAACTTGCTATGCGCGGCGATACTGCTAGACGCGAAGAGTATGCTGGCTATGGCTAGGTCATGCACTCGCTGTTGCACCTCCGATTTCCATTTCGTGTTGTAACGGCTGGGATTGTAACGCCTGCGTAAGTCATACGGATCAGTCCCTTTTTCTGGAAATCAACGCCGCGGCAGACAGTGGCAGTGCTATGCCCAGGATTTCGATATCTTCGCAGGAATCCTCGGAAACCGAAGCGGATAAAGAGAAAGAAACGGTCAGCACAATCGGGGATGCGGAACGCGACGCACCACACCGCTTCCAAGATGATCTACCAGATCTCAACACTGATCCTGCTCAGCAGGCGTCTGAGCTTACTTCGGCTTACCGGGAATACCTTAGTCGCTCTGTTGCTAGCATGCATGGTCGCAATATGATAATCCCCGACCCGGGGGAGACAGATGATGATGCGCCGGGTTCTATGACTGTGCACAAGCTGTAGAAAGTAGTAGATCCCCTACGTCGCTAGCGCTACTACAATTACGGTTTTAAAGCATACGAGAGCTGCGAGTTCGAACAGGTGCTTTGATGTCCCTTGTGATATGCCTCGCCGATGGTAAAAACTAGGTGCGCACACTTTTCAAAAAACACTGCAGCTGGAAAAAGTAAAAGCTGCGCGTCGACGTTCTTTGTTCGTGCAAAATATGTATCTGCATTTTTGTACTGGAAATGTTGCTATTGCTTCATTTGATGTAGTTGCAGCTGTGGTGGACTGGATGAACCACTTCCCGGTCTTCATTGAATTTGCTACTTCTGTGAACATCAGCAACATCAAGGCGGGGGATTTACAAGTCTGCTTGTGCACCTTTCCCATAGTGAACGACGATAGCGCTCCTGACGACGTGCGGGCTTTCATCGAGAGAACACAGCGACATCATGCCGACGAACAGAAGCACGAAGAAGAGCAAGAACAACAAAATGAATATGAAAAACCATATCAAGACCAGTCCCGACGTACTACCAGTTACCTGAATGTGTGTCGGCACAGTCAGATAGTCGGCCAGGTGTTGCGTCACTTTTTCTTGCGCGACGAGAAAAGGCTGCAGTCTTACGCAGACAAGGAAAAATTTTACGTGCACTTCGAAACGGATCGCGGAGACGAGGATGATGAGAATTTTTTAGCCGGCGGGGGTCCTCCTTTATTCCATGCTGAGGACGATCCGGGTGGACCGGGCCGCCCACTCCGCGAGCGAGTATTAACCGGGGACGAGCTTAGTACTACCACATCCGGAGGTGAACAAATAGATTTTCGAAGTAGAAAGGATGACACAAAAGCACTGTTTACTGAAGCGGCTAGGCATCAGCTCGAGGAGAGGAGCTCTGGTAGTACTTCTTCAAGCAGCAAGCCGCAAGAACTGGGAGATTCTACCAGAACTACCACTACAAGCTCCTCCATCAAGATAGCCGGCGCGGAGAATTTGGCGCAGCAGGAACCTTCGGCAGTAATACCAGCGGGCAGTAGTGGTAGAAGTACAGCTTCTACCGGCGGTAGCTCTACTGGTAGCACCCCTGCTTCGACGACTTCTCCCACCACGTCCTCCTCTTGGTGGGGCTCTAGTACCGCGTCTTCCTGGTGGAGTTGGGCAAAGGAAAAGGTAAAGCAAAAGGTTTACCAGCCCGTGGCGAATATGTTTTCGTCCTCCGGAGCAAGTAATGAAGTAGAAAATGCTGCAACTGCAGGTACAACAACGGCCCCGGTAGGCAAGAGTGAAGACATGGTTGATGCTGGGAGGAAAAAAGGAAATAATGATGACGACAAGAAGCAGAAATACCACAGTACTCGAAAAACCGTAATTAGCGGCTAAGTTGGTACGGCCCACAGAACAAGAGCAAGCGAATGAAACTTTTTCCGCACGACTGCTAGCTCCTGCATTCTCCGACTTCCCAAGCTAAGTGCTGCAGGATTGCTCTCCTTCTGCTTTTTCCCTGGGGGAAAAACCGCGCGCGTCCGTACTTGAGATTTTGCGTTTTATTCACTCGATGACGATGATGCGCAAATGCAAAAACTCTGAGGCATAAGTTCCCTAATGGCACGTGCCATTAGGGAACTTATGTTTTTGCATTTTCGAAAAACATAAGTTCCCTATTGGCACGTGCAACTAGGGAACTTATGGCTCGAGATTTTGGGTTTTTTTTACTCGATGATGCGCAAGTGGAAATGCAAAAACTCTGAAGCATAAGTTCCCTAATGGCTCGGGCCATTAGGGAGCTTATGTTTTTGCATTTTCGAAAAGCATAGAAATAGATATCCTATTTGAGCGCGTAAATAGGAAGCTACTCCTTTGATGAAGCTTTGGTTTTTTTCCGCAAAGGGAGCGCTTTGAAGCTTTGGCTTTTTTCCGCAAGAATAGAAGGGGAGCGCCTCGCCCTGGTGCAAGGGTTTTCATTTCTGCTCGTGTCATGGGGACCACGCACGGCGCGACGCAATACTAGCTTTCTTGTGTTGTGGCTCGGAAAGAGTTACCACTTTAGCCGCTTATTACGGTATGCCGAGTAGCACGCAAGGGACATCAGCAAGAACAAGCTCGTCGAAAATAAATATCGCTAGCAAGCTTCCGAAGTTTCATTCCTCGGCGTACGAAGTGCACGAGGAATTGGCGCCCCTGATGAACATGTTGCAAAATCTGTACACGTTTGACGAAGTCAGGCGCGTGTGGAGGCAGAAAACGAACGACGAACTAAGTCCAGCAGTGATGGAGGGAAACACTAAACTCGCGCACACCGGCAACCATTTGTATGGTCGGGAGCTGACGCACCTGAAGCCACGCGAATCCTTCCACTCGCATAACGACGCCAGGCGCGACACCGCGGTCACGGTAGACACGGGCGCTCCGCGGCATGGGGAGCTCGCCCGAAACGTGTTGCAGGAGGCAAAACTGGATCCGCACTTTTTGCCCTACATGGAAACCGTTGTGAACGAATCTATGCATTTTTGCAAAAGAAGTATCGCTACACAGTACTACCAGTACTAGTGTAAAAATGAAATCGCATGTTGACCACGACGAGTTGGATCAAGTACAGAAACAGATTCCGGTAGGAATTTTGATTTGTCATGCATCACTCTGATTAGTACGAGCGCAATACTTGTTTTGCACTGGATAAAATTGGCGCACGGGCATTTCTTCGGCGAGGAGCTTGATGTTGCCGTTGCGCCAGCTCGCCCCGACCAGTCGGGTGAGCAGTATGGGATTCTCAAACGTACGCCTACATTGCACGCTGTTGCACGATTTGTCACGCTGCTAATTCAGCATGTCACCCTCATCCTCCGCACGATGAGGCTGCTTCGCCTCCATGGCATGGAAATTATGCCAAGATGAATACGTTCTAGATTTGTAGTAACGCGAGACGCGCATAAAAAAAACTCCCAACTGTTCACTTTTTCTGTTCTTGCATCGCAAAAGAATTATGCAACAGCTATCAATGACGTTGCAACGCGTGCGAACTCCATAAGGAGGAAGTCGCTGGTCCTGCTACTTCTTCACCAGGAACACCAGGAGAAGACGACAAACACACATCATTTTTGGACCAGCAGAGCAGCAGCACGAAAATAAATGCTACAACTGCTATTGATAAGACCGTCGCCGGGACAGTCGGGAGGGTCCTCGGCAAAAAAAACGCAACGCGTAACAGAGCGATTGCTGGGGCCACAGCACCAGCTCCTGCAGCTCCTTCTTCACCATTAGCTTCATTGCCGTCGCGTGGAAATAAAACTGCTGTTCGTAGGACGAGAGAAGCTACAAGAACTCCATCGACCCGCGTCACGCAAGAAATTGTGACCAGTGCTCGCGCTAGTAGAAAGATTGGCCGAAGCTCTACTGTAGATGAGGAGAAAACAAAAACAGACCACGAAGAGGAAGATGTTGAAGACGTTGTGACCACGAGTGATCGCGGCCCCAGTGAAAATGGCGTTCGACACCAACACGAACACAAGAATGACCGACCCGAAAAGCTGCTTTCCACTATGGCCGAACACGTGCTGCTGGACTACCCCGTCACGCTGAACTTCGACGCTGTAGCGGCGGCCGCGGAGGCCACCTTGACCAAAACGGTGACAGACAACCCGATGACTTGGAAAAAGATGACCGAAAAACTAGGGGAGTTGGCGCAACTCGGGCACAAAAAGAACGACGAAGGACGAGACAAGAGAAAAAGTGGCGGGGGACCACAATCACAAAGTAGAGTCTTGGACGTCGCGGACCAAGTCCATTTCTCCGGTGTGCGATCTTCCACTGCTCCGGAGCACATTTGGTTCTTCGACCGCTTCGTGGTGAAACTGGTTCAGACGCAAGCGTTATCATAAGGAAAAATCCCCCCTCCCCATATTGAAAACGTATCCGACTGAAAATTTGTGATGCGCATTTGTGACCTCAAACCCTGTCTGTCTTGCAAGAAGGCAAGTCCAGAGAGCGCCCCGCATTTTGCAGGCGGTTTGTGATGCTGTTGGGCTTAGAGCATGCACGTTTGTCATGCTAGGCGCCTACGTCAAAGCCTCTCGACTGAGGCTTAGCATATGCCTGCAGTCCTCTACTGCGAGACAAGTCTGATTTGTGTACGGAAATCCAGCAGCAGAAACTTCGTTTCGATATGGGGGGGGGATTTTTCCTTTTGATAAGCGTATGAGGACCAGATGTTCTGGTTCCGCGATCCGGATCTGCATATGTCCTTCCTCGAGAAACTGATCGACCACCTACGCTATGCATTGCATCAGTCATCTCGTACGACCCGTAAGTAGTAATTTTTATCTCAATCAGGCCAAAGTCAAAAAGCAAGCGCAAAAGCCTTTTTATCTTTTTTTCCTTATCGCTTTTTTCTAGTTACACAACGTCCCTACCGCCGCTTTCGAGCGAGCATTTGTAAACTTACTCTTTATGAGTATTTACAAAAAACTATCTGATCTGATCTGATCTGCATGAGCATGATGCATGATCCAACTCCGAGCTAAACCTAAATCAGCATGACAAATTCCATTTGAGGAAGATGTCATGCTGAGCTCCTAAATAGAATTCGCAATGTTGCACGTGAGTACTACTTCTAGTGCGTCGTCGATACTTTTGCAATGCATAAACGCCACCATCGGAATTCCCTCCTCACGCCCTTTTTCGGCCTCATCCGGGTGGAAAAGGTGCGCGACAGAAACGACCACATCGACGACTTCCGAATCAGAGTCAAAAACTCCACGACCCCGTCCGGCCCTCCCTCGGAAGCAGGAGCAGCACCTCTGGGAACTACAAAATCTGCCACAGAAGAACCTTCTGCTGCCGGAAGTGGTGGAAAAGATATTAACGGCGCACCACCAGTAGTGGTAGTAGAAGGCAACGCGCGCGGGAGATCATTCGAAACCACAGCGCCGCGGCCTGCTCTGTCCGAAGCGGAGCTGCTGCCAGCTGAGCGGCAGCGATACCGCAGGGATCGGAAGCGGATCGAGAAGGGGCTCGAGCGCTTGCCTTCTTGCGCCTACGTTGTCTTGCCAAACTTGTACTACGGTACTAAAACCGTTGCCAAGAGGACGGTGCGTCGGGGTGGAGGCGCTGGACAAGGAAAAAAAAAGAAGATGTTGACAAGCTCTGGAAAGAACGGAAATGATAAAGGGAAGTCCGCCAGACCCTCATCCGCTCCACGCCCGTCAGTGGTCTCCGAGACGGGCAGTCAAGAAGAACAAATGGGATTTTCGAGGAGCACCACCTCAGAAGGTCAAGGTGAAGTAGGTTTTGTGAAAGAACAAGAAGTACAAAACGAAAACAAGGAGCAAACTTTATTTACAGCTCCGACGACAAGAGCATCAAGCGGTGAGGGCCACCTCCGAGGTCGACAGCGCCAGCGGGTTCGCGCCAGTACACTGCTGTTTGAGTTGAAGGGCAGCGCTGGCGACACCATCGACGAGGGGCCCCGCCGAGCCTGCGGCCTGAAACGGTGCGACGTCAACTGGGCGAAGGGGTCCCACAAATCTTTCGCGGAAAAGTACATCGCCCCCAAAGTCCGTACCCTGCTGAACTCAATGCACGACCTGCGGGACGACGCTGCGTGGAACTGGCGTCGGATGCGGCATGAAATTCGACATAACGGCGTTTGGGTTTTTTTGGGTACCTTACTGCACTGCAAAAGTATCGTTTGTACTAAGTTTGAGTACAACTACAAGTACTAGAAATTTCATTGCTACGTCGAATAAAGTTTCTCTTTCTCAAAAGGTGGAAAGAACAGAGTGCAATTTGTAATGATGAAGAACGAAGAACATGAACAAGATTCAAAGCCAAATAAAATGGAAGACTTGCCATGCAATCTTGCAATTAGGACGACCGCGATACTTTTGCACAGGATTGAGATACGTGACCAAGCCCTTCGGAGCTGCTGCGTCCACCTTCTTCGGACGGATAGGGGATTCGCTTGCCCGGCCCTTTCGCGCTGCGTTCCGCTGGTTGTTCCCCGGAGTGCAGGGGGACGAGAATCAGGGTGAATCGTCTCCCTATCCAGGAAAAAACACCCATCCACATCCAATTTGTCATGCAAAACATACATAAAACTCTGTGTTTGTCGTGCAAAAAATGGATGTGGATGGGTTTTTTTCTGTGGATACTCCCACGACGAACCACACAAAGAGCAGTACGACGTCTCCTGAAGTAGATCCGACGAAGAACGTCGCACTGAGTGGGCGGTGGAACAAGCCGACCTCTGGCACGGGGACGAGTGCTAATCCTAATGCAGCAGCTCGGGTGACGCCCTCGGTGATTTGGCAACAAAATGTGCGCGACATCTTGAAGTACTATCAAGTTTTGCCCCGCGTGGCCAGCACTTTCTTGAAGAAGAACATCCATTACGTTCACGGGGCCGTCGACGACCGCCAAGTAATGGTAAAATGGAAGGTGGATAAGGATCCGGTGTCTACCCTCGTTGCCAGAGCATCGGAAGCTCGCGAAGAGTTCTTGTACTCACATCAAGGATTTATTTTGGCAGGGCAGGAGCGAGTTGGTCCGGGTCGTACTCATGTTCATGCACGCGAAGAAGTGGTAGAAAGTGATGCTATGAAGAAGATCTTCTCCCCCGATAGCGCCGACGTCGCCAAGAAGTCCCAGCAAGTTCGCGACGTTGCAAACGTGACAATACTTCCGAATGATACCCAGCGTCGTCTTGCTAAACATGTTGGGCACGACGGGGAGTCAACGGAAGGTTCGCGAGAAACCATCAGAAATCTGGACCTTGAGCGTCGACTGAAAAAAATGCGAAAAGAGGGAAAATTTGACACGCTCTGGGCCCTTGAAGAGTATGCCTTTGAGGAGAAGACGCTTTTGAACATGGACTTTCTTGTCAGTTCTGCCGCGGACAACTGGCTACTTGAAATATTTGGTAGGTTTTTTGGGGAGGCGCTGGGATTGTGGCGGGGGATTAATCACACTATCGTCTCCAGGGAGGATCTTCTTCGTGTCGAGTCACAAGCGAGTACTATGTTCCGCCGGACTATTATCTCACGAAAAAAGTGTTAAGTACAGTTACACATTTGTTGGAGTTTCGGCATCACAAATTTTCTCTGTGTGGCAGAGAAAACTTGTAATGCAAGGATCATAAGGGAAAATACGTAGGAAACGAGACTCGCAAGCATTTCCTGCATGACAAAGGTTGTCTGTCTTGCGGCTCCTGCAACACATGTACTAACTGTAACACTTTTTTCTTGCGATAACTATGCGCGACTTGCTGCAACCACTGGAGTTCCAAGACTACGACTTCTACTATGGCGTTCTCAAACGTTACATTCTCACTCTCAACTGTTACATGGTTTGTCATGCAGAATTGCCTTCAGAATCCACACCATCAAGCTGCTTCGCATGACAAATTCTTAGAGGACCAAACAGGCTGATAACCGGCGCCAAATCTGTCATGCACGACGCGCAAGATCTCTCCTATCATTTTTGCCATTCTTGCATCGCAAATTCATGTACCAGTTGAGAATGTAACAGCTGAGAACGCCATATCTACGATGCTTTTCTCCGTTTCAATGGGTACGAAGCCACCACGCTGGCCGGTGCGGAAGGTGTACTGCAGAATCTTCTTGCTTCTTCTACTGTGGGCTCTTACGGCGAGCACTATAATATGTCGCGGTCTGCTCGTGCTCCCACGGAAGCAGGAGAACTGGAGCAAGCTTATAGGCAACGTCCGCCGTCGTTTTGTTCTCCTGGAGCCCGGTTCGAAAATGATCGCAGCCCGCCCGGAGCAGCTGAGCAAGTGGGCCGAGCCTCCGCTGGCGATCGCTCTTATTTTGCGGAAGATTTGCTTCTCAGGCCGGGGGCAGAGAGTGTACAAGAAAGAGCTGGTCCTCCGAACGGGGAGGAGCTGCGCGGCGGAGACGACCTGCAGGGCAGTCCACGGACGAGGAATGATGGTACACCCGAGAAGTGGTCCATGACCTCCTCGGGAGCTGGTGCGGCAATCTTCGCGGAGCGACCGGTGTGCTCTTTTTTCTACGCAGCCTCGGGTGCTTACTCCTACCTCCCGGCCGCGGAGGCGCGCCTTAATCGGGCCACTGTCTTTGCGATGGCTAAAAACACGCCGCACTTGCTTCGTAAACTGTACATAGACGTTCTGGCGAAGGGGAAGATAAAACTAAAACAACAACACGAGGAACAGGACTCCTCCAGCCACGACTACACAACTTCATCTGCCACAGTTGGCAAAGATAATTATAACAACAGCACCAGCTCGGCGAGAGGATCGAATTATAGCAATTCTAGTCGTGTAGCGCTGACCACCAGCCGCCACGGAGAGGTGGGAGGACATCAAGTGCATCAAGCTGTTGACGCTCTCCCACCTGTGGCGGACCTGGACGCAGATCGAGCGAACGGCACCGCAACAGTGCGCAACGTGCTCACCGGGTTTCTGGAGGACTACGTGGCGCAGTGGTTGCAGAGGATGGATGCTCCTTACTTTGCGGACAACGGGACCAAGATTGTGGAGAGTGTGAGCCCCTGGGCGTGGCTGGAGACGGGGAAGCGAGGCGCGGCCACTTTTTTCCAGGAGTTCGCCTACCTGCGAGGTTGGTACCATCCCCGCCACGACTTACCGAATGTCACAGTCGCGTACGACTTCGTGAGGCAAAATTGTTTCTCTTGGCTCCCGGATATAACATGCTCAGGTGTTACATCTCGTCAAACGTTTAGTTACAAGAGAAATGGAAGTCCGTGCTGCAAAGAGTGATGAATCATCTGAGTCTAACCTACTCTCAGTCTCACAGGTGGATAGCGCATGACAAGTTTCGGATTCGAGGCTTTTAGACCTCATGAGAATCTGGAGAAATTATTTGCGCTCAGAAATGCGCAAAACCCTGCATGTTCGTCGCTCATGCTCTCTATGGAAGACAAAGTCCAGACTTTATCGCAACGGTTGAGATAGAGATTGTAAAACCTGAGGGCGTCATACCGGAAGCTGGTGTGGTCTCAGAGCACGAGGCCGGTGGCCAAGAAGAGCAAGAGGAACAGCAAGAACGACCACAAGAATCCGAAGCAGAAACAGGTGCGATGCAACTGTCACCGTGGGGAAAAGCGACGAAGCGGTGGCTGGAGTACCGCTCCCATTTTGACTACACACTGTACCTGCGGGACCTCGACCTAGAGGCCTTCAACGCGCAGCACCTGCACCCCCAGGCGCTGGAAGATTTGGGGCGAGGGGTGGTGGAGGGAAGTGTTGATATCGCCTCATCTTCTCAGGCTCCAACTCCCCAAGGTAGACCAAGCCAGTTTTTCAACTATTCGCACTTTGATCAGAAGCAGCTCCACGCGGGCGGGACATTTTTTCCGCAGCGCGCACTGGATCTGAGCGCGCTCGCGGACCGTGGCGAACTGAGAAGCATCCTGCTTCAACAGCCCCTGTTGGCTGCGAGCGGCGGCACCGGCGTCTCGGCGGGCGGGTCGTTCGCCACTACTTGCGAGGATGTCTTTCTCGAGCACGGTGGACGAGTGGAGAAGGTACTGCTGCAACTAGTGCATGACTTGACGACCACGAGCAGCGCCGCGGGCGCGGCGCACCACCAGGGGCAGGCGAAAATTGGGGAACAGCAGTTGTTCCGAGATGTTGTAGACTTGCTTACGGGTGGCGGAGAAGATCCTGCAGCGAGCAGGGCGGAACTTGAGGACCCTGACAATTTTCCTTGCTGGGAAAGTTTGGACGTGGTGGCGTCGCTAATGCGAAGCGCTTTGCTGGTCAATACGAAGACCGCAACACGGGCGACAAAGAACGAGGACGATCTTCAGACGAAAAAACGCATCCACGAAGGTGGGCCGCCCAGCACTGGTCGACGCGGCTCCGAAGATGAAGATGTGTACGCTGAGGCATTGCGTCTCTGGCGTGCGCAAATTTCTACTTCCAACATAGTGTACTTCAATTCGACCGGAAACAAAAGTGCAGGTGGGATAAGATTTGCAGAGAAAATCTGGGAATTTTTTTCCAAACATTACACGCCCCCGGTGAACAAGGATGAGACGAAGATTTATGCATTGCAAATTTATAATAATGGTGCTTTAATATGTCATCTGGGTCTGGGAAGTTGTCGTGCGCCCACACGAATGACAAAAGGACCACTCCGCCCACTGGACGGAGTACGCAGCCAAGCATGACAAATTTTTGAGCGGTGCTGTCTCGCGTACCACACATGAGACCTTCGTTTTTGCATAACACAGAACAACCGCTAGTATTCATCCGCAACCACATCAACACGCATTCATTACAAAGTAAGTTCGGGACTCCTGTGATCGAGGGTTCATCTCTTCTATCTTGCTCGGGAGCGCTACAAATCTTGCAATTTTCCAGACCTCCCAGACCACACATTTTTTGATTTTTGCATCTGATAACCGACGGCGAGAAAAAGGGGCTTCATCTAGTGCAGCTGGCGCAGGCGCTGCGGAAGCGGACGAGGTAGTATCGAAACCTGCGACACACCAGAATGTCGCTGGTGGGTCGCGAAGCGATCATCTTCAAGAAACGCAGAATATGTTTAAAAGAGTCTCGGACTTATGGCGGCTCTCCCGTTATCCAATGCAAAAGCATCCTCGCGCTCGTAGTCGTAAGTACTAATCCGAGGACGAGCCAAGGACCATGACAGGTCTTTTGCTTACGGGAAACAGGCTGCATTCCAATAAATTACTTTTTTCTCTTGGAGTAGAAATATAGGCAAGTAAAGTCCACCCTACGGTAGTACTACAACGATTATACTTTTGCGATGCATACCCGTAAAACACAGCTTGTGAGCATTGTCCTTCAGAACACTGCTGCTGCTGTGTTCAACGCAACGCTCGTATCCACGAAAAAAAGACCCATCCTCATCCAAATTGTCATGCAAAACACGTCCAAAGTCCTTTGTTTGTCATGCAAAAGATGGACGGGAATGGGTCTTTTTTTGTGGATAGCTCGAGCTCGCCTCGCGGCGCCTATGACATTGCACAACTACCCCAGCACCTTCTGCCCCTCATTCCTTGTCAACCAAAGTTTCAAACTCAGCTACTGCCTTGAGGAACTGCTTGTATGACGAATTCGAGATCATGAAGGAGCCCAAACAGTAACTAAGTGTAACAGTACAACCACACTTCTTGGTGCTGCATGAACTTTTCCTGCACAGGCTGCATTGATTGTCGCTCCTGATATTTCAGTTTCAGTTGCTCCTCATGCACTCCAAATGTCTGAGGGCGAGGCGAAGTAGTTCTTGTGAACTCGGATAGCGGCTGGAGCGGATGCAGAGGGCGAGTACCACAGTCGGCGCGCCTGTTATGGCGTTCTCAAACGTTACATTCTCAACTGTTACATGATTTGTAATGCAAAATGATCATCAAGATCCACACGATCAAGCTGCTCCGCATGACAAATTTGCGAATGGCTAAACAGCACCCAAATCTGTTCGGAATTTGTAATGCTACAGATGCAACCTCCCCCCTTTCACTTTTCCCATTCTTGCATGACAAATCCATGTAACACTTGAGAATGTAACAGTTGAGAACGCCATACCTGTTCTGGAAAACCTCGTCTTGAAGTCGAAACCGCTGTTTCCCGACCGTCGCATCCCTATCGTAAGGAAAAATCCCCCCTCCCCATATCGAAAAAGTTGGTCTCAAAAAATTTGCAATGCTTATTTGTGACCACAAATCGTCTCTGTCTTGCAAGCACGCAACTCAACAGGCTCCGCCGCATTCTGCAGGCGGTTTGTGATGCTGTTAGTCCTACAGCCTAGACGTTTGCCATGCTCGGCGCCTAGCTAGCCCAGAACCTCTCTGCTCAGGCTCAGTATAGGCCTGCAGTCCCCGCCTCCAGCAAGACAGCTCTGATTTGTGTACGCAAATCCAGCATCAGGCACTTTGTTTCGATATGGGGAGGGGGGATTTTTCCTTTTGATAATCCCCGCCGGGTTTTTTGTGCATCCTGAGGACGCGCCGAAGCTGCAGAATTTTTTCCGCGCTCTCGATCGCGACTTGGAATTCTTGCAAGCCCGAAAAGTTTGGGACTACTCGTTGATCGTGACAGCATCCTTTGATGAGCAGGATGAGGAGGACGAACAGGATGAGGAGGAACCGGATGAGGAGCCTGAGGACACTGATGTAGATGTGGGGGCAAGGACTGGCTCAGGAGAAGGAACTAGTCCTCCAAATGTAGTTGAGCAAGGGTTTCTTCTTTCACCAGGACGAGACCAAGAGAAGCGCCGCGAAGAGGAGGCAACACCTTATCCTCCCAATCTGCTTCCCGTACACTTCTACTCTAGTACTTCCGGCGCAGCCGCCACCAGAACGAAGAGGCGGACTGCACCGAACACGGCAAGAACAGGAACGCCCACCAATGTTGACGACGAGAGCAGAGCTACAGCTACTTCTGCCTCTGGCACCAAGAAGAGTAGTACGACTAGAACTGCAACAAACCCGAGAGGTCGTGGAACCACCTCATCAGGTCGCGAAGTAGAAGCTGCAGGTCGGAAAAATAAAGCTACAAACTACCGCAAAAGTTTTGGCGAGTTGCGGTTCGGCATTGTTGACTTTGACTCCACATCCCACTACGCCGTGGTGGACCAAACCGCAAAAGAGAACTTTGATAATTTCAAGGTTCGAAAGACGGAGGAGCATTTGAAGACGCTGTTATGCATTTTTGCAAAAGTTGTATCGCATTAGCTAGAAGTAGCATATACAACAACGAATTTTTTCTAGAACGAACAATGAAAAAACTTGTGACGCAGATTAGCTCAGAAACCAGGAGATCTGTCATGCTCATGCATGTTGACAAGAACTGCAATATATACGAATACGATACTTTAACTTTTGCAGAGCATAGCTGCTGACCAACCACAATGTCGCGTTCCCACCGTTCACGCACTTTCACCCCATGCAGTTCCTGAATCAGCAAGGTTCTGACTTGTTATCTCCTTCTTTATCTCCTGCTGATTCCAGCGTGAAGACCATGACTTCGGATGAACCACATCAAGCCAGCATGACGAATGTACCGTCTTCAGCACGACCGTCGTCGAGAACCCCAAGCAGCCAAAATCGTGGGGCCGTTCTACTCTATACGCAGACAGGCTTGCTCTCGACCGATTTTCCGCAGTCCTTTGTGGGCAAACGAAATAGCGAAATTCTGCGGCCCTTGTCTATATCCAGGAAAAAACACCCATCCCCATCCAATTTGTGATGCAAAACATGCATAAAATCCCCCCGTATTTGTCATGCAAAAAATGGATGGGGATGGGTGTTTTTTCCTGGATAGTCTACCCCTCAGTCGCCGTCGATCTACGCAGATCGGCTGCGGAATTTCGTCATAAAGGCACAGTCCGTAGCTCAGGTGGACGACTTTGTCGATGATAGCGAGGACGAGGTGGATCTAGCAGCAGGAGCACACGAACAAGGAATGAGCTCTACTTCTATGCTTCTTGATCGTTCATCGCAGGCCGGCATGGCCAAGAACACGACAAGCGGCGACGAAATAAAGAGTGAACATCAAATAATCGACGACCACGAGGAAGGCCGCGGAAACGGAGACCAAGAGGAAGAGGAGCAGAGCGAACCCGAGCCGCGTCGTCCAGAAGTGTTTCTGCGGAGCACGCGGAACTCGTTGCGTAAAGATGTTGACTTTTCGGTGGAGCTTGCCATGGCGGCCGGCGGTGCGTATGCATTGCAAAAGTATGATCGTACTAGTACGAATTGCCATTGCGGTTGCGTCTTCACTCAAGATGAACAAAAATGCAATATTGTCATGCTAGTTGAGGTAGAAAGTTGTGTTTGTCAACATGCATGACTACGAGCGCAGTATTACTTTTGCAGATGATAGTGCGACGATTCGCACCATTGCCGGTATTCAGGTGGCCGCCCTGGAGGAGTCGAGACTGACCACGCTTTTCTTTGACCTGAGCTCCAGCATTTCGAGCTGGTTGAAGAAACTTCCCACTTTGCTGACTGTCTTCAAGAAAGGCGAGGAGGAAAATCCGGTCGGAGAAGTTGTACCGGCGCACCAGCAGCAAGACGAACCTCATCTAAACATACAAGTAACTTCTACAGAGGACGACGACGAGAATCATCTACCCCTGTTTCCCGAGGCTGCTGTTCCTCCAATTGATGCTCCTCGTGCTGCTGGTTCTTACGAAGATCATGTCAGGGAAGGAGGAGCCCATGGGCGGGGTCGCGCGGCCGCGGAGGTGTCATCTATAAGGCCAAAGAACAGCACGTCGAGCTCCTCGACCTTGCGTCTTCCGCATATGATGAGCTCGAAGCGAATCCGCGGGGCGGCTGCGCAAGCGGTGACGCGGCTGCGCCAGGGAATTGATAGCGCTAGCGAGAAGTTGCACGAGGTGGCGGCTGAGGGAAGTGGAGCAGAGCTCACCTCAGAAGCGGCTCGCGAGAAGCGGATCCGGAAAAGGACGAAGGAGCAGCTGATCACTTCTATCCAGAGAAGAGCCATGACGCACAAACAGTTGCACGGGTGTAGCAGCCCCCACTTCCTGATCCCCTTGTATACGGAGATTTTGATGCACCCCAGGCTACAGGAAAGCATAAAATACCACAACCCCGATGACGACGACGACCTGGAGGCTCCTCTCCGCACGGCTTTGCACGAGGAACGCGACGAGGACTATTCCCTGAAAATTTTTCACCATGATGGCCACCATGATCCAATTTGTCACGCAAAACATCTAGCAAATGCACATGCAGCAAAATTATCTGTGTTTTGTCATACAAAAAAATTATGGGGATGTCGTTTGATTTTCAGGGAATATGATGGTGGAACTGGAACATGACGACGACGAGGCCTCAGCCGCCTCCGCGCCGGAGTACGTCGGGACTGCGGAGCTGTCTGTCCCGCTGTACGCCTTATGCATTGCAAAAGCAAGAGCGCACTAGTATAAATCGCATGACAAATATTTTTTTCAAGAAGAAAATTGGAAGTTGTAGTGCAGAATTAGGTGTAGAAAGTAGATTTGTCATGCACCATGACTGCAATTAATACAAGTGCGATACTCAATGCATACGCCTTCGTCCCCGACGAAAAGACGGGAGCAATGCGAAGCGTGAAGCACAAACTTATCCACAGACAAGGACCCATTGATTCCCATTGCAAAACATCATGCATCAAGTATTTAGTCCAGTGTAGGTATCCTGCAAAATAAAATGGATGGAAGTGGGTCTTCGTCTTTTTTTGTGGATAAAACCTATCCAGCAGTACCTCGACAACAGTGTTTGGTATGACCGGATCTTTGCCAAGCGGCTGTACCAGCGGAAACGACGGCGGCACAAGAGCGAGCGTTTCTTGGAGGCGGACACTCAACTCAACAAGGAGCGCATGGGCTGGTTTATGGGATTCTCAAACGTTACACGCTCACCTGTAGTTGCATGATTTGCGACGCGGAAAAATCACCAGCAGCCTCCAGCACACGATGAAGCTGCCACGCGTGTTGTTAAATTCTTCAATGGGTGAATAGCATGGAAATGATCGGCTCCTAAGGTGTAATGCAAGTGGCGCAAAATACCCTCCCCCGGCCAATTTTGCTACTGTTCTTGCATGGCAGTTGAGAGTGTACTAACGTTATTTGAGAACTCCATATAGTTCCGCCGCACGTTCGACTATTTGTTCGGTAGCTTAAAAACGCAGTCGAAACGCAGCGTGTACGAGCTGGGGCATTACTTCAGCAGTGACCACGACCTCCACCCTCCAGAGCCCGGCGCTGGCGACGAGGACGAAGAGGAAGACGATTTGGACGAGGGCGATGAAGTATCGACCGCAAGGACATCATCTTCCAAGCGTAACAAGGACGGTGTCCTGCGTGTTGATAAAAAAAAGCCCAAAACGTGGAACCGCTGGAATCGCTGGAAAGACACAGAGTCCTTTCTTTGGGAAAACGAAGACGACGCCAAGGACGACTACGATGAATTTTTTCGATACCTTGGGGTCAACAAGGTTTACAAGACAAGCGGTAGAACGCGCAAGTACGTCCGGCTGATGATGAAAAAGTTGCGCAGATATTCCTACTATGGATTGCAAAAGTATCGCACTCGTATAAATGCATAATTACAAATTTCCTCAGCATGAGAAATAGAATTTGTAATGCGGATTTCACTTGACAAAAAGATTTGCATGATTGCAATACGAGTGCGATGCTTTTGCACAGGATACCTACGGGAACTATATGGACGTGGTCGACATCGCTGCCACCTCCAATTGCGATTACGCGGAGGAGTGCAACCCGGTGAGCAGCATGCAGCGGATGCAGTCTTTGTACAGCTGGAACAAGACCGATTCCAGTTGGAACTGGGTTTCGCCGCCGTCCGACGAAGTCACTGCCGGAAATGACCTTCTTGGCACTCTCGCTCTTCCCACCACACCGCGGACCTCCTCTTCTTCGCAGAGAGCCGCAGCTCGCTCGACGTCTTGGCGCGGTGGCAGTAGTCGAAGTAGTTCTGGAGCAGGTCGTGGTGAGCAAGGCAATCCGGCCGACTTGAACTTGTTGGACGACTTATCCACACAAAAAAAACCATCCCCATCCATTTTTTGCATGAAAAAGAACACAGGACTACTTTATACGTGTTTTGCGTGACATATTGGATGGGGATGGGTGTTGTTTTTTCCTTGATACAACTGGACGTTACCGTACAACACACCTCGTCCACAGGAGCAGGGTACCCATGGTGGCGCGGCGAATGGCGGCGCTGCAGGTGGATTGACGAACCTACTTGCCGAAGCCAGGTCAGACTGGTATGGCGTTCTCAAATGTTACATTCTCAACTGTTACATAATTTGTCACGCAAACAAACTATCACTCTTAACACGATCAAGCCTTCTCCACAGTAAGGAAAAGATAATATAAGCGCCCGGGGATGAAGATATACTCGCGATACTTTTCGCGGTTCTGACCCTAGATCTCCTGCGACCGTAGCTGCTTGCGGCGACGGTGCAAAGGTTTTCGATATGGTGCAGTCGGGTATGCATGACAACTTCTCGACGCGCTAGATAGCATTATAATCTGCTCCAAACCTGTAAAGCAAAAGGCGCAAGAACGTTTTCCCTATTCACTTTTGCCATTCATTACAAATTTTATGTAACAGTAGTTGAGAATGTAACGTTTGGGAACGCCATAACTGGAACTTCCAGCGGGTTTTGATGCAAGAGCTGCGAAAGCTGATACAGCAAATGGAGGTGCTCGAGTCCGGAAACCGAGCAGACAAACGGGGCTCGGAGGAAACAAGTGCAAAGAACAAAAAGCGGGGGCTACACGACCCGCCCGCAGCGCACCAGCATCGACATCGACGCGAGGACCATCTTAGGGACATCGAACAGGGAACAGTAAACGCCGAGCAGAGCTTTCAAGGCGCGAGGCTGCGGGGCGCCTATTCAGGACCATTGCCTCGTGCTGGGACGACGAGTGACCATCAGGACAAGCAGGCTGCTGATAGTAATATTAACCGTGAGGGTCACCTACTACATCGTGATGACGATCAAAAATCTTCCGGTTATTTGTCGTCAACTACAACCACGGAAGTAGATCATAACAGTACAACTAATAGCACTAGTACTTCTGTCGAAGCGAAAAAGTTAGGGGAGGCGTTGGGGTTTTCCGGAGCAAAGCTTTTCTTTATCGACCGCTTCACGTGGAAACAGATATTGCAGAGCGAACGTTTCATTTTCGAAACCAGCACGTCCCGTGGCGTTGAATTTTCAGAAAGCGTGTTGTGGAACAAGTTTCACCGCAGAAACCTCTTCCACGAACGCTGGGAAGATGATGAGGCAAGTAGGTCGAGGACCGCCCGTCGTGGAGATGAGGACGAAGAGGAGGACGATGCGCTTCTTGCAGTGGGCGCCCGTGACCGCGCTGCTGCAGACGTCGAACTCCTGGGTCGCTCTTCTTCTTCCTATTTTTCTACGTCCTCGGCGGCCACGATTCAAAACTTGAAAGACATGGCCTCTGGCGCGGTAAAGGCTGCAGCGACAGCGACAACTGGGAAGATGGGAATGGCGTCCTTCTCCACGGAGCAGTCCACGTCAGCAGCAGCACCTCGTACTAGTAGTAGCCCACAGGCGGGAGGTAGAAGTTCTGATACCGGGCCCGGGCTCCAAAAAGCCATCGATGCCGAGTCCCGCGCAGACGTCGACGGGGAGAATACCGCCATGAACCTTATTCCCGGGCAAAATACGTTCTTCGAGTCGATGTTGGGCCACCTAGAGCGGAGGAAGGGCAACTCTCTGCTGGTGCCGTTTTTCGGTGCGTGGCGGGTCACGCCACAAATGGATGTGGAGGACGATGATGATGCAGCTCCGGGTTATTTCGGTGCGAGGGTCGAGCAGGTGGAACACGGCCCCGGAGGACGGTCCACCCCCGGGCACGCTTCGGGCGTGACTACCGAGGCCAGCTGCTACTACACCCTGATGCCAAACATTGCCTTCAAGCGCAAAAAGATCGAGCAGCAGGAGGCGACGCGTCGGAAAAAGCAACAGCGCGAAGAACTTCGGAAAGCGAAGGAGAATAAAGCCCGTCGAGGTACTAGTGGGGGGGCAGCTACAGCTACTAGTACATCAACAGCTACAGCTAATACGACAAAGAACACCAAGACCGCTTCATCACCTCTTGCAAGCGAGAACCCAGGAGGACAAGCTCCTGTGTTGATGTCACCGGCTTACAATCCAGCTGAGACTTGGTGGTGGAATAAACAGTGGGCGAGACGCAGAGAGCTGCAGACGGGGGACATCACTCCTGCAGAGGCTAATATCTGGCACGATGCAGGAGTGCAGCCAGTGGAGGACTACATCAAGAACTCTTCCTCGCGATTATACGAGAATCTGCTTAAAAACGCAACACGAGGCCAGTCAGATGTAGAAAGTACGGCGTTTGGTCGTGGAGGTGCGCCGGGCGGAGCAGACAGACAGATTACAACAGCGAGCAGTTCTTTGTCACCACGACCTGCAGGCATCAAGAAGAACAAGCCCAACATCAGGAAGCAGAAATCGAAGACGTCGATCCTCTTCTTCGATACCAAAGGATCGGCGGGCGACACCATCGACACCGGCCCCCGGCGCGCTTGTGCCGTGTTGGAGCTCGGGCGAAAAGAAAATATCCTCACCTCTGCCTTTTTTGGGAGGGTGTACCAGGCCAAGGCATACTCAAAAGGAGTAAACTACCAGTCTGTCGTCTCCACCCTGGCGACCCGGTTTCCCGGAATTAGGTACCGGGGGCTGAATACGAGTGATTTATTCGAATTCTTCCGCCTCGCGAAATCGGAGTGGCTCGGGCTGAATCAGACGAGTATCGGTGAGAGGTGCGCGGAGGAAATTGCGTTGGGGCATTTGCTATCAAATGCAAATATGTCTGGGTCTGTAAGGATGCAGCCTGTGATGCTACCTCTGGACTCTACATAAAATCTGTATTGCATGAACACCAAAAAGAAAAATAAAAGGTCCAGTTTTTTGCTACGCGGAGAGGGCACCATTTCTCATGTGGTATGAGCATCAGGAAGTCCTGCTCGCAGAGGCTGTGATGCTGCGGCATGCATCGCAGACATCATGGGTCGTGCAAAATCTGCATAACACCAGACCCAGACATATTTGCATTTGATATTTGCTGAGCCCCAATTGTACGGCCCAAACACGAGGACATCCGGACGTTCCCTACCACAAGCATTCGGACCGCCTCGTTTTACCTGCAACCTTCTTCCAGCCCGCTGCGAAAACTCAGAACAAGTACAAGGGAACAGCCAGCAGCACGAGCAAGAAGAACGTGCTCAACAACGTGAGGAAAAGCTCCAGGGACGTCGAGCCAGGGCGGACAAGAACTACAACAACGGCGAGGATGAGCACAAATTCTGTACCAACTTCTGCGCAGTCGTTTGCTGAAACAAGAGGTCACAGTAGTACTCGAAAAAGTAGTTTTGTGCCTGATTCAGCCGATGATCCTGAAGATTTCCTCGACGACCACCTCCTGGAGTTAGAATTTGAAACCGCCCTGACTGGTGAAAAAGGGCTTCTGGAAGTAATGTCAGATGCAAAAGTACAGGATGTTGTCCTCGCGGAAAACAAAATGAAAGTAAAGAATGTCGCGGAAAACAAGATGAAAAACAGCGACCGAGAGAAACAGCAGGCAGAAGCTTATAAATCGCTATACGATCAAACGAAAGCGTATCTGAGTTTTGCCCATTTGTATTCGGGTACAGGAGCAGACGGAAGTAGTGGTTTAAGTGTTTTGATGAACAATCTTTTTCGCCATTGGGCCCGGGCCGCGGTGTCGAATGAAAAGGGTCCGGGTCTTGTTGTTAATCTCCGCATATCAACTGCAAGTATCGATCTGGGTGGTCTGGAAGATGAATGCGAATGTTCGTCATGCTTGCTAGTGGTCTAAAATGCACGCAGAGCATAAACATGTTTGCGGCGGCTTTCGTATTTCTCGCCTGCGTTAGAATGCCCTGGTCGAGAGACAAGATGGATCACGTATCTTTTGCTGACTAGTATGCAAGACATATTCATATTTTCCAAAACCAAAAGCACCATAAGGACAAGAATAAGTAGAAATATCTTCGACAGATTTGCAGACTTCCAGACGACCAGGACATATTTGCATTTGATAACGCCTACCGGTTTACAATTCAATGGAGGACGCCCTAGCCGACGCCATCAGTGATTTTGCACAGCGGATTATCCTCTATAAAAGCGATCCCGCATAATTACTAGACCTCCTGTCACGCAAATCTGCATGCCTAAAATGCTTCCACTCATCAAGAATGATGATTGTGCGCAGTCCCATAGGGCGCATTTTGTTATTTTGATTTTCTCAATTTTTCCCTCTGGATATGATTTGAAATTTGTCATGATGTTCTGTATGATTGAGATGAAGATGGATGCACTCGCTAAACATCGGACTACAGAAGTGCGAGCCCCCGAGGCTCATCGTCATGCGCAACAGGAGCCAATAAAACAATTTACTGACTTGTGTAGCAGATTCGACCCCATGTTGTAGTTTGTTAGTGGTGTGGGCCTTGTTTTTTAACCGGATACGGATGTCTGTGTGGGGGCGCCGAGTCGAGAAAGAGCTGCTCGAAAACGATACTTATTTCGATCGGGACTCGGGAGCGCGCATCGAAGAATTTTCTGTACCTATCAGCGAGCATGCCCGCGACGTCCTCTCGAGTAGAACCTCAAGGGACCACAGTGGCAAGAACGTCAGCAGTGGGCACGAGCTTCGCACCACGACATCGACCGATAGAACAGCGGTGGTGGAGAAACTTCGACAATTGGGCGCCGACGACGAGGGGTCATTCTCATTTTGGCAAGATTTCGGGTTTGCGCAAATCAAGGAGCCTCCGGCTTCCAGGCGATTTTTTGTCGCTCGACCTCCGACAGGCACGGCTTATCAAGCTGGTGGAACTACCAGTAGTGCTGCAGCCTCTACTAGAGATAGAAATAGACGTGGTTCGACGTCTAGGAGGTCGAGGTCTAGCACTAGCACCTCCAGGCGGACGACGGAGGCTGAGGACATACTCTCGAGCGCTACATATTCACCCTCAGTACAACTAGGGCCAGAGGGCGAGGAATCTCCTGACGACCTGGCGGGCGATGGTGCCGGGGATCTTTCTGGCGACGCTGTGGAGAGCTTTCTGTGGCGGAGCCATCTGCAAACTGCTGGAACATCTGCTTTGCCGCTCACAGCCTTGCTGGCAGCCTTGCGCGGACACTTCCACTCTGCTATGGAGGATGGCACACAAGAGCAGGGTCGCGCACCTGATCTCCAGAGTGGTGTAGTTGGCCGAGACGGTGGTGGTGCTCCCGAGCAGGACAACAAGGGCGGCCCTTTCTTTTATCATGATGAAGAGCGAAATAAAAATGCCAAACAAAAAGAGCAGCAGGAGGAGTCCTACAACCGTGCTGGTCGTCGTGACCACCTAGACCTACGAGAAGTGGACTACACGAAGCGGTACCGTATCTCTATCTCAGTACACGAGCTCAACAACCAAACCGACGTCGACCAAGGGCCTCTACTCCCGGCCAGAGAATTCTTTCGCTTCGACGTAGTTCCTGTTGCTCCTGTGGTGAAGACCGATGCTGTATCGCGAGGAAAAATCGCCTCTCCTCATATTCAATCTCAAAGCGGAGACTTATTGTATTGCTGATTTGTGGCCACGACGCACCGCCTCTGTCTTGCAAGAGGGCAATGCCAGGGGTGTCCGTCGCATTGCGGGGTTGCCTCCTGATGTTGTCTCGGACCTTCGTGAGAGCCGTCTGCCATGCGAAGCAGCCATTCGCATGCGTCCCTTCTGCAGCAACTTCTCAGGATTTTTACAATCTGCCTGCGATTTATTTTCCCTACTTGTGCAGGACGAGTTACCAGATAATTTGTGTACACAAGAAATCCGGTTCCGGCACCACAGATTTCGTTTTGAATTTGGGGAGGGGAGATGTTTCGTTTTGATATGTCGAAACGGCTGCGGCCGGAGGGGACCAGGACGCGATTGAAGATCTTCGCGACGGCGAATTCTTCCTAGCCACAGACAAGCGCTCTCGCTTTTTGCGCAGGTTCCTGCGCGAAAATGGCCAGTGGTGGTACCTTCCGAAAGGTGGTCCGTTTGTCGCGGAATACATCAACCGCAATTGCGTCAACTTCCACCTGAATAGCTGGGACTCTAGCTACCTGACCGGCGATGAGCCCTTCGCGCAGAGAATGCGCACCGCGTACAGCTATGGAACTGTCAGGATCGAAATTAACAAAATCGAAAAATTTGTGATGCATAAAATGCATGACGCGAAACACGTGCGATGCAGAGCAGGCAAGTGAGGCCGATTGTAAGCCTGTTTGGGGTTATAGCTCGAGCTGCTAAAAAAGCAGCATGAGATTATCAGTCTTCTTTGCCTAAACAGCATTACAAACTGTATTCAGGCACCACCAGAATTTGTCATGCGCCGCTTAGAAACTGGGTTCGAGCTGGAATCTATTTTATGCATGACAAATCATTTCGATTTTGTCAATTTCGATTCTGACACTCCCATAACAGCGCAGCCCTGGAGAGAAGGACGACATCCTTGTTGAGCCTGAGCCCCCCAGGCGATATTAAAAGTGATGTAGTGGTCCACCAAGATGAAACGACTCTCAATCTTCAAAGTGCAGCCGGCGCGAGCACCACTTCACAACAGGTCGGTGGGACGAAAGAGCAGGCTTTCGACGTCGAGCAGCAGCTGCTGCTACCGGAGCAGGCTGCAAACCTGCACTACTTTGAAAAACTGGCCGAGTACGTGCAAGATCAGAACGGACCCCAGGAAGTGTTTCGCGATCTGGACTGGGAGGCCTTTGTTGCCTCGCACCTGCACCCGCACGCGTTTACACAACTGAACTTGATCAGCAGCTTGATGGCGTTTGTGGCCTCCTACACAGTCGAGGCCCCTGAGATAGAGATAAGGCCCGCTGCGGGAGGATCATGGTCCTCATCATCATCATCATCATCATCATCCTCCTCGGGCATATTATTTACAACTGCAAATACGTCTGCGATTGTGGATCTGAATGTGAATAGTTCACAACCTGCACCTCAAAAAGTAGCAGGTGTAGCAGAACCGAGGACCACCACACCGAGTTCGTCCGCCTCTGCAGGCGAAAAAATAGGTCCTTCATCTCCATCCAAAAACAATACTAGGAACAAGAACAGTAACGAACAGGAAGTTCTTACCGCGGCGGAGCAGGGAGCTCTTGGTGGAGACACAGCGAGCAGTCCGTCCTCATTCTCCCAAAGACCGACCCCTGCTGGCAAACCTGGGGGAAAAAATCCGAATTTAGAAGAGGAGCCTGCAATATTTGGGTTCGAAAATGAAAATAATACTGGCCCGATCATCTCCGAAGGTGAAAAGGGAAATAAGAACACGAACGCAATTTCGGGGCGCCGCGGCCCTGTGCTGGATGAAGTATCTCGCTTCAACATCACTGAAGAGGAAGACTGGTACCTCCGTGAACTGAAAGGCAAAATCAGGAACATATCCAACGAAAAAACTGTTTCACTGTGATGATTTTGCAAGAACCGCATCACAAGTTTGCTACACATGACACAGAAAATTTGCCATGCGCGTTTCCCAAAAGAAAACACGCTTGAAAGTCCAATGTCTTGCAGGTATAGCAAGAGAGACACTTTGGTGCTTCATTTTCTGCATCACAAGTTCACAGTGAAGCAGTTTTTTCTTGCGATAGAACACCACCAGAGAATATTGGAAGAAAGATATCCAAGACATCCTCCACAGCCAATTCCAGACACTTTCGGACAACATTATGGAGTATCCAGGAAAAAACACCCATGATCCCCATCCAATTTGTCATGCAAAACGTGCATAAATTCCTTTGTTTGTCATGCAAAAAATGGATGGGGATGGGTGTTTTTTTCTGGATATGGAGACGGTCCACTTTGCCCAGATACCTATCCCCGGAGGACTCTACACAGATAGTGAGGAAGACTATATCACAAGAAAAAGTGTAGTTAAAAACCAACGTTAAACGGTTTTATTCACAGACTCCAGTCATGCATCGCATCAAATGTAGCCCAATTGCATGCTAATATGCAAAACAAATTTTCTTGTTTTTGGCACGTTTGGTGATGCATTGCTGCGTCACAAATTCGGTTAACGTCATAAGTATAACACTTTTTCCTGCGATAGACTACGACAAATTGCGAGACTTTCTTGCCGCTGATCTCGACTTCCTGGAGGGCAGCCCTTTTCAACTGTCAGACTACAGCCTTGTGTTTTCCCTTGTATCAGAGGTGGAGGACGCACGTGCGTTGTTGCAAAATGTGTCTTCTGAGCGGCAAGGTGGAGGATTAAACTCTAATCAAAGCGAGGAGACGACGAGTACGCTCTTCGAGTCCCTTCCCCCCGCCGCTGCGTTTCTGCGAGAAAAATTCGAGCGCGAGTTTGAAGTGAACCTTTTCGCGGACGTATAAGAGTGAGCAAGTCCCCCTCCCCCACATTTGTAGGGCATGAACAGCAAAGCTATTACAAGCATTGACAGGAGTGCAGATTTTGCATGCCAAATTCACACAGGAAGATCGCAGTTGTAGCGTTGGGCGGGCTCCTGCCAGAATCTGTCATGCAAATAGAAATAGCGAGAAGAAGCAAAGCAAAGACGGCTGCTGGATTTGGCATTTTGCATGACAAATGAAGGGGACGCCCTTAGCCTTCCAACGTGACAAATGAGGGGGAGAGGAGTTCTTGTGCACTCTCATAAGAGGACTCGAGTCTTCTCAAGAAGCAAATTACCAGTGCACTGCAACAGCTGACAGAAACCACCGCACGTGCCCTCGCGATAGCAGATGAGGCTTTCCCTTCCTTGAATCGCAATCGACGCCTCAAAGCATTTGAGAGGGTCAGGCATGGCACCTCGCGCATCCGGGTCCGAGCCGACCCCAGCACCTGTGCGCGGAGAATACTAACGAAGCACAACCTGCTCGGCGGAGCGAGGGGCAAGGAGCAGGACCAGGAAGAGAAGACAAACTACACGAAGACGAACGCAAAATCTTCATCAAGTGCCTCGTCTTACCAGGGCAAAGCTGGTAACACAAAATCAGGAATGCGAAAGAAAACGCCGTACGATATTCCGGTGCACTTCTACTACCAAAATGGAAAGCTGGGTCGTCGTCGTGATGAAGAAGTAGAAGCTACAAAGGGCGGAAGCACTAGAAAGGCTGCGCCTCAACTAGCTGCAAGTGACGACGAGGAGGAGATGCAAACTTTTATATCCAGGAAAAAACACCCATCCCCATCCAATTTGTCATGCAAAACAAGCATAAAATCCACTATTTGTGATGCAAAAAATGGATGGGGATGGGTGTTTTTTCCTGGATGTTTTACCAAGGTGTGCCTAACACTGGAGTTGGGTCTTTTGGACTTTGGTCTGCGCTTCGAGAAGAGCTCCCTCTCCCGGATAGCATCGGTGAACCTGAAGCAACACGGCATTTTTGAGCGCACATTCAGCGCAGAAGTGTGGGACCGGTTTCGCAATTTTTGGTCCAGCGGTGGTGCTGATGTTGATCATGGGGAAAATACAAATAGAACATTCAAATCCGTTAGATGGCATGCTAGCAAGTATGAGACCAAACTCGCGGAGAATATGGACTCGATACGGAACGATTGGGATTGGCGTGGCGTGACACACGACGTGGCGTCACTCATGCGAAAAGGCTTCGCCCACACTGCGGAAAAGGGATGGAATGTTACCAAAAAAACCTTCCAAGGAATAAAAAACTTGTTTTCATCACCCGGACAATGGTGGTCCGTCTCGAGCTCAGGAGGATCTGCATCTGCCTCTAGTACTGCCGACCGAGACGAGGATATGGAAGCGTCAGGTTGGAAATAATTGACAAAGTTGAAAGGATTGGCGGCGAAGATGCATAAAACCGACGAGGCCCACTTGATCCATAACTTCTATAGAGGCATAATGCCGCTCTTAGAAATTATGGTTCCAGTAGCGGCATGAACGCCGCCAATGCTTCACTTCTGGTGATGATGCCATCATCAGAAGTGAAGTCTTGGAGGCGTTGCTTGTGTTGCACGATCAGAAGAGCAACAAGACTAGCATTCCAGGCAAGCCGAGCCATGTCAGGATGTCAGGCTCAGGTCTTTCCAGACGCGGGCAGTCCGTCTCTCACTCTGTCTAATAAAGCAAAAGCAAGTAGGGCTTTTGTCATGCTTTTCCGCACCCCCATTGCCCATGAGCCTGGGCAGGCTTACAATCTGCCTCGGTTGCCTCCAGTGCAACGCCGACACGACTTTGCGCACTGGTGCATGTTATGCATGATAAAAGGTTCACTTTCAACCTTGAGATTTTTCAACCTGTCGCTGCCATAGAGAAGGCCGAAGCTGAGGAGAGCGACGAGTCGTCAGGACCAGCAGGCTCGAAACAGCAGGGTCCTATGGGTCGGGAGGAGGAAGTTCAAGTTATGGTGGATTGCAAATATGTCCTTGTCCTCTGGGTCTGCTGGATTTACTGTGGTCATGCAAAACGAAAACTTCTTCAAGCATAAAAAGATCTGTGAAGATGCCTGACCCCGAGTCGTTTTCGCCTTTTTTGTGATGTTCGAAGCCTGTGTGTCGTGCAAAATTATACCTAGTACGGTTACGGTTACCGTAATAAGATCCGAAAAACTTCTTTTCACGGTGCTTTCGTGTGCTGCAAAGGGCCGCTTTATTGTCACGCAACATGCAGCATGGCAAATCTTCGCGCGCTTTCAACGAACTTTATTCAGACCCAGACATGAGTCCTTATTTCCATTTGATAGACGTAGAGCGGCAGCAGCAAACACTCTTCCACAATCGAACAAACGGGAAGGCACCAGCCCCAGCCGCGGCCGACCTGAAACAGAAGAGAAAAGGCGGCGATTTTTGGGCATCAGAAACCAACTCCTGGAACACGATATTTACCCCGATGGACTTGGCTTCGAGAGACATCGAAGATATTCGGCTCCGGCAAGAAATCGACGCGCACGTCACCGATTGGGGCGCTTTCAGTGAGTTTCTTCGGTTCCCCGCTTCGCAGCAGAAGCAAGTGGGTGCCGCGAACACGAAATTTTCCGATCCCGGGTCGGTCGGTGTAGGAGATCTGTTGCACAGTAAGGGTGTTGATTATACTTTCGTGTCCAACTATCCCACGAAAAAACTGTTTCACTGTGAACTTGCGATGCATGGAATGGAACACAAAAATATTTGTCTTGCTACACATGCAAGACATTGGATTTTTAGGGCTGTTTTCCCTTGGGAATCAATTGCGCATGGCAAATTTTTTGTGCCATGTGTAGCAAACTTGTGATGCAAATCTTGCAAAATCATCACAGTGAAGCAGTTTTTTCGTGCGATACCAACACGGGAAAGTGGTCTTGGGACGGTTTCCCGTCGCGAAACTACGCGCTCACCGATCGCCTCTATCCAGACGCGCAGCCGCCCCTCGTCTACGCGAATCGAATGCGCACCTGGCTTCTTGACTTCGATTCTGTATTGAAACTAGACCCATGGCGTGACGCGCTGAACAACGCGACTTCTACGCGATAACATTTTATTTTCAGACTGCACCACGGATAAACGTACCTAATACATAGTAATACATCAACGACCAGCACTAGTATGCTAGGAAACTACTAACAAACTGATCAATACTACTTAAGTAGATACCTCTCTAGTTGTTCTGACTTGAGATTCATCAAGAGAAAGTATGGCACAAACAAATTATGTAAGTCTAACGGTAACGATATAATTCTAGAAAAAAAGCTAAGCGGGCGGCGCTTAAAGTAAGTGTTTTTTGAGGAATTGTGTATGAAGGAGCAGGCAAAGTCCCCGTCCCCGATCATGCTCTATGGAATTTGAGAATTTTTGAAAAGAGATAGACGAATGGACTCGTCGTTAATGTCAACGCATAAGCAGCTTTATTGATTTCTTTCAAGTTCTTGCCAACCACCCACTCTACTCAGGAACTCAAATAGCACGCATAACAGTCACCCGCTCGCGTTTGAAGCGAGGAGCACACGATTGTTTTTTTCAAAATTACTTGTTTTTTTTTTCATTGTAGCAAGTTTTTTTTTCAACAGAAGCAAGTACAGCAACCGTTTCGTATAAGTTGGTTCAAGCTGTATGTAGTGCACCAGTCTCGGAAAACGAGCGAAGAAGCGACGCAAAAACCCTGGTAAAATGACGCAGACAGCGAAGCAATGTGAGTTAAGAATGGCGTTTGGGTTTGCCCTTGTCACTATTTCATCACCGCCTTTTTTTGGTTACTGGCGGCGCAGCACTCGCGGTGCAATTTCAACGTCTGGGGGGTCCTCGTTGTGCTACGGTGGGTAAGTAAGCAGGCACTTGGTTGACGGATCCATTTGTTTCTTTGATGGTCAATGGAATCGCGTCTCGACAGCTCAGTCGGTTTATTTGCTCGTAGCCTGTAGTACATCTACCTCCTTGCAGCTTGTACCCTTGAAGAAATCATGTTTTGAATCCAGTGCCGGGTCATCTGGGAACGCTACGACTCACACTCAATATGATCGGTTGACGTCATCATGCTCATCCATGCTCCTCATGTTTGTATTGTCATCGGTCGAAGTACTAGGTAATCGGTGTAGATCAGTATTGATTTCTCCTACTTTGATGGTGACGTTGTATGATGGGGCTTATTTGATGAAGTTTAAGTCGCTGGCTCATCTCTTCGGTTTGCTTCCCCGTCAGGGCAACGTCGGTCGCTAGCCGACATTTTACGATACTAGCAGTATCAAGTTGGTCTTTGCTCCTGTGCAAAGAGATGCAAGATTTTATCAAATCGCTCACTAACAAGTAGACAAGAGGCCTCATCTTACTGAAGATGTACCACAGGACTACAATAACCAGAACTACATAAAAGTTAACAGCTCTTAATTATGCCACTTCGTGATTGTCTTGATATTAGACAGCCCAGCCTTATTCATATTCTTTCAGAAGATTACCTAGCCTAGCCCTAGCCTAGGCAAATTCTAGAGATAGAGTCGTCAGTAAGCTGTAAGCAGCGAGGACCACCCACGTTGGCTATCATGGCGACCCCACGCACCTCATCGATCGACTCGAGCCATCTGACGTCTCTGACAGTGCTCCCGACGGATGTCTTTCTCTTGCAGTCGCTCATCTTGTGCATCGGGGTAGGAAAACGCAAAACGTTATCACAGCTTTTCGACAAGTTCTTGTAGTTTACAACTTTCCGACCGCTCTCATCTTGGGCATGATGAACGAATAGAAATAAATGCGGTCTGAGATGAAAAGTATGATCTTATTCAGGTAGCTTCGTCATCCAGGAGCAACATAATGTACTCCGCGCATGTGCAGGAACAGGATGTCGAGCTGAATAAATGCAAAAAGTTCAATTTTTACGAAGTAATAGTAATCCAATCCTGTAGTAGTTCTCGCACCACGGAGAGCTGCAGCTGCAATAAAATCTTTCGAAAAAATAAGATACCGTTTTCTGTTTTGATACGACCGGCCCGGGGACTACCGAACCCGAAGGAGACGAAGTATGAACCTGCTGAATAATGCAAATGCCACAGGAAGACCACGTGAAGAGTTGCAGCGTCTTCATCATGATCCCGGAGGAGCACCAGCAGCAGGGGTAGACCGGCTACAAGAAAGCGATGGCATACCAGATCGAAACCCAGCAAGAAGGTCCTCTTCCAGTATGGTTCAACTAGACCTCGCGACAGCAAGTACAACACTCACCCAGAAGCTTCTGCTCCTCATCGTGCGCTTCCGGAACCTGTTCGCGTTCTCGTCCGGTATGTGCATCGCCTTAGCGATACAGATGTACTTTTACTACTGTCTGCGAAAGACGGGACCGCCGTTTGGTTTGGTTTATTACGAGACCGTTTCGCAGTGCTGGGCCCCGGGCGGGGCCTGGTCATGGGTTTCTGGCGGGGAACCAGGGAACGGATGGTATTGACGAAAGGTGGTCTAGCTGCGAGCAGATTGTGAGTGATCGCGTTGTGAACAGCGAGTAGCGCAGAATGTGTTGGTCTACTTGTGTGATAGTTTACGCTCCTGTCCATCCGGTAGAATAGCGAAGTAAAGCTACTGAAGTGGGCTGTTTCTTTACAGCTGCAAATAATTATTCACTCGCAAGGGACCCACGTACTACTCTGCTTAGTCAACACCAGAAATAGGAGGTTGGATTTGGGAGGCTTTCGTAAACATGGATACTAGTTAGTACAACGAAGAAACGGCAGGTTCCTTCATGCACCAAGTTGGACAACATCAACAGATTTTTAACACAACAAAGTAAAACGCTGCCTCTGCAGGTGGACAACTATGAGCACGACAATCTGCTCGCTCCTCTGAGTTTTTGAACAGAATTTTCTTTTGGCGCATCGCCTTTGGTGGCACATTTGGACTTTTTGAAACAAGACAAAATCTACTTGACATAGAGCTTCAGATGAAGAGCAGCATAGGCCCGTTTCGTTCCACGATCGGACACAGCCGAAAGTTGAGCATTGTTCGTTCCATGCGTCGTGTTTTCGTATTCTTAGGCTCAGATGAATAATGACCGCACTGGTTGCTTCTTGTCGTACTAGTTTTGGGATTTGTAATTGTACTCCTTCTCAGTCAAGACGAAGACGAACATATTTCACGACCAGACAGCTCGTTGCATCTGGTACGATCCATGTGGATTGCGATAGGGCCGCTTTCGACACGGATGCCGGTGGAAGCAGACTAAAGAAAACTGAAAGTAAGTTCTCCTAAGTCTAAATGGAGAAAATAATGACGGAGGTCGATGAAGAGTCTCTTTCTTCTACCTTCCCGGATTCGTCCTCTTCCCTTGGCTACGGTGATGTGAGTTATGGACCGCGGTCCTCCGAAGATGTTGCGCACGACTTGTTACGGACGGTTCTGATATTCGGCCTCACCGTCGGCAGCGCGCTGCTCCAGCAACCCTTCCTCTTCAAGCGAGCTTTTCGGGAGCTCTCGCTTTTCTACACACAGCATGTTGGTCCCGTAGCTGTGCCAACAGGACGAGGAGCATTAAAGGACGTCGCGTCATCTACTGTGGCGCATGATGAAGATCATCTTCCGGATGCTGCAAAAGGGAGGAATTCTTTTTGTGAACGAGCTGCAGGTCGTGGATCAAGAACCACTACGAACTTTCTCCTCTTACTCGGCATCGGCTGCGAGTTGGCCGTGATAACTCTGTTACCCTTGAGCTTGGCTTCGGCGCTGCTTGTGACGGTGCAGTTTGTGGTGCTACTGAAGTTGCAAGCCGTGACGGCGGGGGCTGTCGTGGATGAAAAAAATCCTCCGATGAAGCTTTTGCGCGCAAGTAGGTGTCACCAGCTCTGCACCAACGCGGCGGCGGTGATAGTGTGCTTTGTCGTGTTGGATTTTTGCCTACTGTCTGGGAATGGAACCAGTCGCAGCTTTGCAGGAGTTGCGAGAAATAGTGGTAGACTAACAACAGGAGCCAGAGTCTTCACTACGACAAATAGAATCACTTGTTTGCTGTTCGCCATTGGGAGCTTGGTGCTGGGAAAATACTGCTGCAAAGTTGTTGCCGAAGAGGAGGAGGCGGCGAGGGTGGGAGGTTCTACTTTTCTTGCAACAGTACAACTACACAGTAGCGCCACGCATTCGGCCGATGACCAGGCGCTGCTCGGCAAGATTCGCGTTTTGCTTCTCCCCTTTTTCTTTACAGTGCCGATTCTGATTGGTTTGAAATGCGTCCCGGCACTGCTGTTCCATTTCGACAGCCAGAACTACAGTGGGCACCATCACTTAGGGAGGAAAACCGGGCGCGACGACGTGGATCCGAAAATTTTTTTTGCAAGGGCGCGCAAGCGGTTGTTTTCGGACGGTCATAGCTCTTTCCTTTTTTTCCCCTTGACTCATCGTCTTCACGTCCAACCTTCGCCGTCATCGTCCTGTGATGTTGGTGGTCCTTCTATGAAAGTGCAAGCAGACACGTTCTGCCCATCACTGTCCATCATGCCTTGCCCCTCTTGGCAAGAGTGGAACTCCCTCTGGTTGTCCCTCACCATCCGTCGGAAGCGGGTGTTCGGAAGCGGGCCCGGCCGGAAGATTTGGGGGGACTTGTGTTCGGGCGGGACGGCCCGGTCCGGGCCGGGGCCAGATCCGGGCCAAATTTTCACGCCGTCCCCCGCCTACATTCCAACAAAATCCCTGTCAAATCTGGCCCAAATCCGGGACGGCCGGAAATTCCCGGAAATTCCCCCGGTTTGGCCCAGGATTTGCCCCCTTCCGGGGGGCCAATCGGCGCGAAATCCCCGGCAAATCCGGTTCAAATTTTCACGCCGTCCGCCGCTTACATTCCAACACAATCCCTTTCAAATCTGGCCGATTTCTGGCGAATATCCCGGGAAAATATCTGGCCCCCAGAAATGTCCCGGATTTGTCCCGGATCCGGGAAAATCCGGGATGGGCCCCAAACGTTCGGACGGGGGCTCGGGCCCGGGCGCCCGGGGCCGGCAGCACCCCTGTGGGGGCGGGGCGCGCGCGGGGCGGCGCGCTTGACCAGCAGCCGGCGGCGCAAACGGCGGGATGGGGTCCGCGGCCGAGGCGGCCACCACTGTGAGGCAGCTCAGCCAGGTGGCGCAAGTGCTTCCGCTACTTGTGGGCGCGAGTTGTTAGTCGTGTTGTGGGTGTTGCCTGCAGGGGCCCCCGGCCATCGCAACAATGCAGGGCAATGGGTACGCCTTTGAGCGGGAATTCGCACAGTTGTTGCGCTTTCTGAATGCAAAGAGTTGACATGAGCAGCCCGGGGGCTGATACCGACCAAAAGCAACCACTCCCGTGCTCTTGCAAAAAAAATTTTCGGATCCACGTCGTCGCGCCCGGTTTTCCTCCCTAAATCACGACCAGCACCAGCAGTCTCACGACGTTTATTCTTTCTTCTCCATCTCCCTCTTCGCCCTCCTTTACTTCGTCGCCCGCCAAGAGCAGCAGGGCTGCCTCTCCAACGCACTTGCTCGCTGCGGCGGACCGTTGGTGACTCTGCATTATGGCATCGGGACGGTTTTGGTTTCGTTAGTTCTCGGCCGCTTGCTGTTTCTGGACTCCCTGTTTTATACCGCGCCTGTGGACAATCTGAGTCCACGAAGACCACCCCACGAAGGCATTTTAATTCTGAAGCACGTGGTGCCCATCCTTCTCGCGGTTTTTTTCTGTCTCATCCCGGTGGCAATCAGTAACGCGGAGACGTCCGTGGGCGGCACGAGCAGTAGCATAACAACTACCTCTGGTGCAGAACAAGTGAATACGAACGGCGACATGGAAAGCGAGGTGCTGGGGAATAGCTACGCGTCGAAAAGAAAAGTAGAAGCAGAAGGTGAGCTAGTAGGTGCTGGGAACATCAGCGGAGAGGATTATATCGACGAAGACGATATTTTGGAGTCGGCAGGAACCGCGGTCATTGGCGACGAGCAGGGGCAGGACGCAAGCAGAACGCAGCACATAGAGCAGAAATACAAAGGCGACGAGGTCCTCGCGCCGGTACAACAGATCAATGATGAGTTTGATCTTTTGGGTATTGAGGTACCGAGAAACGTGGATCTGTTACAGGATCTTGACGAAAATATTAACGCCGACCAAGCTCGTGGTCCTGTCGTAAAGGCAATGTAGTGACGTGGAGCTATGAATAACTCGATGAAGCGAAGTGCTATTCCTTTTCCTGAAGAATTAACTAGAAGATCAGAACCACGGTGACGGATGAAATTAGAAAAGTAGAGCCTTCCTCTACGAATAGGCTACCGGGCCGTTATTAGATAGAATCCGCCCTGCTCCTGACCGTCGCGTGTCAGAAGGCCCTGTTGTAGTTGTTATACGAACAACTCCTACGCGTAGGCGTACGCCGCCGATCAGACGAGCGCGAGCGCGTTATTTCTCCTGGTCGGCATCGTCCGCATGTTGACCCGCGCAAGAAGAACCAGTCCTTTGAGCAGTCGTGCTGCCCCTGCGCCGGACGAAGAAGTGAAAGTGTATTTTCTGGGAGATGTTGGAGAGACCAGCACCAGTGGGATTGGTCACAGACAGGTTGCTGGTGGATCCTGCGAGCAGACGAGCGCAGGCTATGAACGGGAAGCAAATAAAAAATTGAGAGTTGTGATTTCGATTTCCGCTTGATGAATGAGAGTAAAGCAAAAAAGTCAAGGAGGAGGACTGGCTAGAAACAGAAAGCCTATTAACTTTCGTCATCAAGTGTGACCCTACTGACTCGGATTCGGAGAGTACTAGAAAAGCGACACTCTTAACACAAGATGGAGGCCGCCAAAGCCCGCACGGCGGCGGCCTTCGGTGCGGCCCGGGGCTTCCAGAAGATGTTTTTTTCTGCTTCGTTGCCGACCTTTTTCTTCTGGTCGTTTGTTTTCTACATCTTTGCGGGCACCTGGTGCATGATCAGCATGCCGGCGCTGAAGGCGTACCTGTGCGGCATACCGGCCGAGGACACCAAATTGCACCGCACCTACATGCCGGACGCCATGAAGCCTGGGCTGGGGTGTCCCAACTGCACGGACTTGATATTGACCTGTGGGAAGTCGGACTGCGTGCAGGCGGCGTTCCAGCGGAGTTACGTGTACGAAGTCGTCGTAAACTTAGTTCGCCATCAACATCGTGCGTCCTACAATTTTGCTGCTGAAGATACATTCTGTGACTTATTTCAGTCTGCCTGTCCTCTTCTAGTCCTAGAAGTACAAGTTGTATGAAGAGCGCTCCGTTCTTGTAGCCAGAAAAGCAATCATCTAAAATCAACCGGAAATAACCGAGATTCACCAACACTGTACCATCTCAGCCTCTACGGAAGCGCCGCGCCCTTGAACACCAGTCATATTCTCGGCGACTCCATGATCAAAGACACGTTGCAAGAAACCGTGCTCGACGCTATCCAGGATACCGAGTGCAACACCGCGGTGACGTCTGGAACGACTGTCCACGGCATCACCTTGGACGCCATCGCGAAGCGCGCAGCGGCGGCCGCTGCCAACAACGCGGACGGGCTGACGGCCAAGTGCGTGAAAGTCATGTGCCAGAATTTGTACTCGTTGTTCGTCACGAACAATTATGCAATGCAAAAGTATCTTACTAGTATAGATTGCATTACAAATTCCCCAGCATTACAAATTGAATATGTAATGCTGATTTACCTTGAGAAAGAGATTTGTAATGCATAAAATGCAATTACTACGAGTACGATACTTTTGCACAGGATAAAAATGCCTCTGGCACGCCGGAACCGACCACCACCGCGATCTCAGAGTGTACGGCGGAAGCGGTGTGGAGTCTCGCGAGCGCGAAGACCATGCTGGACGCCTGCGACCAGTTTTCAGACTACAAGGCGGTTCTGTCGGGGCACGCGTACGAGCGCATCATCGCCACGAAAAACACCTGCATGCAGCCGGCCATTGACAACGCCAAAACGGCGTTCGCGGCCGAGTACGCGGCGATTATCGACATTAGTGGGGCGGCGGGGAGCACCGCGGTTACGGATCGGAACACCTGTTTCGGTCTGCTCAGTGCGGCGAACGACTTGGTGACTTTAGTCAAGAATATCAAGGAGGCGAGGATTTCGGTACAGTGTGAGAAGAAGTTGCGCATTTTCAATGATTATGATTTTTTTTTCGTCTTTCTCTTAAACTTGAACTTCTACGACTTCTGCGGTATAATCACGCCTGATGAAGCGATGTCCTATTATAATTTTGATTTCCAGAATGAACAAGTAGACAATGACAATTCCAGCCCGCCGGCAATTTCGACAACGGCAATGTCTGCGGGCGTTTTTTCTGCAACGCCTTGTACAATGCCGGCACGTTTCCGAATCAAGCCACGCCCCCTGCGACCGTCGTCACAGCCTGCACCTACACCGGTGCTTCCTCCGCGGGGTTCGCGATCAAAGATATTTTGGCCACTTTAATTCAGGGCCCGGGCACCGGGGATACCTACGACGCGATGGACATCCCGACGTATTGCAACGAAGCCAGCGGCGGCGTAATTGGTATTTCGGACTTCCGAAGTCTGCTGACGGAATTTCAGGCGCAGTACACAGCGAATTTGGGAAATCCAAGAAGGGAGTTAATTGGGGCATCAACTACTACGGGAGCAGGAGGTGGCGGAAGTGCAAAAGTAGATGAAGCAGACGAAAGTGTTGGAGGGAGATTATTTGCGGACGAAGTAGGTCAACAAGGTCATCATGCTGATGCAACAAGCAAAGCTTCAACATCATCTTCGTCTACCACCAGCGAAAGCGAGAGCGGGGGCCCCGCCGCCGCGGCCCTAGGTGGCAAGTCTAACCACGCAGCAGCTGCTGAAACTGAGAAATTCGTTCAAGAACTGATCCAAGACCATAAGCTGAACAGCGTAATCCTGCTGCACGAAGAGGATGTGAATACGAAGAAAAGTGAGTCGGATAGTAAAAACAGTAAGTCAATAACATCCTGCGGCAGGGCACCAGCATCTTCGCTAAAAAATATTGACAAGAAGACAAGCCAGCATCCTTCACTTCCGTACAAGGAGAAAATCGTGCTGGTGGAAGATCTTTTCATCCCCGAAAGTTTCAGGGAAGAAGAAAAACGATCCATCAAGCACAAGCTGGAACAATATGCGTCGGAGAACCAGGCGGAGAGAATAAGACGGAAAAGAGCTGCGGATTTGGCAGCGGCGGTTGATGCTGAGAAAGACGGTCGCACAACAGCTACACAAGAGTTTGGCGCGGCCGGTAGTACCGATAGCGGCACCACGACATCACCTTCCTCGCAGGCACACCTTCGATTCTCTGTTTCCTCGCTTGTTCCAGAGCTTCTTAGCACTTTTTTCGCACGGGTTTTGCCGATACCTGTAGTAGAACTACTGGGCAGCACAAGCAGAAGTGTTTCACCTGAGGACGACGGAGCTGTAGAGAATGCGTCTACGACGTCCTCTGAAGATCTCTTTGTCCAGACTGTCATCAAGACAATACCAAACCTGTACGCTTGGATGTACTTGCAACACGACCCGATATTCGGGGACTATAATAGAGGGGCACCAACATCTTCGTCCACCGCAAATAATCTTCCCTCATCCGCAGTTTCTACATCACGACCCATAAACGTACATCCTCTTCAAATTAGCACGCCGCCCTTTGTGCTGGAGTTAGAAGCTTCGATCTCTTCAGATCCAGGTCGTTCCACCGTCGACGTCCAAGATAGCCCACATGATCTAGTCGACTCACCCGCCGCGCCACTAGCCACAAGCTACAGCTCTCGTTTTGGGGCCATCGGCGACTTGAACTCCGACGAGGATTTGCGCACTAGTGAGACAAAAGACGCGACCATTCCGAGTCAGCGCGAAGTTCTTGCGATGCATCGAGTAGAGAAGACATCCGCGGCAAAGGACACGGATTCAACGCGACAACCGCCTGGCGGGCGACCACATCAACGAAAAGACCTTTCAAGGAGAAATGAGTACCCTACTGCTTCCCCCGCAGAAGGTCATAGACCAACGAACCAAGAGGAGCCTCCTGATGCGCTTACAACTCCGCCGCCTCCGCCTCCAATAATAGTCGACGCAGGATACGATGCAGCAGAGCAGGAGCAGCTATACTACGAGAGAAGAAACAAAAGGAATCGCAACAGAAATCGGCAACTCCAGTCAAATGACGACCTGGACGACTATGAAGAGGGCGACTGGTCGTTGTGCAATTGCTACACCATGTGCATGCCCGGCTTGCAGACGCGAAAGGTCGACTGCTACGCCAGCGCCTGCGCAGAACCAAAGCCGGCAACCAAGCAGGCCTGCGAGTGCACGCACTGCGCGGATTGTCAAGTTCTGCTCAACCTGCTCATCATCGCAATCTTCTACTTCATCCAGGTATGTTACTAGATGTTGATGTAGTACATAAGACATCGACCTTGTCTTTGAAGATTTTCTTTCTCGCTCGAACTAAAGCTTGCTTGCGTGCAGCTACATCGAAAAAATCGCATTCGCATTGCCTTTACGAGCTGGTGCGGTTTTAGTTGCTGAGTACAGAAACTGAAACAGAAACTCTCATCTTCATTCAATTTCTACAACTATCAGGGCGGCATCGCGTTTGTCGTGTGGCTCGGATTTCTCTACTGGTCCAGCAAAACGCAGGATGACCTCGTCGGCCTCAACATTTGCCAGAAATGCCTGGCGATCATGTGCAAGAAGCTTCCGACCTTCGTCCGGATCTTGACCTTTATCCAGGAAAAAACACCCATCCCCATGCATTTTTTGCATGACAAACAAAGGAGTTTATGCATGTTTTGCATGACAAATTGGATGGGGATGGGTGTTTTTTCCTGGATAACCCTGATCATGTTCTTCCAGCTGTGCTTCCTTGCCACCCAAGCCTTCGCGCCGTACGACATGCTCGCGTGGCAGATGGATTGCAAGTTTCCGGATATGTGGGTCACGGCGGGCGTGATCTCGATTGTTTGGATTTTCCAATTGATGCTGGGCATGATGGCGAAATTGATGATCGTATTGCCGCCTTATCTGTTCACCCCAATAAGCAGGAACACTGGATTTCTGGTCAAATTGCTGAGAAGTTTAGGACCGTAAAAATATTCGTGCTGTTACTTTTTTTTTCCCGCTCGCGATTTATCACCAGCTGAGGGTTGATGAGATTGAGTTTGAGCGTTTTGGTTCTGCTGAGTTGAAGCATTGTTTTGAAGAATGTTTGTAGCTAGAGCTTCGCTTTTTATTTCCTAATCGAGGTCGCCAACCTCGATTACGATTTGGCTGGCTTTTTAGGAGGAACTTTCCCCCGAACCCGCTGAACAGGACCCCGCAGAGTTACTTGAGTAGTGTCGTTAACGAACAATAGAGAGCCTGCTCCTACGCTTAGAAAGCTGACACGATATGAAAACTTCCTGCATATTGCTGGACGACCATCTCCGACTTGCTTCTTCAAGGTGAGAGCCTCGCTGTAGCCGTATTGAAGACAAATGTAGTCCCGAGAAATAAGAATGAATACAACAATGCAACGGATTCAGTACTTCTCATGATGAGCCAGGGATACTTGTTTGGTACCCTTCGCGCAACACAATTTTCGAGCTCGAAAAAATGTTGTGCTAGAGAGTTTGTCGCCGCCCTAGCGTGCAGCTGACATAGTATCATGCAACTGAGCGTGGCGAACAATTATGCAGACCACGCATCGGTTTATGTAGCTGCTCTCGCGGCACGGACAACGAGCGAAAGCGAGCTACTAATTCTGGTGATAACAAATTCGATCTCTGGAGCTGCATCTCGTCGTACAGCAAATCGACATCATCAAAGAACATTCGAGTCGCCAGCACGAAAAGACCTACTTACTTTGATACTTCATGATGATTCTGTGACCGTTTATCGCCGCTTAATTTTTGGCGGAGTTTTTATCGCAAAGAAAAACTTCGGCGCTGATGCAAGACATTCAGGACGCTTGTCGCGGAGAGAAGTGGTAGCATATTACTTTTGAGCAGAAAAATACATTACATCTATGCAGCATTTTCACTGTTTGTCTTTGCCCAATAACATGTTCGTGTTGCTTCTTTACTCATATAGGAGTAGAGCGAAGATCGCATCGAGCCAAGGACTCGCAGCTGCTCTTTGTGAATGTTATTCACTGAACAAGACGAGGCACCCGGACAATACTAGAGGATGGGTAGATTGACGCAAGGTGGACTTGTTCAAACATTAATAAGTACATTGGTAACGACTTTGAGTTTATAGTCTTCATTCCAAAAATTTCATCCAACGAGAATAAACTCTAAAATGCACAACTCCCCGGCCGGCACCACCCATGGCGGCGGGTCGCAGCCATCCAGGATGGGAGGCGGTAACAATCACCCCAACCGTCGTGGAGGTGCCAATAACAAGAAGCAAAACACGCCATCGCCCATTTCCGCCGCGAACAACAAAACTGCTGCATCGAACTCCTCTCCAGCAAGTAATAGCCTCTCGGATCGCATGCGGAGGCGCGTTCAAACGGACTTGTCCTTCGGAGGTTCCGGCTCCGAAGCGGAGAGCGGCTTTGGGAGCGGTACGAGTTACGGCTACTTCGGCGGTATCTTCCGTCTCCCCGTATCAAACGTAAAAATGTCTGGGTCTGGAAGAGGCATGCTGTTTCTGCATGACACGGAAGGTCTGGCATGGAAGCTCTAGCATCACAGGTATCGAGAAGCTTCCGCAATGCCGAACCCGCATGACAAATCCCCCATTTTTGTGACAGAAAGTGGGCAGCCTTTGCCACCTATGCATGAGAGATTTTTCTGTGTTCTGAAATGCGCATCACAGGTTACATCCTTCCAGACCCAGACATTTTTGCATTTAATACCCCGGCGCCGCGTACGATTGGATAAAGGGGGCGACGACCAAGAGAAGTAGAAGCTCTTTGTCAAGAAGTTACAGCATCAGCCCCATGCCGACGCCGAGTTCCAGCAAGGGCCGTGATCACGATGGGACTGCCGCGGCTTTTGCATCACGCAGCACCACGACCGGCAGTATAATTCCCGGCAGTGGTCAGCACCAATACGGTGGTAGTTCCACCGCCGCTCAGCACCAGGCCGTGTTTCCGGGGTTCAACCAGTTTTCTTTCAAAGTTCGGGAGTTGCGGCGGAAATTCTCCGACGCGATGCTGGACTTCCGGGAGGACTTGGACCGGATAGACACGAAAGGGAGCAGTTTGTCCACCAGCACGGACAACTCGGGGGTTGAGGGCGGCTTGTCGAGATCCGGGTCTTTGATCCCCCCCGGCCGGCTACCCGACGTGCACAATGAACAGTCGAGTGCGTCGTCGTCCTCTGATAGGGATCAACTAGACGAGTCGTCGTCCTCTCGAATGGAGGATATGGTCGACCAAAACAAGCTCTTCTTCGACAAAAAGCATCATGGAGGTGGAGGCAGACTCGGCGGTGGTTTTTCAGCAGGAGGCACGCATGACAGCAGTGACAGTGACACGGAATCCACGGCTACTTCTACATCTGTTTCCATCGCGAGGGAACGGAGTGACTCGCACTCCCCGACACGGACTAGAGCAGGGCTGCTCTCCAGCGCAGGCTCCCGGTCGAACTCCGCAGCGAGAGGAAGGAGTTCGCGAGGTGCTGGGCATTTGGACGAAGAGAAAGGGTTCAGTCCTAGAGGAACTACAAATATTAACTCAAGAAGCCGGAATGACGACCGCAGCATCTCCAGCAGGAAAAACGAGAAAAGCAAGAAGTCCAAGCTGAAGCAGTCCTCGCTTCTGCCCGGCGGCGCCGCAGCTAGTGCAAACAATGACGTCGATTACTGCAGCAAGTACGGAACTGTTCCGAAGAACAAAACGACCTGTCTCCGGATTTTCCTCCTCCAGTTCGCTCTATCAACTCGCAAATGCGGCAGGTTTGTGAACGATTTGTCGTGCGGGTACTTGGGTTTGTTGCTTTGTGGGAAACCAAGAAAAGGCAAAAGCAGTATCGGTCCGAACGGGATGTTCCGATCGAATGGGAAGTGGTCCGTCGCAACGTCCAACCCGTCGCCAACGGGTGGTGGACCCCCGAACGGGCTGCTTTTTGGGAATAGTAGTGTAACTTCGCCTCAGAAGATGAAGCTCCGCACCTGGTTCGCGCTGATGGGAATCGGGATTGCGTTGAGCGCCTTGCTGTACATTTTAGTGTACAGCTCCGAGGACTTGAAGAGCCTCCTCTCCTCAGTGTTTGGCGCGGATTTTCTGCCAAATTTCAGCTCCGGTGCAGCTGGGTCGTTTTTGTCAATGCCGACGTTTTCGCTCTTCAACAAGCAGACCACTCCCGATGACGAAGGGAGTACTAGTTCCGACGCGAAGCACGAAAAGAAATTGGCAGAAATTCCGGAGATCGAGGTATTGGTGGAGCTGGAAGATACCCCGCCTTCTGCTGCAGGCGAACCCCATGCAAAGAAACCGCATCCGTTTTTCGAAACAACAAATACCGGCGCTCCTGCAGCTCTAGAGAACAAAGTAGCCGGCGAGGCGGAGCGGCACGTGCCGCGGAACAAACTTCCCGAAGAGGACTCTGGAGGTGCTGCAGGAGGAGCTTTGTCATCCGCGTCTAGTAACGAGTTACCTTTGGAAGCCGAGCGAGAAGGCAGTACTAGTGAAACTACTAACTCCGGCGGGCTTCGAACCTCCACCGCGCCCGTCGCCGGCGACACTGCGGTGAATATGGAAGGCGGTTCGGCGATGAGTATCGGCTCCAGTAGGTTGCTGGGGAGGGACAGCTCGTCCTCGTCTGGCAATAACGCTGCGAACGCAGCCAATAGCAATAATTTGCGATCTGCTGCCGGTACCACGACACCTCCAACGGAAGACAGTGATGCGACTATTCCCGATCCGCTCACAGATCCTCTCGCGGACGACCCCGACAAACCTTTACCCGTGGTTGCCAGTGCAGAAGACGATAACACTTTAGTCTCCTCCACAGTGCCACCAAGTCCTGGTATGGCTGGCGCAACCGGAGGTGCGCAAGACATCATTAACAGTATAGGGAACAACAATAAAGATCACCAGCAGCACTCGTCTGGTGATCACCAGCTGTTGTCTCGCGCTTCCAGGATTCACAGAAATAAGGAGCAGCCCGATGATGGAGTTGAATCCTCCGAGGTGCCTCACCAAGACTCACCGCAGAGCGAACACGCCGACGTACTGGACGAAGAAGAAACTGCGCATCACGGAGGGCGACGTAGAGCTTCTGGAATCACGAGGCCAGGAGGAGGATCAGGAACAAGTAGCACTGCGTCTGCACCAAAAGTAGCTGCGTCAAACAAGGACGAGGACGACAGAAATACTAAAGCTGGTGCGCCGACGAGCAACAACTCCGAAGAAGCGACCGGCGAAGCAGGTGAACATAACGCCGCGCGCGACATCAACAACATGCAGGATGAGGGGGCGGAGCAGGTCGTTTCCGCGGAGGTGAGCGAAGACGAGGAGCTGAACGCCCATCCCGTGAAGGTGGATAGTGTGATATGCAAGAAAAAAACTGTGTAAGTGTAACTCTGTAATGCAGAACATGCGTCAGAGTTACACTTACACCTGTCATGCCAGACAACCATGGAGTCCTCTTTTCGCGTGTGTTTTCCCTTACAAGCCGCGCATGACAGGCTTCCTCTGTCATGCTCATGTAGAGCAAATTTGTGATGCTGTCAACCAAAGAAAGTTACACTAACACAGTTTTTTTCTTGGATATGTGAAAGTAGTCTACACGGTGGTCGGGATTGTCTGCATCCTGGCTCTTGCGGTGTGGTATGCGAACAAAACGAACAAGAGATGCGTACTTCTTTGTGGCGTTTTTCTGATTTTGTAATTGTATTCGCAATCGCAAATTAACCTTAACGTACCTGTCGGTTTGAATAATTGCTTGGTACTGCCATGAAGACAAAGTACTTAAGTAGCCAGCAAGGTGCCTCCACTGAACATAAAACGTCAACTACTACAAATCAGCCCTGGCCCAGGTGGATGCGTTCTTGGTTCGACCCTGACTTCGGGAAGATCAGCATCGCGCTCGACGGCGAAGAGATGCTGCAGAAGAATCTGCAAAACCCCCGCGCCGCCACGCACTTCCAGCACACGGGGGATAGAGCGGCTTCCGAGCGAAATCGCTCGGGCAGTACTAGCTCCGCGGTCGGAGGACGAGGCGCAAACAGTAGTAACACGAAGTTCCAGCTCCCTTTAAAATCCGCTGGGCTACCCGGCTTCGACCACGATTTGCATGCGCAAGACATGCGGGGCACGAACATCATCGAGCGGACAATGCGGTTTGGCCGCTACAGAAGAGTTTCCGACACCATCCTGGGGCACGGGAGCTGCAAAGTCGTGTACCTAGCGGAGAACGTGGAAACGGGCAAAAGGGTCGCCTGGAGCCAGATCGGCGTCCAGGAGGAGCAGAGGAGAAGGTCGAGGGCTCTGTCGGTGTCGACGCAGTTGGAGCAAACGAAAAACGAACTGCAATTATTGATCGCTGCAACACAACCCGGAATGCCGCAAAATACGACGAGTGGTTCAACATCTTCTGCGAACAAAGGGAACCAAAACCAGAAAATGAACATCCAGGAATTAGACCGGCAGAAAATCCTGAAACTTCTCGATTACTGCTTCGACACCATAGAGGAGCCGAATCTCGCCGGAGGGCCGAACAGAACGGTGCAAACCACCGAACGGATCCACATGATCACGGAGCTCCACCCGGGAGGGTGTCTGCGGAAGTGGCACTACAATGTCTCGAACGGCATCCATCCGGAAACGAACGAAAAGGGGTTCAAGTTCGCCGGGGAAATGTGTCGGGAGTTGAAAAACTGCGCGATTTCGGTGTCCCAGGGATTGCGGTATCTCCACAACACGAAGATCATCCATAGAGACGTATCAAATGTAAAAAATGTCTGGGTCTGGAAACTTGTAATGCTGCGCTGCGAATAGTGAATGAAATGTTCTGTAATGCACAGGCAAGCATGAGAAATGTCTGCGCTTCTTCGTGTTGCGTTTTTCGCATGACAAACTGCGTTTTTGCATGCCAGGCAAAAGGGTCTCCTCTTTGCATGACAGGCAAAAGGGGACCGGGAAATCGCTTGCTGGTTAACATGTATGCGTGACAAGCTGGCTGCGTTTTGCATTCGTGGCAGTCCAGGAAAGAAGAAGAACTAGTGAAGCGATCGGATCGACGAGGTGCGTCAGGGGGCGTCACTCATTCATTCACTCACACTCTTGGACACGCATCACAAATTTTTTGGTCATGCCAGACAAGCATGACAAAGCCCGCAAGCTTCCAGACCCAGACACTTCTACATTTGATAAGACGTCCGACCGGACAACATTTTCGTCAAAGTCGACCGTGGGGGGAAGATTCAGGACGCGGTTTTGGCGGATCTGGGGTTGTTTCGCTTCGCAGTGGAGCCAACAAAGACGAAAAACGCCAGTAGTGGTCAGCAGAGCAGAAACGCGAGTACGAAGGTGACCACAAGGTCTTCTTCGAAGAACAAAAACAGCACGACACCGCCGGGCATTACTAGTAGTACTGGGAAGGTACTTGGAGGTACTACAACTGGTAGTCAGCAGCGCAACAGCAACAGAACGCCGGCGGTAAGCAGCAGTGCGGCCGCAACCCCGACCCCAAACAGCAATACAAACGCAGCTGCTGCGTCGACGCCACGGAACCCCAGCGCAGCGGGGGGCATTCTGTCGAACACGCCAACTCCGACCGGAGCCAGTGGGACGTCGAGTGGTGGCACGACATCAAGTGGCATAGCAGGGCCACCACCTCCCCCGGGCTCGGGTCAAAATTCGGTCGTTCCTCCGCCGCCCCCGCCCAGGACGCCCAGGACAACGACGACCACGACGCCAGGAGTGAACACCTCGTCATCCAGTCTGCAGTTCGAGTTTGTCTCTGCGGGAGGAGATATGAAGAACACAACGACTACTTCCATCGCAGCAACGAGCACTAGCACAATCATCCCTGGACTCATAGATCCCCCACCTCCCCCCGCGCCAAAGTCGCTCTCCGGAACTTCCGCGGTCTCCGCTGCGTCAGGACCACCAGTTGTGGCTCCACCCCCCATGCGGGGCTCTCCGACGAGCACTCCGACGCAGCAGGCAGCGGCGCCGCGAGATGCTTTGCCGCTTTTGAGTGCTGGTGGCCCAGTGGCGGGGGAAGCGGATTTGGACTCTTTGATCCAACCTTTGGCACACCCATTACTGAATACGGGCGCTCACAATCAAGGAGATCACCGGGGAAGTAGAAACAAGCAATCAGGATCGTCACATCAGCATCACGTTGTGCAACCACACCACCCAAGGCCGAGCAACATTCCTATGATTGCGACTTCCGCTTCGCAACTCGACCCCATCGGAAACAGTGTGTCGAGCTCCAGCGCTGTTTTTCAGCCGCCAACCCCCCCGATGGTGACACCACCGAGCGTCGCGATGACACCCCCGGGCGTGGTCGTCTCAAATGGGCCGCCTCTACTGCACCATGGCTCGTCACGAGCCGACCACGGCGCAGCTACATCGAAGCAATCGACTTCGAATGACAACAACTCGTCTCGCCCGAGTAGTACGAACCCCAGTCCAAAATCTTCCACGAATACGACACCAATAACCGCCCAAACGCCGTTCGGGAACGGCATCCTGCAGCAGCAGGCTTCCGGAACCAGTGCCGCGAGTTCATCCTCCACAACTGCGCATCATCACACTCCTATCCACCACCAGCAAACCTCGTCTAGCTCCGCCTCAAATGTAATCGATCGGCAGATCTCTAATTCTGATATCGATAACGATAGGCAGACAGACACCGAGTTTATGGGAGGTAACAATACCTTCACGCAGCACAGCACGTTTGAGACAAGTACGAAGTTCACGATTTCCGGGAATGACGCTTATTACCCGCCGGAAGTGATCAAGCAACTCCTGGAAAACCCGCCAAATTTCATGGACTTGACGGCGAAGGTCAGGTGTGAATTCGACTCAAAACTCGACATCTACATGTTTGGGCTGTCGATTCTCGAGATGTTTTTGGACGGGCGGAGGAGAACGTTTGTGAAGAACTACGCAGAGTATGACGAGTACGAGGAGTATGCGCTTGCGTTAGAGCATGAGAAGTCCAAGGTGTTAAGCGAAGCGAGGCATAAGTTCGCCGAAGACCAATTCTCCCACACGCAGCTGAATTACTTCCTGGCGGGCGCTTTAAAGACGGATCCAGAACGCCGGTGGACGGCGAATGACTGCCATCACGGTTTAACGCAGTACCAGACCATGGGCGGCGGAGCAGGGGGTGCTTCGAGCTCGTCGGGGAACGCGGGAGTTGGAGGTGGGAACAGCGCGGATCCGAGCTCGGTACTGTTCATGAACTTGCTTCTACTTTGGAGGTCTGCCTTTAGCCAGGTTTTCTCAGATGCCTGCCACCAGACCTCGACGTTGACCTTAATTATAAAGCAAAAGTGAAAGTCAGTGTGAAGGTGGACTACGTTTGTTTTTTTTTTCTTTTTTCCTCTGACAGTATCAGTAGAACACCAACAAGAAACAAAAAAAAATCGCAGCCTCTCGGCGGCGGGATGGTAGGACCCGAACACACCGGGCGCAAGGAGAGCCACGATAACAGCTCGACGATAAGCTGCACGCCCATGCCTGCTGGTAGCACAGCCGGCTTTGACGACCTGGAGTTACAACCATAACGGGGGGTCTAGTCATCGGCTCCAGAACTTTTGGAAAACTTTTCGAAAACTTTGAATTTCCTGAAGGCCTGCTCGTCCGAGAGGCTTTCTCCAAACTTCGTAGCCAGCGACCACGCGGCCAGCACGAGAATGGGCCGCAGCTTGCCATCGTGGTTCCTGTGTGACCGATGGGGCCCTGCGTTTTTCGTGGGTCCCCAGCTTGCGCACTTCACCAGAGTGAAAAGCGCCCGCATCAGAGAAGGCTGGGGCCGCGCCGAGCCTGGTGGCACAACGTGCAGCATCGGCGTGCTTCGTGGTCAAGGCCAAGGACCAAAGAGATTTGCTCGCTGTTCGTAGTATCAAAGAGAGACCCCTAGCACCAAAATAAAAGCCCAAAAGCCTAGCCTGGCTCAGGAATCCCCTTGCGCCGCAAAAGCAAAGGCATTGGCGAAAATAAGAAAAAAACGCCAACAGCTTGGCAGCGGGTTCGGAACAATGCAGAGTTGTCCCAAGCACGCACTTGGGTGGCCATGTTGTTTGTTTGACCGAGGGGCCAACGCACTGGGGTGGCCATCCCCCCATCCGGGGCCAGCCCTCCTCCTTTGTGGCTAGCAGGGTCTAGGGTTTAGGGTTTGGCCCTCCTCCTTTTCACCTCGCACAGGGCTTGGGTTTGGGGTTTAGGGCTTAGGGCCTAGGGCCTCGGTTCTCAGGCGCAGCGCGCCGGCCGCGAGAGGCGTGTCAGTCTGGAGAGATCCAGGGGGCGCGCCCCTGCGCCGCGTTGCGTTTGTAATTACTACAAGAAAAAGCGGCGCAGTCGAAGAAGCAAACTCTGGCCGCTGCTATCTTTTTGGCGCCTGTTCTGACCCCAGGCACGGCGGCACGCTGCCAGAAAGGAGCTGGGCTGTGAGTCTTCAAAAAGTACAAACGAAGCGCTTCCCAGACACGAAGCAGGGTGGTACTGCCTGCGAAATCGGCAAAGCTCACGGCTCAGGTTTTGTCGTCTTTGTGGCGCCGTGCCGTCGTGTTTCGTGGCCATATACGTTGACCGATAAAAGGCGTGCGCGCTGCCGTCGGTCACACGTGAATCGCGGGCGGAATCTTCTCAGCAGATTTTTAATTTATTACGCGTCTGAACAGCGTGCCGCCCTGTTTCGTGATAGGTTTGGACCCCGGAGCCGGGGCGAAAAGTTGTATATTTTACATGCGACGAATAACGTGGGGGGTAATGTTATCCATGGCGGCACCGCGTAGGCAAAAAAGCGCGCTTTTTCAACTTTTGCTCAAATTCTGAGGCAAGACGCGGCCTGTGCGTCTATTTTGAAAAGTTTTTTTTTGCAGTTTTGCACTATATGCGAAAAACCAAAACCGATGGCATGGCGCCGCTTTTCTGGCCCTTAAAATAAAATGAATCCCGAGCTAATTCCCGAAAAAAAAAACTTTTGAAAAACTTTCCAAAAGCTTCCATTTGGGGCACCAAAACAGTGCCGGCCCCAAGCAGAATCCGCCGCGGGGAGCTTCGAGAAGGGAGGCCAGAAAAAAAGTTTTTTCGAAGTCTTTTCGGGCTCATTTCGGGCTCACCGAAATAGCACAGCAAAAAAGTCGCATTTTTTGGCCTCCGCCGTACCACCGTGCCAAAGTCGGCACTGCTCCAGCGCCGATGGTATGCTGGTGGTGTTTTTTTGTTATGTTTTGTCAATGCCGGCACTTTTGCGATGGATGGGGTTCGCTTAGTCAAGCTTTTGGGTTTTTGGATATTGGATCGGATGGCGAAGGGAGGGATATGCGTGGGCTTGGGTCTTAGTTCCGGGATGGGTTGGAGTTGGGGATTGGTACTGGATTGGGTATCACTATATTTATTTCCCGACTTGAGAGACTACTCTCGGAAGCCACTCAGGCAGCAATGCAAGTTCGGGATGAGTTGGAGCGCGTCACGCCCCGCGAGGTAGAAGAAGAGGACAGCGACGCGACGCAGAAGGGGGGTTGTCGGATTTAGAGCCGGCCGCCTCGAGGAAGTGGAAGACGCAGCACAGCCCGGAGATGGGATTTCTTTCTACTCGGAAGCCACTACCTTCTTGGGCCCGCCTGGAGGAGTTGGAGTCTGTGGCGCAACGCGAGGCAGGTAGAAGAGGGGGACAGTGGCGCGAGGTAGAAGGGGGGGGGCTGTGGGATTGACAGCCGGCCGGCTCGAGGACGCCCGCGGGGGATGAGGTAGAGCCTGGCGATGAGGCTATTCTGATTTTGGCTCGAGGGCATGGCGGGGGCCAAAAAGTGGAAGGCTTACCTTCGCCGTCCTCTTTTGATGCGCCTGAAAAGAGCCGGGCAAAACCTCTGCCGAGATTCTGGCCTGGCGTCTCTTCTAGAAGCCCTCCGCGGCGGATTCTGCTCGGGCCCGGAACTGTTTCGGTGCCCCTTTTCGAAGTTTTGCAAAAGTCCATTTCAAGTTTTCTTTTTTGCTTGTTAGCCCTGGACAAAAAAACGGGTGGTCGGGAAAGTGGCGTGGAGGCTTCGGCTTCCATTTTTCGGGAGCAGCGTAAAAGTGCAAAAAAGAACGTGCGCAAATCGCCACGCAGATCCTGCGAAAGCAATACCCTCAGCAATGCTTTGGGCGTTCGCGTCTTTGACCCTGCGCCGTGCCGTGTTGCACAAGGTTGCCCACGACGGTGGGCGCCGCATGTAAAAAGTACAGCCGTCAGCTCCGGCCCCGGGGTCGAAACCTATCACGAAGCAGCATGCCACGCGGCCCAAACGCGTAAGAGGTTAGCAGTTTCGTAAGAGGATTCCGCCCGCGATTCACGTGTGACCGGCGCCAGCGCGCTCGCCTCCCTTGTGTCGGCCATCATATACGACCACGAAACACGGCGGCACGGCGCCAAGAAAAGAGCGCCGGCCCTTGGTGGCTTCGCGTCGTCTATTTTCTCTGCTTTTCAAAGTTTTCGAAAAGTTTTCTGCAAGTTCTGAAGTTTTAATATAGACCCCCCGTTATGGTTGTAATGGAGTCTGAGCCATGATGTGAGAGCAATGCGGGCGGCGTTCATGCTGGTGTTGCGCCACAACTCCCGTGGACACAACGCGCAATGCATCAACGGAAAATAGAAACTCGTCTCGAAGAGAACTTACTAGCACTCAGCAGTCGCAAAGCGCTGGCGCTGTCGTTAGATTTGTATCACGTCCTGGCTGCGTCTAAGTCTATCTACACCTACAGGAGAAAAAAATGAACCGTGACGATGAGAAACAGAAAGAGAAAGAATCACGAGCATGCTTGTACCATATTAAAGATCGAAATAAGAATTTTCACGCTAATTCTACTTTACTTGTACCAAACATAACCCACAATTGTTGTTGAGCAGTTATCGATACGACTAGTACGACTTTTACTCCATCTACCCCACTGTAAATTTTTACCCTAATCGTGTTTCTTGTACCATCACGACCGAGAGAGGTTTTCCCTTTCCCACCTTGAAGAGCACCAGGAGGTGTATTGCTGGGTGCGAAGCCTCGTGCTTTGGATCCGCAACGCAGCTCCGAGTTATGGTGCTACCAGTACATTACCCTCTTTTGTCCAGCAGAACAGAACTTTTCGCGTCATTCAGTAGCGACTTATCTTTTGCCTCAACACTGCAGATCGAACTAGAATCATCTTGCAAAGCCAATAAATCTTGTTTTGATACACCACGACGCCCTTTGATCTAATTTCCTGCCCTCGTTTTCAATCCCGATACCGAAGCCCTTCTGATTTAGTCGAGTACTACCCGTTCTAGAACTACTAGTGTCAGCTGTCGAACGGAATGCATCTCGAGGAATGACACCAATTGTGGTTAAAAGTCTTCGCGTGGCCACCTTTATTGAGTGGCTCTTGCTACCTATGTCTTCATCGTGGTGCTTTCGCTTGATTTCTGAACGTCGTGAACTCTTTTGCGCGGCTTGTTGATGTTGTACTGACGATACCTACGCTTATATTCCTGCCCTTGCTTTTTGGATTTGCGAGTTGTGCCAACTTTGATCTGTAGCATGAAAAGATTCTCAAAGAAAACTGCCTCAGCACTGGTAGTGCGCTGAATGGCCACTGGACGAGGACAAGTTACTCTACTCCAATGGCCATTCGTTTTACGTCCGACAGGATGAAGACGGCAGACATCTTCAGTGTTCTGCGAGATGAAGATCTTCAATTATCTTCTTCCCCTCCAAGGTCCAGAAACTTTGAAGTCTGTAGCTAAACGGCGCTTCAGCAATGAGACTACAGAAGAAGTAGAAGTTAGTAGGCGCCATTGTCTATCGTCTCGATCTAGACTCACTCCTACAACGTACAGCGATCTGTTATCATCTAAGATTGGCTTCGACCGCTGATAATTTTAGTTTGAGTTTCACCTTCACGACCCATAGGACAAAGAGGAGAAGACGCACTACGTCTCTCCTCTTCAGTTCGTTGTCGCACATGTTCTTGTAAGACCTTCCGAGAAGTGAATTTTCGTCTCATGTGTCACTAGCCAAGCTCAACATCGGCACAACAAGAGACCACCTCCGGACCACGTGAGAACAACAAAGGAACAACAATGGCCCACCTTCTGGAATACGCGAAGCAGTCTATGGCTGCGGTGAGAGAGGAATTGGAAGAGGCATTGAAGCAGGAAGAAGAAGAGGACCCCGGCGAGTTTGCCGACGGGGCACAGCGAACAAATCAAGGCGGAGATACCCACCACGACGAACAACCGCAGCTCGGTTTTTCCAAGCTCGCAGAGGCGATCGGGGCCGGTGTGACCCAGATCGTTGAGCAGGCAAACGACTACCATGCCGCCGCTAGTCAAAGCAGAGCTGCTGCGGCCGCAAGCGGGGGAAATGCTTTTAGCATTGGAAGTGCTGGATTGAAGCAGCCTGCGCCGCCACCGCTAAGTGCAACGGCAGGCGTTGCTGCGCCTCATCATCCTCAGCCGCCACCAATGCCGCAGAGCAGAACAAACCCGCTTACTGGTGGCCCCATAATTCTCGCCGGTGGTTCAACTGCTGGCAGCTCCTCATCTTCTACAGCGCCTGTGGCAGGGTACGCAGCTCCTGCTGCACCGGCCAGTAAATCCGGAGGCCGAGGTCCGTTGTTTTCCACCTCCTCCGCCCCCTTGGACACCGGCGGAGACGAACAAGTGCTTGCGAATCTGCGAAATTTGCAAGGAGGGGGCGGCGACCAAGCTGCACGACCTCCCGCACTGGGCACTGCGACGTCAGCACCAAACACGACTTCGCAACGGGAGTTTTCCCCGAAAGCACGACCTGCAGTCCAACAGCAACATCCCAATAGTGCACAAATCATGACTCCGTCCCAGCTAACACCCACACTGGTGCCTGCAGGGGGAGCAGTAGATCCTGGAGCTACAACTGCTAGTGCAGTTGCTTCCACCGCGGTGGGAGGTGTACAAGAACTTCCCGTCGGCCCCGGCGTGCCGCGAAGTGCAGCTGCACAAAATGCGGGCCACCTGAGCCCAAGGTCTGCAGCTGCCGGAGTGGGCCTCGCAGGTAAAAATCCGTTGCAGCAGCAGCAGCTCCCTGGTGCGAGCGCAACGCCAACTGCTTCGAGCGCATTGTCCGGTGCTACTAGCCAACCGCCTAGGCCTCCCCTGACCCCACCCTTAACGACCGCGACATCCTCTACAGGTTCGTCCGCGCCAGCAGCAATGCCCCCAGCACCACCAACCGCAGCTGAGCAGCTCACAGCGGCCGCAGCGGGCCGGCCGCTTTTCGGAGGTCCCACAACTACACCCGCACCGCCGAGTGTGAACAACCCAAATCCACTTCCAAGACCGATTCCTCAGCACCAGCAAACCCCGCTGGCAGTTGCACCAACTCCACCATCAACCTTGGTCTCGGCTGCGCAAGTTTCAGCCCAGCATCCCCCACCAGGTACTGGTGGCCATGGTACGGCGCAGCAGTCGCTCGGAGTTCTTGCAGAGCACAGCACGACGACCGCAGCGGGGGCCTTGGGCGCAGCTGCAGGCAGCATCAAGATCAACCCAACCAGCAACCAGTTCTTCGAGCAATTGCAGCAATTCGCGGGCAGTGCCCAGCAAGCGATCTCGGAGTCGGTGACCCAGGTGCAGAAGCAACTGCAGGACCCAACCCAGCAACTCGAGCAGACCATCGCGGCTATCAAGCTGACGGACCACAAGGCGATTTGTGGGCTGGATTATCCAGGAAAAAACACCCATCCCCATCCATTTTTTGCATGACAAATAGCGGATTTTATGCATGTTTTGCATGACAAGTTGGATGGGGATGGGTGTTTTTTCCTGGATATGGATTTGCAGGTTTACATGCAAATATTGCTGTCCATGCGAATTTTGCCCGAGGACCACAGGACCGTGTTTATGGAGATGCTCACGCAGAACGATTTGGGAACACCGTATTTGGAAAATTGATTTTGAGGACTGATTAGAAGAAATTGAATGAAATTATCTCCTTGCTGATTTCGAGATGCAGTTTTGTGCCGACAACGTGCCTGGGTTTTTCTAGTAACTATAGTAGAGAGGAACTTTTTCGCACGGAGTTCGTTGAAGTTGATTCATTTCAGCAGAAAATGAATATCCCAGTGACCTCCAGCGCGAGGGGTTGCAGTACCTGCTTCTGTACATCACGAAACTGAACCGCAAGATGAAGATGATGCAGGCCGACATCCAGAAGGTCGGGCAGGACTACCTGCTGTTGCAGCAAAACTACAAGGAGGCGCAGGAAGAAGTCCGGAATCACCAGGCGGACGAGGCTCTTCGACAGGAACTGGAAACGGCGAAAATGAAGGTCGCGAAACTGGAGGAAGTGCTGCGGGAAAAGGAAGAAGTATTTATCTATTTTGGATGATCGTCTTTTTGTAAGAGATGAGCATGAAGTAAGAGGATGAGCGACTGGTGCGAGAGATGCGTGAGAGTTCTTTCCTCACCACAACCGCAAGGAATCGACTCCGGTTCCTTCATCAAAAAGTCTATTGAGATGAAACTATTCTGGCTAAAGATAAAGAACCTAGAAATCCATGCAAATTTCAACAAGAATCCACTTTCGGAGATCTGCCTTGCAAACCTCCAGCTAATATCACTATTTCACTACTACAGCAACAAGGAACCTCCTTGAACCTGCTGCAGCAGACCTTCGAGGACCTGACGGCCGAGCACGACCAGACCCTCCGCCGCTTAGCCGCGGTGAGGGAGGAAAATGAGGCGCTGAAGAACAAAACTACAGGTGGTACCAATTCTACTTCCGGTGGAGGAGCGACAGCATCTACTTCTTCCGCAGGCAATGCAAACCACTCCTCTGGCGTAAATTCGACTTTGCAGCGGACCATCAATCCCAAATCTCCCAGTTCGTCCAACAGCAAGGAATCCACAGCTACCCCACTGCACGACAACGATTCCGAGGCCCAGCAGCAACAGATCGACGCACTGCAGAAGCAGGTCAAGGGGTTACACCGAGATTTGGAGCGACTCCTCCGGGAAAAGGAAGAACATTTTTTCGAGAAAGAAAATTTCGTCGATAGAAGGTTAGTTCTGTCCATGGCCTCGCAACTCCAGAGCGAGCCAAAACCGGCGCTGAAGGACAAGATTTTAGCGCAGATGATCGAAGTGCTCTGTGTCGACGAAACGTGGAAGCAGTTGATGCCCCAGAGACCGGTGTCGACGCGGAACTCCAGAGACGACCTTGGGCGGGGCGCTAACGGAAAGCCCGCGCCCCTGTCCGATGCGCTGATTGATTTTGTCGATCGGGAGATCGAAGGGGCGGAAACGGGAGTAGTAGTCGGGGGCAGTAGATCTCCAGGCGCGGGGACGGGAGGAGGTGGTCCTTCTGTGGGCGCTGGCGGGATCACGCCGACCGGGATTGCTGGTAGTTCTGCAGCGAGCAGTGGAAACAGCAATTCGGCGGGGTCTAGTCCGAGCTTTCCCGCCGTGCCGGGATAGAAGCAGCTGTCACAGTATTGATGAAGCCAAAGGTGGTCGTGAAAACCACACTTCGAAACGACATAGCGACTTTTTTTCTCATGAAAATAGAATAGTACTACCTCCTACGACGCGACGCGAGTGTAAGTTTGTAAATTTCTCTACCACATGCACTCCTGGTCGAATGAAGACCAGGCGCTGGCTGTCGTAACGTGCGCGTAGACGAGAAGCGAGAGGAAGGGCTCCTGTTAGTTTGAAAGCTCACCTCATGAAGATGATCTTCTCACGACCCAGTCCGGTAATTTTAATTCATCGATCATGGTAAAATTTGATGAACGACTTCGATGAAAAATTATTTTTCGAAAGAACACGATCGAAGTACAACTAGTAGAAGGAGAAACAGTTGTCGGTGAAAAATTGAAAGAATTCTGCAGCTCGGTCTCTTTTGGAAAAGGATCACTGCTCGGATATATGATTCATCGGTCAACAGCAGCTGGCACCAAGTCCAAAACCGAGTTTCGCTTTTTTGCAGCCAACTTTCAAAGTTAATGTGATACAGCAGGGAAATAACGGAAACTACGAAAAAAGTGACGACGACCAGTGCGAGCTTTATATACTTTTAGTTACCTCGACGCCATTTTGATTTCTGAATGCACAAACCTGCTTACAACGAACACAATCAGAAGTTACCTTTTACCATTACCACACTTACTCACTATTCAACACGAACGACGCGTAGCGTGACCTCACTTTTACTTCTCGATCCGACACCTTTATTGAGCTTCAGTGCTTAGTAGATCTTTGTACTTACTCCAAGATCTTTCTGCTCGTTTTAATACTCGACACCTTCCAGTACACTCACAAGTCAAACGATTTTGTTCGAGATGAGCATGACCTCGTCTACTGCTCCACCTCGAACAGCTGCCGCCTGCAAGGGCGGCGCTCTTGCTCTTGAGTGGCGTAACATCACGATTGAGGTGGACGGAGGGAAAAAAATCTTGGACAACGTTTCGGGGTTCCTACCCGCGGGCGAGACCCTCGCCATCCTCGGTCCGTCCGGTTCGGGGAAAACCACGTTGTTGTCTCTTCTTGCGGGCGTTTTCCGGGATGACGGAAAGATGAAGATCACCGGCGACATCATCGTCGGGAACGAGATGGCCGATAAGGAAGCGAAGTCCGATATCCTGAGTAAAAATGTCCCCACACCATAGTCAAGATGGGGAATCGGCTAGACAAATCCACAAGTTTTGGCTGTTTTCTTGCATCACTATGTCGCTCCAGCGCCTGCGGAGGCTTGCCTCCAAAGCTATGCTGGACAATGGCAATGTCGGTGCGGTTGTTTTAGCATCACAAATTTGCATTCGTAGTGTAGTGCTGTTTGAGCTAGCTCAGCAGCATGACAGACAGAGCATACCATGCTGATTGCAGCATGACAAATTGCAAAACACGACTAGAAACTGCTTCTCATGGGACTCCGCATGAGAAACATTCTCAGCATGCCGATTTGCATTACAACTTTGGGGTGGGGACGTTTTTAAATAGGATATCCGATGCGAGGATGCATGCGTATTCCAAGCACATGAATTACATCCGCATCGTGGAGCAGTACGACACGTTTCTCGGTTCCTCCACGGTCTGGGATATGCATTGCAAATATGTCTCGGTCTGGAAAAATGCCAGGTTTGTCATGCTGTGCTAGCATGACTGTCAAGTCTGTCATGCAAGGTACCCAAAACTGCCACTTTTGTGTCATGCAAAAACCCAGTTTCTCATGCAGAATAGGCAACACCTAGCGACTCAAAAACCTGTCATGCTGAGCCGTCATTTCTGGCGTTCTGTTGATTCGCCAACCAGCATCACAAGTTTCCAGACCCAGACATATTTGCATTTCATATGGGAGCACATGATGCTAAACGCCAGCCTGCGCCTTTCCCATTTGAAGTCCGACGAGGAACGGGAAGAGAAGGTCGTGAGAATCCTGAGTCGGTTGCGGTTGCAAGGGTTCGAAACCGTAAAACTCCAGTCTTTGTCCGGCGGGCAGAAGAAGCGGCTGTCTGTCGCGGAGGAACTTTTGTCGAACCCCGCGATCTTGTTTCTCGACGAGCCGACGTCTGGGCTGGACTCCACCGTCGCGCGGGAAGTGGTCGAAATTTTCTACGATACCAAGCACATTGATCAGTGCGGGGAGGCGCTAGCACGGAAGATGTCGATTCCATCTGGACAAGATGATGGCGCAGCTGGTGCGACGAGTAGGACCTCCAAACAACGGACAAAATCGGCAACAAGCATGAGATCTGGCACTGCTGGTGAGCCGACAAGCGCGACCTATCTGTACGGCGAAAGCATGATGTACTCCCGGGAGCCCCGATACGCGCAGTTTCAGTCCGGCGACAGTCGCAAGTCTGCCTCTTTCATCGAGGAAGGCGGTTTGGAGCCGAAATCCCTGACCGACCGTGCATTCGACGAAATTTATGAAAATGTCCAAAACGACGCCAGCGGACGAACCAGCGGCGCAGCGGGAAGAATCGATTTTCTTCCAGACGCACCGACCACCGCGTGGGATCGTGCGCGCCAGCGCGTGGAGGTAGCGAAAAAACTGAAGAATAAGAACGCTGAAGAAGAGGATGAACATTTGACGACGATCATCTACACCATTCACCAATATCCTTTGCAAACGTATAGCACTTGCAGTCAATTGAAATCATGCGCCGTGATAAATCTGAGTCTCTACCTCTAGTACCTGGTCTAGCATGACAAGTTGTGCTCTACTTTGTAGTCCTTGAAAAAATTTGTATATATGCAACTTTCGATTAGTGCGTGTGCGATAGTTTTGCATTGCATAACCAACCGTCTTCACTCATCTGGTCCTGGTTCAAACATTCCATGTTTCTGTCCCAGGGAAAAACCATTTATTTCGGCCCCGGTAGTGATGTGGTCGATTACTTGGAGAAAAATCTGAAAAACGTGACGTGCCCAAAGGGCTACAGCGCGTCCGAGTTCGTGTTAGACACGATCAACGACAAGGAGGCCGTCGATAAAATCACAGAGGTCCGCACGCAAGAAAATCATTCGGCAAAAGAGATCAACGCAATCGCGGCGGAGGCTTTGGAACACATGCGGCGAGACGGCCGCAGCGGAAAGAACAACAACAGCACTGATGATAAGGAGAAAGCCCTTTACGCCCCGTGGTCGACCCAGTACCGCGTTTTGTGGACCCGTTGTTTCCGCGACCGCTTGAGGGACGTGAATAAGACGAGACTCACCGTGATCGGGTCCGCGGTGATGCTGCTCCTGCTTTCGCTGTGTTTCTGGCAGAACGGAGAAACACCGCAGCAGGCCGGGGCAAGGTCCGGAGCGATGTTCATTTTACTCACGTTTCCGATCATGAGCGAGGTTTTCAGCTACATGATCGGCATCATCCTCCTGCAGCCACAGATTTGCCGCGAGTACAAGACGAAAAGGCTCTATTACATCGGTCCCTACTGGCTGGCGCAGCGCACCGGGACTATCCTGTTCGACTACCTGCAGCTCGCGGTGTTGTACGTGACTTCACTCTACTGGACGATCGGTTTCTTTCCGGATTTTTCCCCGGTGAAGTATTTCGAGTTGTTGGCGTACATATTGGTGACCCAGACTATCGGCCACGGGTACGGGATTCTCCTCGGAAACATTGTGACCGATCCGGGGAAGATGCCTTTTCTCTCGTCGATTATGGTGCTGCCGTTCCTCTTCATCAATCCAGCGCTGGCACAGGGATTGAAGATCCCGCTCTATTTGTGCTGGCTGAACTACATTTCTCCCTTCTACTGGTCTTCGAAACTGCTCGTGTGGTGGGCCTGGAAGGACTTTGTGATGCAGGATTTGGATCCGACTGCGGAGGAACTGACGACGTACGCGAACTACTGTGTGTACCAAGATAACACCGGGCAAGTCTACACGTGCGACGTGATTCACCAAAGCCACACCCTTATCCCGGCCGCTGATTGGTTTAACGAAGGCAAGCCGTTTCTCCGGTTAGAGGGGAATAAACTCCTGCCCGCGCAGTTCAAGATCGACCCAACGCAACCGTTCTGGGAGTTCTGGCTCGCGCTGATCATGTGCTTCGTGCTCATCGTAGTGCACAACGCTTTGGCCTTTACGACCTTCGCGTTCCGGCACAAGTACACGTGCAGCTGCTCGGCGATGTGCAGCAGCCGACGGAAAAAATTTGCGAACGCGGGTCGGAAAAGGAAGCTTGCTGGCGGTAGTCTCGTTGGGGAGGCCGAAGTTGCGGGAGACGACGATAAGAAACCACTTTTGCCATGAGATGTACGAGGGTGACGAGAAAATCACAAAACAGCCCTCAACTGATTTTTTTGATGTAGTTGTGATTTCGTCATCGTCGATATCGCTTCTAGGCCTGCTACCGCCGCTTTAAATTTAGATTAGACCCTAGCACGTAGTAATGTATGATAAACATGATGATTTCATTTTGGTTTTTGTTGTGTTGATTGACTTTCACGCCAAGATCGATGCGTATCCACGATGGCGCACGATGCGGGTGCATCATCCGCAGCTGCGTCATGATCTTGTTGTGATGCGACAACGCAATAGTGCTGCTGTATTTTTTCGTACAACCCCAACCTTAACCTTTACCTTTCCCATACTGAAAGCGTTTTCCAACCTATTGGAGCCGCCCTAAAATGTGAATTTTGCGGGCACTCTCCAACAACTACAACTAGACGCATTTCTGTTTCTTGAACTGATTAAGCGAAAACCGGTTCCTCCATGATCTTCTTGGAACAGACAAGGAGCGATGAAATTCATTGAAGAGATAGAGACTTATTTATTTCTTTCATAACTGTTGAAGCTCCGGCGAGACATCCTCTACATTTGTAGCAGTTGCTGGAATTGCAATTGATATCATGACTGTCATGGAGAACCTCCAGAAGAAGCGGTTGCGTTTGTTGATTGGAACGTGGTATAATGGAGGAGGTGTTTCTTGCACGCGACCTTTGTTACTCACAAAAACCCTCTACGCACGAAGGGGCTCAACTTTTTAGTTTGTCCCTTTATCCGAAATGCTCTGCTTGGAAGCCCTGCTCCAACAAATCGAAGCAACGAGGAAACTGTTTGGCTCCTGCTGAGCATGGCCAATTAAGAACAGCAGTTGCGCTAGATGTGAGCACGCAATTGAAAGTGCTTTTGCTGTTCGACGCCCGACTGGCGCACAACTTCACTTTCCACAAGAGCGACGAGAAACATTTGTACTGCTATTTTATCTGAGAAGCAGGGGAGTCTCATCGGCAACGTTCTGAGTTGTTTCTCTTCATCTCTTGCGTTCTGTGGTAGTTTTTGTTTTGAGTTTGAGAGGCCTTGTTCTGATTTTTGCTCACAAAATGCACTACGTAGAAGGTGAACGAATGGGCGTTGGGCTTCGTTGCGTGGCCGGCCGATCGTTCTCTGGCTGGCACGCACGGCGGCGGCCGTTTGCGCACGCAGGGGCCGGGCGGTCCGACATTGGCGGCGGAGTGTGGCCATCCACTCGGGGAAGCAGATTCTGCCAGCGTATTTCCACGCCCCTGATGTTCGGCGAGGGAGCTGCGAGCCGGATTCCGAAAAAAGTTGCGAAGCGCGAAGGCGGGCCGTGGAAGAGCGGGGCCGGCGCGAGCGGAGCCCTTGGCTCGGCGTGTTGGTTGTGTTGCTGCGCTGCCTGGCGCGCGCCTGTGAGTGTGGCGCTGTGGAATGCATAGCAGCGCCCTGCCGGCGGCGCCCCTGCCGGTTCGTTGCCTTGCCGTAGCCCGCCCGGGCTGCCGGCGTTTTCCCCGCTCGCTGCCGGCGCGGCTGCGCGCCCCATTGTTTCTGCGGACTCCCGCTCCGCTCGCGCCCTCTTCCGTTGCCGATGCGCTTTAGCCGCAGCCATGGCAGGGGGCCCCGCAAGCCGCCCCACCCGGCCGGGCGAGCGCGCCCTGGCTGTTCCAGCTTCTAGGCAGGGAGATCAAGTCGGCGCCGGCCGTGTCTTCGAAGGCTTTCTTCAAAGCGCGGAGCAGCCTCGTCTGGGCCTGTTTCGATACAGCTTGCCCCGGGCGAATGAACGAACCAGACAAAGAGATCCACTGTGACCTGCTTGTTTGTTTCGAGTGACCGCTCTTGGCTCCTCTCTAAGAGCCCCGCGGCCGTGTGTCATCGTGCCTGACAACTGTTCCCCCGGCGGGCGGCGCACCTGAAGATGGAGCTACAGAACTTGTGTTGTTCCTGTTTGGAGTATATTGCTTTGTTCTCGGAGCGAAAATCCTTCTAGTCGTTGTTGGCTTGTCTTATCGGTCCTTCTGCACGCGGCCCAGATGCATCAGACCATTTTTACGAAGCAAGTGCCCCTCGCGCGCGCTGTTTAAAGGAAAGCTACACTCGTTATCTCCCCCACACCTCCACGGAAATGGCAAAGTCGTCGCGCCGTCCAGTACACGCAAGTGTCCTCGCAGCCATACCCTCCGCCATACTTCTGTACCAAGCTGCTATTCTCCCGGCAGAGACCCATGCCTTCTACGTTGATTCTGCTTCCTGGAGGTCCGCCGGTGGCTCCCTTTTCAGCGTCCACCACGGAGACACGTTGAACATAATTTTGCGACAATTGAACGTCACGGAGGAACAGGAGAAACATGATCGGGAGCAGGAAGAGGAAAATCGGAAGGCGGACAGGAACATTCTGCGCAAGAAGAACCAAACCAACAGCACCTCATCGAAAACTTCACATGGGAAAAAGCAAACATCATTTCCCGAGCAGTGGTAACACTTCGCTTTATTCTTTGCAAATGGCTGCTTCTCAATCACCGTTGTTCATGGCAGGATTGATAGGGCTACTCGATCAAACTCAGAAAAAATTCACTATCGTGCACTCAGTAAATGCAACTCGTTTCAGGTTTCCCCAGGTTTTCGACCACTTCGCATCATCTTCAAGTTCCTCCTCCTCCCAAACATCGAAAAACGACACCTCCACCTGGCCCCAGCGTTTTTTCGAGAACGACCAGCATTTCCAGCCGAATGGTCCGGTTTTCCTGATGATCGGTGGCGAAGGGGAGATCAGTGACGCGTACGTGTCGGACAGGTTTCTGGCGGCCTATTTCGCGAAGCAGTTCAACGGCAGCGTGTTGGCGTTGGAGCACCGGTTCTACGGGAAGTCGCAGCCGTTCAACGGGGACTTGTCGGATCTGCAACTGCTCTCCTCCCAGCAAGCGCTGGCGGATTTGGTCGGCTTTGTCAGGGCGCAGAAGGACGGGAGGGTAGATGGTCTTGGTGGTGAACAAGAACAGAAGGAAGACTCATCTCTTGTTAGAACGGAGCGAAATAAATCGAGTTCGACGGAAACTCTAACTGCGAAATACGCCAACTCAAAGTTCATCTGTCTCGGCGGCTCTTACCCGGGAAACCTGGCGGCCTGGTTCCGGCAAAAGTACCCCGATGTCGTACACGGGTGCTTGTCGTTTTCCGCACCTGTTTTCGCAAAAAAAGACTTCTACGAGTACGGACAGATGGTCTACAAGGCGCTCGATGTGTCGAGGCTGGAAGCAGGAGATGTGGCTGCACCAGACACAACTGCAACTACAATAGAGAGGACAGGGCGAGAACAAATTGAAAAAAAACGAGCCAGCAAGAGCTCATCTTCAACAGCGCCTACTCCTTCTTCCGCGGCATCAGCGACCTCCAGAGCCGCATCTGCCTCCACAGCACGAGACGTGAGTGCCAAGCTCTTGCAGGGCTACGAAGCGATTCTGACGGAGCTGAAGACCGGCACGCCGAAGGCGACGGAGCGGATTAGGAAGAAACTAAACGCCTGTCCGTTCACGATTCTATCCGATGCGGATATTGCCAACGTGGAGAGCATTTTGACGGGCGTCACGGCCGGCGTGGTCCAGTACAACAACACCTTGCCGGAAGGACGAAAAATTTCCGACGTTCGTAAGCTCATCGAGAAAGCTGAGACGCCGGAAGCCGCAGCGTGGGGCGTTTTTGAGCAGTTCTCGGAGTACTTTCTAGCGAGTTTAGCGAAAGTGTCGCGGATTGGGAGGAGTGCAAATGCGGTTGTAAGGGGTGGAGAACGGGAAAAGATTTTGCTGAAGAAGGCAGCGCCAACAAGTAGAAGATCAGGGGCGTCAAGGAGGTAGGAAACTAAAAATGCTGATAAGTAGATACTGATACACCCTGTGAGTAGAATCATGACTATGACACAAATTGAAATTGAAAATAAAGCGCAACTTCTCCGAAATTTCATCATGATTTGAAACACTGGTACTTAGGTCCGTCCGAAGCCTTCCATCCTCTCCTACGATCGCATCTCTGAACAGCACAACAAAGTACACCCGGAACAATATTACCAATAACGACACTGCAACGAACGTGACAAACCGCACTTCCTCCACTTCTGCGCAACACAAAGGGCGGACGCGCTCAGAGAAGCACGCTGAACAGGACAGTTGCGTCGATTACAGCCAGCGGATTGAGTACACTTCCCTCGTCCCCGACTCCGCAGCGGCCGCGCGGTCCTGGGTGTACCAAACCTGCAACGAGTTCGGGTACTTTCAAACGTCCCGCGTTTCTCTACACAACAAAACGATGTACACCTCGGGGGTGTCGGACCCGAGTCTGTGGGACGGGATTTGCGAGAACGTGTTCGGCATTTACGACACGGAAACCCGAATCGCGAACACCCGGAGTTACTACGATATCGAGGAGATTCCGGACAGAACGGTGTTCATCAACGGGGCCCTGGACCCCTGGAGCACGTTGTCACGGAAGCCGAATGGGGAAAAAACGAGTTATTTGGTCCCGCACGGGTCGCACTGTGTCGGTTTGTACGGCCACCCGGGGGATGACAAGGTAATGCCGGCGGCGCAGGAGTTGCAGCTGGAATTGGAAAAAACGGTGAAGGGGTGGCTGTTTGGTGGAGAAAAGGATGAGGAAGAAGAGGAGCAGGAAGTTTTTAATTGAGGAAAGTTGTTTCTACTAATATTTATTTTTATTTGAGTTTGATTTTCAGTGGCTTACATTTTTGAACCATGCATCAGATTTTTTTCGAAGCGAGAAACTACGTACCGAGCATGTGCATGAGCAAGAATATGGAGGACGCTTGTAATGCTAGCACCTTCTTCGAGTAGCGTCCTTGTGCGAAAAATATCAATAATTTGCGGGGTTTAGCTATACCAAGTAGTCACCTTCACCACGTCCAGATTTTGCGTTCACTGTGCACCCCTGCACCATTCGGCGCCAAGGTGTACAAATAGTCTGAGTTGATGTAGTAAGTCGCCCACCCGAAGCCCGAAGTCCGAAGTTGTGGCACTTGAATGATGTGAACAGAATCGCTAGCCATATCAGGTGTCCGGTAACGAAAAGCTCTTGTAGATGAAGTGACTTCATGTTTTTCTTTCTATTCATTTTTCTGGCACTAGCGTACATTGATGTCCTTGAAACTCACTGTGTGGCTGTCCTCGTTCGAAGAGCTGAACCTTCAGCATCGGCTTTGCTCTTGCGGTCATTGCCACGAAAAAGAAAAGGACGGACGACATCCACTCCAACGAACCCGATACATGTAATCAACATGGCAGCTCTACTCCTTCTCAATGAGGGCGCGCTTGTTCCGCCGCGCCGAGACGGAGGCTCCGCTCACTGAGCGAGAGGGTGAGTGTTCAGTGAGCAAGAAGGTGAGTCTGAGTGTGTTTTGTTCTTTTGCGGGCCAGTTTTCGAATCATCCATCAACTAACCGAAGGACGAAGCGGCGCGCGCCGGCGCCGCTTTGGGAGGCGGAGCCTAATAGCCCCGGAGCGAGCTGCGCAGATGCATCAGCATGGGCGTGGGCAGCACCGCGGAGCGGGGAGGACGTGAAGGAGGCGCCAGCGCTGCCGGTGGGTGCGCTCGCCGGCTACCGCGGTGGGCATTTTGCCGCGCCGCTGGCATCTGGGCCGCGTTGTGACTCTCGACGAAATACGGGAAGGAGCCGACCCGGGGCCGATCGGGTCCGCGTGGTTAGGTAGGGCAGGGGCAGCGGTTGCTTTGCCGGCGCCGCCGCCGGCCCGCCCTTGTTTCGGCTCGGCGCGAGGCGAGCGGGAAAAGGGCCGCGGGTTGCCCCGCCGACCTCTGTCGCCCCGGCCCTCCCAAAGATCGGGCGCGCCGCGGTGCTATTTTTTCCAGGCAGGGAGGGCGGCCGGTGCGCTTGCGAATCGCTCGGCCGGTCCGTCCGGGGCCTCCTCCTATCCGCTCTGCTGCACGGATACCGCCGCGGGCGAAATCGCGCAGGCACGCACGCGGCGCGCTGGCCGTGCGCCGCGTTCATGTGGGTAATGAACCCGTGCGATATTTCCCGGCGCGCGTATGGCAAGGCCCTGGCGCCCGCACGGGGCAGCCGGGCGCGTTTGGCCCGCCCCTTTGGCAGTGTGGCGCAGCGGCCGCGAGTGTTGGCCCGCTCGGTCGCTGGGTCGGCCCCGCCCCAAGCTGGGTGGTGTGCGGCGCTTTTCGTTGTCGCCCGCGGTATGGCGCCCGGCCGCCCCTTCGGGAGGCAACGCACGAACGCGCCCCGCGTTTTGCTGGGAGGCAGCGCCCGCCTGTTTTGTGTGGGGAGCGAGGGGCCAGCGGCCTGAAGGGATCCGCGCGCCGCGCGCACTTCTTCTGGTGAAGCAAGTAGCAGGCCTCCCCGTAAGTGGGTGTTGGTTGGCCCTGCTCGCGGTCGAGGCCCTGCGCGGGCGCGCTTGGTTTCATGCCTGGGGCACGTTCCGCAGCCCGTGGTCGGTGCCGCCTCCTGGGCCCGTTGGATGGCTCCTTGTCCCCAGCATTTATCTGTGGCAGGGACAGGAGGTTTAGCCCGGCAGCACTGCTTGCCCAGGTAATAGATTCTTGATAAGATTCGCGGCCGCTGTGCGCAAGCTGGCTAGGTGGGCCAGTCACGCAAACTTCTTGCTTCACATGACGCTTACACCCACCTTCCTGGGCAAGTGCTTGCGATTATTTGGGAACGCCCCTGAGCCAGCAACCGAAGAAGAGGATGTCCATTGAGTGGGCCATTGTTCGTCATGAGCGAGTTTTGAGATGACGTAGTTGATGAGGGTTTTATACACATTTAACGATGTCGTAGCGAGTTACGCGTGAAGCGACTGTCTATGCATGTTTTTCTTTTTAGTGTGTCAATGTCTATGTGTTGTGGTTATGTTTTCTTTTTCCCGGAGGATGAGGAGGAGCGGTGATTGAGACTTGTGGCGCCGCGTGTTTCAACATCTTCATCATCTATTCTGTACGTAGGGTAGGTCGATGAAGGTCGCGCAAGAAGAGTACTGGTTGCGTTCGTGCTGTCGTCGTCGGCAGCCCGCGATATAGCAATTGTTCTTTGTGATTGTGGAAAGGGGACGATGTTGACTAGCTCACTCCGCCACTCTTTGCTGCTGCTTACAAGGGAGGTAGCGCCCTAGATGGCTGCCTCCAGCAGCTCCACCTCCCCGTCCCGCGGCCAGCAGCCGACCCTGCTGCGCGACCGTCCGGCGCTCGATGACCCGCTTGCATCCACCGACCTGTTTGGGAGCGGAAAAAGGGCGGCCGATCACAATGCGGTCGCGCAGGGAAGTCTGGCGTCCCTGCGGAAGTTCGACCCGGGCGGCGGCGCGATTGGCACGACCGCGATCTTGCACCGCGACCAGGCGATCGACCAGAACATTCTGGAGCCGGATTTTAGCTTCCGAAGAAATTTCATCTCCGACCCAAACGTCCGGAAGTTGCCGCAGCTCCTGTGTCTCTGCGTCATCTTATCCACAGAAAATTTCCCATCCCCATCCAAAGGGCGATTTTTTTAATGAAAAAATCAATCAATTTTTCAAAAAAAAAATAAGGTGCGGACGGTAACGGCTGGACTATGTGCGTCATCATTCCGATAGCTAGCGACGTCTCCCGGAAGCAAATAGGTTTAGGTATATAGCTAGATCTTCCAAACACACATCAGATAAAGTCGGTCAGTGCCAGCGACGCCAGAGCCTGGGCCTACCCCTCGGAGAACCACGCTGGCTCGGCAGCATAAGGTGCTGGCCCGGCTTCAAATGAAGCTGAGACTTTGCCTCGGAAGGCTCGCGGCGAAAATTCTCGAACACTCTCGAGAATTTTCTTGCTCGGGCCTTCAAAAAATTTGAAAACGGTGCAACTTTCGAAAAAAACTCGCGTTCCCAAAAATCGTGGATGGGAAATTTTCGTACGGTGCTACGGTCAATTGAAAAATCTCCCATCCTCTCACTTCTAAAGAGAAACGAGTGGATGGGAGATTTTTCAATTGACCGTAGCACTGTACGAAAATTTCCCATCCACAAATTTTTGAAAATTGAATGGTGGTGAACAATTTGAGCATTTTCGCTACCATTTTTTTGTGGATGGGAGATTTATGCACGGTGCTACGGTGAGTTGAAGAATCTCCCATCCACTCATTTCCAAAGAGAAGTGAGTGGATGGGAGATTTTTCAATTCACCGTAGCACCGTACGAAAATTTCCCATCCACTTTCAAAAAGTGCCACTTTTCGCTCATTTTGGCTGATTTTCACAATGTTGCTCAATTTTCGCGATTTTTTGCTGTTGGCCGGAGATGAAATGCTCTCGGATTGTTCATCAAATCCGAAAAATCGGCTTGTGGATGGGAAATTTTCAGACACAAGCAGGCCCGCCCATATTACGACACATGGGGCCAGCGAGCATCTGCGCCGTCGCCTCCCCTGTCTCGGACCTCGGAATTGTGCCTTCAATGTGGGTGCTTTGATGTCAAGTAGCTAGCTAAATTACCTGATATATAAGGCTTCCGGGAAACGTCACTACCTAGTTCTCATCTCATGAAAACATCATCCAGATCATCAGCAAATACCTGTGAATTTTTTTGATTTTTTTTATGTTTTTTTGAATAAAAAAACCGGATTGTGGATGGGGATGGGAAATTTTCTGTGGATACATCTTCGTCGTCGGCTACAACTGCGTCCGCAATGTGAAAAATTGCGATGGCGAAGTGAAAACAAGAGTAATTGCTTCTGGATCTTCTACAACGCCTTCTCCTTCACCATCATCCACAACCGACAACTACTACGAGGACTTGATCCACAAGACGATGCCTCACGCGTTTCTCTACGGGGCGGATTGTGCCCTCCGCGGCATGCTCGCGGGTTTGATTCTGGGCGATATTGCGCAGATCGTTCTCGACCAGTTTCCGGATCTGCAGGAAAAGGTCAAAATTCGCCTTATCGCGAGTTCGTTCGGCATTGTGCTCGCGGCCGTCGGTGTCTTTCTCGGTTTTCGCGAACAAAACACGGACTACTTCTTTCTCGGCCGTGCGGGCGGGACGGTCATGTTCCTGCTCTACCATTTGTTCTCCATTGTGCGACAGTACGACAAGCCGACCTCCAAACTATTCGGCACTGGGAGGAAAATATCGCAAAACGAGGTCTCTTTCACGCGGGTGAACCAGGAAAGACGGATTCTGTTTTGGCGGTTCGTGAAGCTCTACGGCGTTTGGCTCCTGTGCTTCATCCTGTTTCTGTCTGCGAACCGGACTTTTTCCGAGCGGATTTACCCCGAAACTCGGTCGTGGCTGCAGAGCCAAATTCCCGATTGGCAGTACACGATCGCGTTCTTAGAGATGCTACTGGTCGCGTTTTTCTTTCAGGTCTGGCTCCCGCTGTTCTTCCGCTTCTTGGCGCACGGCGTGACGAATTTGGCGAAATTAAGACGCGAATTACTGTTCAACGAAGACCAGGCGGCGGAGTCTTTGATCGAGCACCAGGAGTACTGGGAGCGGATCGTGTTTTTCGTCAATTTTCAGATGGACTGCCTGCGGTTCTGCTGGGGACGGGCGTTACTCTTGCGGATCTCCCGCTACGAGCTGTTTCTGTTTTTGGTCTTGAAGGATAGCTTGTACCACTACCGGCACTTTGGGGTCTGTTACATCGACGCGGTGCGCTCCTTAATGGTAAAAGTGTTTGAGCCGAGCGGGGGAAAGGTCGGGCTAGAGCAGGAGGTGGAGCAGGTCGTGGAGTCGGAGTCGAGCTCTGAGGAAGAAGCTTTTTCGGACGAAGATGATGCTGATGCAACAAGTAATGCCGACGGAATTTTCGCGGACCAGGAAAGCAAAAACGACTTCTGCGCAACATCTTCAAAAAACGACAACATCAGCAGTCCGACGATTCCCAATGAAAACTCCACAACCAGCGCGCCAAATGTGAACGCTGCTTCATCTTCTTTAGCTGGTTGTTCGGGATCTCCGGTGCCCCCAGCGGCAAAAGCGAAAACAAGCCCTCCGGCCTCAGGAGGAACTCCTCCAGCAGCTGCCGCTGCAAAGCAAGGCCAGGGTGGACAAGTCGGTGAGGACGTGGGCGCCGCGGCGACCTCCACATCAGATGTTGCAAAAGGAGAAGATCCTCAAACGCACACTCCCGCCGCACAGGTGGCGCAACAACAAGATCTCACGGAGGAAAAGCCTTCTTTTCTGTCAACCGCGAAACGCAATTTCAAGTCTCTGACTTCGATTCCGTCATTTCTCACTGCCGTGTGGAAGTACGAAATCGATTTCCAGCAATTAGCTACAGCGGACGATCAGGTGTCGAAGAGCACGCAACTGAATTCGCTTTTCAAGAGCAACCGGAGGGGCAGCGTCGACAGTACGATCGCGCTGTTAACGGGTGGAGCAGGTGGGCGAGGAAGCTTTGGTAACGTTGTTGAAACAGCAGCTGCACCAATGGACAGTATAGGAGTTTCAACTACTACAGCAGGTGGCGGGAGCAACGCAGCTTCGCCTGCTTTTCCAACAGGAACAACTGCCGGAGGAACTTCTCCATTTGGCGCAGGAGGAGCCTCCAGCCGCCCCGGCGGCGCGTCTTCGTCCGCCACGCCGTCCCTGTTTTCGGGCGCAAACAGCACCACCAGATCTGCGTTGAGCAGCCAAAAAACAGTCAGTAAGCTGGACGAAGCGAGCGCGTCCTTGGCGAAGTTTGACGCGGCGGTGACGGGTCAAGTGAAAAACAAAGCGGAGCTGACGCGCGGATTGAAAATCAACGCCAAAAGTCCCATGATGCGAAAGAATTCGTCGGACGGAAGCGGCGGCTCAGCCATGATGAATGTGGGCAAGCAAAGCTCATTTGGTGCGAAGCAAACCACGAAAACCGGGTCGCAGCGAGAAGCCGGACTCATGGAGGAGCTACGTAATTTTACACTTCCTCGTAGTTCTTCTTTTTTGTATCTTGAGCTGCATTGTGCCCCACGAGTTCGTTTTGAACTAAACTTGTCAAGATGAAAGCATGCCGGCTTCCACGAGGAACGCGTAGATGAGAGATTGTGATGACCAACTTGACTTTGTACAAAAAAATCAGGGATGTTTCGCGAGAATTTGGAATCGCGGAAGACAGAGCTTGTGGATCGTAAATCCACGGTGAAGCAGACTCCGGCGAACACCCGGAGCCTCACCTTCAAAAGATTGAAATCTGGTTTCGGCATGCTGAAATCCGCCCCCTTGCGAAAGCAGACCCCCACGTCGAAACGGAGCCACAAGCGCAACGCAGATCCTGAAGCAGGACCGGAAAGGGGCAATCCCGCCGAGGAGAGCCCGACGCACTCAGACGACACTGATCCAGAAAACCCCACTGTCGGAAAGCAAAGCAGCGGTGTGTCCACTACGGTTGCATCTAAACGATCCTTCCGATCGCTCGCCCTTGGTGGGCGGTCACGTGTCCTCGGTAGGCTGTTCGGCGCGGGCGCTGCAACGCGGGATTGGGATGACGATGAGGACGAGGACGATGCCCAAACCAACAAGCGACTCAGTCAAAACTCCACTGACGAATACTCCGCCATCAATTTTCATTCTTCTCGCGCGATGCAGACGATACGGAGTCTCACACCGTCGGTGGTGCAGGATGTAGGCACGAGCACGGAGATGCTGTTGCGGGAGACCTTTCTGTCCGGTGCGCACATGATCAAAAACGTGTTCCCCTTGGTCCAGAAGCAATCCCACGTCATGCTGAGCAACAACGTTTGTGTGGTGGTTTCGAATCTTCCGGCCAACATCGGCAGGAGGAAAAGTGGCGGCAGTGTAGGGCGGGTTCCTGGTTCGGGTGGTACGGCATCGACAAAAGTGAAACGCTCGAAGTCCTTGCGGAAAAGAACCAAGAGCAGGAAATCGAACGCTTTTGATACCACCTCCACCTTCGGTGGTGACAAGACAGGTATTGACACGGCTGCACCCGATCTTGGCGACTGCGGGGGAGTAGATTTTTCCCCTCGCAGTGCTGGTGATGCTGTGCTAGCTCCTACGGACCCTCATGCGGACACCAGTACCAAAGAAAAAGATGCAGAAGATACTTCAACCATATTCAGCGGGCTCTCCAAGAGCGCGCACCTGCGTAGTGGCAGATGGGCTAGAACAACCGTCGGCGCCGGTAGCAACTCTAGCGCGGATCTCAATGGAGGAGCGACTAGCAGCAGGGGCGCAGGTTCCTCTTCTCCATTAAGGCGAAACAACCAACGAACCAGGACGGAAGTTTTTACGGAAAAACTAAAGCAAACGGTTTTAACGGGCAGTAAAACGGCCAAGGAACGGAAAAAACGAGACGAGGAGAGGGCGGCAGGGGATCAGTCGGTTGGGCTTCACGTCACAACGTCGCGAAAAAGCGGTCGGGCGAGTATTGGATTAGGACTGCTGGCGAAACCGAATGAGGAAAGTGCGAAGTTGCCGGGTGCGGGAGCTACACCAAATAGCGCGTCTGCTGCAACGGGAAGCGCGCACTCGCAGCGAGCGACATCGAGCTTCGACTTTTTCGGAAGTTTGTCCACGGGTAGATTCAAACGCAACAGCACGTTGGCAGCAGGTTCGACGGATGATTTGGTATCAGCTCCTGACGGAAAGAGCGAGCGCGATGCTCAAGTAGAAGTGCCGAAACAGGACGATGAGGAAGAATCCCTGGACCCCGTGTTGCCCAAGATCACTGAACGATCTGAAGCGCCGGATGTTGCAGGCAAGAAGACTTTCGGCCCTGCTGCAAAGGAGGCGACAAAAGATAATGAGAAGAACAAGCTCGGTATTCCTGGAGGTGGTGGACAGCAACAGCTGAGAGTCGGTTTTCGCTTCTCCTTGGTTTCCTCCATTTCCAAGCAGAGCTTCCGGCCCAGCGTCACGAAACAGGAAACTACGGACTCGGCAGCTGGTGGTGTCACTTCTGCGGCGTTGTTTTCCCCTTCGAAGTTCAACGCGACCAAGGCCGTGCGCGCTTTGGACGTGAATGCGACAGACGCGTTTTCCGCGATGACGAAAGCCAACAGCTTGATCAAGACTTTGGCCGGGTTCCAAACCGACAAACGGTTCTTCGCCCTGCGGGGGACCAACGCGAAAATGAACGCGGCGACGCGGGGTAAGATGCGTAGTCAGAACCCGGTGATCGACGAAATGCTGGAAGAGATGAATCTTGAGGTGTCTGCCGCGCATGTCGCCGTTGTCGAGGATATCTGCGACGCATTTCAGCTTCGGGTCTTTCTCCGTTACATGGCACGGTACATTGTGAAATTGATGACGTGTTTCGCCTTCTTGGCGACGCCGACGGTCGCAAGCTTGACCCCGACGAAGTATTTGCCTGGGTTTAACGAGTACTACGATAGCCACGCTTCAAGTGTTGAAAACAAGAACAGTCGGCAAACCATTTTTTTCGGAACAGACTCCCGGACCACGTTTCTCCTGATGGTGTGCACGTTTCTGGTTTTGGACTCGTTAGAGGCGGTGTTTCTGCTCTCCCAGGTGTTGCTGAAGTTCACGAATAAGCCGAAGGAAAAAATCAAAAAGTACAATGCGATTTTAGCGAACAAACCCCTGCGCTGGAGTTGCACGACGTTTTTAGTTTACGCCTTGATGGACGTCTTTCAGACCAGGTGGGATCCTTGGAGTCAGAGACTTTGGGAGGAGGAGATTGGCGTGGAAGGAAATACGGGTGGTGGTATAGGCGAAGTAAAGCCTTCTGGTCAGGGTCTAATGGCCATGCTCTTTCAAGCCTGTGAGGAAGACATTTTTAGTTTATTCTAGGTGGCAGTTTTTGGGCGATGAAATATTGAAACTTGTCCTTCTAGTAGGTACAACGTGGTTAAAGTTTACAATTTCATTTTTCATCATCAAATTGGAGATTGATGCTGGACTTTGCATAAAAATATAAAGCTTACCTGAGTGTGCGAGACTCTATCATATCGGTTGCGAAACAAGAGCCCTCGGGAAAAAGGTAAAAGCCAAGTTCACGTTGTGTCGTTGCCTGCAAAAGGTAAAAGCGAAGATCGGGGAGTCGGAGTGGTCTTCAGCTCTTGTAAAAAATAGCCCGCGATTGGAGAAAGACAAGGACATGAAAGTGGATTCGAGTTAGAACAACATGCGTTTTACATAATTGTAGTAAAAGTGACGCTGGTGGAGCTGGTGCCGGTGCGCAAAGTAGAACCAATTAATTCGAATGAATCTTCAAAACCTCTCGGCGAGTACTGCAACAAGAAATCGGCTCTATTGGAGTTAGGTGTTCAGCAGAAGCTTTTCCTCGATAATTTTCACCGAGCTCCAGTCAGAAGCACTTCTATCTCACTCCCATTGCGAAAAAGAACAGAGAGTCGGTTGCGTGTCTACCGTGTCATGATAGATTTTGAGTATACTCCTGTTTGCTGCGGGGTTCGTTAGGTACGTATGTTGAGCATGACGCTAGACAGGAGTACTCTCTTGCAATAGCCACAGCATCAGGACGACGAGGCGTTTGTACAGGACAAGGGAGCTTCGCTTGTGCAGATCATTATCCAGATCCCCAGTGACTGAAATTGTACCCCTACCCTTCTTGTCAATGATGCCGAGCAAAACCTAAACCTACTATCTACTTTAGAGAAAATTTTATCGCACAGTAACATTATATATTTTACTTAGGAAGAAACCTCGCACTTGCTCTGTTTTTTTGGTTTTGTAATTGTATCGGGATATATGGTGCTCCACTCGATTGGGATTTCGCACTAGCCCGTTGCTGATTTTTTTATTGCTAATACGAACAGTTTGCCGATCAATAAATGCTCACATCCACCTACTCGTCCCTCCTGATCTCTTCGTCTTGGAAAGGGGGCTGCGAAACGAGTAAGAGCCCACTTCTGTACTTCTCGCGCAAGTCGTCCTACCACAACTTACAAAAAGCTGTCAAGAGCATCGTGGCGAAGATGTTTTTCCACTTTCTCGTCCTCACCGCGGTCCTGCTGCTCTTTCCGGCGACCAATTTCTACGCGGCTACCGCGGCGCCGCTGAACACGGCGCGGGACCTTCACCGTCAGTACCACAATATCTTCCGCTATGGGAACCGGAACGCCGCGAGCCACCTGTGGGTTTCGTTTTTGTTGAAGAGTGAGAACTATCAAATGCAAAAATGTCTGGGTGGTCTGGAAGAGTGCGCGACTTGTCATGCTGCTTTTCCATGACCCATGATGTCTGGAATGCAGGATCTAGCATGACAGATTCTGCGAGACCTTTATCATGCCTATCCTGCATGAGAAACCCCCTCCAGACTTGGTTAAAACTGGACGACTTCTGGTAATCATGCAACACAGATTTTTACATCCATGCGTCAGATTTAGCATGACAAGTTGCAATCTTCCAGACCCAGACACTTTTACATTTGATAAGAACATGAAGGGATACAAAAACTTCGCGAAAATGGAGGAAATGTTCACGGCCTTCTGTCCGATTTCCGGCTCCCCCGTGAATCCCAACGATTACAACCGGTACGGGCTGGCGTTACCCGTCGTGCCGGAGTTAGCGGTCACGGAGGCGATGGAATTGCAGGCGGCAGCAACTGGTGCAGGCGGCACACAAACGTCTTCAAATCAAGATCCCACAGCAGTCGTCCCAGCTGCGTCAAACAACAACCCGAACGCCAGTGCTGCGACAGCAGCTCCGGACGCCATTTTACTTTCCACCGCGAACGCGGCCAGGTTTGGCTTCCTGCACTACTGCTGCTGGCCGTGCGTTTGCGACACCCAGGACTTCTTACGGGTGGACTCGAAGACAATCACGTTACCGGTTGGGAAAAACAAGTTGATGGAAAAGAAGTACTACTTCGTGGTGATCGGGAACCCCTGTGAAAAGCAGTCGCACTTGGACAAACAATTCTACCAACGTTTCGACGGCTATGGATGTGTCAGGTTTGAAACCGTCAAAGTTGAAATAGTTTGTCATGCATAAAACGGATACCAGTTAGACCTACAGTTTGTAGTCGGTGCATGACAAATCTCCCCGGTCCCGGAAGCGAGTCTGTCATGCGGTTTAGGGCAAAAGAGCTGCCTTCTGTCATGCTCGTCAGCAGTCCAACTTTTGACCCTTACCAGGAGTATAATCTGCCTCCCGTGCGTCCTCTGCAATAGCGTCACTTTCTGTCTTGCATTTTATGCATGGCAAATCATTTCAACTTTGACGATTTCAATCCTGACACCCCCATAATGGCCGGCAAACGACATTACGACGCGAAGCGCCGGAGGTCAGGTGTGACGAGGATAACAACCTGATTGGCGCGACCTATTCCGTATGCATTGCAAAAGCATCGCACTAGTATAAATTGCATGACAAATTTTGGCAAGAAGGAAAGTGGAATTTGTAATGCTGTTTTGCCCTAGGAAAAATATTTGTCATGCATATTTGCAATTAGTTTTAGTACGAGTGCGATACTCTTGCACAGGATATTCCGACCACGGGTACGTGATCATCGGCATGTTTTTCGATTCAGAACCGGTGACAAAGGTTCCGACCCGCTACACCACCGAGTTTCCGAAAATCGGAGACGATTTCTCCTACGTGCAGCCGGGCAGGCCGAGTTACAAAACGGTTTCTGTGTCCGCCGGGGACGAGGTGAAAAGTAGTAGTGATGAAACAGCGGCAGCGGTGGTGAAACATGGCGAGAAGAGGGAGAAGCAGTTGCAGTTCATGAACGAGTCGGATTTCGACCAGATGTGTGCGCAGCGGAAGGCGCAGGGCTACAACTCCGGAATGGGGGAGATTTTTCGCAAGGTCGCAGAGATTGCGCCGATCTTTCTGCCGCTGGGCATCGAAATTCCGCGGGACGCGAGCGCAACGAACGGACTGGTCGGGGGAAAGAAATTGGCTTTGCCGGCGGGAGTGGGTCGTTTTGGTGCAGCGGTTGGAAGCAGTGTTGGCGAAGATGATGGGGACGTTTTGAAGAAGACAGTGGACCAGAAAAACGTGCTCGGCGTCGACGCCACGGGCGCCAGGAGCCGGATCAGCAGTGGGGAACTGTGACTAGATTCGACGTTTCCGCTCGGGTTCAGTTTTGAGTTTCTAACACAGTTCTTTCGCAATTTGTTTGGGTTTTGAGTTTTTAGTTTACGAAAAAACCGTAACCGAGCTGTATTGCCTGAAGTTGAAATCATCCTAGTGCTGTAGGATGATGAACTTGATACGAGATGATCGAGGGGGCTCATACTTTATGTTTATTTATAGTACTAAGAAGTGTAGTTTATTTCCTTTTGTTAATCCCGCCCTTGTAGGGAAGGGAGCCCATGTGCTCGGAGCACAAAAGTACTTGGTCTGTCTTTAGGACCCAGCAGATGCCAGGACCGACTGGCAACGCGCTCAGAGTGAGACAATGTATCCGCCTCAGCTACGCGAGGCCTGTGGAGCATCTGGCCTAGTTCGGTCCGTGGAACGCTCGTCGCAGCAGGTCTAGCTCGCAGCTAGACCATCGCGCGCCGCCTTCAGCGTCTAAAAACATTGCCCACGCCCCTGTAGCCTCCCCTGTGGCATGCCCGTCGCATCCGATCGGTTGCGTGTGCAGCCCCGGAGCATACGACAACGGGACGCCAATACAGGGCCACGCAGCGAGCGCGCAAAGATGTGCGAGACACGAAGGCCCGCGACTGCCATGCGCCTCCCTGCCACCTAGCAAGCACCTGAAAGCCATGGGCCCGCGTCCGAAGGATTGGGCTGCGCCCCCCATCGCTCTTAGTTACGCGCGTTGACGCATGCAATGCCCTCGCAGGGCTGGTCCCTGCGCCTTTCCCGTGCGTCCGCGTCTGCCCTCCGGGTTGCTGCCGTAGAGGCTGCCCTGGCATCGGGGGGCCTGCTCGTAGTAGATTCCCCCCCTCCTCTCTCTATCTGTGGAGAGATGGAGCAGTAGCATCCGCTAGAATACAGGATGCACGATGAACGCGGCACAAGGCTTGTAGCCCGCCGCCGACATTGAAAGATCGTGGCAAAATCAATCAACACGACGCTCGTAGCGAAGACGCATTGATGCGGCCATCAGGAGCATGGATATAGAGCCCGCCGGTGCGCTCTAAGTCGCCCCCCCCAGCAAAGGGCGGCCCAGGCACCTCCAGGATCCTTGTTCACCTCTTGCGGCGTTCGTCCACATCACGAACGCAGAGGGTTCCTTCACACCCTTGCTCGCCCGTACTACGTTGGGTGGATCGCTTTCCGGGAGACAGGGTCAAATTTAGAGCACCACAAACCTCTCGCAGAGCCGCGTGGAGCGTGTATGTATGTATGTATTTCCTTTTGTTAATGTGAAGCACGACGACGGATTATATCGGTATCGACTTCGACGCCCACAATTAAAAAAACAGAAAGATGAAAAAGCAGAGCAGCACTTTCGTTCAGTAACTACTTACATTGTTGAGATAGGATGCACGCGCAGCAATGGCATGAAAAACTGTATATTTTTCACTGATTGGCAATGGTAACAAGGAAGAAAGGTTGATGTATCAAGCATGGCTCCTTCCCACCTTGAAGTCGTTTCATCCGCATAGCGCCACTTATTGTTTCTTTTCGTGTGCAGTATCAACACAAATGATGTCCCTGGCAGCAACGCACAAAGTACAATAATGATGATCCAAGGCAAGGAAGTAAGTAACCAATGACCGAAATGAGAAGTTGGATCGGGCGACAAGATTACGATTAGTTGTTCTATTCCCGGTGAGTTCGTGGATTGCGTGCACTCTTGGAAGTGATGGCTTTTCGGGTTATCCGACCAACTTCATGACTTAGCGCGCGGCCGCGCTGAGGTGTTCACTCTGCCGCCGCTCATGTCGTGGCGTCTTGATCGCAGTGGGCCCCTCTCGATCGACATCGAAAACAGGCGGGCGGGGGCGCATTTATTTACGCAGATCGAAGGCCACCGGCGCAGGGCTGGCGTTTGCCGTCGCAAAGTGCAGGGGCTCTACGTCGTGCGCCGCCCGCCCAACCGCTTGGGGTGCCTCCTGTGGGCCCCTTTTGCGATTCTACAAGGTCAAATGACAACTTTCGCCATTTCGTTCTCCGCGAAGTTGCGGAACTGGCGCGGCGCATGCAGAAAGACCGGCCGCGCCAGACCACCCGCGGCGCGGCGCCGGAGTGGCGCCGCCATGGCCCGCTTTCGTTGCGCGAGAGCAGCCCGGCGCGTCTCGACGCCGGCCGGCGCGCCCGTTCCTTCTTTGGGGCTTGTCTGCGCCCCGCCCGCGCGCCGGGCGCCAGCATGCCAGCCCGCCGGCCCGCGCCTGGGTGGTTTGTTATCGGGGGGTGGGGCCCTCTGCTGGTCTGTCCGGGGCGAGCGTGCATCCTGCTCAAGGTGGTCCGGAGGCTGCACTCCCTGTGGGGGCAGAGGCGCCGGCGGAAGAATCGCGAGGCTCGTCCTTAGGGTTGGCGCGAGCAAAGTGGAAGAAGCCTCCAAGACATGCGCCACCTTCGCAGAGGAGCACGAGTGACCGGCGCAAGCCCCTGCGCCTGTTTTCGCCGCCGCGCGCCGGCATTGCCTGCCCGCCGAGCCGACCGCGCTCGTATTTTGGCAGGCCGGCGGCGCGCGCGCTGCCCTGCGCGTTTCTTCCCGGGCTGCCGCCGGCCGGCCGGCCCGCCCCCGCGCCTACGCCGCAACTCCGGGGGGGCGAGGGTGGCCGCCTGGCGTCGTCGGCGCCTTTGCCTGGCCCCTCTGTATGTTCTTGGGCAGCCCACCTCCTGTCTGGGTGTGCCCCGCCGGTGTTGCACCTTAGCCGCGCGCCCCCGCCCCCTTCGCCGGCGCCCCATCGGCCGCTCACTCTGGTCCCGCCTTGCCCAGCTTTGTTTTTTTCATTGCCTTCGCGGCCCTGCTTGTTTGACTGGGCATCGCCGCGCAGGGGGGGGGGCGTCAGCGCGCAGCGGCGTCGGCCATTCTTCCGATCCCGGGTTCGGGGTGAAGAACAACATTAGCCGCAGCCTTTTGGCGGGCCGCCGCGCGCCCGCGCGAAGCGCGCGGACGGATCTGTCCTCAGCATAGATACCTGCCTGTCATCTTGCTAGTTTTGTCCCTCCCGGGCAGTTGTGCGCGGTTTGTCAGTGTCATAACCTGTTCTATTGTGCCACGTTCTTCAGCGGCACTCCTGCGACAGCGACACCACCGATGGTCGGCAGTTTATTCCAATTCCTGCGTATTCCTTATGGAGCGCCGGATATCATATTTGGTCAGACAGTGGAGGTTGAGAGGGCCATCGCTATCTCTTGTTGGTTACATGATGTTGACGCGAATGAAATCGATCATGAATCGTGCGAAATGAGGATGAGGGAGAGAGACAGCTTTTCCGAGCTTCGTTCATTGAGCGAGCGTCGTACTTGTGTGTGGTACATGGTAAAAACATCAAGTCAAGATGAACTTGAAAGCAAAACAGACGTGACATGATAATCACGATACTCAATGTGAATATTTTGCTGCTCGGTTTTTCGCGCAGAACAGAACTTAGTTTCCTCGATCATAGGGAAAGTCTGAGCTTTATTTACACCATAGAGGTTTGTGCTCATCTTGCCAGGAGACAAAATAAAGCCCCCGGCCATGATCGTTCGCTTCTGGTGAAAAAGGTGCGCCGCAGCCTCCCATGAAGGAATTCTCTCTGCCTGACGTGCTTCACAGCCGGGGGGACCGACCTATCAACCTGCACCAGTAGAGCGCAAGCGGTGACGGTGCCTCGCTGCGCACGAATAGGCAACATCACTAAAGAGGAGACGAAATGGACGAACTCGAGAGCGTTCCGGCGATTCAAAGTGAGATCCGCGTCTCTTCCGCCTCAAGGTCCCCGCAAAACAAGAATTACAATCATGCAGCTGCAGGAACTGCTGGCGCAGCTACAGCTGGTACTTCGTACGGCACCGCCGGTGTAGTTGGCTCTCATGTAGTCCAACACGAGCACCACAAGCACAATTTCACTCACAACCCTTCCACCGCTTCTGGCACTACGACCTACCACTCGAATTCCACGAATTCCGGTTCTGGTATTGGTGCGAACTCACTAGCCGACCACTTTCATGGCACTAACAGTCTACAGCATCGTCCTTCCTCCTACGGTTCCGGAGGTGGTCCTTCGCCGACAAAATCGTTACAGGGTGCAGGTGGTGGAGGAGCATATCAATATCATGCAGCGAACCCTGCAACGTCGGTGACCAAGGGAGCTGCAGCTACAGCATCTTCAAAACCCCGTGGCGGCCAACATGCTGGCACGACTGGACGGCAGCAAGGCGGGGGTGGGTACTATTACGAAGCGGCGAGCAGTATGGATTGCACATTGGTACCGGACAGTGATGCAGCTCAAACGCAACATGTTGCTCACAAGAATATGCAACCGGCTCAGATGAAGGGACGACAGCAGACCTGGTCCTCCTCTTCCGCCAGCCCAGCTCCGGCTACTGCAGTAGTTGTTGCCAACAAAGGAATGAGCACAACGCCAACGCAAAAGCAAGGCAACGAAGTTGGCAAAGGAGCGGGAGTTGGAACAGCGGCGCAACATAGCGGAAAACCGGTGATTTCCGTCCCTGTCGACATCATGAAAGGCGGTAAGACCGGCGGACTCAATTCATCCTCCAAAAGCAAAAACTTTTCAACATCATCTGCACCTGGAACAAACCAGCAAGCTAACCCATACCACTACCACCCGGACCAGCGCGGCGCTGGAAAGCCATCTTCAGGCGGCAAGGGGGGCAAATCAGGTAGTAAAGGTGGCTCATATCAAGCGCTTTACACGTATGAGCAGGTGGATATCACGCACGGAGCCTCCACCTTGGTGGTGCCGTCGCCGGGGCAGCAGATGGCGCAGCAAGTCGTAGCTGCGGCAGGGCCGCGTGAGCAAGTCGTCGTGGTCGAGCATCCAAATAACCAGCCACACGGTGGCAAGATCATGAGCGCAAATAAAGGCGGACCGCTGTACAAAGAACCAACTCCAGGTCCTCCTGTGTACAATACGTCCTCCCCGACTAAGAACGTGGAGGAATTTCTTGGGGCGAATTACGTCAAGGGAAAGGGACAGAAACGCCCAGCACCGCCGCCACCGGGGACGAGTAGCGCAGTAACGGTGGTAGTGCCGCCCCAACAGGAGGCTGGGGCTCTACGAAGAAATGTTACCGGGGGAACTGGTATTAAAGGTGCAGTTCTTCCGTGTGCGTTGCTTTGTGTTATTCTTAGGGTTACGATGACGAGACGAAACCGAAGCTCTTTATGAAAACGAAAATATAAAGCCTAAAGCTAAACAAGCACATCTAGAATCTGAAACTTTGTCCAACCGTCCATCAAGGTACACCCGCCCGCACACTTTCAGACCTCCAGTCCACACCGCACAAGGTGCCGCCAGGGTTGGAACCGCCAGTAGCAGCAGGGCAGCGAAGCGTGAACCTAGTTGATCACCCGAGCATCACTCGAGTCGGAACCGCCCCGCTTTCCGAGGCCGGAGTTTCAAGCCGACACGGTTCTCGACGGCAAAGTCGCACCTTGGTGGATTATTTGGAGTCGCCGGACTGCAACAGTACTAGCGGCAATTTCAACACTTCTGCTGGGTCTGCTGCCCCTATTGGCGGTGGAGAAGCTGCAGCTTCAGCTTCTGGGCCGCAGCAACAAGGGAAAACCAAAAGTGGGTTTTTCTATCAAGAAGTCGAACTGTTGCCCAGATCGTCCTCTTCGGCTAGCAAGGGCGGGAATAAGGATAGCTCGAAGCCGACACCAAATTCGGTGGAGCACCAGCATGACACTGGCACAATCACAACGAAAGGTGCAGGTCGGAGCAAAAGTGGTAGAAAGGCTTTAGAAATCATCTCGGACAGCACGACAAGCAGCAGTAACAAGCAGCCCCGTGGCAAGACGCCATCCTCGAGCTCAAAGTCTACTTCGAAGCAGCCGAACAACAAAGGCCAGAATTCGTCCGGCGGTGGGGAAAACAATACGAAGATCAAGTCCACGAAAGACTCCAACGTGTACGGTGCGAACAGCAAGGGCGGGATGTACGATATGCAGCAGGAGCAGCATCGCGGCTCTACTCCAAGCAGCAAGTCGAAATCAGCTTCCGGCTTGTCGTCGAAAGGTGCAAGTACTGCGGGGATGAATTATGGGAAGCAACTAGCAGGAAGTGTTGATAAAGATAATCATGACCCGCACCTAGTGAACCTAACGGCGCAGTACCAGGACCCAACGCAGGCTGCAGTGTTGTATGACAGCCTCAGAATGGAAATCCTCAAAGTGGAAATGATTTGTGATGCATGAAATGCGACACCAAAAAGACTGTATTGCAGAGGACGCAATGGAGGCCGATTATTGTCCTGCCAGGGATGAAGAATTGGAGTGCTGCTTAGCACGAGAGAAGGGCACCCCTTTGCCTTAACCTGCATGACAGACATGCTTTAAGGGTCCGGAAAATTTGTCATGCGCCGACTACAAATGGCGCTTCAACTGGAGTCGTTTTTTTGCATCACAAAATTTCCACTTTGAGGATTTCCATTCTGAGGCCTTCATATGTTGTCCACGCAGTCAACTCCCTCGAGCACGACGCATTTCAATGTTGCTTCTTCCGCAACTAGTGGCCATCCTAGTGGAATAAAGTTAAAGACCGGCGCTCTTCCGGGGAGAACGATGTCGTCTGGCCGCACACCGAAACACGTGCATCAATATTCCATTTCGACGACGTTTAGTACAGGAGCAGAACAACAACATCAAGCAGGTTCTTCTACTTCGAAGGGTGGTTCTTCAAAAGGGCAACACAACTCCAACCGAGGGGAGAGGCTGACTTTCTACAATTTTCCCGAGGGATGTCCGTTACCTTCTAAGCAGCAGATCTCGAGCGGCAAGGGCAGCACGGTTCCGAATTGCACACTGGAGCAATTTGATCAGGATATCAAAGCGGGGTCGGAGTATGACAATAAGCAAATGCAGCGGGTGCCGAAAGCAGTTGGCAGTGCTGTGAGTACTGCTTCGACCTCATCATCTGCAACTACGCTTGTTCATCTGGCGGGAGAAGATGCTGGTTCTGATGCAACTTCTTCTGCTGTGACTGAGAAACTACCTGCTCAGCAAGCACAATGTGCTCCGAAAATGAAAATAAAGCAGAAATTCGACTTCACCATTCTCCGCGAAATCGTGTGGAAGTACCTGGGATACAACGTGGAAGAGATGAAAGCCAAAACAAACAACTCTTTCCAGTACGAACACTACAAGAAAGACTGCATTGCGTGGCTGCGGTTCTTGCTCTCCCAAGAATCGCAGAACTGCGAATGGAAGTTGGGCTACTTGCTTGCGATGTGTCTGAAGGAGGATTTTTCACCGGCGGAGGAAGAACAACCTGCGGAAGAGCAGAGTCCACAGGACGGCGCAGCGGGGGCTGCACCTGTAGAAGGTAAAAGCACTGAGGTAGCAGGGGAACATGATCAAGATGCATCAAATCAGGCGGACAATAAAACCAAGGCCGCGGCGAGCACTTCTAAGTCAGCGTCGAACACAACCACGACCGCCTCGACTTCATCGAAAGCGACGTCGAGCGCGGTGAACAAAACAAGTAACACGACGACCACAACTACGAACAATAAGCCGAGCATTCTCGAGTACGTGCTGGATTCGCAAATGTTCTCGCTGTTGACGCAACTTTTCATCCAAGACACGAAAACGAAAAAAGTGGACGAACTGGAGCAGATTTTCCTACAATTGGGCGGCCGGAAAAAGAACTCGCACGTGCTGGCAGCGATGATTCGCGGATATGGGTGTAAAGGGTACTATAGAAATTCGAACTAGAAGTCGATGCGTTTAGAGTTTAGTATTTGACTGCTGATGCTTTTTCTTTACTCCAGCGTCATTTTTGGTTTTGTTCCTTTGTGATGCCTGCGGAGAATGAATCAAATCATACACTCGTCCCTTAACCCTTTTCATCACATCTGAAAGATTCCCCAATAACCTCTTCACCACAGCCACTGGAAATCTTCCCTGAAACTCTTTCTGCACGCCCGCGAGCGGCAATTGGATCCGGAGTCGAAGGATTACGAGTACCGCTATCTCTGCTACCAAGCGGCCTTAGACTGGGCCCTGCAGAACGAAATTTCCTTCATGATCTACACAGTTTTGCGGTTTTGCCAGATCGACCAAATCCCCATCCGCTACCCCGGAGGAATCTCCAATAACAACTCCCTCGTGCAGCAACAGCACAGCGGTACTAACAATTCGAATTCTACTTCCAACGTTGCTCCCGCTAGTAGTACAACTCAGAACCAGGTGCACAGCAGCACGAATTATGCAACAGCTTGTGATAGCCATAACCAACAGAACCCAAACGACCAACAAGCGCTGAATCACTGCTCCGGGCCAACTGTCGGTGGCGTAGATTTTGTTCGGTGGCCGGTGGAAGAGTTGAGGTTTATCTGGCCGGAGGAGCCGGGGCTAGGGGCGCCAAAGATCAAGTATTACGTCTCTCCCTCAACCCCGGAGGACAGAGTCGACGGAACCTTCAAACCCCTGCCAACGCACTGCATCGTCACCGATCCGCGGCTGGTGGAGTTAGAAAGAAGCGATCCGGAGTTTGCGAAGGAAATTTCCGCAGCGAACAACGGGGATGGTCGCGGTGTGACAGAAACGATAAACCAGCAGGCTGCACAGCATCACGCGGCCACAGTGAGCGCATTTCACCCTACAGGAGGTGCACCAGGTGCTGGTCCTGTCTACGGAGGTCCTCCGGCCGCTGAATTGTATCCAGGTCAGCAGATCACGTCGTACCCGTATCCCTCTCAGCACCAACACCCACCTGCGCAGGCTGCGGAGCACCACCGCGGCCACGGCCACCATCATCAGCAGCACCATTACGAACATTTCGCACCAGCTGCACTCTACCAAGAACAGGAATACCATGCACAACACCAGTACTACGACCCCTACGCGGCGGCCGCTGCAGCAGCTTCCTACCACCATCACTACGACCCGGCAGGCGGAGGTACAGTAGATCCATACACAGGAGCCGCTCCCTACAACCCTCACGATTCCTCGTCTCTCCTTCACAACCAATCTACGCTGACCGGCGACAGCATCACGCCCATTGCGGCGGACCCAAACAACACCTCTATGCACGGCTTCTACCACCACGACCCGAATTGGAGTCAGGGACACGATTTCTGGCCTCTGTCGGTTGAACCCAGCCCGACTGGGGCGGAGGGCGGGCAGTTCCTCGATTTCAATAGGTATAGTACTCATGTTGAGTACAACAGCGGCGGTGTAGGACCAACATCTGCAGGTAGTTCTGGCGCCGGAATTATGGCTGCATCTTCAGCGGCTCCTGGTCATCTCGCGCAGCAACCTCCGCCGCCTTCGGTTGACAACACGCCCGCCGCGGCCTTTCACGAGTATTTCTACGCGGGACAGCAAGAACATCAGGAACTACACCAGCAGCACCACCAGCCCGGTTCGTTTTCGCAAGAAGACTATGACAGTTACTACGCGCATTTGGCAGCTTCGATGGGTGCACCAGCTGGAGGACCCTATCATGGCGCGGAACCGTCTCCGATTGGATCGGAGGGGCACATCGATCCGAATTTCGGGTTTGAAACCTTTGAACGGCAGAACTCTTTGCTGGTGCTGGGAGAGGACCACGCGCTGTTGAAGAATAGCAGCCCGGGAACGCGTGCGGTGTGAGAGGGAAGCGGGCTCCTGAGCAGGGAAGAAGCATGGTGTAGAAGTGGTGCCTCTCGCCTGTATTAAGAAGAGGAGAAAGTAGAGATCGACGCTTTTATTGTAGATGATTTGTCTTCAGTATCTAGGTCAACTCGAGTGGGATGTATGAATTGCTCGAAATTAATTTTTGTGATCAGAAACCGTAACCGAGGATGAGGTTGAGGATGGCCGCCGGGTTTTGATTGCAGGAATCCCGCTGATAGAGATAGACGGCCCACTACCTGTTACATTTTTGAATTTAGAATTAAATTCAGAGCTGCCCGTAGACTAGGAGCAGAAAAATGTAGTCGAGACGTAGCAACGCCCTTTTTGAGCACAAAAGTGAAGCGAGAACGACGCCCTTTTTGAAGCGAGAACGACGCCAGCCAAAACCTGAGCCGCAGCGGCATTGAACTAGCGCCGCGTCACGCCTCTAGTATGGAAAGTCAAATTTACTTTTTCAAATGTTGTATGTCCGCTAGCCGTGAAGATATGACACGATACGAGTACCGCTATTGTTCTCACGACTTGTGCTAGACAGACTTCTGAGAACTTACTACTTTACCTTTGTTTCAATTTTATTAGCACCAATCTATGATATTCTTATTCAGTATTCACAAACACAAAAAGCTACACTGTAGTTAAGCAAAATTTGTTTGAAATGCACAATCAAGTTCAAGAACAGTATCTATCAGTTTCTGGCAATGAGCTTCTGTTTTTATTTTTTTGCCCCAAAAAATAACAAAGGCGAAGTCGATGTGTGAGTGTGAGTCGGCACCGCGCTCTACTAATGAACTATAACACCGAAAAACAATTCTTCTACGTTCTAGCGCCACGCTTTATTTATTCGACAACCAACTGCCTGGCAGCCAAAACCATGTACAATCAACACCAGCTTTTCGAAGACAGAGATACGAGTAAATTGATTTTCAATAATATCGCCGAGTAGCATGTCTATTTGCATCAACAGAGTATTCTTCGTGCACTTACCTATCCGTATCATGGTATGACAGATTTTTGAACGGGATGGAGATGCTGCAGATCTTTTAGCAACGAGGATTGCGAATGACATCAAGACTCGGGAATTCGAATTATTACAAGAACTTGTAAATAAACAGAAGCAGCACAGCACCAAGCAACCAGAGACAAAAGAAGAAGTCAGAAACTAGTATCAGAGCAACGATAGCAGCCACTTGTAGCTACGTGTAAGATTTTATTACTATACTCCGACAAACAGTCTGCATCTTGAACTTCATTTCTAGAGTCGTTGACTGAATGATGGAAAAAACGCGAGCGGTGGCGGTGCTCATCGGCACCGCGCCGCAAAATAAGAGGAGAAACAAAGACAGGCGCGCCGGGAGTTTTAACAAGGGCGCGCGATGTTGTTGAATCAAAGTCATTATATGATAAATAACACTGCTCGTCGTGTTGTTCCCAAAAGATGGCAGGGCGACTAATGTTGTTCTTGTGGGCGGCAATGTCGCTGGTCGTGCACGTACATACCGGTGCTCCACGGCAGGTTCTTCTTCTGAAGGCTACTTTTATTCGACGATGTTCCGTGTCGCTTTCTTGTGTCTGTTGCCTAGTTTTCTCTACTTCCATCGCCACCGAGAACGACGCGGCGCGGGCCGGTATGCCATCGCAGCGGCGGCGCGCGGCCATACCGCGACGCGGCAACAGGGCGGCCCCAGGGGTGCGGGTGGTGGTTGTGGCCTGGTGTTCCCGCTTTCTGGTTGCTGAAGAAGCAGCCTGCTGCGTTGCCGTCTCTGCCTGCCCCTGTGGGCCGACCGGCCAACCCAAAGGGCCCACCGGGCGCCCTTGGTGTTTTCGCTAAGTTGAGAGACCGGGCGCGGGGCTTTGGTTGCAGATACCCAAGCCCCCAAGCCTGAAAGTTTTGGCCAGGTCACGAGCGAAGGTCGCCAGCGGCGAGATTTGTGGACGCCCCTGCCTTCAAAAGCAGCCGCGGGGGAGCCAGAAGTTTCCGGCAAGCCCGCCGCCAATTGTGGCCCAGCCATCGTCTGGGGGGGGGGTGTGGCGCCTTCCGGCCCGCCTCCTTCCGTCCGCCGGGTTCTGGTGTTGGGCTTGGGGGTTCTTGTTGAAATCCGCCCGGCCGCGCCCCGGGGCATGTGTGCTTGCTAAAAGGTGGGCCGGGAGGAGACGACCCGCCGGCGCCGAGGTCCGCCGTGATGTCCTCGGAGCCTCGCCAAAGGTTTTCGATCGGGCCCAGCGAAATCCGGGCGGGGCGCAGAAAGAGGCTCGCGGCGTCGGAGCTCAGAACCATTCTCGGAAGCAAGCGCCGTCGGTGCAGTGGAGGCGTTTGCCGCGATTCCGCGTCGCTGTCTGCGCGCTTTCCTCGTAAGTAGGTCGCGCGCTTTCGGCGGGGGGCAGGGCGAGGATGGCCCCCGGCCTAAGTGCCAGGATTCACCCAGCCGCGGGGGGGCCAAGCTCATCGACGCCAAGCCCATGAAAGAAAGCGCGCGCAACCGGCTGCGAAAATCGCAACACGGGCAGGAAATCGAAAACGGGCCCTGTCCATCCTTCAGCGATTACCGCGACCGGCTGCAGGCGCCTTGGGGCCCCCGGGTGTTGGAGTGGTACTTGGAAGAGGCCGAGCCGAAGGCGCAGGGCGTGACAAGGTCGGTTGGCGAACTTCAGCCGGGCCCCAGGAAGTGGCCCCATGGCTTGACCCGACGACAGGGGCCGCGCGCCCGGCCAATCGCCGCCATCGGCGGAATAGATTGGGGGCGCCGGCCAGGCTCGAAGTCGCAGCCTGCGCTATCTTCGGGCCGGCGCCGATCAATTTCCGCACCCCGCCCGCACAGTATGAAGGGTGGGCGCCGCCACTGGCGCGCCGTCCGGCCGTCCCCCAAAAAATGCCGGGAGGGGCGAATGTGGAAAAGGAAAAGCGCGCGCGCGCCGGCAAGCAACCAAGTGGCGCCGGGCCCCGCCCGGGCCGGCTTCGCGCCGGGCGGCAGGATAGAGGCCGGGGGGCGCCCTTGTTCGTAAGGAACGAAGGGCAGCTAGGTTGCTCTTTTCCTCCGCCGTGTATTTTATGCGAAGGTGGGGCCTCAAGCTTTGTCGGCCTCGGCGCAGCAGTTGCCTTGCTTGCGTTTGACAACAAAAGGGCCTGCTTAGAGAATACAGAGCGGACTATCATAGTGAAAGCATATATGTGCCCCCGTCCAATTGCACAATGTGGCGCCATGTCTCTGGTTGTGGTTGATGAAACAGTTCCGTCTCCGTGTTGTTTTCACGGACGATGTTCTCTTGACCCGTTCAGTATAAAAGCTTGAGCATCCTCTTTTTGGCCCCAACCTCAGAAAAATCAACCCAGACATCGCTCACAGACGCAGTCTCTCCTCGTGTATACCGCACAGTATCTTCTTTCTTGTTCTCTGAGTCTGAACGAACGCACAACTGCGGAAATAAAGCCAACATGTCCACCACCGCGCTCCCAACGCCCGTGCGTGTTGTCGTTCCCCGAGGTACAGTCCGATCCTCTTCCGCCGCGCCTCACCGCAGGAGGAGCAAAGACGCAACAACCGGCACACCCGTCGTCGATGTGGTTGAAGAGGATCTGGATATCTTCGGGAAATCGATCGAAGACAATGTGGAGAATGTTTTGTGGTTCGGTCCGGCGAACGCAGCGCTGAAAACTGTCGGCTTGGTCGCGTCTTTGGATGACGATGTTGGCGCGAGTGTTGTGGGTGTTTCCTCATCGTTGTCCAGCAGCAGCAAGTGCTTTGTATTGCAGAAGCTCGCTCACGCTGTGGATTCGAAACTGCGGAAAATTGTTGAACGACATCCAACTTTTATCGCGAGTGATAAGAAGACTGATGGCGGGGGACCACCAGGCCGCAGCTACAGCTTTTCTGTCAGTTGTGTTTCCGTTCCGAACCAAACAAGTGCCACTACCGCCCCTTCTGTCGACAACCAGCCTCAGATCCTCTGTCCCAAAACAGCCTACGACAGTAAGGCGGAGCTGTGGGAGGAAATCATCCGAGAAAGATGCCTTGCCAACCGTTGGCGCATGGCACTGTCTGCTTGTGATTCCCAAGCCGCTTCCAGTCTGCTCTTCACTTGGACCGTGGAGAGAAAGGCAGACGTGGTTGGAACTAGTACTGGAGTCGCGGGTGGCAGTTTGCATCCGGCGCTGTCGTTCCTAAACAATCCGTCGAATTCCAAGAATTCGTCCGAGGAGTTCCTGTTCATGGTGCAGCTATTACTCCTGCCGACCATGGCAGCCCAAAGTGGCATCTACGACACCTTTCTCAAACAGGTCGCCGTTTCCAACATTCACCGGCAGCTGACGACGAAGGACACACCGAAAAGACAAATAACGGCTCCAGGAACTACTACAGAATTCCCATCCATCTCCATCGAACAGCTCCTGCAGTGCTTTTTTGCCTGCTCGACCTTTCGCGCAACCGTTTTGCTGTTCGGTGAGGGAAGAGAAAACGGGAATGTCGTGAACGCGTTGGAGATCGCGATTGGAGAAATGCGAGCAAATTTATCCAGGAAAAACACCCATCCCCATCCAATTTGTCATGCAAAACATGCATAAAATCCACTTCCACTGTTTGCCATGCCAAAAATGGATGGGGATGAGGGTGTTCTCCTGGATAAAATTTCGCAGCATTGTCAGCTGAAAGTCTCGACCACAACACAATCAAGGACCACAAAAGTGTTGATAAGATTCTCCAATCCGTCGGACGAGTCGTGCCAGAATACATGAGTTCTCTGAGCAAGAGGGTGACCACGGAAAAAAGTTCAACCGCGGCAGGGGCAGGAAGCGGCAGTATCAAAGCGGAGAAGCGGGTTTCTTTCGATGGCGCAGCAGCGGAACAGGCGGGGAGCTCGGGAGGTCTGCCGGGAGGAGGAGGTGGCTTGTTAGGCGGAACATCGAGCGACAAGACTGCGACTGGTGTTCCAAAGATCATAAAGAGCAACGAAAATAAGGACTCAACCACTTCTGTGCCTTTGTTCTATTTGCTCGGTCGACATCTGGATCCCGTGTTAGATCAGGCGTTTTGTTTTGGTTTCCAGGAAAACACTGTGGCTCCTGATCAGATGAAAGTTGAATTTTCTGTCCGAGAGCCACTCTGCACGATTTCATCTACATCTGCCGCGGCCTCAGCATCAAACTCCACGGCAACATCTTCATCCGCAGAGCGGAGCCAGGTTCTGATAGCGCCTGGCGAAGACGCCGCGCAGTCAACGATGATCACAGTTTACCCATTCGCTTCGTCTTCGAATAAATCCGCTGACGCTACCGGTGTCGGTGCAAAGGTAACACTTCAACTGAGCTTACCTGCTCCTGCAGCTTCTTCAAAAGCAGATCACACCGGCGCCGAACAACCAGCAGCCAAGCCGAATGTGATCTTGACAAAACCTCCTCCAGGAAACAAGTCCTCATCTTCTCTGAAGCTCCGGATTAACGGAGTTTTGCTTCGAGACGAGAGCTATGCATTGCAAAACTATCGTACTAGTATAAATTGCATTACAAATTTTCCCAAGAAGAAAAATGCAATTTGTCATGCTATTTCAGGTAGAAAGTTGGATTTGTCATGCATATCTGCAATTAGTACGAGTGCGATACTTTTGCACAGGATAAGAGTTGTGCGCTCCAACCAGGCGATCTTATTTCGCTGAACGACGTCGGCCCGGTATTACAACTCGTATCCGGGGAGAATAAGAAACCTGACTTTCCGCAGCCGCTCCCCTCCGCAAACGAAATCCAGACTTTGGCTGCGATGAACCTGCGGGAAAGCAGCTCCTCGGCGGATGGAGGCTCCGCCGGCGGAGACAGAACGCCGATCAAGGATCCGTACTTCTCCAGTGCGTATTTCAACGACACATCACCCACCGCGGTGCGAAAGTCTGGTAGTGTGAGTCCGACGAGAAATAGGAGTGTGGGATTGGGATTTGCACAAGACGATCCTGTACAGCACCAGCGCGAACGAACGCCCGCAGATCAAGCACCGCCTCGATTGCGATCTTCACAAGGTGGAAACGCAACCTCATCTGCAGGAGCCACGTCGTCCTCTCCTGTCTACGAGAAGATTTTATCCGAAGCATTTGGAATCAGTCGCGATCCGCTGGCGACGGAGGGGAATCTTTTGTTGCAGGAATTCAACTTGTTAGACGTCGGGAGAGGAGGTTGCTTCGAGAAAATCTTCGTAGCATCTGCATCTGAGCAAAGCAGCACAGCAGGTTATAGTAGAGGGACAAGTAAAAGTAGAGGAAGTGGTGCTCGGAAGCAGGTGCTCTACTCGTATCGCTCCGAGTACTTTGACTCGGAGAAGATGCTGAAAAACTACTTGCCGAATCTGCGGTATTTGTACGCCGCGACAACAGGGGTCAACCCATCTTCTGCAAGTGCAGCTTCGTCAGCGGCACAGGAACAAGCTGGTGCTCCTACAAAAATTGCAGGAGCAGGAGCAGTAACATCCACAACCACGACCAGCACCAGAGCGTCGCGCCTCGCAGACTTGATTCGCCAAGAGCCATGGCGAGACCCGTGCAAAAGTTCTTGGAGTTCATTGGATTTGGAGTTGTTCCTTGCCGGATGTTTGTTAAAAGGCGGAGGAAACAGCAGTAGCACGGCGACTGGAGGTGGTGTAGTATCAAGCGCTGCAGGTGATGGCACGGCAGTGCGGGAACAAGAACCAAGCGACGCACGGGCAGTAGCCGCGACGGCCGCGGCCTCTGTGCCTGCTGTTTCATCGCACATTGCGGCTTCGTCCTTTCTGCAAGGCCGGCAGTTTGCAGAAGAGCGCGCAACGGTTTTCGGTCCGGGAATTTCCGCATCCTCTTCTGCGGCCGTGGTGGACCAGGAAACGCAGACAAGCGACGAATTGAGTCCGAGACGAAAGAGCTTGTCCGAACGGAACGGAGGAAGTACAGGGATTGAGGGTGGGAGTGGAACGGGTGCAAATGGGCCAGATTCTGCTGATCATGCCGATCTTGCACATAAGAGCATCGCGAAAGAAGACTTTCTGAAAATGCAAACTGATATAAAGAAGGTCGCATTGGAAAAGAACTTCGATTCCGCGCTGAGTCTGCAACTAGAACAAATCCACAAAATGAAAGATCGCTTGAGCCAAAATCATCCGATGATGCACAGCACGAGAAAATGAAAACAACACCAGTGAAAGTTGATGAGCTGATGAAACAAAATCCGTTCTGCGCTCACCACGAATACGAAATGCGCGAGGTCATGTTCTACTCGGAGTTGCGGAGCGCACTGTTGATCATGATTCCTTGATCATGCTAGAAGGAGAAAAGCCACTTGCTTTGCTAGATCTATGCATGTGCTTGGTAATTTGTTATCTTGTTTGAAGATGTCGGCTGCAACGCGTCCGCGTACCGCGGACCGCGTACGGATCCAGACCAGAGCACTCTGGTCCGTCGTGCGTGTTCGCCGGTTTTTGCCCCGGCGCGCGCCTGGTTCGGGGGTGGGTTGGCGGTGGTCGCAGTTCTTTCCTGAATGGCTTCAAGCCTTTACGGGCCGCGGACATCCCCGGTCGGAAACCCGCCCGGGGCCCACCCCGTGAGGCAGGTGGCCTCCCTGCTCCCCGTCGGTGGTCGCGCATACCGGGGCCATGTCTGCAACCCCTCGCAGGGGCGAGCGCAACGGGCCTAGGTAGCCTCTGGCGCCACCCACGGCAGTTATTGCCGGGGCAAGGCCGAGGGCCGCAGGCGGCCGGCCCTCTTTCAATTAGCCGAGGGGCCGCAGTGCCTGCCGCACTCGCCCGCCAGCTTTGTAAGAAATCCATTGCGGACGCCGCTCGCGGACAGCGCCCAGCCAGGCTGCCTCCGCGATCGGTCTGCCGGATTTCGATGGCCGGCCGCCGAGGTCGGTGCGTGGCGCGCTTGGCCAGGGGAGCGGGGCGAAAATCTTCGGGCCTATTCGGGACCCGTCCCTGGCACTGCCGCCGGCGTCGCATACGAAATGGAGTGCCCTGCTGCGAGTTCGCTGGGTAGAAGCGAAGGGCGTCGCGGTCTTTGTTGGCCCTGCCATTGTCTGGCGTTGCCACCCGGGATAGGGCGCCCGCTCGACAACCGCCGCGCCGGGCGGGGTGCAAGAGCAAGGGGGCGCGCGTGGGTTGCCTCGGATCTCTCTGGAAGCGGCCCCACTGGAAAGTGCCCCGCGCCCGCACGAGCTTGCTGCCGCCGGGCTGATTTCGGACGGCGGCAGCGCCGCCGGCGCAGGGCAGGGGATTAGATGGCGCGGCGGCATCCATTGGCGCGGCGCCGCGCCACGCCTGGCGCGGCGGCCCTCGGGCGGGGCCCCTTTGCCGCGCTTGTCGCTCCGGCGTATTCACTGCCTGAGAGAAGTCGCGGCGCGCGCCTAAGCTGCGCGGCGTGGCTTGGCGGCCCGCCTCCTGGCCCGCTTTCTTGTTGGCAATGGGCCCGCCCTTTGCTCCCGCCGCATTCCGCCCGCCCGCCCGGCTGTTTGTTCTTGTCGGGTGATGTTTGTCCCGATGGCCATTAGCCTCATGGCGGGCGGCCGGGCAGTGTCACAATCCGCCTTCACCTCGGGACCCTCGCTCCCCTGGCCTCCCTGCCTCTGGCTCTGTTTTTCATTCATTCCGCCCTCGGGGCGGTGTCAAGGAGGGTCATTACCAATGTCGCCGGCGCCAAGATCTGGGCGCAGAGCTAATCTGCCGCCGGGCCCATATTCACGCATTGTTTTTGCTGTTATGCCGTATGCGTATTTATTTCCTTATTTTAATACTCGCGCTCCCGGCAATTGAAGTCGTACTTTTTGCCTCTTCCTCTCGTTGTTCCCTTTCCTCAACCCCTGTGATATGAAGAACGGCACTTGATGCCTAAATACAACTATGAAAATCAAACTACGATCTCTCCATGTCACAGGTGGGAAGCTGCTTACTTATTCGCATATAGAAGCTGAGCGCCAGAAGTAGCGACGAGTGTCCGATGTTTATTTCTTAGATGTAAGTACTTACTTACCCCATAGTACTCATAGTTTCCTCTTCTTGATAAACGCAAACTAGCCACCATGGGCGTGACGCGACAGGAATTCGAATTGGCAAAGTCGTCAGCTCGGACCTTTTGGGTCGGGCTTGGGTTTGTGTATGTGCAGCTGGCAGTATTCTGCTCGGGTGCCGGTCTGTTGAGCAGGAGTTGGAAACCAGAATTGCCTACCCCAAAGAAGTACGCAGATGTGATCGCAAAGTGTTGCAATGTCACTGTGGCTTCCGGTCCCGCTGGCATTGTGCACGAGGATGAAGAACAAGCGACCGCACTTTCGCATGCCGTTTCACGATCAGCGCGAGAGTCCTCTCTGCGCCCTCAGTCGGAAGGGAGAACGAGAACTCCAGCAGCGAAGCCACGGAGTGCCTCGACGAATCCCACCAGACCGCAAGCGTCACTGCGACCTGCAGCGACGTCCGTCCATCGTCGGACGAAGAAGGTACTACAGCAGGACCACGAGCAGCCGCGGGCAGCCAGAATATGGGTCAGTGGCACTCAGAAGAGGTTGCGCCAAGCGGCTTCTGAGGAATTTCAATTTGACTCAGTTGAGACAACCCCAGCACCAGCAGCTGCAGCTCCTGCCCCACGCACGCTGTCACCATCACGCGGACGCTCTTCAAGGAGGAAGCAAGCAGGAAAGGAATCAGCTTCAGCTCCCCCTCCCCAGACAGCACTAGCTGATCGCGCGGACGCCCCCGACGCGGCATCAAAAAAGGACTCAGCCCATTCTTCTGCCAAGGTAGACGAGCAGTCCAGCGATCCCGCTGACTACAGCAGCTGCTATTCGGATGCCGATACCCGCATCCCAACCTCCGACATGTCCCTTTGTGAGTTGTCTCTCAGCACATCCTCTACCGACCCAAGGAGGGCAGAGCTGCTAGCCGCCTTCGCAGCGGTCGCAAAGCAGGCTGGAGCAGCAGGACGACGGGAAGCCGTGATAAGGCGGGAAGCCAAGGGGAACAAGATGGAAGATGCTGATAAAGAACTGCCAGCATCAGAGCATGAAGATCGGGAAGGGGAGCGCATCAGGAGAGAAAAACAAGACCAATCCAAGAGGGATTCCGAGGTGAGACAGATGCTCGTGCTGGAGATTTTGAAAGCAAAGGCGAAACCGTTACCACCACAGCTGTCCTCGTTGCCACCAGTGATGGAACGCTCTAGCAGCTCAGGAACAAGTTCTTCTGGCGAAAATGCTACTCCACCAGCACCTGCTGCCCAAGGCAGCGCAGGCTCTGCTTGCGTGTCGGTCTCCTGTGTGCAGCTGCCCTTCGGAGCTTTAACCGCGTCGCCCGAAGACAAAGAGACGAGGGAGGTTCTACATCTGGAACCCGCAATAGCCACGGGAGTATGCGGTTCAGGAGAGCGATATCCTGAGCAGTTGCAGCTACACAACCGGGTGATGTATCGCGTAGAGGGAAACCAGTCGAGCTTCTTGACCCCCTGGCACGTGCAGCAGTGTTGCCCCTACGTGCCCCGCTCCCAGGCAGAATTCAGCGAAATGCAGCGCTTTCTTGCACATCTTCGGCAGAAAAAGATGCTCGGGGAGACCGCGACTATTCCAGAACCCGTGGCTCCGTGCTTTGTGTGCTGTGTGCCGGTGGCCCTTGACGCAGTGACGAGAACTCCATCACCAGTAGAGACAAAAGACCAGGCTGCCCAGACGCAGATCACTCCCAACGACGAGAGCTTGCATCCGAGGGTGCTGGAGCTCTTCGCTGTAAACGGTAATTGTTTTCATCGTGATAATTGGCCACGGACCGAAGATGTTGCAAGTGCGACAACGACGGAGCAGGCAACAGCAACGACGACGGACCAGATCTTCACTCCCGCTAGACAGCCAGAAAGCGCAGACCACGGAGCAGAACAACATCTCTACTGGTGCGCGGTGCGATACCCTCCGCGTGATTCTGATTTTGATGTTGCTGCTGGTGCCGCGTCCGCGGCCACCCCTGGCGCTCCTGCGGCTTTACTTTCACCTGCAATGGAAGAAACTGCAGAAGAGCACCAAGCTGCTTCGACCCTTCACCGCCCGAAAGCGCATCGAGCAGACTCTACTTTCTCCTTGATTTCGGAGTTTTTGGCGAATACCGATGGTGAGACCTCCGCTCCCAGCAGCGGTTCGAATCCGGAGCCACAAGTGCAAGCCGGTCCTGCATCATCCACAGCCTCAAGCAAAAGCAGGCGGAGCAGCAAGAAAAGATCGAAATTTGTTCCGCCGGCTCTGCGTTTGTCAAACTCCGATGAAACGGACAGAACAGCGGGCTCCACGTCCCCGTCTGTGGAAGTAGACGGGCAGAAATACTACGCGCCGGCTGGACAGGATGCTGCAACGGCGAGCGTCGCCGGACCGTTGAGGGGATTCGAAGATATCGTCCGTCGCCCGAATACTTTCGCCAGCATTAAAGGCCCGCTGCTTGATGCCGATCCAAGCTCGTCGTCCCATCAGCTGCCGTTTCCACCACCACCGCAACCTTTGTCCACTCCCTCGACCCAGGCACCGTCGACACCGCAGAGTACCCTGGCAGCAAGCTCGGTGCAAGGAACGCCAAACTGCCTGCGGCCGCACGAACCGCCTCCGGGGCTTGGGAGTTTGCTGGGAAGTCGGAGCGGAACACCAGATCTGTTCGGTGTGATGAAACCGCACCAGGAGGAGACGGAGACCATGCACATCCACATTTGCGATTAAGTAGCGGAGTCAGGCGATTGAGTGCCGCAGCTCCAGCTTGGCTGCAACTTGTTTTGTATAATACGTAGGAGTGGGGTAACAATGAAATCCTTATCCGCCCCCCCGGCGGATAAGCCGGGGGGGGGCCCCCCCCCGGCTTATCCGCCGGCGGGCTGTCCCGAAATAGGCCCCATGAACTGGCCCGGCCCCGGCGCCCCTCGGGCTCACCCCAGCGGCGCCGGGGCCGGGCCAATTCATAGGGCCTNGGGGGGGGCCCCCCCCCGGCTTATCCGCCGGCGGGCTGTCCCGAAATAGGCCCCATGAACTGGCCCGGCCCCGGCGCCGTTTGGATGAGCCCGAGGGAGCCCGGGCCGACACACGGCACGCCGCTGGTGCTTATGGTTTTTTTATAGTAATGCGCAGGAAGTTGCCAAGCGTCGCACTCGCACCATCGGGGTTGGCAGAGCAAGAAAATGGAGGGACACAGCGCGTCAATGTTTGCCATGCAAGCAAAACAAGGCGGAAAGACGTGGCGTTGGGAATTCACACACAGAAAGTAGATAGCCTCGCACGTCGGGGCCTGTTTAGGGGTTTTGTCAATAGAAGCCCGGCCCTCATCACGTTACAGGCAGAAGAGACACACACACACACAGACCGAGTCCGGCAGCGCGCCTCGCAAACAAGGGCGCCGGGCTTCACGCGTACAGGCTGCCTTGGGGCTGTTCGCAGGTGAAAGCGCCTCGCTGGCTTTGCAAGCTACTCACAAGCCCCGACGGCTACCAATTGACTCGCGCTGAAAACAGGCCACACAAGAAATCACCACTCAGCCCGCAGCCCCATGCAGGCCCCCGGAGCTGCTGCCCCGGCGCCCTGGCGCCATGCGTGCCGCGTGGCGAGGCGGCCGGGGTGCCGCGAGTGAGCCAGCACGGGGGTGGTAGCTCGCTGGTAGCGGGCTGCGGCTTGCCCAGGGCCACAACCCGCCGCACTGGGCCCCGGGGCCTGTGCGGCGGGAAAACCCCACCGGGGCCCGAGGTGGGAAGCGGGAAAACGTGCAATGGGAACCGAGAAAACCTCATTGGGCCCCGAGGCCTGTTGCGCGTCACTAACTTCGGACGAGCATCTGCGCCGCGCCGGAAACCTAGAGCACATTGGCCGGCGGCGGTATGAAAAAAAAAGCCGGCGAACAAAAGTAGAGCGCGCGAGGCTATCGCCCGCGCGGCTCAATTGCTCAAATATCTATGGCCGTGGCGGAAGCTATTGAGCCGCGCTGTGGCAAGCTAACATGTCACCAGCACGGCCCGGCCCGCGGCCCAGGAAATGGCTGCCCAGCCTAGAGCCCCCTCCTGCCTCGGTAGAATATAAGTCGAGCACGCCACCGGAGGGAATTTTACCAGCGATGGCGCCCCACATTTATAAGAGGCGAGCCCTCGGCGCGCAGCCGTGGGCGTTGTCGCGGCCTGTTTCGGTGCGTGGCAGCCTGGGCCCATTGAAAAAGCAGGGCGGGGGGCCCATGACGGGCGGCGGGCTTGGGTTTGCACAGGCGCACACCCCTAGAAGGCGGGCGCGCGCAAGATGAAACCCTCAGCCCGTTGCGTTTCATTCTCGCTTCGGACCCTAAGCCGCTGCCTGCAGGCATGCGTGCCCAAGAGCAGGGCAGCATGGCCTGGCAAGTACGCACACAGCCCGAATGATGTAAGCGAGGAAGCTCGGCGGCCCTCACGCTGGGGGTTTACTTCTGTGGGGCAAGTTCTAGCCCTGGCCCTGTGTGCCCGCTGCTATTTGCTGGCCCACTTCTTGCATGGCGAATGTATTCCCCAAGCTTTAGCACCTTTTGCGTGGCAAGTATGTATCTGCTGGCGGTTTTTTTAAGTCTAAAGCGGTCCCGGCAGTGAGTGTAGAGCCTTCAAATGCTGCGCCTGCTACTTTCAAAGAAACACCTCAAAGGCCGGCGGCGTCATGCCGTCGACCTTTGTGGTGTTTCAAAATCTTCCCACAACATGCCGGATGTTGTCGGCATTTCCGGGTCCTTCAGGCGATGGTAGCGCCCGGCCACTTTGTCGCGGCTATACCGGTACGGCCCGCCGGCGGATAAGCCGGGGGGGGGCCCCCCCCCGGCTTATCCGCCGGGGGGGCGGATAAGGATTTCATTGTTACCCCACTCTAGATAGTTTTCGTTTTGAAACTGAAACAAGAAGTGCTAAATTAGAAGATTCTAGCTCAGTAGTTCGTAGTTGTCGTGATCGTTCAAAGTGGCAGAAAGGGCTACATGAGCGACCGAACAGCTCACAAATGAACTGCATCTATCGAAAAAGAAGCGTTACTTTTCGTTGTATCTCTAAATGCAATCACATGTGTCAACTTTACAATTACCACACACGGATCTGCAGCTGGGCAATCCGGATCTACCGAGGTTCCAAAAAGGCATCGTAATCGTACGCACGTACTAAAGCGGCCCGACCGCAAAACGACCCTAACATGTAAAACAATAGTTCGCATGAAGATCGAGCGTTAGCAATTTTCACCCTAGCCGGTTTTGGTAAGTTTTCGGTTGAAAGCAGTTGCAAACTCAGCTCGATTTATCCATTATCTCGCGGATTTATTATATTCTAGTGCAGTACAACTAGCAGCATATGATTAGCTAACGAACACGAAGCACGATAGATCAAGCGCAGAAATAAAAAGCGCGAAGTACTATTCATCGAGTGTAGTTGATGAACTCTGAGGATCATGATATCAGAAGTAGATTATTTCTCGTTTACATGTGAATCTCGTCACTGCGCCTGCAGCGGAAGCTTCTGTAGCAGAAAAGGCCTCTGCTGCGAGCTGGGATGACGCGTTGTGTCACGCTGCAAGCTTCTTCTCGCTTAAAAAGAAGCTTCCGGCTGATACGGTAGTGACCATGGCAAGAGCCGAGCACTGGTTATTGTCTCCGAAGACTTAGACTGCGTATTCAGCGCAACGGCAACGACTTCTATTTCAATTTCTACATGATTACTATAACGACTTTCGATTATCTGCTGAACGAACAAATTAAACCGACAACGAATGTACGAGGACACGGGATTTTCTATTGATCTTGATGCAACTTCTGAATCTGATGACCAGTTTTGGGAGGACGAAGAACGAGTAAAACCTGCGGGCTAACGGGAGCGGTGGATACTCGACCGCAGTTTTTAGAAATGACCCTCATTGCAAAAGAACCGCGTGATCGTGAACCAGCTCGTTCGCTGTGCGAAATGCAAAAAGAAGCTGCATTATTTCCACGACCTTGTAGTTGCAGCGAATTCATCAAGAAGCGAACACACCGAAGCAAGTCAGGCCGCCTTCTGTTGTTCACGGTACTAGTAGAAGGCGCATTCCTCACCAAGTAAAGATCCTCCAACATGATTGGTATTATCCATGATACGCAGAATCGTCTGCACTAAGGTGCATCTACTTGCGCATGCAGCCGGCATACATCAAGAAGATCTGGAATGAAACGAAGTACAACGCTAGAAACATTAACGTTTTCGCCTGGAAACAAGATGCACAGTCACATTGAGCTGTGTTTCATGGTTTTCTATAGCCTCACGAATTACATGGTGGTGTGTACTTTTCTTCAAGCAGCTGCACACGAACATGCTCACATTTTATTTTTATCAGAACGAAGAAGAAGACAGCGATTTCACGAACATGATATTTTTGTAGGCGACTTCAGATTTCATTTTTATCAACAACAACGTTGTAGTTTAATTCCAATAAAAACGATATACGAGGATAACGCACTTAGCTTCATCTTGTAGGAACTGGGAAAATCGTCTCATTGTTCTAAATTGCTAAGTACCACATCTTCAGCATTTCAATAAGACAAAAAACAACAACTCGAAGATGTCGGGCATTATGGAGTACAACGGTTCGGCCGTGGTGGCCATGACGGGGAAGAATTGTGTGGCCATCGCCACGGACAAGCGACTCGGGGTTAGGCAGTTGACGACCGTCTCCTGCAACTTCCCAAAGGCGTTCGAGCTCACCGACAGGTGCTACATGGGCCTGTCCGGCTTTGCCACCGACGTGCAGACGGTGTCGCAACTGATGAAATTCAAGTTGAAACTGTACCAGTTACGGGAGGAACGGACGATGCAGACCGAGACAATTATGAACTTGATCTCTACCACGATGTACGAGAAACGGTTCGGCCCGTATTTTGTGGAGCCGGTCGTGGCAGGCTTGGACGCGGAGAACAACCCAAAAATTTGCAGCTACGATTTTATCGGGGCGCAGTCGATCTCGTACAGAAAATCATGGAATGCTTTTGAATGAGAATGATCATGTAGAAGTTCTTCTTAGCGAGGAGGCCAGGACGTATGATCCTCTAGGTCTAGATTCTTGATTTATTCGTCACATTATAGCCAAAATCCTAAATCACCCTCAGGCACGACTTCACCTGTGCGGGGACCACTTCCGACCAGTTGATGGGTGTGTGCGAATCCTTCTGGAAACCCGACATGAACCCGGACGAGTTGTTCGAAACGATCTCCCAGTGCCTCCTGTGCGCCGTGGACCGTGACTGCCTGGCCGGTTGGGGCGGCGTGGTCCATGTCATCACGCCGGAGGGGGTGCGAACCCGGTCGTTGAAGGGAAGAATGGACTAGTTTATTTCAATTGTGATAGTAGACTCGATGAGACGAGTGTGCTTGCGTGTGGTAGAAGATAGAGTGGGTTTGTTTTTCACAGCGACGACGCGAAATTGGTCTACCTGACCAGGTGTCTATACGAACATGGCGGGAACGGAAAATTTCGAAAAAACGCATTTTTTCTCGTCTCTAGTACCCCTATCTCACTTTCTAGGCGCCGGCAGAAATCGTATGCGATGGTGCTGCTGTCGTCGACAAGCATTTTTTAAAGCGAATACAAAAAAGGCAAATTATAGGAACGAAGCTGCAACACACGCACCCGCACGAGATGACGGGCCAGAGCGCCAACAGATCTTCGCGTCTGTGTCTCTTCATTTAGAAGTAAAAATGGAAGAAAGAATTATGGCTGCTATTAAGAACGAAAACGATCCAGAAAAATAACCAAAAGATCAAGCTTTGTTGATGATGTTTCTTTGCCGCCCTGACGTCGCTTCCCTTTATGCTACAAGAAAATCCCGACTCTCAGTACGCCAATGATCTCGAAAAGAAAAAGCTCATTCCTAGCTTGTAGATCTTCAGCTGTTTTGCTGATTTTGGCACAGAAGCGATCTGTTTTTTTTACTTGACACTTGATCCTGGACGACCTGGACGTCAAAATCGGGTCCCTTTCTTGAAAAGTGAACTTTGCTTGAAGTATATGATCGAATACATAGGTTTTTCAAATTTGTCTTTGCAATTGGAATATCTCTGCTTGTTTACCTCCAGGTTTCATTTCAGCACGCGACAAGGTACCAACGTACCTCGATGCAATCAGTAGAAGTACAAGAAATTTCACGAAGTAAGTCTAATTTTGTTTTTCATCTCACAGATATACTTTCTCATTATCTCGCTGCGCAAAGTACTAGACCCGTCTAAAAACGACAAGAAGTATCAATATAAACGACCTAGTTGTAAACAGTGAAACCATGGCTGACAAGACCGCTAGTGCATTTCCTTTCCAGCCTGCTTGCCTTTGAAAAGATGAAAAAGTCGACGAAAATTTGTTGGTGAAAATGCTGAGCGCGACTTTTTTCATGCTTTTCTTATTCGACACCGTCCTGGGAGCCGGATAGCAGGACGCGTGCGGAATCTAGAAAAGACGAGAAGCACGAAGAGAATAGCAACAGGAGTTCCTTGTTCACTGCAGCGGTGGCGGACGAGAGGCGGAGTCCCAGCGGTGGTCACAGCTCGCCCTGTCAAAAGACCAATTGCAAGAGAGTCTTCACCTTTATTCGCACCAAGTAAGTATTCTGGCGACCTCTAGTACTACAAGTTCATCTGCAGCGACAATTATTTTCACGGTTCTTTTCCGACCATAAGCAATTGCAGCTCGCTCCACGAACGCAGTACCGGCGACCTATAGAGAAGAGGATACTACAAGAGACGGCCGACACACGATTCCGTCTGCCTGTATCAACTGCATCTCAAAAAACGCCGACTACCTAGAACTACCCGGCGCAGCTTAACCACTCTTTTTTTTCGGCCCGAAATATACCGACGCCATGCTGCTCCAGTACGGCCAAGAACGAGCAGCTGCTCGTGGAAGCACCGCTTCCAGCCCCGGCTCGTCTGCGCGGAGCAGCGGCGCGAAGAAGCCAGTGGAAAAACTGGCAGGTATGGGTCGCGCCTCTTCCAGGCCGTCTACCACCACGGATTTGCATTTGTCCGGCCCGGAGACTTTCTTGCCGGATCCCGATGAAGACTCCTCTCTGTACGAGCAAATCGTTAATTTTCCCTCACAGTTTCAAAGTTGGCGGGAAGGTAGACGCATGCGGGGGACCAGAACCAGTTTGATGTCGGGATCGGTTGAAATTGGAGATTTGGGCAACAAGGATTTCTACGGGGCGGCAAGAACATCAGAAGCACGAGCTGCAGCCGAAGAACAACACGAATCCGCAGAGGTGGGCGTGGCGGAGGCGGCAATGGCAAGAACTACCGATTATGAGGATCAGCTGCAGCCGCTCTTGCTGTCCGAAATTACAGCTAAGCCTGGTCCAAAAAACTCAACCACTCTCTCCTCCGCGTCCCGGACCGACTCGCCGAACAACTTCGCAGACAAAGAGACAGCTTCCCAACACACCAAAAAAATGCGCGTTCCGGCCGTCGCAGCGCTGGCTTTTTTCTCCGTGTCGGGCGGTCCGTGGGGTGTCGAGCAGATCTTCAATTTTTCTCCGCTCCTCGGACTCCTCGTGTTGGCCTTCATCGCGGTTTTTTGGTCCTGGGCGCAGTGCCAGTGGATCAGCGAGCTGAGCTGCGCGATGCCCCGGGACGGCGGGGCGTGTGTGTGGGTAAGACGAGCGTTTGGCGATACAATGGGCCACCAGATGATTTTGTGGAGTAGAGTTTCGAGCTCCTTCAGCTCGGCGATTTTCGCGGTGATGCTGGTCGACGCGCTGCTGGATATTTGTTTGAAATCGGTGCTGCCGTGCGACTCGTTTTGGTTCACATGGTGGGGAATCCGACTGTTGCGGGTGTTGATCATTTTGTTGCTAGCGGTTCCGAGCCTGTTTTCCGCAAACACCTACGACCGAATTCTGGAGATCATGGCAGTTACCGGGATGGTCAGCTTACTGGCGTTCTGCGTCTATGTGTTCGGCTTTTACACCGGGGGCAGCCGGTTCGACGCGGTTGCGAAGCAACCAGTTGTAGTTCCGACGAGCAGCGGAATTTTGTTACCGTCGACCGGTCCAAATCCGCAGTCGGGCGAAATGCACGACAGGTTGCAGCTATTAGGTCCTCAGCATGAGGAAGTGGTCATACAGCGAGCCTCTCTAGCGAAGCGTCCGACAATGATGGAGGCAGCAGCAGCTGCAGCAGCCAATCCAGGCCCTGACGAGGAAATAACAATGAAGGACTCGTCGATATTGACATCATCTCCCAAAGAACCAACTCGCGGATTTCTCGAGCCACCACGTGCTACTCCCGAGGACAAGAATCAACAAGGCGCAACCCAAAATGGTGAATCAAGCACCAACCGCCCACCACAGCTCACTGGAGCTGCGCCGTCGTCACCAAACGCCGACCCACCCGCCGATGAGGACCAGACGTGCATTCGCCCCTGGACGAGGGGCCCGAAGGACTGGGGCATTTTGCTCGACAAACCCCCGGAAGATTTCCACTGGTTTTCCGACGGGAACAAGCTACTGATGTTTGCCTATTGGTCCATGTCCGGATGGGACAACGTTTCCTCCGTCGCCGCGGAAATCCACCAACCGGAGAAAACTTTACCGAAAGCCCTGACTATCGCCTGCGTCGCGTCCTGGCTGCAGTACGCGATCGTTTTTTCCGCGGTGGCGATCGCAAACGTGGAGCCGTGGGCGAATTGGGGGGAGGAGGAAGACGAACCGGGCGAAAAGGACATGATCCCCATACCGCAGCTGATTGAGCGGATCGTCTTACCAGGGCCAGCAGTCGGGGAGAGAGCGAACGTGGAAGCAGAGCGTGTTCTTGCAGGTCATGAAATCTCGGAAGCAGCTGCAGGCCGCGAAGAAGATACTCAGCAACAAGCTGCCACGGACCACGATGCTAAACAACAAGCTGGAACAAACAACACCTGCCCCAACCGCAAGAACACCGCGCCGGGGAAAAGCAAAGCCAAACATCAGCAGTTCGCGACTGAGCACGACGTGGAAAAGACTCCTCTGTGGAACTTCCTAAAAACCCTGATCATCCTCACCATGCTGTGCGGTTACGTCGCTCCCTACGCGTCGGAACTACTTGCGTCCGCCCATCAAGTGCCGGGTTTGGTGGAGGACGGCATGCTCCCGAATTGGAAGGTCTTCAGCTACAGACACCCGAAGTTCCACACCCCCTGGGGCGGGATCTTAGTGCACACGACAACGGTGATTTTTCTGGTGGTGGCTTTGGATTTCAGCATCCTACTGATCTTCGATAGCATGTTCAACGTGTTGCCGGACATGTTTGGCTTGCTGGCGTTCTTCAAGCTAAGAAGAGATGATCCGCTGGAAGTGGTAGAAATCGGAGAAATCGCCGGCGATTTGTCTTGTCGGAACTCTTTGGTGAATTTGGATGGCGAAAATGCTCTTGCAGACGACGCTCTGGAAGATTGTAGCACTAGAAAAAATGTCGCGGGAGTAGACCAAGATAATGAGCGCCGTGCTCTTCTTGTGCAAATCCCGTCCGACGCAGTCGCCGCCTCGGTTCCTACCTCGCCCGGAAAAATCACCAATCACCCATTAGCAGGACAAGCTCAGCAAGAACCTGGCACAGCAGGCGTTAAGACCGACAATCTCGCTCCTCAGGTCACTCCTTCTTCAACAACGAAGAAGAGGCAGTACCAGCACAGAGCGACGAACAAGCGCACCAGAAGCCGCAGCGTGACCAAAAAATCCTCTCCAAACCACCACGAAAAGCACCACCGAACGCGCACCCCGACGCCAGCTTCCGGCGACGAACTGTCAACGACCTCTCGATCGCCAATCGAGGGGGAAACGTGCACCACGCAGTTCAGCCGGGAAGACCCGTCTTTTGCGATCATCATTCAGACCGACCAGCCGGACCCGAAATGTAGTTCCCGTGCAGAAGTAGATGCTGCCTTAGCTAGTCCGATGAGGAGCAGTTGTGGAACAAAAGCCAGCGGAAGTGGCGCCAGTAGTGCTTGTTCGCCTGATTCCACATGTAAGCAGAAGGAAACGATGGCGAATGCAGATGCAGCTCCCTGTGACGTTCTTGCATCGAACGGCATGATTCCTGCTGGTGGAGCAGCAGATATACAAGTGCTCAGCTCCCCCTCCCCCTCAAAATATTGATATTGGAATATTTATTTGGTTACCAAATAGCGCGCTTCTATGTCACCAAATAGTGCGCTTTTATGTCATCAAACCGTGCACGTTTCGACCTCAAATGCGGAGCGCTTGCGTTGCTTTTTGTGCGACCAAAAGCGTCGCAAAAGTTTGCAGTCTCTCGCTATGTTGTGAAAGCTAATCGCGATGCTTTGGGCTCACTCCCCCTCGCCAAGGCTGTCCACTTCCCCTCATGAGGGGGAGTGGGCCCATAGCATCGCGATTAGCCATCAAAGTGTAATATTTTTTGAGCTCACTTCCGAGGTCGCAAAAAAGTCGCTGATTTGACGACACAAAAAGTGGCGATTTGGCGAGCATTTGCCGGAAGTCTTGCAACTTCTCAACTTACACGCAGAAGAAGGCCCGGCCTTTTCTTTTGGTTGTTGCCGTCTCCTTGTTTATTCCTGACGCAGTCATCTGACCCCGATTTCTGCGCCAGGTGTGCGGAGATCACAGGCTCGATCGATCAAAGGCACGAAGACACTCCGGGTCCGCGACCTTTTGCGACGCGTTTGCTGCCACAAAACGCAACGCGATGGATCGCTGCGCATTTATCGGAGTCGAAACGTGCGCGATTTGATGGCACAAAAGTGCAACATTTGGTGACATAAAAACGCATTATTTGGTAACCAAATAAATTGCGAAATATTACGAAAAAGTAATACTTTGAGGGGGAGGGGGAGCTTGTCACTTGTATAGCAGATACCAAACACGAAAATTTCGCACAGAGCGAACGGGAAGAGCAGCACCACATCGTGGAAAATTTGACGCCGAAAAATTACTACGTCGGAGCTGGCTGTGTCAACAAGAATACAACCTCTGCCGTTGTTGAAGATGGCAAGGGGGGCGATCTGAATCTGTTTCAGCTGCAACATCCTGCTGCGCCATCTCTGTCTACTTCCCAGCACCCAGCACACAACTACACGACCACTCCAGATTTTAACCCTTTTCAGGGCACCCATCTACAAATAAATCGATTTGACAGCCGAAGAACCAGTCTTTCTTTCGTCCAGTCGGACGGCTGCGTGTTGACAAACAGCTGTTATGGTCACAATCACCTGGAAGTGCCTCGTGACTCAAAGGAGCACCATCATTATCGAGGAGGGACACAGCATCACCATCATCAGCGGCACGTTTTTGTCGGCCGTAGAACAGGGAGCAGCGTTCGGACCGCGAGCCCAGACGCGAATTCTGTAAAGAACGGCGGCAAAAGCAAAAGCAGGAAAAACAAAAAGCGGGAGAACCGGGATAGGAATAACGCTACTTCGAAATCGCGGAACGACAGCTTCGATACTCACTCGAGCTTGGTATCCTCTGCGGGCGTGGTTTACCATCGTCACGATCCAGACTACACCGGGAACAACAATAAAGAGCACTTCTCCCCTTCTCTATCCTCGACCGGAAGGCAGACCTGTGATGTCGACTACTACAAAACCCTGCACGTTGATGTGGATGGTGCGACAAGTATTCGCAAGCTCTCCGCACTTTCCATCAGAAGCCTGTCGCTGTCCACAACATCTTCCTCCCGGACTCCGTCGTACATCCACGGTGGGGAAATCAAGCGCCCCTTCGTGGTGAAAAGCTGGGTGGTATATGGGATTTTTCCGATCTCGTTCTTGTTGTCTATTCTGATCCTGTTTGGCAGCATTTTCGGGACCTACATCGACGAGGGAAAGACCACGACGATGATAGGTTTTTTCTCCGTCGTCACCTTCGGTTTCGCAATGTCCTTCGGGTTGAACGTGATCGGAAACTGTGTTGAGAAGCACGCCGCTGCTCGGAAAGTCGATGAGCTGCACGGAGACTGTCGTGGACGAGGTGTGGGGTTTGATGAAGAAGCCGGTGTTCTTGTGCACCATTACGACCATCATGCTCCGGCGCCGGCACCACAGCCTGTTGACTGCAGTGACAATGCAATCTTCGCAGTGCCGCCGGGTGGTTCATCTGGGGTGGAAAAGATCGGCAACGGAACAAAGAGCAGCGGCTTGTTGTTGGAACGATGTGATGAACAAGGCCTAGCTAGTGCTAGTGACGAGCAAGCGGGTCGTGCAGCTGCGGAATCGGAAGATGTGAAGCCTTCTGTGTAGAAACGATACTGCCCACCCTGGGGAAGTCTTGACTTTACTTGAATATAGACGAACTTGAAGATGATTATAGGAAATCTAATGACACCAGAATCTCGCAAAGATTCTTTGCTACTTTATGCCCAGGCTAAAGTAGTAGCTCCAGAACTTCCGTCTTAACTTTTATCATAGCAAATGCACCTTCTAGGCAAAGTTCCGAGAAGATCAAGTCGCAGCTTTATTCATGCACAACAGTGTGGTGCAGCGATGAACTTCTTGGTCAAAACGAAGGACGAGAAGCAGTACACCTGGTATGGGTTTTCACCACGACACTCAGCCTACAGCTTTCACTTTGGATTATTCTCGTATTATTTTTCAACCGCGACCGGCAATCTTTCCATCAATTAAATCCTCACGGACCGTTTAGTACTTTTTGAAAACGAACCGCAGCACAATCACATCAAGAAATCTAGTATACAACTAAAGACAACACCAGATCACCAAAGAATCCTTACACGAGGACGCAAGAGATGACAATAAGCAAACGCAATCGAAAGAACAAACCCTCTGCAGCGCAAACTTCAACATCGAACGCTAACGCTAACAAAAAAAGAAAGACGATTGAAGATCGGGGAAACAAGTCGAAGCAATGCCCTTGGTGCTGATTCCGGAGCAGTTTTGTTGCGTCATGGGGTGTTGTGTTACCTTGGCTTGATGGTGTCGTTTTGAAGAAGATCAAGATTTGTTTTTGTTTTTGCTGGAAGAAAAGCCTGCAGATCTATTTTTGTGATTGCTGCTCCGATCGTGTGATACGACGCACGATTATTTGACATCTATGAAAGACGGTTGACGGGAATGGGAAGTTCTTGTCAGATGTTGCTATTGCCTGCTGTTGCGTAATGTGAAGATCAATGTGGTGTGCCGCGAACAATTTAGTACTTGCTCCTTCAAGGGAGGCACTTTTTATTTTTTGACAATTACTAACTTCATTTCCATTCATCTTCTCCGTTCTAGTATTCGCAACACAGAAATTGATCACTCGGTCCGCGCTTTCATTTCGCACCTCGTCTATTTCTTCTGTTTTTCAGCAGTTCAACAAGCGAAAGCTGAATACAATCAACAAGGACGCAAGCGTGAACAAAAAATGCCGTCCCTCAACCCTCCGCAAGCCCCCGGCGTCATCAAGGCTGGGGACAAAGGGAAAAAGCAATCCAAACCCGCCCCGAAAGTATTGTCCCCGGAGCAGCTGCGTAAAAAATCGCAGAAGACGCTGGAGCAAATTTGCAAGAAATGCGTTTCCGCGGTTAAGAAGACCGTGCATACGCAGAAGAACGAGCCCTACACCACTTACAGTCACCCGATTGAGTCGCAACAGGAGGGGTTGGATCTCCTGAAGGTCGCGCCGGGCGACATCGCCAAAATGCCGGAGGATGGGACGGACTGCTTCGCCGGGGAGGAAGACAAAAACAAATCGGGACCCCGCGCGAAAAAGTTCTCCTTGGATCAGGAGATGATCGCGGACTGGTGGGGCTACAACGTGGTCCAAAATGTCAAGACCAAGGGGGTGAAGGTGTTGTGCTTCGCCGGGCAAAACCCGGGCCCGATGAAGTTCGACGCTGTGATGATCGGAATGGGGATCAGTGTGGATTCCAAGAAGATCACCTTCAAAATCCAGTCGCAGTTGTCGTGATGGTCGGGAGTGGTTTGGTGGTAGTGTTTGAAGTGACAACTGACGAAGTCCATTATAGCGGCATGATTTCGCGCAGCTACGTCTGACACGCTTGCGGAGGATGTTGCAAGCAAGTGAACGCAAGCGCTAACATTTCTATACTTCTTTATGATTCTACTCTTGAAAGTGATGCTGATGACGATCGCCCAAGGACCTTGCGGATGATGGATGCTCCTTTTGATGGATGTCAGACTGTATTAGTCGGTCCGATCGAAAGTGCAACAAGTGGAGCGCTAACACTTAGATTTCGCAAGCCATACCCACGATAGTTGAATTGCTGCTGATACTGCTGCCGGACCAGGACATGGGCAACAAGGCTCGCGCAGCTCCGGGGCCTTTCTGTTGTTTCTGGCTGTGATGTTGATGCCGCGACGACCTTTTGTTCATCCGTCATCATGTAGCCTGTTCGCTGATGACATGAGGCCAAATTTTTCGTGAAGTCGGAAAAGAATCGCGTGAGTTCTACGCACTTTAAATTCTGGCGATTCTTCAAAATGCAACGCAGCGGGTGGCGCTCGGGTCTAGGTTTCCGGTCGCCCTTTGTGCGCAGTGCTCAGGCCAGGGCTTTGGGCTCGTGCGCAAGTGCGTAGAGCTACGCCGACGAGAGCCAGCGGCCTGCCACCTCGGACCCAACAAAGGGCGGCGGCTGGGCGTTTGCGCAGGCTGGCGCGTTCCTTCTGTGCCGCGCCCCCTTCACGCATCTGGTGGAAGCGGCGGGAGCGCGGCCCGCCCCGTGGCCGCGCATGCGTGGCGCGCTGCGCGCTTTGCCTGGCACGCAGACAAGTGAAGGCATTCGCGCGGCCCCGTGGCCCTCTCGGATTGCTCGGCGACCTCCCGGGCGCGGGGCGTTGGTTGCGGCCAAAGTGCCCAGGGCCACCCAGTCACGGCTGGTCGGGCGGCCTCACGCGCCGAGCCGCCCGCAGCGCCAAGCCTGCAAGTCTGGGAAGAAGTCCGGCAAGAAGTAGATGCCTGGCGCCGGCAATCAATGAATCACTCATGGCAAACGCTTGCCGGGAGATGATTGAAAGAAAGCACAAAAGGCGCCGCGTGGGATCATGATGACGAAGAACCTCGGCCCCGGATGGCCGCGCGCCGCATGCGGAGGGACAGAAAGATCCGGGCGGGGCTGTGCAGCAAAAGGGACAGGGCCCAGCCGCTGCAGCCTTGCAGGCCGGCGCGCCAGGCGATGTCGTTTCTGTATGCGGCCGGGCCAGCGCCTCTATTTTCGTTTTTGTGTCGCATCTGGTGGGCCAGTGGGCGGCAGTCCCGTTCTTGCAGTAAGTCGCACAGGCGCAGGCGTCACCACAGGCGGCGGAGCTATTTGGGGGCGGGCATCTAGACGACCGCAGTTTTTCCGTTGCACACCCACCACCGCGCCCCCGGTCGTCGGCCGGGGGGGGGGGCCCGCCGTTTCGTTCCGTTTCCCCCGCCCAATGGGGGCGCGCCCGCTTGTTCAGGCCGGCCCGCGCCTCTGCTATTTGGCGCCCGCCCCTTCCCCTTGGCGCCGGCCCTCGGGCGGGAGGCAGGAGCCGCGCGCCCGTGGCGCCTGGTGCCATTGGTTGGATGGGGCCGGACTCCCCCGCCGCGCCCGGCCCTTGGCCCCCCCACCCTGCCTTCAACGAGCCGGCCCGCCGTTGTGTCTTTGTTTGGTCCCATCAGCTTCTGCGTCGCATGCACGCAAGCGAGGGGCGCCGGGGCCTCAGGCGTCTGAAACAAACATCTCAGGGCTCTGGTTTGGTTGGCTGCCTTCCGGTTGAGGCAGCGTCGGTAGCGCCTGCAAATAATGGCAGGCCGCCAGCAACAGCCTTTCTGAGAATTCTCCCGCCGCTCTGGCCGTGTCTCGCGACAGGGAGAGGGGGGGCGGTCGCCGTGTGGCTGCTTCACAATCCGGGCGGTTTTCTGTGGTTTCTTTCCCTTGTCGCTTGTGCGTGTTGTGTTTATGCTATCGCGACTTATAATGCTCCAAAGCATGTGAATGTTGGCCGTTGTTGTTAATTATGTTCATTTTTACCCCCGTCATAGCTTGACCTCGATCAGCAACTAAGATACAAAAAGCACGTCAGACGAAGATGTTGGCCCTGTGTTTAGAAAGAACGCAAAGAGTAGCTGCAGTAAAGGCACTGATGTTGATCAACGATCGAAGGAGTTCACAAACGGCATCAGAGTGAACTGGGCTGGTCAGTGAACCTGTAAATTCACGGGTCTCCGTCTCGATCATGTGAAATACAAGTATGATGATCCTGTTCTAATGGAGCATTCTTGTTGCACTATGTGTTTCTATGGTTTGAACATTTCTACTTGAAGTTGAATGGTCCCGGTTCGGAAAAAAAGTTTTCCATATGCAAGAATCTACAAAGTGCAAATCAGAGTCAAATTAGCTCGCTTCCTAGGGTGGTTGCCTTGCAGTGGCAATATTATTGCTTTTCTGACAACTACATCCAGCTTCATGTTGGCGATGTCGTCGCTATGACTAGTTTTTGCCTTGTGCTGTAGATGCCCGGCTATATCATAAAGATTTCTCACGAGGAGGTTCCTTTACGTTGTTTTCTTTACACTTCACGAACATCACGCAGAATCGACGCCTACTGGATAGAATCATGAAAACTCAAAATATGGATTCCAACCTGGACCAGGACGCGCTGCCTGTTAGCCGCGATGTTGGCTCATCAACGAAGCAGAACCGAGGCGACGTTGTTTCTGATCCTTCAAATATAGAAGACAATAAGGAAACGGCAACTGCGGCAATCCCGCCGACTTCCGCCTGCAAAAAGAAACCGCACGACGCGACCAATTTTGAGGAGCTGCTGAACCAACTCCCAATTGGAAAACTGTACCCGGAACTTGTGCAAGAATGCCTTCCGATCTTGAGAAATTGGGAAGCGCACATGCCGAACTTCCACTCGAAGATGATGAAGAAAACACAGTCGCCGATGCCCCGAATTTTGAAGGAACTGAACGAGGCCGCGCCGGTGATCATGAAAGTCAGGGACTTTGTCGAGAAGGCAAATTTTCCAAAAGATGGAGACTCTAGCACTTCCTCGGCCATCACTACTTCTTCTCCAGATGCAGCTACAGCTGCACACGAAGGAGCGTGTCAGGATGAGCAGTTCACCATCGTGGATTTGGGCTGCGGGTTGGGGATTCTCTCCATGTTTCTGTCCGAGCTTCTACCGAAAACGAAGATCAAGGAATGCTTCCTGGTCGACAAGATGTGGCCGCAGGCAAAGATTCCGCGAACGAACACGGATGGCATGCACATGACGAAGGAACATTTGGAGTACTGGAACAACAGTGCGGGAAACAGTACCACTCCGTGCAAGCTGAATGCCAATCCATCATCTCCAGACGCGACGGTAGAAACCAGGATACCATTGAAGACGTTGAAGCTGGACATCAAGAAGGGGCGGGATTTGGCGGATTTGGTCCACTTCATCTTCGAAAACGGAAGTAAGGAAACTAGGGGAAGCGGAAACAGGATTGGAGGAACACCAGCTACGGCCTCGGCGACAACTTCTGATAGCGGAGGTGCCGTGCTAGTTGATCCGCAGGGTCAACCCCTACAGAACCAGAAAAAGAACCGCATCATTCTCCTCGGTATTCACCTGTGCGGCTCTCTGTCCCTCCGTTTCGTGGAGCTGATCAACAAAAATCCGGACACGGTGGAATTCGCAGCCTTGAAGCCCTGTTGCCTCCCCGGGAAGATGCACTTGCACCACGAAATGCTGTACCGGGTTGGGGGGCACGAGTTTACGGCGCAGGAGGTGTACTATCCGGGCGTGAACAGGAATCAAGACGAGGTGGAAAAGTTGACGTGCTTGGAAGTGCAAGAAGTCGATGAGGAGGAGAAAAAACAACGATCGAAAGTTACTGTTGACGATGCCGAGGACGCAGTTGTCGACGAGAACAGCGACACAGAGGGGGAAGAGGATGATCATGAGAATGAGACCTATGGCATGACCAACTGGGATGAGGAGAAACCTAAGCCAGTTTCTGACCAAGCGGCAGCTGATGACGCTGCAGATGCCGCCGCTCAAGAACCGCCTCCAGCAACCGCCAACACTGAATCCTCATCAAAGAAGAAAACGCACTCTGGCCGCGGAAAGCGACGGTTCCGGGCGTGGTGCTCCAACGTTTTCCAATGTCTGACGATCGAGGAGGAGAAAACGACGGCGAGTATTGAAACCCACCGCGTTGCGCCGCACTACTTCCAAGACCAGTTTCTGTTTGTGGAGAGGGAAAGGAAGACTTCTGACGGTCAAGGCGATGGAAACAATGGTGACAAGACGAAGCAGAATAGTACCGACACAGTGACTGACTCTGCCTTCAACCGCGGACTCACGTACAATGAGGATGATCGCGCTTTTCGAAATCAAATCTTGATCCCACGGTACCAGCGAAAAAAGGAAGAAAATGCCAGAAAGAAATTGGAGAACGGTACTGGTGGTGGTGAGGGCGGAATAAAAGCTGATGTTGATGCCACAGGAGGTGGAGGTGGAAAGAAGCGAGCAGTTGAGAAAATTCCCGCGAAACGGAAAGCAAATGCTCTGAAAACGAAGGAAGGCAATATTGCCGCTGAAGAGAAAACGAATATTGCAGCTCCCAGGGTTGCAATTGCAATTGGAGGACAATGAGCACAGCTTCTGTTTCTGTCTCGACTGCGATTCACTTTTTTCTCGATGTGCGTCGATGTTTGTCAAAGATGAATGCCATTGGTAATAGAAGTGACTCGCGCGCCACTGTGATTTTACTATGTTCTCCGCTTTGTTCATCTGCCGGAGTGCCGTTATGCTCATGGAGCAGTGATCAGTAAGCGATCCGTCTTTTGAAATTGAAAGTGAAAGCCTGAGCGTATTGAGTGCATTAAAGAATCAATGACGTATATGGTCCTGTGAGTGTGACGACAGTGACTGCAGTGTAAGTAGCGTCTCACTCTCTTGTGGAGTAGAGGAAATTTGAAGATAGACGAGTAGTGAAAACGGAGGCGTGGCGAGCATGAGGACGAGCTCGAGTAATGTTCTTGAGTCTCAGCGTTTATACTTTTTGTTTTTCCATTTTGGACCTTGTGTAGCCGTGCTATTCTAGTCGTGGAGCGGCATATCCATGAGCGCCGACGTCGCGATGTTGTGGCGCGCTCGTTTCCGTGAACAATCATGGTCGTGACCGGCCCCCCTTCCATGATCGCGGCCGGGCCCCCGCCTGTGTTCCTGTTCGTGAACAATCAGCATAGGCGGCGTGTGCATGGGAGCGGGGCATCATCTTGCGACCAGGCGTCTCCCCCTGGCAGCCTAGCCAGGTGCAGCCCGGAAAAAGTCGCAGGCGCCCCGGTGGCCAAACGCGTAGCGGTAGCAGCCTGCCCAGCTATCAGGCATCCCAAGCATACGGACGCGTGGCACATTTTCCACAACGCGAACGCATGGAGGCGCGGACCACCAGAAGCAAGGGGGCCCAGCGATTGCTGTGACTGTGGGCACGCAACCGGATCTACGGATGGCAGCGGAGAGGCGTCGGCATACCACAACGAACCAGGCATACCGGCGCGAGCTTGGTGCCCTATCGGAGACCCGGCGCGCGAGGGATGGCGCCCCAGCGGCCTCATCCAGGCAGCTCTAGCAATGCGAACAATGCCAGAGCCTGGGGGCGGGCGCGCTTGCTTCTTGGGGGCCCCGTGGCCCGCCACGCACAGGGCGACACGCGTGCCGCTCGCGCCGTTTGCGGCCAATTGCCCGGGCGCGCCTGCCGCTGCCGGGCCTGAGCCGCTCCCCCCCCCGGCAGGTCGGGCCTTTCGGGCGCCCTCCCTGCCGCACAAGCTTGCCCGCCCTTGTGGCCCGGTTGTTCTTATTTCCGCCCGCCTGCGCAGCGGGCCTGTCAGTCTGGTCTGTGGGTGCGTGTCCGGCCAGCGTCCGCGACGGGAGGGGCGAGGGAGGGCACCTCGCCGCCGCGGCGCGTCGCGCGCTCAGTCTGTCAGCGATTTGATTCGGATTCACGCGAGCGCGCCCATTAATGTCGTGCCCGCATTCTGCGCGCCCCTGAATATCGGGGAGGTGTTGCGCGCGTATCTTCGGTGGTCCATCCCCATGTTGAATGAGCACGCCTTTCGCATACATTGACAGTCCTCGTAAGATCCCGCCCATTCGTTTGGTGTGGGAGACCGTTACGCGCGACGATGAAGGACAGTATGTTCAGAACAGATGAGAAAAAAATAGATGGAAGATGAAGGTGTATCTGTACCACGACCATGCCGGTTCCTGTGCAATCCTTCTATTGCAATGGCAGAGCGAAGTAGCTGGTGTGTGGTGTTGAGTGAACGAAGAGGGGAGCTCAGGTTGATGAACGAAAGTCTAGATTGATCTATGCCCGGTCTCAATTCATAAGGAAGCTGACGCCAGCTCTTTATCTGCATCTGTCTGTTTCTCTGTTTGTCGTCCTCTTATCCACCTCGCACGCTTTCTACTGCTAGAAAGCAACTACTCCCACCAAGATGCCTCGTGGTCCCAATAAGAATCCCAACCCCGTTCCCTCCTCGTCCTCGTCTTCTGCTAAGCAAACCGACCAGAAAGATTTAGAGCGGCTCATCAAGAATTACCACATCGAGGACAGTGGCTTAACGGATTTCATCGGCGTGGAGCCGCAGTACCTGGAGCAGGACCAAAACACAGCAAACACCCCTGGAGGAGGAACACGAACTCGTCGGAACAGCAACGCCTTCAACGACGACGATTTCGGGAATGAGTCGTCCTTTCTCGAGTTCCAGCGGCGGCTTGCTGCGGCCGGCGGCCACCACGACTTCTTCGAGGAGAACCGTTTCAGGCGAAGCGCGGAGCCGACGCAGGGGGAGATGGCGACTTTTCTGACGTTCGTCAAAGGATTCGTCGGGATCGGGATTTTGTCGCTACCGTACGCGATGAGCTGCGGCGGCTACATCGGCGGGCCGGTCGGGCTCACGGGCCTGGCCTACATGGCGTACCGGTGCATGATGAAGTTGTTGGAAGCGACGGCGATCATAAACGAACGGATTGTGAATGACTGGAAGATGAAAACTGTGGTCGAGAGTTACAGCAGTCCGGGAGGTGTGGCTGGGGCTACTTCTTTGCAGAAAAACGACCCTTCGCCGTCGAGGAATTATGGTGTTACAGATGAAAAACCACCAAAACAACCCGAGCTCGTCCGCACATTCGGCGATGTCGGCAAGTACATTATGGGGAAAACGGGGAAGTCGCTGATCAACGTTTCTATCATCGTGACGCAAGCCGGTTTCGGCATCGCGTATCTGATCTTCATCCCCGAAAACATCCAGAAAGTGCTGTGCTACGAGACAAAACAAACTGTCTGTCCGTCGACAACCAGCATTACGATGTGCGTGGTGCTGTTTCTCTTCCCCTTCGTCTTCCTGCAGAATATGAAAACGCTCGTGATCCCGACTCTGCTCGCGAACTTCTCGTTGCTGGTCGGCATCGGGTGGGGCTACTTAAACGCGTTCGGTTGGACACCAGAAGCGAGGATGGGCGCAGACGAAATCGGGGAGGCTGCTTTGCCCGAGGGGGATGGACGAAGTAAAGCTTTGGTGTTGAGAAGATTGCTTTTTGGAGGACAGAATGCAGCAGGGGGTAGCATTGGTTTCTCTAGTACTTCTGTCCCAGGCGAACAAGCTACCAGTGCCAGTGCGTTGTTTTCCGGGATCCAACTAGAAGGAGCCGCAGCAACAGCTGCTGCAGCAGCTCTGCCAGCAGCTGCAGCGCCAGCGGTCCCCATCTACGCCATCGCTTCCACCGGTCTCGCGATCCTGCAGGACTTGGCCAAACGAGCGCTGCAATTGTCACCGGCTGGGCAGAAAGAGGTCGCAAATCTCCTGATCAACGCCCACGACCCAACAAAAGCGAGCACTGCGCAAGGCCACACGGTGGCGGTCGGGTTTCCGAATTTTGGCACGCCAACCGTAACGACAACAACCACGCCGCGAAGTGCAAGTTCGTCGGTTTCAGCTGCGGAAGATCAGACTACGGCTGCAGCTATTCCTGTTGGCCCAACACAGCAACAGTCAGCAACTGCATCAGCCACCACAACGCTCACTCCCCACGCGATCGTGGAAAATGCAATCCAGACTCATGTGAACTACACAAACAGCCTGGTGGCGAACATGACAACAGCAATAGCTGAGTTGTGGTCCACTTCCACCCTGCCTCCGCCGACAACTACCACTACCTCAACAACACATCTCAACCCCGCTGCCGCAGAGCACCTGTCGAAGAAGAAGAAGGACCAAATTACGAAAAAAGAGAAGGAGGAATTAGAAAAAGTCCGGCCGCCGTCTTTAGTCGCTTTCAACTTCGCGCAATACCCGATTTTCTTCGGGATCGCGGTTTTCGCCTTCGAAGGGATAGGCCTACTCCTTCCCTGTCAGCGGGCCATGGCGAAGCCGGAAAACATGCCGCGAGTGGTGACCAGGTGCATGCTGTTCTTGACGATCTTGTTTGTCAGCTTCGGGCTGTTCTGCTACTTGCGGTGGGGCGGCGCGCCGAGTGTGGATGACGGAGCGCATGGCGATTTGAGCCATTTGCGGAAGTTGTTTGCTGAGATGACAGGTGGGTTGTTTACACGAACAGCAGGGGGAGATGGAGTTGTGATGAAGAAGATGGGAGATTCTGTACTAGCGGGTCCAAGTGGAGTTTTGGAGGATGTTCACTACGGGACAGCAAGTTCTCGTGCGTTGTCCGCAGCTGCAGCCGTCCCTTCTTCCACCGCAGCGCCTGCAATGGTAGCCGCTGCTGCTGCAGTAGCAATGACTACAACTGCACCTCCGCCGTCTCCAGCCGCTGTAGATCCATCACAAATCAACGCTCCCTCCTCGCAAAAGACTACAGCGGCGTCGGAAACAACAGCTGCACAAGTTGAACCCCAACCTACGCACTCTTCCTCCAAACACCCCCATGCGGAGATCGACACTGCGGAGGAAACGATCGGCGTGCAGCCGATGGTGACTTTTAACTACCCGGAGTCCACCATCACCTCCTTCGTGATCCTGTTCTACGTGCTCGGGATCTTTTTCAGTTTCCCGGTCATTATGTTCCCGGTCTTCACGCTACTCGAGAACTCCGTCTTCATCCGGAGCCAGTGCTGCCTCCCGCACAGAAGGGTGATCAAAAAGATCGGGAAGAAAATCGTGGATTGTTTGTTCGGCGGGGAGGAAAAATTCCGCAGTTGGTACTACTCTTTCGAAGACGACGAGGACGATTTTCTCGACGACGATGGGGAAGGTTTTCAATTTGAAGACGAAGAGGAGTTTTACGGAGAGGGAGTAAGTGGAAATGCAGCGGACGACGATGACGAGATGAACAACAACACCGCTGGAGCGACTGTGATCGGGAGTATGAGGACCAGAAGAAGTAGAGACGGAAATAAGACTGTAGACGCAGACACGTTTGCCATTGAGGACGAGGAAGACGATGAGCAAGATCCTCCAGAAGTGCTCGGAAGTAGTAGCACTAGGAAGAGCAGAAGTAGCCCTGCTGAGAAGGATCATGAGACGAGCAACAAGCGAGTGAGCACCACTCCGGAGTCGAAATCTCTGGAGTTGAGTGAAGTGTCGCTATCCTCAACTTCTTCTAACGCACGAACACCGGCAAAAAAGGTCGTGCTGGGGCAGCTCCAGGACGACGAACTGCCAGACGACTTTCACACCCCAAATGATCCGAATTTTGACAAAAAAAATCATTCTCCCGCCGTTCGCCTGAGCACCATGAGTGCGACGAGTTCCGCTTTTCAAGTAGAAGGACAATCGAACAACGCAACGGGCCGGCGGTCGAGTCGCAGGTCGAGCATGAATGCGAACAACCAGGTGCCTTTTCTGAACATCTACGAGAAGTGCTTTCTCCGCGTGATTGTCACGATATTATCCGCTTTGACCGCAAGTACCATTCCCCACTTCGGCCTGTTCTTGAGTCTGCTCGGGTCAATCACCTGCAACCTACTCGCCTTCATTTTACCGGCCTACTTCCATTACTACATGACGGTGTCGGACGTCATGAAAAGAAGGGAGAGCATGCGGAACAGCAGTCTCGCATTGCCTTCGTCGGGAATTGCCGGGGGATTTGGAAGTGGTGGCGCTGGGGGAGGTGGTGGTGGGCAGCAGTTGATGAGTTTTGAGACCACACCAAGAGAAGACGTGTTTTACGCGGTGTTTGGAATTATTGCGGGACTTTGGTCCTTTGGCGTTACCATTGCGGAGTTTTTCTGAAAATGGATGCATTTCGATTTCTTGTACGAGATAACTTATTCATTTCTAGTTCTTCCGCATGAAAGGCAAGTGACTTTTGATTGCCTTCGCCGTGTTGCAAGTTCTTCGTGTTGTTCCACCAGATCAGCCATGTCCTGTCATTTCTGTCACGCATAAAATGTTGCTCGAACAAGAACAAGAGACATGAGGGAAAAACGAAGAGAGGCACATGCGGACGACGACTGTGAAAGTTGAACACTCATTGAGAGAGTTATGTGTTGGAGATGGATTGGTACTGGTCATCAGCGGCAAAAAAAAACGAGAAAAATAAATGCCCGCTTGTTATTTTTGTCTGTAATGGGCATAGTGCATATCATAGACCGACCCCGAAGGTTTGCCCGCGACCGCGTAGACGGGAGTTGCGGAGTGGGTTACTAGTGTGCCGCGGCGGTGTTGCGCGGGGGCTTCAGTGCTTGCGCCGGGGGTTCAGTATTTTTCTAATGAATTATGAAAAACGCGCGACGAGCAAAGTGCCCGGCTGGCAGTTGGGCGCTAGCGTGGGCCCGGCGCGTCAGCAAAATAAAACGCTCCGAATTCTACTACTACTATGGCTATGCTAGTAAGAAGCCGACCAAGCCCGCGCCCCTCGTCGGCTATGTTTTGGGGCAGCAGCCTGCCCGATTTTCGCGGATGCGCCCGGCCCAGTTTGCGCAGGGCCCGCGCATTTTGGTGGCTGCCCGGCTACCCCCGCCCGCCTGCCCCCCTGCTCGGGCCTCGGGGTTGTTATCTATGTATCGGGGAGCCGGGTGCGCCGTTTTGTGGAGTCTGCCGGGCGCCTGCATTGGCACGGCTTCCAGGGGGTGTGTTTCGAAGTTCTCCCGCCGCCATCTCCCCCTGCTGGCTCGCGCACGCCGTGTGGTCTGAGTGAATTGTGGCGCCTTGCTTTTGTTGGCAGAGGCAGTCTGGCCGCTAGATTGCCGTCTTAACGACCCGCAAACGGGGCGCATGTGTGTGGGGAGATGCGGCACCATAAAAGATTCAATTGCATGACGATGCAGACTTGATCAGCTTTCCTCTGTTGTTCTATTCATTGGGTTCAGTTTCAGAAAGATCACAGCATACAACTCAGTAGCAGGAGCAGCGTGTACTAGAGCTGTCTCAGCAGTTCTTTAATCTTCATGATCTGAATTTTAGTCGTCACGACCATCACCTCGAGCGAAGATCTACTTAGTGTCAATATTGAAGTGAATCCTTCTTCTTCCCGTTATTCTTATCAAGAAAGACGAAAACCCGAGCAGAGCCTTAGCATCAGCGCTGCGTGAGGAAAAAAAGGATCTAGTATCTTGTGCTGGTGACCATAGGCAGGCCCTGGATATGGATCAGAAACTTCTTTCAAGTATTCAGCCGACTGCAATAGATTGAACGCGATCTCATTAGTGTGTTTTGTGGCTGTAGTTTTTTTGTCTAATTATCTTAGGGACAACAAGAATATGATCCTAGCCTTTAGAAGCCGTCATTCTCCGTAGTTGCTGTTGTCGAGATCCAGTAATCTTTTTGATGAGTTGTTTACGCGATTAGGAGAAATGCAAAAAGTAGGAGCTGCATGCAATTTCCATTGGCAACTTTCCAAAAAAAATGTGTCCTTTACCGCAGACGCTTCCTGTGATCGTGATTTACATAAGATTCCTAGGTTGCTTACCAAAACGAATCTAGTGTAGATTACAAGGAGATTCGCCAAAAAGTGATTCATTTAGTACGGCTTTGAAAGAACATGTTCCGCGCTTTCTGAACTAGCTTTCTTCATTGCTTCTGTGTTTAGGTTTTTTTAGCCATAGACTTCGTCACGACGTGTACATTTTTTTCCACAGTTTCGACATTTTCCCATACTACATGTATTTATTCGCATACGAGTTCATTTTTCATGTTAGCATGCTAGAGTTGAAGTTGTTCACCTTATCGGATAAAGAGAAGACGTTTAAGTTCTTTCACTAGCTCTATCTTCAAGAAGCGAAAAATTGCGGAAAGTGAAAGTATATCACTCGTCCATCGTTTTTGTAGCTCACTATTATAGCGATTTTGTTTTCAAGAGCCTTTATTTTCGCCCGGTGGCGAACAAAGACACCGCACCGCGGCTGTGGGAACGAAATTCTGGTCGCCAAAAAGCCGAGATAACATCAAGACCAGCCGTAGCAGGATCGAAGAACCTTTACGAAGCGGGCAGCGGCGCAGCGAACCGATTCGTGTACTGAAGCGAATTGCATAGAAGCTGATTTTGTTGCTTTTCGAGCTGCACTATCGGCTACGATAGAAGATTTGCACACTGCTGGTGGAAGGACGACGACCAACTCGATAGTCAGCGCCGCTCTGTTGCAGCTGCGATTATGCGAGTCTGCCTTCCTCTGCACGAACAAAATCTGAATATCGAGCCACTGTGCGCCCGCGTCGAGGACATCAAGGACTCTTGCACAAGCTAGAAAGCGCTCACCAAGCGAAGCAAATTCAAGTGGAGAAGAAGAGCTTCAAGAACGTGGTGCGCAAGCAAAGGCATATCAATTGTTCCTACAAAAACGAAAGAGGTCAGGTGAGCTTCTAGCGACTCACGAAAAAGCCGAAAAGAGAGTAACTCTTCAAGAAGTATGGGCACCAAAAGTACATTTATGCTTATGGGAACGAAACTAAAGAACTGCGACGAAGCACGACGCTGCGACCACGCGAGAAACGCAAACGCTTTGACGTTGGCCTTCGTCTATGTCTAGTTGTAAAAACGAAGCATATTAAAGTGATGACTAGTTCACCTTCGGCGGCACATCTTCAGCCACACCACAAAGAATACTCGCCAGCACACCACACCTTTTACCAAAACCCGAGACCGCCGTCGGAACAGGGACTTCACTGAGATATTACTCTTCTGGGAGCAGGTACTGCGCAAACCGTAGCCGCGTTCTGTAGAAGAAGTGAAGCCGTTTTTCTAACGACGATAACACCGAATATTTTTTCAAAGTTTTTCTACTACACAAGCGAAACTGAGACGCGACGAATATTATTGTTCCGGGAGGACCAGTATACAGCCTGAATACCACATAAAATATTGAATGTAGTTTTACGCGTGACCATTCAGCACTTCGGGCGTTTTTCAAATAGCCTGCTGGTGATATTCTGATTGAGTGTAAAGCCAAAGATTTCTGTTAGAGTAGCACGACGTATACGATATTCAAGCGAAAAAACTAATACCAAAACTGAACACAAATCTTGTACAATCCTATAGATACTTTCATGAAAATTCAATTATACAACTCAAAGTGTGCTGCTGGCCGAAATTGATTGTCCTAAAGATAATTGAAACGAAAGAGGTATAGCACCACCACGCGAGTGTTTCGTCCGAGCCAAGGAATCATTCCCAGCAGGTTCTATTCTGCTGTCCAGAATCGCTAACTGTAGCGGTATTGGGAAATTTTCTACATTGCAGGCAGGTGATTAGTGGCCAGAACCGCTGGAAATCCACTCCAAGTTTCAGTAGAGGCGCTGTGCTTTTTTTAGTAGCGGCGACGTAGTAACTCTCTAAACTTTTTGTTTTTTTCCGCATAGTGAAGTCGCGAAGTGAATTCGTTTGATTTCCACTGGCCGATTTTTTTCCTGCCTTGTGGTTTCTTTCGGCTGACACTTACATTTTTTTAAAACAGCCACGAGACTGTTGGATCCTTCTTTTCCGAAAAGCACTAGTACTTCTCCCGGTCGTGCGCACAAAGCAGTAAAGAGTTGCCGTGCGACCGTACTAGCGTTAGTTGAAAAATACCATTTGCTTTACTGTGGCACGTGACGCGATTGCTTCTAGTACATCCGCGCATTATTGGACTTTGAGAATATCACGCACCAGCACTGGAAGAGGAGCCAAAGCGCACCTAGATGATAGGAAAATCTACGTAGAGGTAGAAGACTTGGATGCGACCAAGATAGCTAGTGTCCGCAGTTCTAGAGAAGCTAAAATTGGAGCTACCCTGTGACTGGGAGCCCTCTGAAAGGGCGGCGCCAACAACCAAGTAGAACTACACAGACAAGTAGAAAATGTTGGTGCTGAGGATGCCGAGATTGCGGAGATTGCTTTTCCGCGTGAGCCTGCTGGTGGGATATGGGCAGACCGTCATGGTCACGAGGACCAAAACGGCCCCACAGATGCCACCAACACAGCAGCAGGAAGTCGATGTTCCTACGCTTCTCCATCCGCAACCTCAAACGCGGCTTGTTGTACCCGCATGCCTGTCGGGACTACCAGTGTGGACATCGATCCATAACACGGCCGCGCCTTCATCGACCGGACCTTTACGTGGTACTGCTGGTCTTGCTGCGCCAGGAGGTGGAACGACACCAGTAGCCGCTGTACCGGGGAGCCGACGGTGGACTCATTGCGGCACCGGCGACCACCCCCGTAGCTGCCGTGGCGCAGGTTACTATCGTCCTTACCCAAATTCACAACTTGGAGGACGAGGTAGAAGTCGCGACCCCTCAAACCTAAACGTGATGCAACTAAGGCGCGTAGAGTCTGCCCCGACAGGAGACAGGCTACATCTTTTGGGCGGGCAACCAGGAGCCGGAACAGGGGTTGCTGCGGAAGAAGATGACGCTCTCGCTCATCCGGCGGTTCAACTCCGCGACGGGGCATTAGGAGGTGCGCAGACGATAAGTCCGCAAATCAGTAGGGGATTGCTTGATTATCACGAGCCGCATGCCGGCGCTGATTATAATTATGTGGACCAGCGTTACGCGGACGCAGTGCTTGGCGGAGGAGGTACACAGCATGATGTGGAAATGGACGCTCGCCCTCCTGCTCCAGGACGAGCGGGGCCTCTGAGCACTCCGCCGAGCACGGACGACTCGGAGCAGGACATCACAGCACGAAATGTAGTTGATCCGTCGCAACGGGGTCGGGAGCGCGCCCGGAGTGGCAGTCATGATGTTGCTCAGGAACATCACCACCCAGATAATTACTTGCAGCACGACACGGCGGTCCTTCCTGCTGGTGGTCAACTTAGACAAGCTGGGCCGCCCACCTCGTCCGCGGTACAGCAGCAAAACCTAGGCCGATATTATTATGCGAGTGCTCCTAGTGCCGCCCCGTCATCGACGCCGAGGGCGGGTGTTGGAGGGGCTGCGAACCGGGGACCCAGGGGGAAGAACAAAAGGACTCGCAGCGGCCTCAACAGAGCGCATCTGCACATAGAAGCAGCAGGAGTGCACACAACGTCGCTTCGCGCCACGCCGGAGCCACCGCGTGACAAGTACTGGACCCTCCCCGTAGATCCACGAACGATGCCCGACGAGGAAGGCTTGTGGTCCTTTCGGCACCTCGAACAAGTACAAGAGAGCCTCGAGCAGTTGCGGAAAAAGCGTGAGGAAGAGTGGGGACAGCATAAGGAGCAGGAGGACGACCACCGGGTCGAGCGGAGGTTTAGTGGATCATTTGGGGCTCTTAGCGCTGGCAGAACAACAGACCTTCCTGGTCATGGTCAGCAGATCACTAGTAGAACAGGTCGGCACAACCTTCACCAAGAAGATGAACCAGCAGAGCACAATCCCCGACTCGACGTCAGAACAAATTCGAGTGGTTTTAGAAGTACTCGCAAAAGTACTACAGCAACCTTCCAGGATGAAGACTCCACGATGAGTGTTGACGACCAAGAACAACTTCCAAGACCTGCACCAGTAGCAGCTCGAGCCGGCATCGCGGTAGCCGCGCAACAAGACGACGGGGGGAGAAGCACGCTGAATCAAGAAGAAAAAGAAAAGCGACAAAATGCGGAAAGCAAAAGCCTCACACCCCCACCACCTCCTTCGTCGCCGGATGGACCCTCCATAAGTGGCACTGCAACTGCAGCTGCATTCGGCCGCGCGGCGGCGGCGATTAAGTCAATATCAGGTTCTCATCCTGCAGGTCTTGCAGAAGCAGATACGCCAGCCTTCGAGCTTCGAATTGATGAACCTGTCTTCGGTAAAAACCCAGCTAGCTGTACGGATTGGAACACCAAGAACGCGGAGAATCTTGATCATGTCTCAAATTACCCCTCAGATGAGGTGCCAGCCGCGGCCTTCTGCGTGCGGCCTCCGCCCCCAACACCGAAGCAACCACCTCCGCCAACTCCGAAAACCGGGAAATGGGGTGCCATGGGCGGTGGGGGTATGGGTGGCGGGGAACAGGTTCCCACCTCGTTGCGAAGAAGCACAGAAGCGGCTGATTTCTCTTTGTTTAACGCACACACCAGGAGCGGCCATCACGACCGATCCAATTCGGTGACGCCTGGACCAGACGAGGACTTTGCCGAGAAGGAGGAAGGAGTTCGCGCCGCTCATGAAAGACATCATCATCGGGGCCTTGATAACGGCGGACACACTAAGGACGATGAAGACGATCCGTTTGGGAGCGATGACGAAGATGAGGAGGACGAAATAGCAGAATGGTCGCCAGCCACAGTCCCGGAGGAGGACGATGTGATGGGCAGCACCGTCGAGACCGCCGCAAGCGCAGCGGATCCGGATCCTCCTCGAAATGGAGGAGATAATCAAGTTCCGGGACGAGGAGCGATTGTGCGCCGCACCAGCAGTTTCTCCAGCGAAACAATTTGCTCTGACAGCACCCGGGAACCCAGCGTCGCGGCCGGTTCGTTTTCCACGAACCCAGCGTCATCTGCTGCGGGCTCGCGCAGCGACAGCATGGAGCGCATGCGGGAAGAAGCACGGGTTGGAGGCCATCATTTAGAAGGCAGCCATTATCCGCCCTTGAGCGCCGGTGGAGGTGCTACCAACCCCGGCTCACCCAAGATGGCCGATCCTAGGCTGATGTTTTCATCATCATATTATGGGATGATGAAAACGTCACAATCGTTCAGCAACAAGAATAATGATCGAGAGCGAGAGCTGCCTCGTGGAGGTGGAACAAAGGTCAAGCAGGGCAGCATCAGGAGCCAGCTCGATGTGGCTAATGCAACTGCAGCTGCCCGTGCTGCCGCCGAGGCTGATGCGAAGGAACAGCAGGGCTCACCAGATGAGGAAGTTGGTGTCAACTTTAGCGGGCCTATGCGCCCTGTTGCGTCCACAACGACCACATCAGCCGAGGTAACACCATACCCTCCGTTCGTGCGGCAGAATGGTGCAGCGGGATCGTTTGCAAAACATCACGTAGATGCAGAAGCTGCATCGTCCCCGGTTAAAGTTAAAGCAACGCCGAGACCGCAGCCTGGCGCCCAGGAAGATGTTGCAATGCCACCAGCACGACGAGGACTCACGCCTGAAACATCAGAGGCTCCTGGTCGATTTGGTTCCCCTGCAGAAGACAGTACTGGTAGGATCAGTAGTACAAGTACTAATTCTAATGTCGCGACGACCACTGGTGGTCCGCGAGATGCAGATCCAACGGACGAGACAGCAGAAGACCCGTCTTTGAAACGGCCAGCAGTGCAAGAAGATCCGAGCAGTCAGCAACATCAGTTGCACTTTTTCGCCGTTCCAAAGAGCGCTGCGAAACCTGCTGTGGCGGGTGGATTGCCGTTAGCTGGAGGATTAGGGTCTTCGCTGCTTGCGCCACCGCGTTGCACGTCGAGCCCCAGCTCCCGCCCGTCTCGCACGCGCACCGGCAGTAGCAGTCGCGCCAGGCCGGGGAGCAGCAGTGGCAGTAGCAGCAGCCGTGGTGGTGCGAGCTGCGACGCCATTCCGGAAGAGGGGCCCTACGAGGGTGGCCAGGATAACTACGAGACCTTTCCGTCAGTGCCGCCAAGTGGGTTTCTCGAGAAGCTGTATCCGAAGTGGATCGACGCCATTGCGGACGAGAAGAAGGATATGGCAGAAAAGCATTGTGTAAAGCGTAACTTTGTGCTGTAGACGCTGTTGCAAGATAGTTAGAGTTACTCAATTGATGTGATGCTGGACATGAGTGGTCACTCATAGACTAGCTCCTTGCGTGTTTTTTTCACGTTCTGCCTGCGCATGAGGTGCGGTGCCATGCCAGACAGATTTGTCATGCTGTTTTCCCAGAAGAGTTACACTAACACAGTTTTTTTCCTTGATAAAGCAGCCAGACGAATGGACGAAGCAGGCCTTCCGCTACCTCGATTACCACGGTTGGCCCGCGGGCAGTTTCATGGCCACTATGAAGATCTCCGCGAAGATGGATCTGAAGCCCCGCGACAGAACCACAAACACCGGAGGTCCGGAAAGCTTTCCCAGCCCGATATTGGTGGAGATGAAGGAGCCCGTCGTACCCCAGAGAAAAATGTCCGCTGACGGCATGATTCGCAACGCGAAAGCCTCGGAAATTGCGGCCTCCTACGCATGCGGTCGGCCGCAAGATGTTAAGGGAGCTCCTGCAGCGAGCACGGGCACGGCTGCGGCAGCAGGGACGTCGAGGACGAACATCAAGCGTGATATTACAGGTTCATCAACAGCACCATCTTCGGCTCTAAGTAGCATATCCTCCAAAACGGCTGCGGAAGCTGCACTAGCTGCGTTCAGTTGTTGCGGTGTGCGGGAAGAGAGAAAGGACGTGGCAATGAAAGAGGGAGCGTCCAGTGTCCTACAACAAGCTACCGGGGTAGATGGAAGCGGAAGGGTACTAGAAGTAGAAGCGAATTATGGTGCTGACTTGGATGGGCTCGCGGGGGCTCTTAGCGCAATGAACCTCGATCACGAGGAAGGAGCTTTGGTGGATGCTGATGAGCAACCTGGCGTTCTAACCGAAATCCAGCTTCCGCCGGCAGCAGTCCCAGTCGGATCTTACACGACCAAGAACATAGATATTGCACCGGACCACCAGCAAGACGCTTGCATGTCGCCAACATCGCAGCAGCATGATCTTGATCAGCAATTTCAAGCTCCTCTTGATGGAAGTAGAAGTAGATGTGGAACAGATGAAACCAGTACTACAACAGAAACGGATTGCGACATGGATTGTGGTGCGTTATCGCCGACAGTAGTCTGCCACCAAGAAGAAGAGCAACAGAGTGCTGAGCTGCAACACTATCGCAGGGAATTCATCATGCGTCGCGCATTCTACTGGCTTCTCCACTGGGGCAACACAGGAGCATTGCTGAAAGCAACTCCACCGAGCGACAAAGCAACAGGTGGCGTGGGCAGCAATCCAGGCGTGGAATTGCATCACAAAGACCAACAACTGCAGCAACCTGCGCAACCGTTATTGAATGTGAAGCGGAAACGGTGGTGGAAGACAGAAATCGAGCTGGAAACCGCCGTCGAGGGATTCGAGAGCGACGACGACGAGACTGCCACTTCCGCGGGGGGGAAAAGAAGCGCACCGAAGCAGCCGGAAAAGTATCTTTTGCTCTGCTACGACGAGAACCCCAGTCAGTGCGAACAGGAGCATTTTGGGAACCGGAATAAAAGCGCGGTCGGCGGGAAACGACAACCGGCGAGTCCGGAACAAGGGCCGACACCAACCGCCTACGAAGCGAGAATGGGAGCTGGAGGATCGAGTACTTCTACACAGATGAAGACGTTTCTGGGAGCGAGTGGTATACATCATTCAAACTCTTTCTGTGAAAATTGTTCGCAGGAAGTAACCCTGAGCGGCTTTTTTTCTAGTCGTGCCGCGATGATGAGTCACGGCGTTGTAAGTAGAAGTAGCCCGCCAATGCAAAAATAACTTCCACATCTTTTCTTGTGTCGTACATATACATTTCTTCAAGATCTTCAAGAGACTCCTAATTTAAACTACAGGCTCAGGCGAGCATCGATTTTCCCAGCAGCAGAGGTCTTCCGGCCCTATCAAGGCGAAGCCCGGACTTCTGCGGGAGCTGAAGCACTGGAAGCTTTTCCAGGGAATGGAAGATTTGAACGCGAGATACTACCTGCCTTACCCAGTCAAGAATCGACCATCCAAAATGGCAGCACCGCAAGAGCGGCATCCCGGAGCTGGAGGTGGCTTAGGAGTAGAGCACGATGCTTCTACGACTTCTGCAGCTCTCCAACAACCTGCTTCCGACCAGGAACTCGGAGCGAGCGCCGCAAGTGGCAGCGGAGCAACGGCTGCTCGCGCCAACAAGCGAAAGGCACCCTCAGCTCCAGTGACCGCGCCGCCACGAGCGGTGTTTGCCCAAGGGCTTTCGAAGCCGGTCAAGGACAAGGTACTCGTCAAGTTTTTGTTTTTGGGCGACCCGGACGCAAGGCAGAAAAAACGCCTCAATGAGGACGTCAAGTGGCACTGGGCGAATCTACAGGACAAAATGAAAAACGACAAAATGACGGCTAGTACGATGGCTTGGGCAGGAGATGGCAAAGCGATGTAGTCAGTGGTCTGACAGCTGCTCTCGCTGCCGCCCTGGTGGAGTTCTACGAGGAAAGTCCTTGCTGTTCGATCACCTACATCTACTTTCGACGCTGATGGAGAACTAGAACTCCATTGCTCCGGCAGATGATCTTGAAAACGTTTTCGAATTACGATTTGTTTATTGCAAACCTAAAGATACATATTAATACGCTATTTCTATACGACAATGATACGACTTCACAAAAAGATAAAGAATATGATGCAGTAGACCAAATACAGGTACATGAAAATCGCAAGAAAATGATACATAAACACTTACATTGACGCAGAGAAATATTGATATCGGTAGTTGACTCTCTCGTCCGATCGAAAAAAAACTTTTCGTGAAGACGAGGATATATGAGTCAATAAAACTCACATTCACTTTAACTGATTATAACAAAAAAAAATGGTATGATATGAATATTAGCTCCCAAATCTTTTTCTCGCAAAGAAAAGATGCTTTCTAAATCTGAATGTGCGCAGACCTTATGCTGAGCCCGGACGAGCTTTCGTCTTCTATCTTCCTCTGCAAATGCAGTTGTCGATACCTCTTGTACCTCATTCGCACATCAAGATCAGGGGCAGCAGTGGCGCGAGCTGGTGGTGCTGAGGGTAGTGTTTAGATCGAAAGACCGTCTCGGCTCATTATGCTGCTCCCTTTCTTGTCAATTGATTTGTATTCTTTCGATATTTTTTTCACGAACGCAACGGCAATCGCGCACCGTTCAAGGAGCTTTATTTCACTTATGTCAACATCATCAGCGGCACTGTTGTGCTTAATTGTTTACTTTTTTATCAAATTATCACCTATGCACCAGCGCCAAGAATTCTTTGGCATCTGTCAGGAAGAAAAAAAGCTCCCCTACAGCCACAAGGCGCACTAATTTAGCAGACCAAGGACGCCAGAGGTACTGCATCGAGTAGAAGAGGCAACAGCATTGTCGGACTCCCGACGTTTTTCTCTGTAGCGTAAATCGCTACAGAGGTAGTGTCAGGCACGGGAAATCAATGATATCGATCAGATTTATCGATGCAAGTGGTCAGAAAAAAGCCTCGTCGCGTTGGATACTAGAGGTCGTTGTAGTAGTGCGCTCTTGCAGTGCTATGGCGAAGATAGTGCATGTATTATTGTATATTTTTACTTTTTACTTCAAGAATAATGACGCCGTCCATAAATTATACAGAAGAATAAAATGTCTGGTAGTTGTCAAGCTATCGAACAATCACGAGGACTCGTCATGCGCGCGGCGAGATTCTCGTTCTCCGCCGGCTGGTTCTGATGTGATATTGCCCAATCGTCATGTCAGATTCAGAAAGATGAAAAGATGCACCAGAAGTAGACAAAAGTTGTTTACTTATTTTCACAATGCGCACGACGCTATTTGTCATCAACCTTACTCGACTCAGAGCTTATCCTTGATGAGTGGTTTTTTACCAGAAAGAACGCTTGTTAATGTTGATCTGTAACAAGTAATATTGATTTTCCTTGCAAAATTTTCTGTCGTGGAATACTAGAATTTTGTTAGCACTATCAGCACCTCCGGCCTGTAGCAAGTTTGCAGACCAAGTAGAAGTGCTATTTCATACAATATATCCACCTTGATACAGCTACAATTTTTCCCTCGGAGCCGTGTATAATAATAAATCACTGAAAAATAAGATAAGAAGCAAAAATATGATGATGCTATCAGAGGCAGTTGTAGTTGTAGTTGATGAGAGTGAGTGTCAGGATCTTCGGAAGCTTACCAAAGCTGGTGCTGCATCCATGTCTGAGAGAGTTGCCAACCTGACCAAAAGAAGAACGGTATACGTACCAAACTGAGATTGTTGTGCTTGTAGACTTTCCCCGTAAGCCAAAATGCATGTTACCAGAGCATGCAAGAACTTAGCACTCACGAAACGGAAACGCGACCCTGGTGGTTTTGGCGCACCATACCGATACGACACTTCAACATCATCACCTCTCTCTCTTATGTATTGCAGCCACTAGTATTTTCATTTCTCGAGTCTGTTAAGCGAAGACACTTAACAAGTACCCTACAATGAAGGATGTTGGCCTACATCATGGTGACTTTGGACTCTGCTATTCCCGCGAGTCGGCAGGTTCAGTCTTCATGTGTAGCCAGAATCACAATGTGGTTGTGCTCCTAGTCCTGCCTTGATGTTCATGGTGATATGAAGTTTATATGATGTCTTGAAGATATCATGAGCCTCAATTTTCACCAGTCATTTTTTTGCCCTCGTAATATTGCAACTCCAAGTGTCTCAAAACTACCTAGGAACCACTCAAGAACACCGAGCCACTGTATGCATGTAAAAACCTGAAACTGCATCTTGTGTTGTTGACCTTTCAGCATTATGCCGCTCCCTGCTACACAAACCACGTGCTCGATCTACCAGAGTAGAACAAAAAAATTTCTTCACCCAAGAAGCAGCGCAAGTCATCATGGACGTCGGGCTATTAATTATACGTACGTGCCAGTATCAGTTTGTTTTCCAGCGAAGGGCGTAGACATTAGGAAAAAAAGCAAGTGTCTTCTTGAAAAAGCAGAAGGAAAGCAAAACAAGAAGATACTTCCATGGAGAATAAGAATATCCTTGTCCATCGCATTCGGAATTACACCCGTGGAGGAAAGCAGGATAAGAGCTACATACGTGGAGAAAATCGACTTGTTGTGTCCATGAAAAACCTCTGACGCTGACCAGATGAATGTGGACATGGAGCAGTGTCGTGAGGAACCCCCTCCGAAAAAATGATGCTGGCATAGATATGGAAACAGGAAGATAGAAGTGCCCGTTATTCTTGAAATCAATGATGAAGCGATTCGCTTCGTTATTCCGAAGGCAAACTACTTACCCAACTTTTCTTCCTCCTGACCTGCTATGCGTATCAAGAAAAAACTGCCCTTTACATGAAACAGCTGAAGCTGCTGGACGGAGATAAAGCCAAAGAGCCTACAAAAGTAGGAGCGACAGCTGCGCAGGCACGCTGCTAGAAACTATGGCTATTACAACACGTTGAAGAAGCACTAGCTACGTACTTCTGCTTTCTCCGACTTTCTGGCGACCTGACGTCGTCGTATGCTAGGTAGTAGTACGTTCAACTAGCAGCACGCAGCTTGCGGCGTGATTATGTTCTCAAATTATCAAAAGATTTCTGCTAATAGAGGAGGAGGTTGTCATGTGCTCAAGGAAAGGATAGAGGTTGTCATGTGCTAAGAAACTTGTGCTTCTTATGCTATGTTGCCTTAGCCTTCCCGCATCATTCTATAAAGGAGTACAAGCAAGTTGCCGTAGCCATTTTGGCTCAAGCAAGTTTTCTATGCTTGTGCAGAGGCGTGTAGAAGAGAACTTGTTTTCCGGTAGTCTCATGAAATAATGGCGTCGTCCCCCTCACTGACAGCGCCGCCGCAGCACGGGCCAACGCATAGCCCCGTCGTGGAGTTAGATAGAAGGCTCCGGATAGAGTAGTAAATAGAAAGCAACAGTAAGACTAGCGGCTGGAGACACAAGCTCGGTGATACGCGAGGCGTGCCCGCCAACTCCGGACCCGCAGGGATACGCCCCTCCCCGCGGGATATCGTGGAAAAGAGGCATAGATCCCAAACAGCAGACTAGCCGCGGTGTGCCATGAGGGCCGGCGCGGATGGGGACCGGAAGGGGGGAGTCGTGCACCAGGCACCGAAAAGGCATGCTTGCCCGCCGCAACAGGAGTCGGCATGATGTCATGTGTGAGCGGAGGTGCCAACTGCGCTAGGCAGTGGAAGGGCGGATAGATACAAATACTCACTTAGATTGCACAGGTAGAACTTTGAAAAAGAGACTTCTCAGGCTTGAGAAATTGCATAGTGCATTGATCCCCTCCGATGGCCCCGGCACACTGCAGGCACGGGTACGGAAACTGCCGCCCGCGATCACAGCGCAGGCGCGTGTCGAAGGCATTTACTTTACTTTACGCGTTTTCCTTTTACCAAAACCAAAACAGAAGACTAGTAACCGGGCCTACAACATAACGACTAGTAGTAAATAACACACTCCACCTCCGCGCCCGCCGTGGTCGTGACCTTCGTGCCGTGATCGAGCGACGCGACAAGGGCCTGCGTTTTTCTTAGGGACGAGGGCGCAGGACATGTCAGTGAGAGGAACCCGCGGGCTTGTCCTTATCGATCTTTTGTCGTTTCCCTGGTTATTTCTTTGATTTCACCCAGGCTATCTTTCTTTGTGCATCAGCACAGCCAGCTTGCTCGAGAACAACGCCCTTCTTAACGAAGTCGGACGTGGACGCGCCTACACGCGCGACAGAAGGACCTCCGCCGACGACGGGGGAGGGGTAACCGAGGATCGACGACGGGGGAGCATTCTGCACAGCGTCGGATCGGGCGGCGTTTTCATAATATCATCATTCTGGAGTACTTCATGTCGACGGTGGAGGGATAGGGAGTCCTCCACTGCGGGCTTCAGCCGACAGGTAACTCTGTTGCTTCGCCCTCACAACCATTCGACAGTAGTGGCTCACTTCTTCTCGTCGAGCAGGCGTGGCGTTGGGCACTCTGGTTACGGGCTTCGGTCTCGACCCTGTTGTCGCTCCAGCGCCACAAATCCAAACTTTGCGCCCCGAGCTCTCTCGCTGTGGTTTGACACGCATCACGGTGTAGTAGCTAGTATGTTGCGTCGTCTCTCCACCGGGAAATTACGACATCAAGTGAAGACGTACAGCAGGCAGATACAACTACCGCGGATCCAGCGAGCCACTACATTCAAGCGGCCAGCGACACCATGGGGGCGTTTGCAGTACAGACTCGGGGACGGGCCTTGAGCGGAGAAAAGGAGATCTTCATGGGTCGTGGCACTGAAGTCCTAGGTTTTGTACACCTGGCAGGGCTATTTGTCCACGATATAAAAACCTATCCCCAGCTCGGCTAGTCGTCTCCAGAACTATGTCCTATAGTTAAGCTTAAGACAGAAGTAGCTTAGTAGTTAGAAGCTGACTATAGAGGTTTCCTCCTCCTCCTCCTTTCTGCTAATAGAGGAGGATCAACAGTACTTCTGCGCGTCGGTGTGCTGCTGTAAAATTTTTGGGATCGCGATTTCTAAAAACGCACGCTATTGCGTGTAGCAGCTGCGAACGAGGGAAGACCTAAATGAGAACAGATGGAGCAAGCAATTCCATTTCGAAGACGAGCGGCAAAAATTTATTGAAAACAATATACAATCAAATGATCCCGAACCCGAACGAACAAGATCTATGTATGGGTCTGACATCAGCATAGTGCAATGCTATCGGTTGATATGTTTCTGTATCATTCTGTGCCTTACTTCAAGGCGTATTCTATCTGTATTTTTGTATTGGTATAGAAAATCGTGGCCGAGGGGGCCGAACGTGAGAAGTGCCTGCCGGAACTACTTCTTAACTACATTGATTGATCCACCCTAGTAGAAATAAATTACAACTTACAATCTGTAAATACAGAAAACAAAGGACAAGAACGATCGCCGTTTGCGTCATCTATCAAAAAGTATCTTCTACTCTTCACAACTTTTTTCAAACCACGTTCGCTGTTTCAGAATACGATATTCATACTCAAGTAAGTATTTCATAAATAAAATCGAAGCACACGGTAAAAATGAAGCATTGCGCCCTTTCGATGGCGGGAACAATTCATGCCACCCTCCTGCTGCACTCTAGTGGTGTTGGTTTATACTTTTGTGCGGCCCTTCCTATCGTGCAGTTGGGGGCCAGTAGCAGCACCACTGCAGGTTTTTATAGAGGACTCGCATAGTTATTATAGGGCCCGCATGGCGAGTCGAGGATTTTGCCGCGATATATCGGAGACACGTTGCGTCTGCGTGTTCTACGGGAACAAGCTAACAATCCATGCGTGTCTTTTGTGACTGAAACTGATCATGTTGATGCGAGCGGAAATAAAGAGTAAGAGACCTGCGCGGAGGTGGGGCGCTGATCAAGAGATGGAGATCTGTATCAGATCTATCCTTGCAGGAGCAACAGGATCTTCTGCCACATGTTCGATGGCATCCCGGATGAAGATCTCCTTGGCGAACATGATGTTGATTTTTTGTTTCTTGGGAAATGATTTTTTCTGTGCGACGAGAGCATCAGAGCGGGTGACGATTGTGTTTGTACGTGTTGTCCTGCCGGAGCATCAAAAATGGATCCGCGGCTCGGACAGGGAGATCTCAACACCAGCAGAAAAACGCAGCGTCCGGCGACCGTCGTTCATGATCGAAGATCCCGTTTGTTTTTTCGATTTCGAATAGAGGCAGAACAAGAAGTGATTTCGTTGCATGATGTCTCTATCCTGTCTCCCGCTATTGTCGAAATTATTTGTGAAAGTTGTCGATTCTGCTTTATCATATATTACATGAGTATCTTGTTTCTTCATCTATCTACTTCACTTTTTGATTATTCATTTTTTGCCTTGCGCTTGCTCCAAAATGTGACACATCCATACCTCATTCTTTGCGCTCGCTGTGTTAGTGAACAGGTCGTGATTTGCACGGTGATGAAATCACTGGAAATAACAGATGTTTTCAAATCGTGATCCAGCGGAGGATGGCAGTGCTAGCACGTCGGCCACTGCGCACCAACAGTGGCAGCAGGGAAACGCCAGGTCTTGCGGCTTTTTCGGAACCACTTTGGTACATCCACCGATCACCGCTGGTCAGTTCGCCAATAATTATCCGAACGCAGTGAGTGCGCATGCTAAGAATGCACCAAGCGTGCTCGCTCCCACCGCGAGTTCCAGTGAAAGAGCCACGACCGTCGAGTCGGTCCACGAGGCGCTGGAGATTCAGATCCTTCGCGACCAAAAAACGGGTCGGCTTGGATCATTGCCTCCCGGCGCCAGCAGCACGACTTCTTCTAGCGCCACGTCGTTGTATTCGAAAAATGTTGCGACCAAGAACCGTACTACAGGTGGTGCGAGCGCTGCTGCAAGCTTGGTCGTCGGTGGTGCTCAAAGAGGTTCCTACTTCGATCTTCAGCAACAAGGAGGACAACATCATGAAATAGACCACACCACAGAGACAGTAACTTCACCGCTCTACCGCCTATCGGACATTCGCGTTTCTGGCCCGATCCCGACTGCATTGATTCAAATGCTAATGCAAAATGACTGCGATTTAGAAATGAATGCAAAATGAGTGGTGATTTTGTAATGGTCTGGAATCCAGAATCAGGTCGGGGTGAATTTAGGAAATTGCAAAAATTTCCTAAATTCACCGCCCACCAATTTCTAAATTCACCGCTAAATTCACCGATCGCAGCATACCATCGGTAAAGGGGGTACTTTAGTGCTCTTTTTTTGGGCGAAACAGCACGGCACGCCACATCAGTGATTTTTAGCAAAAGAAGCATTCTCATCATACCATGGGGAATGATCTTTAAATGCAAGCTTTTTCCGATGGCAGTGGCGTTTTTTTGCGATTTTGTTGTCCAAAATTAAAACGCTGCAGTTGAACTCTTAAGAAGAAAGGGAGAAAGTCACGAAACCACCAAAAGACTTGCTTCGCGAAAAAAGACGTGGAAAAGTGTGGTAGGTTGGGCGTTGCCGGGGCGGGGATTGCAATCAATGTGAGGGAGCCGTGGCGACGAGTCCCGTGTCGCCATCACCTCTATTTGTGCTAGACCTTGCCCCGCGAACCATAACCACCCGAAAGACCGGCCCCACGATTCTACGCCACCTCTAAAATCACTCGAAATTCACCACCCTTATATCTAATGGGCGTCCAAGCCGTAAAGTAACTTCACCGCTCTACCGCCTATCGGACATTCGCGTTTCGGGCCCGATCCCGACTGCATTGATGCAATCGGACTGTCCACTGCCTCCCAACTTGGTCGAAAGTGGACAGCTTTTGGCACTCATGCAACACAGATTTTTGCATTATTCGGAAGTAGCATGACAAGTTGCAATCTTCCAGACCCAGACATTTTTGCAATGCATAGAATAGGTGGTCGCGTGTTCACGCAGACCTGCGATGAATTCCGCCAGTTTCGCTTTCATGGTGTCCGCGTCCAGCCAATATCAAATGGAAAAATGTCTGGGTCTGGAAGATTGTAAACTTGTCATGCTGCATTTGGATACTACGAAAATCTGTGTTGCATGAACAGTAGAAGAGGTCCAGTTTATTTTGCCACAGCGAGAGGGCAACATTTCTCATGCGGTAATATAGGCATCAGGGAGACCTCACAAAATCTGTGATGCTATGGCATGCATCACAGACGTCAGGAGTCATGCAAAATGTGCATGACAGACCTTGCATCCTTCCAGACCCAGACATATTTGCGTTTGATACCCAATCGCCGTCCGCAATTTCCTCGACTTTGTTCTTCAGGCCCTCCTCCCGTTTTTTGGCGCTGTCCACTTCCTTCTGCAACTGCGGCTTGTCGCACTGCTCCAGTGTGGAATCGCCTGTATTTTCCGGGTTGAATTGGCTTTCACAAGCAGATTTCCGAAACGCGCACCGAGCAAACGAATAAGAATCTAGTACACAGTCAACCGAGGGCTCGAACACTACCCACAAGCCAATAGTGTTCTTTAGGCGCAAGCAGAAATAAATCTAGGACAAATGTATTCCAAAATAGGCACAATATCCATCAATGTGTTCTGGCTGGACCCAGTCCAGCCCAAGCGTAGCAAAGGTTCGACGTGCTTCATTCTAACGCATCGCGTAAGGTCCCTAATGTTCCCCGTGTCACAGCAGCACATCTGAGAATCACTACAGGTGGTGCGAGCGCTGCTGCAAGCTTGGTCGTCGTCGGTGGTGCAGCTCAAAGAGATTCCTACTTCGATCTGCAGCAACAAGGACAACTTCATGATATAGTTATAGACCACGCAGCAGGGACAAGAATTTCACCTCTCTACCGCCTATCGGACATTCGCGTTTCGGGCCCGATCCCGACTGCATTGATTCTGCCTGTATCGTCCTGTCTGTTGCACGATGCCTGTATCGTCCTGTCTCCCTATTATAGAAGTGTGTGACAGTTGTCGATTCTCATTCTGCTCTAACATATATTTAAGTAGACGAGTATCATGTTTATGCATACCTCATTCATTGCTCTCGCTGTGTTGGTGAACAGGCCGCGATTTGAATGTTGGTACAATCACTGAAAATAACAGATGTTTTCCAATCATAATCCGCCGGAGAAAGGCAGTGCTGGCACGTCGGCCGCTGCGCATCAACAGTGGCAGCAGGGGAACGCCACGTCTTCCGGCTTTTTTGGAACCACTTTGGTACATCGACCGGTCACCGCTGGAGGTCAATTCGCCAATAATTATCCGAACGCAGTGAATGCGCATGCGAAGAATGCACCAAGCGTGCTCGCTCCCACCGTGACTTCGTCCAACGAAAGAGCCACGACCGTCGAGTCGGTCCATGAGGCGCTGGAGATTCAGATCCTTCGCGACCAAAAAACGGGTCGGCTTGGATCATTGCCTCCCAGCGCCAGCAGCACGACTTCTTCTAGCGCCACGTCGTTGTATTCGAAAAATGTTGCGACCAAGAACCGTACTACAGGTGGTGCGAGCGCTGCTGCAAGCTTGGTCGTCGGTGGTGCTCAAAGAGGTTCCTACTTCGATCTTCAGCAACAAGGACAACATCATGAAATAGACCACACCACAGAGACAGTAACTTCACCGCTCTACCGCCTATCGTATGACTCGACGGGGTGGATGAGAATTTTCAGGTGCCGGTTTGGTGACGATTTCAAAAAAACAAAAATAAAAACTTTCTATTTCCAGAGCTGACCCGGGCCCATCCCCACATGTTTTTGTGGTGTGTGTGGATGTGTAACGGGTTCGTTCCAAATATGGGCCGCGGGTGCGCTCATCCTAGGGTCAAGCCGCAGCGGTTTTGATTCTGGGTGTGTGTCCTGCCTTGTTGCGGGTTTTGGCGTCCTCCCCTTTAGGCGGGGTCGGCAAGCTTCGCTTCTCCTTTCGGCTTAGTGGGGGCACAGCATGTGCACAATCTTGCTCGGCGCGCAGGTTGACGGACCCGTGGTGTCTCCTTGCTGGTTGGTTGGTAGTCTCGTGACAGATGAGTGACGGTTTGTGGGAAGGATATTTGACGTTCCGGCGACGGTTTGTGACGGTTGTTTGACGGTTTGTGACGGTTTCGTCAGAAATTCCGCTAAAACGGAGCATACCATCGGGGAAGAAAAACTGTCACTAACCAAATTGGAACCGCCTTCCAACTTGTGACGGTTCTGTCACCATTCCGTCAAATTGCGTCATTTCATTCTTGGGCTACCTGAGGGCCTACCTAGCTACTTACCACCAAAGGCGCCCATGGGAAACGTCAGGCGGCAACCCAGAATATGGCCAACGTCCAGCCGTTGCGCGCCCCTGCGTTGGCTGGTGGGATGCCAGTCGTTGGGCATTTGGGGTTTGCCCTTTCGTCTTTTTGTGTTATGGGGGCCCACACAATTTTCAACGCGTGTGGCGACATGCGTGCACGCTCCCCAGGCAGACACTGTCCTGGGGTAGGACCAATGGTGCTTCGCGGTGTGTTTCGCGGCATGGCTTTGCCGCCTATCGCCCGAAGCTATCGTAGTGCCGAGCCACAGTAAAATTTTCGCTTTTCTTTTTTCAAAACGTCACGAAACCGTCAGACCATGTAACTCATCACGAGCCGTCAGGTTGAACTATCGGACATTCGCGTTTCGGGCCCGATCCCGACTGCATTGATTCTGCTCGCGACCGAGCACGGCCCGCCCGGCGTCTTCTTTCACCGCAATACCGGCGTTGCCAGTGTGGCGATACAAGTCACCGACGACAGCCAGGGCTTTTTCCCCTTCCTGAGCCGCGTCTCGGCTTTCCACGTCACCTGGGAAGCCCGCGCGAGGGACGCAGGACTGAAGACGAACCTTCCGGCGGGGGCGAATAGTACCAGTGCCGGTCGACTAAATGGAAGTTCGTCTTCCGGTGGTGGTCGCCAAATTATGAATGCGTCGAAGAACGTGGTTGGCGGTGCCGCTGCCATCCCGGCTATACCGCCAAAAAAATTGATCGAGGAACATCTGCCCATGGTTTTCGTCGGCCAGATCTTGGTTCTCAGAGACTGCAAATCCGAAATCAAAAAGCCGAGGTTCTGCAAACTCACCGCCGGGAGCTATCGGGTTCTGAGCCCGGTGGAAGAACAGGAGATTTTGAGAAATGAGGAGTCGACTGCAAGTGCTCCACTGAACGCGAACACCAGTAGGTCACTTTTCACTTCGCAAGAGCTTCACCGAATCCGAGAGTTGATTGCCTACCGCGGTTGTGTGTTGCGGAATTCAAAAGACTCCGTGCACGCGGTTTACGGATACCTCCGGGACGACGACATTTATGCCAGTCTCAAAAAGACGGCGGCGAACATGTTTCGGCTGAGGCTGTTGACGAGAAGAAAATCAAGTAAATCGTCTCGGTGCTTGGGACTGTTGCAGAAAACATCACAGGGCGAGAATCGTCCACAACACGAGAGGAATGTCAAACAGCAGCAGACAAATATTACCAGAAGCAAACTAATTATGGAGAGAAAAAAGTTTGTCACAGTCACTACCTTGCACTTGCAGGTTTTGCATTACAAATTCTTTCAGCATCACAGCTTTTCTTTGTATTGCAGAAACACTAGGGAAATCCCTTATGAAGTTTGGCTGTGATGCATTTTTACGCATGACAGAAAATTTTGTATTGCAAAAATGCGCATGAGTGATCGTGACGAACTTTTTTTGTTTGATACTAATCGACATCAAATCGCGGCACGAAAACAACGACTTTTTTCTTTTGAAAAATCTGGACCGAGCATCCCGAACCGGGGCCGTGGTAAGAGTCGTCGTCAACAATAGCAATAGCGGCGGTTCGGGTTCGGATAAAATCAACGCACTACAGACAGATCTTGTTTTGAGCAGCAGGCAATGTCAAGCGGTGGATACTGTATTCCAATCGACAACGGACCGCGTGACGCTCGTGCATCCGGACTTCTTTTGCGCGCAGCAGGAGCAGCAAAACAACTTGAGGTCGTACAGAAATGAACAACTGCAGCTGCACCACGACGAGAACCACGCCCCGCATCAAATAGTAAACTCAAGCGAAGGGGTGAAAATGGTTGACAGTGAAGAAAAGAACGGAAATAAAACTTTTTTTCTGCAAGCCGAAATAGTGAGTCAGTTTGGAGGTGGCACCAGCTGTAACGCCTTTTTTTCCTCGTCACGAGGCTCTGGCTCCTCTGTCGCTGCAGCACCAACGGGAGCTCTTTCTATGTCCGTCCGTGACTTCAAGACTTTTCTCCGCCGAAAATATTTTCAACCAGCAGTCGACGCGTCGGATTGCTTGGTTGCGAAGATTCAGGAGCAGTTGCGCAAGAGGAAGATCCAGGGGAGATCGCAGAGGAGTCAAGCACCAGCATATGGGCAGCAGGAAAACGAAATGAGCCATTTAGGCGAGGATGTGGAAATGAAAGCAGCCATCGACGCTGGCAATAACGTTGTTGAGAATGGACGAGGTGGATCGTGCAGGGTCGACGATCCTACTAGTAGCTACGACCCTACTGCGAGGACTGCATCAAATGATTCATCTTCTTGCAGCAGCCAGCACCAGTACATAATTGTCAACTACGACGAATGTACCTTCCTTGGTGGTGGCCGTGTGGAGTTACCACCGTACGAACAGCAAGCGCGGACGCGACCAGGTAGCAGCAGTAATATCAGCACCTTTTTCGCCAGTACTGCCAATTCGTCCACAGAGAGACCCAAACTCTTTGCCGAGCACGGCCGCGTGGATCATTTTTACGTCGCGGCCTGGGAGCTCAGAACGTCACGAAATCCGAAAACATTACATAAGTCTGGCGTTCCACCGAACCAGGAAGCCAGCGGGGGGCCGTCGTCCAGCGCGTGTTCTGGTTCTGCTGGGAAGACGAATCTTGACCAGCTTGGACAAGATGAGAACTCCATCATCGTGTATTCCGATGAGCTGGAAGATATGCTCGCGCCCTTGTTTGAAGACGACGAAGAGTTCGCACTGATGTGTACTACCTCTATGCCCCCAGCAGCAGGGATGAATCATGGAAGCTCAAGCTGCGCGGGAGGTTCGTCTTCTGTCATCTTCGAGAAAGCAATGGAGCGACTGTTTCAGCCCGAGGTCGTTCCTCTTCCAGAAGCAGACCTCCAAAAGGATCCGAACAGACAACAAGATGGAACACGCCTGCAGTGTCCTCGTGGTCCAGTAGGAACGAGAAACCACGATCAACCTCAGCAACTTCCTCCTAGTAGCTGCGTGGTCGGCAACATCAACTCGTTTTCCGTTGTTCAGCAGCATGACAGATCTATTTCCTCCGCGAACTGCGAAGTGAATAGTACCACGTCGAACGGCACATCCTCGAAGGCAACGAGCAAATCGAATGCGACACCATCACGAGGAACTTCAAATCGAGCAGCAAGTCTCTTCCCCGGGAAGGGCACGGTGTGTGTTTCCCTCGGAATGGATGGAAGATCTGTCCCCGGTCCGCACGCAATTCCGTTGGGGGAGACTATTTTCCGAAACGCGTACAAAATCACGCTGACTGAAATCTTTGAGCGAGGAACACAAACTGAGCTTGCGATGAAGTTCACTGATGTAGATGATCACCATCACCATGGAAGAACTCACCTTGAAGATGCTTCTGCCGCGGAAAATTATCATGATAAGGCTGACGAAGCAGAAGCAGATGTCATAATGCAGGATTGAAATGGAAAACCTGTCCGCAATAGGTGCTGCGCGAATGACTTGGACATAGAGTGCTCACCCAGATGAACCTCAAAGGCCACGTTGTTCAGCCAGTGTTTTTTTCGCTCTCTGCAGATCGAGTCGGTCCTCCGATAACGTGAGGCCGCCCTCACCAGTTTGGTGAGTTCTCATTTTTGTTGCCCTTGTGTGATAGATCCTTACCTCTCCTCCTCAGCACAGCGGTCAACACTCTACATCGCTCGTTATTTTTGGTAGATGCAGATGATTTGGTGTAGCGGTAAGTAGAAGCCATTTCATTTTCTTTGATCAACATCAAAGCAATAGAAGAAGCAAACTACTTTGACAGACAAGTTATCAAGCCAGTATGGGCGCCAAAAAGGGGGGAAAGGGGTCGTTCTCCTGGTCTAAGCGCGACCCAAATAAGCCGAGACTAACGGATGAAGAGAAGCGTGCCAAGGCGAAGATTCATTTGGAAGCCTTTCGGGCCGCAAAGCAAAACGGAAAATTTCCCGACAAGGACAATCCCGGGAGCTGCAATGCGAACCACGAATCGACCTCGGCACTGACCCACAAAGAGAAGCTGAAATACGAGTATCAGGAAAAAGAGCAGCGGAAGGAAATGGTGAAGAACGCGATGCTGATTCAGGAAAAAAATCCTGATCTGCGGGTGCAGTCGGTTATATGGAAGTGTCAGAATCGAAATTGACAAAATCGAAAAACTTGTGATGCATAAGATCGATACCAGTTGGAGCCTCAGTTTGCAAGCGGCGCATGACAAATTTCGCGAGCACCCAAGTCCAGTCTGTCACGCTGTTTGGGTAAAGGAGACAGGTCCTGTCATGCTACAATGGCAGCGCATTGCATACTCCTAAACAGGCTTGCGATCGATCTCATTTGCCTGCTCCCCAATACAGGCCTCCAGTGCCCTGCATTTTATGCATCACAGATTTTTCGACTTTGTCGATTTCGATCCTGACACATCCATGGGCTAACCACAATTCGCTGATGTTCGGGAAAAAGATGCAGCGTGATGGTGTTGATGACGACGAGGAAAGCGATGCTGAAGCTGGTGAAAACGACAGACATTTTCTCGGGTCAAAACGAAGTAGAGAGAATTCGTCTGAGGAAGAAGGTGGTGAAAATCGGCAGCAGCATTTCAGCAGCCGTGCGGCTACCGCGAGAATAAACATCAAAGATGATTTCAACGCGCAGCTTTGGGATGCGCATGCAAAATCTGCCAGCGCAAGCACTGCGAGGAGCGGGACAAAAGGAGCCGTCGCTCAGCAAGCAACGACAATGACCTCGACCGGGGCAACCGCTAAAATAAATTTGTCTTCTGCAACAGCAAGCAAACCGTCTGGCAGTTCATTTGAACAAGAGGAAAGGGAGTTTGCCGTGGCTTTGAATTGGCACGAGAACTTGGAATTTCTAGCGACGGCGGAGTTGGAGATTATGCGGCAGTATTTGGAAAATAGCAAAAGGCAACTGCAGAAAGCGGCGACGGACTTTGATAAGAAAGACCAGAGCGAAGACACAACCGCAACGACGCTGCAGTTTCCTCAGCTCGACGACTACAATACGAGTTTGCTGAAGTTTTTAGTGAAAAAAAGGTTTAACTTGCAGGTTTTACCACCCGTGAAACAGTCTCTGGCAACCTCAAGGGTGACGAATGACGTTGCAAGTAGGAGATGTGGGGGCATTCGCGTGAAAATTCCGTCGACCGTTTCCAATGCAGCGTTTGCTCCTTTCGGCCGACGGAGTGCTAGAACCGCTACTGATGCTGGCGACGAGAAGAGCAGCAGCAGTGCAACACTTTCCATGACCCTCCCTTCCATGTCTATCGTAGACCTGGTTTGCACCTCAACCGGCGCAGCGGAGGTGCCGATCACCATGGGAGTGGAGCAGACGTTTGCAGAGGAAAGATTAAGGCAGTTGCTGCGCATGACAAAGAACTCAACCAGAACTACTAGCAAGAGCGATCTGCTCTTCATCAGCGACACGATTTTCAAAAAGCATTACGAGGACAACGACAGCGACAGCAACTCTGACGAGAGCGATAGCGGTGAGAATTTCATCGGCGGGCCACCGAAGAAATTGCTCCAAAACACCGCGAAAAGGAGGAGAGTGGATGATGAAAATTCTGCTGCGGGGGATACGGCTGGTAGAATACAACACACCGCGTCCTCTACAACATCATCTGCTGTTGTCTTTCCGCACTACAACTTCGAGCGTTTTCGCGAACAGGAAGGCAAGTCGTGGAAGGAGAATTGGGCGACGGCGAAGTGGCCAAGCCTGAAACTGGACAACCGCGCCCAACCGATCGAGGTAGACACGATGAACGGGGCTGTTTTGTCCTTTCTCTTCACGCCGAGGGACTTCGCGAAGGAGAAAGAAGGGCTGGAACTCCTGCTGGAAAATTTTCCACCGAGGAGAAACGGTGGCGATTCCGATCTTCCTGCGAACACAGTGGGAGAGATTATGAAGATGAAACCCATCTCGCTGCGGTTGATCCGAACAGAGAACTTCAACAAGAGCAAGAAGAGAAGTCCCTGGAAGTTGAAGATGAAGGGGCTGCTGGAGAACATCGAGTATTGTATTGGGACTCAAAACAGCAAGTCACCACTGTTCTGGATGGAGAAGGAATTTGAGTTTTCGGAGAGCTCACAGCGGATCTGGATCGCATTCCTGGACGGCTGCAAGGTGGTGGTGGGCACGTACCCAGGCCTGCTGCAAAATAAGATCGCGGAGTTCCAGGTGGTGAAACCGACGGAGGACGGAAGTAGTGAAGAGGGAGAAGTAGACGGGAACGATGGCACCAGCAACGGCGTTAGCATGACAAAAGTTCGATTCGGGTTTGTCGGTGGCGAGAAGGGAGGGCAGTCAATATTTGGCTTCGGGCGTGCAGTGCCGACTGTCACGAGTATCAGTCTGCAGCCCAGGAAGTTGACAGATTTGCTGTGGACGAACGTAGAAAAGGAAGTGCCGTCCAAAGATACGTCCGCTTTTCTGAATGCCAAAAGTGTGAATTTGAGTCTCTGACTATGCTGCTCAGAAGAAGGCTGATGCTGTTGATGATCGATGACTGAAGAAGAAACACTAAATGAAAATGAAAGACGCAGTCTTTTGTTCGCGACCAGGAATGAACAACAAGGGGAATGAAAATCAGGCCTGTGCCAAAGCAGAGACACGTGTTGTGGCTTCTCCTACTTGCGTTCTTGGTTGCCGTTTAAATCGATGCAACGGACGATGGAAATCGGTTTTGCAGCTGCGAATCCGCCGCGACGCTGTGGCCGCGCAAACCTGCCTCGCCCAGGCAAGTCGCAGCCGTCCGAGCGCTGGCGCGCGTGCCGGGTTTCTCTGCCTGTTCAGGAGATGCAGGCAAAGTTTCTGGCGCCTGACGCAAAACAGCCCGACGCGGTGCCTGACGCAAAAGAATCCGAAGTGGTGCCTGACGCAAATAAAGAGCCCGAAGGCAAAGCCGAGGCGCAAAAGACCGACCCGAGGCCGAGTCTTCCTCCGAAAGGGGCGGCGGGGCTCTCAGTGGCCGGCGCTCCCCACCCGGATGGCGTTGGTTGCGGTGGTTGATGCGGAGTTTTGGAAACCTGGAGGGGGCCCCTATCCCTCCGTAAATGTTGCCCCCCCGGCCAGAGAGCAGGGCGGCGACGCAGTCCCTGAAGCGCGCGGCGCCCCCTGCCGCCGCCACCCGCCCCGCCGGCGTTTGGGTTTTGTCTGTGCCGCGCCCCCGGGACAGATCGGCGCGCCCGTGTCCTTGCCGGGGCTTGGGGCAGGTACACGGGCGCGCCACGCCTTGCAGCTGGTACATTGCTGGCGCGCGCGAGGTTGGTAGGTTTGCGAAGCATTTTGCGCCCGTTTGTTAGCCAGCCCGCGGCCCAATCGTATTCGTTCGAGGGGGTCGGGGTTTGGGGGCAAATAACGCGCCGGAGTCCGATTGGGCCCGCCGAGTGCGCCCTTTGCCGGCCCGTCTTGCCTCTCTTTGCAGCAGTTGGCCGAATACAACGACGCGCGCGTGGGTTTGCCGATCCCGCCGCCGCTTGGTTGCGTCTCTTGCGCCCTTGACGGCAGGGCCGGCCGCCCGCCCGTCTGTCTCTCTCTCTGCGCGCGCCCGTCGCACCGCGCGCAGGAGGTTGGCCGGCGCGCCGATTAATGTTGCCGCCTCCCCGGCGCGCCGGCCTTGGCCCGCCCGCCCGGGTCAGCCTTCGCGCGCAGCCCTTCCTTGACAAAAAGAAGCGGTGGGGGGGGGGGGCGCGCTCCTTCTTCGGTGGCTCTACCTCATCCGCCTCCGGGATGGCGGGCCGGCGCGCGACCCTGTTCCGGCTCGGGACGGACCCCGGCGGGGTGGCTTCAAAAACGGAGAGGCCGAAGAACGCAAGCTCTACGGCGAGACGGTAGCTACGCCCTACCGCGCGCCGCGTTTGTGCGCCAATCTTTGCGCCTGTGTTACTAGCTTGGGCCTGTCGTCGGCCTTCGATCGCCTGCCGCGCGCTGGGCCGGCCCGCCTACCTTCCGGGCCACCGCGGGGGCAGCCGCAAGGCAGGCACCTTGCTGCCTGCCGGCATTGCCAGCCTGCGCCCCCTTGCGCGCACGTGGGGCATTTCGCCGGCGCCGTTCAAGTGTTAGCTTGGCTTGCTGGGCGGCCCCGCCCCCCGCCCTTCCCACCATCGCCCATTTTGTGGGGTAGGTCTCCTCTGGTGGGCGCCCCCTTTTGGCGGTGGGTCTTGGGTGTTGATATAAGTCAGTGCATGCTTTTGATGTGTTGCGCAGCCAGCCGGCCCGCCGCGTTGGGCGCCTGCGGGAAATTCTTCCTCTAGGCGGCTCCCGGCTTCTCACAGTAAGGCTAAGGGCACTCGAGGCCGCCGGTACGACGAGAATGAAGGCCGGCCGCGGTCCCGCCGGGCAGCCCGGTGCTTTCTTTGTTTTGGGATTCGCCTTTGGTCGTATCTATCAATGAGTCTTCGGCTCAGCCGCGCGCGTTTTCGCGCATCGGCCAGCAGCTCTAGTGCTTCCCTGCGAAGCAGACTGGAATTGGGAGGAATCGCCGCCAAGTTGGTTCATCGCCGTGCGTGGACATGTGTTGGTTGCCCCCCAGTGTGTTTTTTCTTGTGTGTTTCCCCTTGCGTATATGTTGTAGAAACTGATGAAACTCAGTTTCAGTCCATCTGTATGGCCTTTTGCAGATCTACATGCATCACACTACTTTTGGATGACTTGATGGCTTCATCCTGGAGCAGGCATAGATACGAAATGGTCTGAGTGTGTTCTGCTTATTCGTCCTTCTCAGTCTCGTTCGCGAAAGCGAAACACTTCAAATTTTAAAGATGGCGTCGGACGGCCCTGCACTAGCAGCAGACGGAGCTGCACCCGGATCATCCGATAGTACCAGTGCCGAGGTCATCCAGCTTGGCAAGACGGAGAATCCCAACATCTCGTCCTACGGCATCATCACGAAGAACGGCCTGCTCGCCATGTACGGCGAGGCCCCAAAGCTTCCCGGGAAGGAGTGCGCGCAGAGATTGAAGGCTTTGGCAAACTACCGGGAGGAATTTCTGGAGCGGGTGGTGCCGGCACTGGAAAAAGCAGGGGATGAAGAGCTGGACCGGGATCAGTGTTGGAGGCTGGTATAAATGAAAGTTAAGATTTCTCTTGAATTGAAGATATCAACGTGGACGCACCATTTGCATTTCAAACGCCGCGCCGTACTGCAAGAACGCATCGACCACGTCCACATGATGCAAAATGCACTAACTCGGCTTTCTGCACGACAGCCTTGCACCCAAAAGCAAGGTGTTGAAACTGAGTACTGTGGTAAATATTCAAAACAGATGTCCGACCACACCTGCATGTGGGAGAAGTATTCCCATCCGACCGTGATAAGCAACGGCCGGGGCGGCTTCAGCTACCACTCGGGCAACACCTGGGGCTGCGAGCAATTTTTCCGTCCGGGAGAGGAAGTTATTTCCGGAGCGGTCTTCTGCGCACGCGTTCTGCTTGCGGGGCGCTCGAGCGGGGTCAAAATCACCAACAAGGCGGTGAACATCGAGGACTTCGACGGTATTTGGATAAGTGTTGGCTGTTGCAGCAGCTCCAGAGGTGGTCGTATCTATTCGATGAATTTATGTTGGAGGACGTCGAGGAAAACTACAAACCACACAAGCAACACCCCGAAGCTCACAAGAGCGTTGCATGACGATAGAGTGGCATTAGTACAACTATAGCACTTTTTTAGAAAGAAATAGAAATGATCAAAACACGACGCGCCGCAAATACAGATTTCGAAGACGTTCTTTGGTTCAACGAGCAGCTCCTGATGGAAGCGATTCAGAAGAAATGGGGTGGCGACGAGGACGGTTTTGACGCGGATGAATTCACGATGGCCCTGCATAAGATGTACAAAAAGATCAAGACACCCTGGATGGAAATCAAAAGCAGAGCCACCATGGGTGGGAAGATCACGGAAGTTGGAATCAAGGCACTTTACGGTACAGCTTCTTGATGTTGCCGTAGTTGGTATAGCGGAAATAAAGGATGAACTTGTGATTGGGCGCGTAAGCCGACACGATTGACTCGTGTCGGGATAATTTCTCATGCCGCTATTTCAGCTGATTTTTGCCAGAATAAAGTACTTACACATCATCTTCTACTCTATCAGGTTTTACCCACAAGCTCGGGCAGCGGCCGACGGCTGAGGAGAAGCACAATATGAATATCACCAAGATGACGGGGTCGGAGTTCTGCCGACGCTTAGAGCGCGCCCGTGCCGAGGCGGACTGGGAATTCGTGGGGAAGTTTTACGATAAAGTATGGGACGCACACGGCACGGACGAAAACTTGTACAATTGGATGGAAATGATGAATCTGGCCACGGAGGCGTTTTATGCATTGCAAAAGCATTGTACTCGTATAAATGCATTACAAATTTCCTCAGCATGAGAAGTAAAATTTGTACTGCGGATTCCCCCCAAAAAAAAGATTTGTGATGCATGATTGCAATGCGAGTACGATACTTCTGCACAGGATACGTTTTTCAGCAAACCAAAAGAGTTGGCGGAGGGCGAGGAGGCGGCCAAAGCGGCTTTGGCAGCCACTCTGGCAGATGATTAAGTAGGTTGAGGATAATTCTAAAGCTAAGCAGTTCGCTTACTCATCATCGTCATGATCGTGATCGACATTTGGCCAGCGCGAGTTGGTGCTGGGCGTGTAAAATTGATGAACTGCCGCGAACAGCAACAGGTTTCACAGCAAAACATACTCATCGTCATTGAAAATTGATCCCACTCCAGCTGGATTAGACAGCAAGAGTAGAAAAGATTGGCCCTTCGTCGTTGTGTGCTAGTTTCAAAGACCTTCCACCTGTTTTTCGTTTCAAAGACGTTTCCCGCTCTCGAATCTGAATGAAGGAATTGTACTAAAGACGTGCATCTGCAGCTCTGACTCTGACGAAGTGGCCTTTTCTGAGTCAAGATCCTGATCTAATCTTTGCTCGGTCATCTGTGCTTTCGCTATCGTTGCCTTACTCAGTGTCAGCGGCTCACTCTACCTCTTACGTCGTCGTCAATTCGGTCCACAATTCGTGTGAATGCAGATTCAGAGCGGATTTGGATCCTCTTACTCTTTTTCTTTTACCTTTGAGGCCCTTAATGTTGCTTCAGCTAGGCACTTTATCAATGAACATCGAAGAGCTTCTACTTATCGTCGCATCGGCACCATATTGTTGGAGAAGTCAGTTTCGTTCCTGACCGTGACCATCAGAGGTGGGAAAGTCAAATGCGATCGAGGGTGAGCAGTGTTTGACGATGCCTGCACCCCTCAGTAACTAGCGCGAATCTTGTGAAAAGTACAGCTGGAATCAAAACGGAAAACAAAGAGAAAGACCAACAACACTGCGACCACGTGGGAAGCGACAAAAGAGTAAGAGACGACCTCTACACTTAGTACATTCGGAGGACGTCCCACAGTTGCAAGCATGCCGGCCTCATCAAGCAGACCCTCGGCTCGAGAAGTTGCGCCAGCTGCTGGTCGCGCTCCTCTGCTGGAAAACTCGGACGATCCCGTTGCAACCAGAATAAACCCGACCGGTGAATTATCAGGCGGAAGCTCAACCACTGCTTCCTCATCTTCAGGATCAAAGTCAACGTCATCTTCAAGAAAAACTGTAACAGGCAGTACGGAAATAGCAAAAGGAAATCAAAACCCGACTGAGGCAGAGGCTGCTGCGTCTCAACTCACTAGCTTTCCGCCACCCACAACGGATTCTGAAATATCCGACCACTCAGAAGTAGCCCGAATCACCGACATCAACTTTCGGGAACATCAAAACGGCTACCCTTTGTCAGCCAATGTGACGAATGCGGGGACGAGCACTGGAAGACCAACGCAGCACCCGTTGATAGGTGGCGAGCAGAGACCGTACCCGCGGTGGTTTCAGTTCATACGACGGCATCTGTTCAAGGGCTGGCTGAGCTCGACGATCATCTTCTTCCTCTTGTTCGTGTTAGTCGACGGGTTGTGGAAGGGGTGGACGAATGAGGAATTTCACTCCGATTTGAAATACGCCTCCATACCGGTGGTGTCAATACTCTTCACCTGGTGGCACGTGTGGCTCGGTTTGCAGATGTGCTTCTACCCGGTGCAGTTTAAGGTATACTAAAATACTTGATATAATTGGGCAGTCGTGGCTTGTTGTATTGCGGAAAAGCGATCAGTAGTACCAGTGGTCGACGAGTAGATGAAGCAACTCCATTTTTTTCCAAAGCATTTACATTCCCCGCATGCAGCAACGACCGCAAAGAAAATAAAAAACGAACTCAGGGTTGCTTCGAGCCCTATCTTGGGTGGCAGGGGATTGTGCCTCGACGAGCGGAGGTGATGGCGAAGCGTATGGGTGTGTCAGGATCGAAATCGACAAAATCGAAATGATTTGTCATGCATAAAATGGATTCCGGTTCGAACCCAGTTTCTAAGTGGCGCATAACAAATTCTGGCGATGCCTAAATCCAGTTTGTAATGCTGTTTAGGCAAAGAAGACTGATTCTCTCACGCTGCTTTAGCAGCTCGAGCTATAACCCCAAACAGGCTTACAATTGGCCTAACTTGCCTGCTCTGCAACGCATGTATTTCGCGTCATGCATTTTATGCATCACAAATTTTTCGATTTTGTCAATTTCGATCCTGACAGTTCCATAAAGCGGTCTTGTGACATAATGATCGGAAATTTGATCACGATAGAGGAGATCGTGGACAGATTGAAGCTATGACTTGCTCAAGCGCTACAATCTCAAATGTTACAATAGAATCTGGAATTTGTGTTGCATGATGAGCATGACAGATTCGTACAGCGTTCCACTTTTTGCAACACAAATTTCGCCAGATTGTAGTGGGGTTCGGGGCCCCGGAACTTGTCATGCGCAATGCTATGAGAAATGGCTAGATCTTTATGCACTCTTGCATCACAGATTTCCATATTCTATTGTAACGTTTGAGATTGTAACACCTGAACGGGTTATAGAAACCGGACGACTTCTTCGAATCCTTGCACCCGGTGCTGCAAGAGTGTCACGCGAAGATTCTGCAGAAGATTGGGGAAAAGTACTGGCCAAATCTGTGGAGATTAGTACCGGGAAGCGTGAAGGAGGAGATTCACAAGAAGGCGCTCGAGGAGAGCGAGCAACTGTATTTTTGGGAGTTTGGTTTTTGTCTTGCAGCCGCAAAAGCTTCCTGGGTTTATATGGTGTCAGGCTGGATGAGCTGCGCACAACATTTTACATCATTTCCCCTCGCGCCCTGATTCCATCACAGGTTCGCCCCGATCATGGAGGACTTGAAGCAAAATATCAATTCCATCTTCGACGTGAAGGAGATGTGCATTTACCAGCTCACCTCCCGGCGGGAACTCCTCGTCGAGCTCTTTCAGAAGATCGGTCAACGCGAGTTTCAGTTCATTCTCCACGTCTCCGCGGTGATGGGCTTCGTCCTCGGTTGCGTGCAACTCATCATCTGGCTGTTCCTGAAAAGCAACCCGCAGGTCTCGCTCTTCATCCTGCCCACGTCCGGGTTGATTATCGGCTACCTGACGAACTGGCTCGGGTATGCAATGTAAATTTCCTGTACATGTACAAAATGCATGACAAATTCCGCTAACTTGCAGTGTCCAACTTGATGTCATGCTACGCTAGGATTGAAGGCAAGTTTTGTCATGCAGGGACTGCATTTGTACGTGTACAGGAAATTTACTGTGGACATCGGGATCACCATGATCTTCAAACCCGTCCGGCCGCACATTTTCTGCTGCGGGTACCTGAACTTTCAGGGCGTTTTCCTGAAACGGCAAAAGCAGGTCGCGCGGGAACTGTCCCGAATGTTGGCGAACTCGCTGCTACAATCGAAAGAGATGATCGAATACGTAGTGAACCACAATCGGATGGAGGGAGGCTACGGCCGGTTGTTGGAGATGCACCGGGAGCACACGCACAAAGCGGTCGATTCGATCATGGGGAAAATGGTGCGGGACGCGGTAATACCAATGACAATCGGGAGTGAAGTGTACACGCAGATAAAAGAGGACGTCGTGCAGGAGATGCTGCAGGTATGGCGAGGGTGATAATCCTGTATTTGAAGTCTACTTCATGTTCATTTACATTTGCAACACAAAAGCGAAATCATCAAAGTGATTGACGTTACAGACGCGACGCCGGCTGCAGTTGTTCCATGCAGAAGCTAATGAAGTTGCATCTTGAAAAAACGCAGGTCTTCCCCCGGTACGCCTCGCAGTTTACGGAGTACGCTGATCGGGTCTTCAGTCTGGAGGAAACCTTGAGAACGCGATTGGGAAACTTGCCACCAGAAGAGTTTGAGGGGATGCTGCACCCAGTTTTTCAAGAGGACGAATGGATGATCTTGCTACTTGGTGGTGTTCTAGGCGTGTTGGTCGGATTTTTCCAGGGATTGGCCTTGGGGGCGTAGTTGGTTCTGTAGGCTATTTTGGCGGGTGTGTAAGTAAAGCGCATTTGAAAATCCGCCTCGAGCTCGACACGAGGAATCTAGCAACTCGAGGGAGGCGTATTCCCCATGTGTTTTAGCTGTATCGTGAATATTCATGTACGCGCTTCTACTACTTGACTCTTATTGTTTGCAAGTGCATCAGGATCAGCAACTTTGCGGCATAAAAGCTACCTCGTGCTGGTGCTCTCATGCAACAATGACATTTTGCTTTCGGCGTTCGTACCACGCCGAATTTTAATTTGACGAGCAATAGACAAGAAATGACCATCAAATGACAAGTAGTCATCTAATGTAATCCGTGTATCGCCGTCGCGTTTTGGTCTCGTCGATGCAGATGAGGACAACTCGCGTCATTGCACCGAATAGGCGGCAACTGTGTTTTACGATGTGTTCCAGTCAAGCGCAGTCTCGGTGCGTGTAACATATCTTTGCGACAATAGATACGGGGCCCGCCTTGATGCAACTTGACGAAATAAATGCCCCCACAGTTGTGCAGGTGGCAACTGCGCGCCATGCCTGGGCGCGTGCCGGCCGGCGCGGCGGCCGGGCCTTTTTGCGGCCCCGAGCCCTCCAACGGGACGCCACGGCGCCGGCGACTAACGCCGCACGGCCGCGCCTCGCTCTTTTGGCGCGTAGCCGAGCCCCAGCCTCGGCCAACGCCGAGCGCGCCGCTTTTAGCCCCAGACGCGCCGCCCTTGCTTCGACCGGAACCAAGCGGCCCCCGTGGCTTATTTGCCTCGGCGGGGGGGCGCCTTTGGGCAAGCGCTCCGCTTAGGGGCGCGGAGGGGCCGCGCCCCACCCAGTTCGGCCGAAGACGCCGATGGAGGGATGGGCCGCCCTTGGGCAGCGTCGCCCTGTGGCCCGGCCGACTCAAGGCAAGAGCCCGCCGGTTTTTGCGCCTTCTGGCGTGCCGGACGGCCGAACGGGCCGGCCGCGCCCCGCCCGCCGGGCGGCCCCCCCGGCCGCCGGCCGCGCGCGCCGGCCCAGACTTGCAGCCGCCCGCGCGTTCTGGGGCCGTGAGCTTTCCGCCGCCGCGCCCGCGCCCCGGAAGAAGATGGGCGCCGGGGGGGGCGCCGAAAATGATGAAGATAGAAGAGGAAGAAAGAAGCCGAAGATGAAGAAACGGCACGGGCGAAAGAAGGGCGTAGGTTTGGACGAAATCGGAGCGCGGCCGTTGAAGAATGGCGCGCCGGGGATGCGCTCGCAGTGTTGCCGGCCCCGGTGTCCGATGTTCACTCAGCCCATCCAAGCCCCGCGCGTAATGGTGGGGCTTCACAGAGAAGCCAAGCGCTCGGGCGCGACCCGACCGGCTTCGTGGGTATTAGCGCCGTGCCCCCCGCCCCGCCCGTATTTTCGTAAGTGCCCCCCTGTTGGGCGTGCCGCCCCTTTGTGGGCCACCAAGGGCCCTGCCGGTTGGTGGTGGCTCCGTGTAGCGGGCGGCGCTCTTGGGTGTGTGTGTGTGGGTTCTCGCCTCCCTCGTCTGTTATCAGTCCGGGCGCCCAGTGCCTGTGTGGCGCCATATATTCTCTGCGCGCGCCCGCCGGGTTTTCTGGCGCGCCGCCGGACCTCCTTACCGGCCGGCCGCGCACAAATGTATGGGCCGAGTGCCCTTCTCGGCCGCGTCCCCTCGCGGCGGGCCTCGGCCGTCGGGGGCTCCTCCCATTTGCACGGGACTGCCGGAGCGCCAGGGACAGGCGTGTAAGCGTCGCTCGTCCTGGCTCGGCGGTGATTGTATTGCGTTTATTTCCGCAAGCCGGGGGTGTTATTTGGCTCCTTTGCCAGCCGAACGTGCTAGCGCTGCAAGTTCTGCTCGCGGCGTGACTGACACTGCTTACCCCGGGTGTTGTGGACAGTGAAACGCAGCCGGGCCAGGAGGTTGCGAAAGATAGATAGAAAAACCGAAACCGCGATAGGGTCCGGTGCCCTGTCTTGGAGCAGCGTCCACGCGGACATAACCATTTGTGGTCGCGCTTGATGTTGCCGCGTGATGTTGTTCGTCCTGTTGCTGTTCGAGAAGGACAAGCAATTGACTTAAGAAAGTAAAGCTAGAGGCATACAGAACGAAATTCCATGCGCCATGCTTAGTGCAGGTGCAGTTGTCTCAGAACGGTAACGAAATGCCAAGTCTCGCGCGTGAGCTCGTATTAGATTCATGCTTTTTGCATTGTGGATCGGCGCCAGCGATTAAGATTATAGCTGCGAAGCTACAACCAACGAACTAAGATACTCGCGTCAAGAACACGCAGCGAAAAATTGCTGCATGCTTGCAGTTGAAGTTAAGTTGCAGTTACAAATTTGATGCTCATCCATGCCGTTGCATCTGAAGCCTGGCCAGCCGGTCCCCCTCGGTCCCGATCCGCATTCTTTCGCCGAATGGGACCCCGGCAGCACCGGAGCAGTCGTAACAGAGCTCCGTCTCTCCCTTAGAATCGACTTCGAGAAACAGAACCTGCATGGATTTGTCGATTTGGTGATCGGTCGAGGACGAAACGAAAACTCTACTTCATCACCGGCTTCGCAGCCCGACTACGTGGTCCTCGACGTGAATCTAGACCACATAGCCGTGCAGGAAGTGTGTATCCTTCGTGAAACGGCCGGCGAAGATGGTCAGGAAGAAGAAACCCCCGCGAAATACGACCTTGGCTACGAGACCAGCGCGTTCGGAGACGCGATGAAAGTGTACTTTCCTCCACCTCCACCGATAAACTGCATGAATGAAGCTACTGCCACATCAGACGCGCCAGACAAAGCAAATAAAATCCTTGCTACCATTCGAATCAAGTACCACACGATATCAGCCACAATAAAACCTCCAGCTGCACCAGCTCCCCAAACACCGACTTCTAAGCGCAAGACCGCGTCTGCCGTACAGTGGCTCAGGAAGGAGCAGACGAAAGGCAAAGTTGCTCCGCTAGCCTTTTCGCAGGCGCAGGCGATTCTAGCGCGGTCTTTTGTTCCCTGCCAGGACACACCGGCGGTGAAGCACAAGCTGGACTTCAAGCTCACGGTAGACACGAGCGCCGAAGAGAGCAAAGAGCTGGTCGCGATTTGCTCGGGCGAGTTGCAGCAAGACTGGGACAAAACTGTGAAAAGCACACAAGCGAAGCAAAAAACCTTCCACTACCGCCAGGAAACGCCCATTCCCGCGTATCTCATCGCCTTCGTCGTCGCGCGCTTTGAAAGGGCGAAGATTGGGGAAAATTCCTATGTTTTCGCAGAGCCGGAGATACTCGATTTCGCGCAGAAAGAACTCTCCGGGGTCTGCGACAAGTACCTGAAAACCGCTTCCGAGACCGTTTTGCTCGGGTCGCCGTACTACTGGGGAAAAACCTTCAACGTGGCGATCATGCCGAACTCCTTCGCGTTCGGCGGGATGGAGAACCCCAACTGCACGTTTTTCTCGGCATCCCTCCTAGCGGGGGACCAGTCCCTCACCACGACTTTAGCCCACGAAATCACGCACAGCTGGACGGGGAACTTGGTGACGAACAAGCTACACGAGGATTTCTGGCTCAACGAAGGGTTCACCCGCTACGTGGAGCGGAGGATTCTGGGCGAGATTTTCGGCGAGGACTTCCGCGAACTCTGTCTTCTCGTCGGCTTCAAGGACCTGAAGAAAAACGTGGATCTACTAACGAGCAACAACCAAGTGCATTTCACGGCACTGAACCCAGGACAAACCTTGGTTGGCGTGGACCCGGACGAAGCGTTTTCGCGCGTGCCGTACGAGAAGGGTTCGGTGTTTTTGTTGTACCTGGAGCGGGTAGTGCTGCAGGGGAGGACAGAGCTGATGTCAGCCTGGCTGAAGGAGTACTTGGAAGATTTCAAGTTCAAATCAGTGTCAACAGAGGAATTTAGAGAGCATTTTATCAGGTATTTTCGGAAGTACGAAAGCAAACAGGATGAGCAGCACGGCACCAATGTTCTTCCGCAGAAGCTCGTGGGGGTGGGCATCGATATCGACTCGATTGACTGGGAGAAATGGCTATACGGACCGGGGATGCCGGAAGACGAAGATGTCCAGACTGGTGAAACGCCTCTGATTGCGGCAAAGGAAAGCGGAGAAGGTCGAGGGGCTAATGCGAATAAGAGAACGAAGATGATTGACGAAGTGGAGAAATTGGTGGAGAAGTGGAAAAATGGGCACGGTGTAGCTGCTCTTGCAGCAGATGCAGCGCCGCCAGCCATTTCTTGTTCTTTCGTGGAAGACCTTAACTTCATTCAATCCTCCTGGAAAGCGCAGCAAGTCATGCTGTTTTTGGATTTGCTCATTGAAGCGTTGGACAAAAACGAGTTTCAGCCAACAGAAGAGCAAGCGGCCGCGTTTTGGAGTTTCGACGAAACCAACAATGTGGAGATAAGATTTCGGTTTCTGTTGTTCAAGTTGAAGGAGTCCGGCGCCACCGCGAGGCATCGCGAAGAATCTCCGGCACTTGAGCCCCGATTGGAGGCCGCTTTGGACTTGTTTTTCGGACAACACGGAAGGGGAAGCTACGTCAAACCACTGTACTTGCAGTTGAAGAATTCGAATCGGGTGGAATTGGCACGGGCATTTTTCCTGAAGCACAAAAATTTTTACCAGGACACGATCGCCATCGGATTAGCGAAGTCGTTGGGTGTAGAGGTGTAGTTGTAGCAGGTAGCATGGGAGAACGATGAAGTAAGATGTTTTGTAGCTGCGTCTGCAGGAGCGGTGCAGTAAATGTTTAACGACAAAGTGTAAGTACAAGTAACAAGAACTCATGCACATGCAAACCTAAGAAATAGAAAACCGCAATCGTAACCAATTAATAACAGCCTGTATCTTGTTTGATAAAGGGAAACAGACTCTGCGTCTGCGAGACAGACAAAGCGAAAACTCGCATCGGCACTCAAAAGGGAAACTCAGAGTCAAGCCTTATGATTATGAAAGATACAGAGTGATATCCAACTATTAAACATGCCAGTGAACAAACTGAAAACTTAAAGCATAGCGTCTCTTCTATCTCGTGCTGCAGCGATCTTTTGCTAACGACCGGCGAAGGACGGTGTTGATTCCGCAATGGATTGGCGTGCTGTGTGTTCGATTTGAATTCTCTGTCGCGTCCCCTTTTCAAGTGCGCCCGCGGCCGCACTTCTGAACCCCAAAAAAAAAAGAGCCGCCATCGCTCAGATGCGCGGCGGCACCTGCTTGCTTCAGTTCCGTGGCCTCGTAGCGGGAGAGGCCCGCCGCTTATGGTTATGCTGGAGAAGGCGCTCGGCGGGGCGCGTAGCTGTCGAAGGATTTCCCGGAAGGCGGCCGACAAAGGGCGGCGCGCTGCGGAAACATTTCGCAGCCGCGCGGGGTGCCTCCTCGCAAGGAGTGGGTGGCGTGGTTCTTGTCGTTGCTCGGCCGCCCGGCAGGTGATGCCAGCCGTGGGCAAAGTCTGTCGCCAGGAAGCGAGCCCGCCGCAGGCGATAGGGATAGCGCGCGGCGTGGTGGCGCAGTCTTGTATGGGGGCCGGCTGACCTCCTTGCGAGCGAAAAAAGCGCGGGCGGGAACTGGTTCGGGGTCGTGCGTTGTGCTAAGGGCCCTGCCCGCCTCCGCCGGCCTTGCGAGCGTTTGTTGCCCCCACCGCAAGTCGGGCAGGCTTGTGTCGCGCAAGACCAGCCGACGTGACGGCTCGACCCGCATGCTGAAAAAGCCAATGCTGAAAGTTAAGCTGTGCATTGTCGTAGCAGACACGCAAAAACCCGCGTCCGCTGGTAGACCGGTTTGGATCTCGCAACTTATGGCGCGTGCAAATTTCGCCGACGAAGAAGGCCCGCCCGGGGGGAAAACGTGACGGACGGGGGGAAGGGGGCACCCCACAACGGCCCGGCGCCGCGGTGCCACCGGGACCGACGGCATTCGCGCCGGCCCGGAGTTGGGGTGGGCCCGTGCGTCGGCCCGCGTGGCCCCGCGGGCTGTTTGCCGCCCGCCCTGCGCGCCGGCGGCGCGCGCCCCTGTCGCGTGGCCCCTCTTTCCTTTGGGCGTGGCTTTGCCGCCAAGGGGGCCCCTGCCCGGCCGGGGCCGGCGTGAAGGAAGGATGGAATGGGCATGATCGGGCGGACATTCGCGCGCCTTCGCGATAGGGCGGCGGGCCGGCGGGCCAGCGCCCGGGCAGGACGAGGACAGCGTCGGGACTTTGAAGACTGTACAGGACGCGCGCCGCTTTCATCCTGGGCCGGCTTTGGCCAGAAGGATGAGGGCCGGGCCGTCCTTGTTGTGTTCCCGCCCCCGCCCCTGCCTGCTTGCTTCCGGCCTTTTTTCGCTTCCGCGGGGGCGCCGGCTTTTGTTTTGTTGCTTGTTTGGCTGAGTTAGGCCGGGCGGGCTGCTTGGCGGGCCCGGCAGGCCCTTTGGTTGGGCGGGCCGTACGTCGCGCGCATGCTTGGGCGCTGCTCCATTGCCCCCATTGGTTGGCCCGCGCCGCGGAGTTTTTTCTTTTGCTTCGAAACAGTGGCCGGCTGTCTTTTTGACCACCCAGAACCGCGCGGGCCGCTGCTTTTGCCTGTTTGTTTCGCCGCCCCCCGAGCACTAGGTAGCCGAGGCGCCCCTATTTCTGGTTGAGAGAGTGGGCGGCCCTTTTGCCCCAGCAGCAAGCTGGCGCAAGCAGCCCATCGGCCGGCGCACGCGGTGTCCGCGAGTGTTTTAGTGGAGACAACCGTCAGCCCAGTTGTTGGCCCAATGGATGTTGCTAACCCAGCGCCGTGCCTGCGTGCGAAGCGCGTACAAAACGAGAGGAATCCTGTTCAGCAGATTATGAGGCCGATTGGCGATGGTGATTTGGCGATCCGATTGCGATTGAGCTTCATCATGTGGGGTGGTTTCATTCTCGCTTTGGTTTTTCCACCCTGACTGCAAATCCAAACGCATCGGGATCAAGGTGGTGCTGTGAGTTTGAATTTGATCAAAGAAAAAGCAAGTTCCCTTTTGATGATAGCTATCGCTGCGAAGGTGTGTCTGTCCTCCCATCCTGCGAGAAAATGAGAAAGCTTCGCTGTGGTAGTTGTTTCTTCTGCAAGCATGTAGGACCGGTGGCTCTTTGCGTTTTACGATGATTGTGGATGTTTAATTTTTTCCCAGAAGTCGAAGAATAAAAAGTTTTAAAGGGACTAAGTACAGCTTACGTATTGATTTACATTAGAGGTTTGTCGAAAGCAGGAAAATTCGAACTGCTGAAGCTACCATGTCGTCCTCATCCGGGAGCGACTGCGACATCAATATGATCGAAGACTGGAAGATGTCCAATATTACCGGACCGTGTGAAGAAGAGAAGTTCGAGAAAACGAGCAACACGCCTTTAAAACCGACCTACGACCAAACTTCCGACAGCGAAAAGGACGTCCAGGCCGCTTTTGCACAGAAAATGAACCAAATTTTGGCCAAGAAAAACCCAAACGGCACAACGACGCCGCCTGGGCTGGCAAACAAGTCGCCGAAATATTTCAGTATCAGCACACCGGCTGGAAAAGCGGAAGGTGGAGGAGGACAAGATCGCGATGAAAGCGTGGATCAGGTTCAGCAGACGGCGAAGGAGAGAAACAATACCGCTGTCCCTTCCGCCCAATCTGAAACTTTTCAACAATCACCAGAGCCGCTTTTTCAGCTGAAGAAAGTCGTCAAGAGAACGAGGCGAAAAAAAGCCAGTCCGCTGAACGTTGCCTCGCCACCTGGTTTATCCCGGAAGGAGAATTGCGAGCAAGCCACTAAAAGTGTCACGAATAAAGCTGCGGACGAGGAATTCTCCGCGGGGGAAGCGGAACAAAAGAAAGAGGAGAAGATCGCAGCAACCATTACGAACCAGAGCGAAACCAATCAAACACACGAGAAACTCGATCGTGTGGCGTCACCAGAGTTAGGCGACCGAGCGGAGCAGGTGAGTGTGGAGCTAAAAAAAGAAGGCCACATCCCAGCTGAAAAAAATTTGATCGAGATCGTCGACCAAGCCGGAGTGCAAGTCACATCTTCGGAAGGCCCTGAGGCCTCGAGCCCCTCTTCGAATACCGGAAATTGTCCTAGCGATGCACATGTGGATCAGGCAGTGGAGCCAGCGACGGGCTCGTCTGCGGCGCTGAATCCGATGCCAGCAGCCTCCTTGAATGCGGAGAGATCATATCAGGGAAACTTCGGGCTGCTGGATTGCGTGGTGGGACGTGCGATGCTGGGTTATTTGCTCTACTTCTTTCGGCATCTTCTATCATCAATGGAAGAGATTTGGATTTAAACGAATTTGCTTCATCTTCTCCGTGCGAATTTTGTAGGACTGCACGAAGGAGAGCGTGAGTGTGTAAAAGTTGCAGCTTTATTTCGTTCATTCAAGAATGCACTAGCTACGCGAAACTTAGGTTTAACAACATTCAGCATAGAAGCGACGAGAGAGCAGGACCAAACTTACGCAAAAGTGAGCTCGTCGTCGAGGAGAATGACGGACTCAAAGTGCCGCTGCTCCCCAGAACTGCTGTTTCAAATGAGTTTAATGTGCTCGCGAATGATAAAAGAGTTGAATGCAGATGCAAATTTGCCATAGATTTTCTTGCTTGACGCAAGCATGTCAACAAGCGCACTATGTCGATTTCGAGCGCACATGCGTTGAAGCAGCAGCTCTGAAGTCCATTTTTTTTTGAAGCCTCTTACAACTGGTAAAAGACAAAAATTATACTTGATCTTACCCTCTGCACGTCGTCCGACCACGTGCGATCACCAGCCCGCTCGCTTTTTCCTTTCCACTACCCGACCTCCTTTCCCACCGTGACCTCCTCCGCCAACCTCGACATTATGGAGGCGGAGCACAAGTACCGGGAGCTGAGCGAGCAGAAGTCGCTGGAGGCTATGCAGACCGAGGAGGAGGTATCCACAGAAAAAAAACCATCCACATCCATTTTTTGCATGACAAACACATGACTTGCTCCGTGTTCTTTTGCATGACAGATTGGATGCGGATGGGTTTTTTTCTGTGGATAGGAAGAGAAGTTGGCGGAGCAGGAGTTGGAAAAGGTCCGGAAAATGCAAGAGGAACTGGAGAACAAGATGCAAAAACTCCGCGAGTCCGCGGAACGGAAGAAGTTGGAGGCGGCCACCGCGGCGAAGGAGGCCGATCGGCTGAGGGAGGAGCAGGAGTTGAAGCGGAAGAAAGAGTTGGAAGAGTTGGAATTGCAGCGGAAACTGGAAGAAGAATTGAAAGAGAAGAAGCGGCAGGAAGCGATTTTAGCGAGACAGAAGGAACTGGAGGCGAAAAAAGCAAAATTTGCGCAGAAGTTTTTTGAAGACATGAAGGCGAAATTTGCAGCGGAGGTGGAAAAATTTGAGGAGGAAATCGAGGAGACCTCTGAAGCCGTTTTGGCCGAAGAAGAAGTCCAGGAATCACAGGAGAAGAAACATGCTTCACTCACCAGCACCTCTTCTCCAAAACCAAAGCTGCATGAGGATCAAGAGAGTGCCAAAGTTGATGAAGATGAACATGATCCCGCTGCGGCTACTGCTTCTGGTGTCAATGAAGCTGGTGTCGTGCGAGGCACGAGCACCAACAGCGCGGACAAACAGGCTGAGGACGACGTGGTCGATGCGGAAAATAAAAAGGACTCTCCTTCTGCCACCAAAAACGTCACACCGACGACGGAACAGGATGACCGCAATGAAACTCCTTCCTCCTCGATCAACAAATCCACGGTGCAAAACCAAGCTGCTGCTGCAATTGGCAACAAGACTAGCGTTGATAATACCACTGCTGTTGTTGTTCCAATCGCAGATGTTGTTGACGAGAACAAGGAGGACCAAGTCGCTAGCTGTATCGCAAAGCTCGTCCATGAGCACTGGCAGGAGTATTTCAAAATCGCACCGAAAACCGTGATCGAGGAAAAGGTTGTCGTTATCAACGCGCCGCCCCCCGCTTCTCCACCGCCGGCGGATCACCGGAAAAATACCAATTATACTGCCGTGGAAATGCAAATTGTGCGGGAACGGTTGAAGGCCAGCGCGCGGCGGCAGCAGGGCGGTCATGGCGGGGGAAGGAAGGGTTTTGGGAAACAAGAAGCTGGCGCCAACAGTGCGTCTTCTTTTGTAGAGTCCCCAGCAGGTCCAGCAAGTAGTACACCGGGGGCGGCGCACAGCCAGCACGCAGTGTCGTGTTGGGACGGCATTGGGTATGGAACGAGCAACCAGAACGGCTACTACAGCAGCAATACATCAACTCCTGGCAACTACGGGGGTTCTTTCTACGCAGAGTTTAATAACGGAGGCGCGACTAACAACCAGCTCCAGCACGGGGGTTCATGCAATTACTATGGGACTACAAATCAAGACCATGCTGGCTTCGGCGCGGCGTACGGGATCGGGCAGTCGATTAGCATGCGAACGGATCACTCGCATGTTCCCAGGCAGAACTTTGACAGCATGAACTACGGCACGACTTTTCCGCCCTCGAATTCTTTCAACCTGGATCTCCAGGCGCAACACAGTCCTTTGGATGAGCACCAGACCGGCGAGCAGTATAATGTGGGCCAGGAGGAGCAATTCGACTACGCTGCTGGTTGTGCCGCCACCGGGTCTGCGAAAAAAGAGCAGCCGAAATCCATTGACGAGTTAGTCACCGACATCATGTCGCCGCCGCCGGCGAAGAACAAAGGGGGTTTTGAAAAAGCGGAAGGAGTCCTCGCGGAAAAATCCGGGGAAGGCGGGGAGGATGAACAAGGTGCTTCAGTTTCTCTTGCGTACAAGTTGGCGCTGACGCACAATGAACAGGAAACTGCTTCTTTGGCGGGCCACCGCAATCGGAAGAACACCGACGGAACCGCCTCGCTCAACTCCGAGAACTGCACTCCCACCGGGACTGGCGAAATCAAGTACGAGCTGAGGAATGGCCGAATGATGGCGGTTGACCGGGGCCACTATCGGGAACGAGAACGCGCCAGGGTCACAACCGGACGAGAAAAAGCTGCGGAGAGGAAGGAGCAGAAAGTTGATTGGGCGAGCAGCCAGGAGAGGGACCGTGGGGAGGACGAGACCGGGGTGTCGGAGGAGAAAGAGAAATTTGAGCACGATTGGGGTTCCTGGAAGACCAAGCTCGATGGCTGGAAGCAGGGTAAGAAAGATGCTGACTGGACTTCTGGGAGCTGGAAGGATAGTGAAGACAAAGCCGCAACTTCTACCGCCGGTGCTGTTGGCCGCGACAACGAGAAACAGGAGCGGAAGGACACCTGGCAAGAAACCGCGAATGAGGATGAGGTCGATTGGAACACCGCGAAAGAGGCAGGGGTGAAGAAACAAGATGATTGGAAAAATGACAGCACGGCTGGTCGTCGTGACAACAAGGAGGTCAACGAGACGAATGAAGACTGGTGGGGCACCAGGTGGGAAAAGAAACCTTCCGATGAGCAGGGCAAAACAGCGACCGCGGAAAAACAAAAAGGCGATTGGGAGAAAGATTGGAACGTGAACGACGACACCACGAATAATGACGGCGACAACACGAAATCCTCTTGGGCGTCAGACAAAAACAAGAAAACGACCTACGCCTGGGCCGAGGAGCAGAAGCTGGACGATGTCCAAGACAAGAAGGGCAAGGATAGCGGAAGGGATTGGTGGAAAAAGGATTATGGTGACTCATCCTCGTCTGCGGATAACGATACTACCAAGGCGGGCAAAAAGAAAGACAAGTGGTGGAAGGACGATAGTGGTGTTTGGCAGTGGGCGGGCGACGAACAAACGCAGGATGTCAGGTGGAAGATTGCTGAGAAAGAATACACCAAGGGCGACACGACCTGCTTGATGAAGGCCGACCTGTACTCCACTGAGCAAGGTGCAGGTGAAGAAGAAAAAGTGCCGTCTTCTTCATCTGAAGATCACCAACCTGCTGAAGCTGAGACGAACCACTATGAGGGACAGCAGGTTTATTCCACCCCCGACGCCCGCCTCGTCGAAGAAAGTATCATCGACCCCGAGGCGGAGGCGGGCAATAGCACCACAACATCCAAAAAGTCAACTGCCGCTGCGGTCGTGAACATAACGCAGAACAACAAGCGGAACAAAAAACCCGTTTGCACCATCGACCCAAAATCGAAGAATAACACACAAATTGTCAGCAAGGAAGAGCTGAAAAACGACAGCGTGAAGATCAAATGGACCCCGAAGTTGAAGGAGACCGAGCACAACTACATCTTCAAACACTACTCCGATTTGGACCAGCAGCTCCCCGAGTGGCTGATCAACAACTTGAAACAGAAGTTCAACGAACCGATGCTGGTGCAGAAATACGCGTTGATTCCCGCTTTGTCCGGCGCGGACGTGACCGGTGTGGCGAAAACAGGCTCGGGGAAGACGGTCGCGTTTTTGATTCCGGGGCTGGTGTATCTGGAAACGACCGGGTACAATCTGTATCACAGGAAAAAGTGTATAACGTTAACGGTTTTCATAGATTGCAAAAATGCATGACAAATTTTGCCTAGCATCAGCATGCATGCTGTGCATGACAAATTTTGGCGCGTTTTGGGATGCGTATCTGCATCACGAATTCCGTTAACGTTAACACGACTTTTTCCTGTGATAACCTGTGGGACATGGCGATGGTCTTGACCCCCACCCGGGAGCTGGCGCAACAGACCTGCCAGGTGTGCAAGCAGCTCGCCACGGGACCCAGATACAACGAAATGTACTTACACTAAACCGATTTTTGCGAGAAACAATAGTGCTGTAGTTGCATGTCTTTTCATGTTTTTCGATTGGAGTTGTTTTTCACTTCCTGTTGCATTTTGAGAATGAAGATAACATCATCATCTCGACCTAATACGCACTTCCACTTGCAGCTGCAAACTTCCGAAACTAAATCAAACCCTATTAAAACAGTTGGCCCTGCCTCCTGGTGGGTGGCGAGAAGAAGAGCCGGCAGGGAGACGACTTAAAATGGTCCCGCTTCGTCATCGGCACGTGCGGCAGAGTGCGGGAATTCATGATCGAATCGCGGGAGTTAGACGTTTCCCGGTGCGGATTTCTAGCGATTGACGAAGCGGATAAAATGTTAGAGGACGGATTTCACGAAACCATCATCGAAATCTGTTCCCGGATCAAGGTCTCGAACCGGCAAACCATGTTCTTTTCCGCGACGTGGCCCCAGCACGTGGAGGGCTTGTCCCGGGCGATCTGCAACACGACGCCCTCGGCGAACAAAAAGAACGTCGGGAAGAACGCGCATTACCACGGATACAGCAGCTACAGGAACCAGAATTTTTCGGATTTTTCTCATGACAGCACTTCCAAAAATGCTGATCAGCACAACGACCAAGAACAAGATCAGCCACTACAGAAGCACTTGTTACTCAAGGTGGAGCAGGACGAGAATTCGGAACTCACCGTGGACGAACGGATCCAGCAGGAGGTGGTAGTTTGGACTGACCCACACTACGAGTACGAGGAGAAGAAGCGACAGCACATGATGAACTACATTTCCAAGGAGTTAGAGACTTACGGCCAGGACGCGAAGATCGTGGTTTTTATGAACGCGAAGAAGGACGTGGAGCTGGTAAAGCAGATGCTTATCGAGGAGTACAACGTGGACGTGGAGGATGATTCGGACATTGAAATCGAAGAGGCAAACTGCCACGAGGGATTCGCGCAAAATAAAACCAATGATCTCGAGTTGGTGGATATTAACAGCGGTGGCCGGCGCAAGGAGGTTTTTCCGGCAGTCCACTTACCGGCGGTGGATAAAAACATGGTTGCAGACGAAAACGACGCTGCTGATGTAGTTGTCCCGGTGGTTGCTGAAGAAGATGTGAAGAAAGAAGCGCCGCCGGCCGCTCCTGTTGATGCGAGCTACGACATCGAGGCACTAAAGTGCGACTCCCCCTCTCCGGTTTTGGTCGAAGAGCCGGAAGAAGATGGTGACTCGGACGAGCAGGCTGAGAAACACGTGGTGGATTCTGGAAATAACGAAGGCCGATCTGTTTCATCTTCTACAGCAAAAGACTACAAGCCAGATGATGGTGATGGCCGCGAGCAAGGCCCCGGCGCTGCTAGCGATGATGCAGTTGCCCCGTCCAGAAGCTGCCCCAATAACGAAGACGAACTACAGTCTGAAGTCTGCAAGACCGTGACGGACGTGGTGACGCAATCGCAGAAATCGTTGCAAAACTCCGCTGGGATTGTACATACGCCTGTTTCTGCGAAATCCTCGCTAAAGAACAGTGTTTCCACTGCGCAGCAGGACATGAATATGGAAGCACCCTGCTTGAATTCCTCCGCTGCCGGCCACCAACAAGAAACGGACCAGAAGGCAGCTCGGGCCAAAGATGGTGATGCTGATAATGATGAAACTTCTGTTCTTGCCGCTTCCGCATATGACTATCCGCCAAGAAAAACGTGCATCAGCAACAAATCGAAGAAGATGCAGATTGTCTCGATGACGGGCGACATGAAACACTACGAAAGAAAGGAATCCCTGGAGAAGTTCAAGAAAAAAAGGCACTGCCAGATCATGGTCGCGACGGACTTGATCGCGCGCGGCTTGGACGTGCCGACGGTTACCCACGTCATCATCTACGAGTTCCAAACATTGGACAACTACGTCCACCGAATCGGGCGTACCTGCCGCGGCCGCAATGAGCTATCTTCATCTACGGGAGGAGGAGGTAGTTTGTCTGGGAAAAGTTCTCTGACCAGCTCCCCAACAACGACACACCAGGATGTCGAGGTTGGGAGTTTGAACGGAACTAGTACGCAGTTGAACAACGTGAAGAACGGCAGTCCCGGTGCGGTGTCTCTCTGTAGTAGTTTGTCGACAAGGAATATCAACTTGCAACAGCAGCAGCAAGAAATCCAAATCAAAGACGGTGCTTCGAAAATCAACATCGACGGTGCGACAACTTCTGCAAGCCATCAGCTGATACTGACGGCCACCAAGCGGGAGAAGCTATGGCGTTCTCAAATGTTACAATCTCAACTGTTACATGATTTGTCATGCAAAATGACCATGATCCGCAAGACGATCAAGCTGCTTCGCATGACAAATCATCGAATGGCTAAACAGCATCTAAATCCGTGCCAAATTTGTGATGCAAGACTTGCAAGCTTTCCCCTTTCCCTATTGCTGGTTTTGCATGACAAATCCATGTAACACTAAACAGTTGAGAATGTAACAGTTGAGAACGCCATAGAAGGTTTCCAAAGCTTTGATCTACTTCCAGCACTATGACAAGTACCCGGAAAACGCTGGGAAGTTGAAAAACATGCTGGCCCAGGCGAAGCAGCCGGTACCGGAGGATCTGGAAAAATTGGCGAAGGAGCACGAGTATCCTGTGCACAAGTATCGTACTCGTGCTTGCGTATGCATTTGCAATATTGGATTAGCAAATCTTTTCTTCTTTTCGGAAAAGCAAAAGTCTATTGTAATGCAATGTCTACAACTAGTAGAAGTGGAACTAGGTGCGATAGAAGCGATACTTTTGAAATTCATAGCGAATCCTCGACGGGCTCGAGGAACAAATCCCGGTTTCAGATTTGGTGGGAACGCGAGGTGGTGGCGAAGTTTGCGAAGAACTGCGAGGAGGGCCTGTCGTTCTGGGACCTGTACGACTTGGATGCGGAGGGACATGTGACGTTCACCGGGAATTCGTATTGAGATCATATTGAAACCGAGATGGGATTTACATTTGGCAGAACAGCAGGCATGCGATGATGTTGTGGCTGTGGTTGAAGACGCAAGGTGTGGATGATCGAGAGAATTTATTACATCACATGGGCATCGGCATCGCCTGCATTTTAGATTTTCCAATTTTCTATCTAGTGTAATAGTGATTTACTCTTTATGGTGTTGCCGTAGTCATATGTTGGGGAAGGGGAATACATTAATGTGATAGACCGGCAATAGTGTACTCGCCTCCCTTCGATAGGTGCTTCGAGTTGGAAATCACGAAGCCGTCAAATAAATGAAACGGCGAGTCTAAGTCATTCTTACTTTTACGATTCAAAACTTTCTACAATTTTTTTTTTTTGATTCAGAACATGATGTCTTTCTGACCGTTGGCTTGTTGTAGTTAAGCGAACGGCAGCGACCATAAATTTTGCAGTATTTTTGTCTCCGCCGAGACGAACACACGCAGCTAGCACAGCTTGTGCCTAGTATAATTCTGTTCTACAGAGCACCTCCAGACCACTTAGGCGACGTGGGCCCATTTTCAAAAACAAACAGATTTGGCCTCTAAAAGTGTCTATGTAGTCTTCACAACTTCAGTGTCGATTATTTACCACGAAGGACATACTTCTAAAGTTCAGCTGCGCTTCTCTTACTCTTTCTCATCTTCAAATGAATGCAATAAAGAATATACCTGCTTGATGCATCGGCGAAGGCAAGGCTTTTGACAAACTTCCCTGACGAAATGTTGCAGTTGCCAGCGATAAAAGTAGAACAGATCAGTTGAGACCTTGGAATTGAAACACGCCCACGCTTATGCTTGCCATTATTTGCACGCGCAACGTCAGCCACGCGATCGAATCTTTCGTGGCGTTTTGTGTTGCTTGTCGCTCGTGTGCGTCTAGCCAGGACTCTTGAGCGTGTTGACGATGAAGCTTGTTGCTACTCGCGTTCATCGCGCCAGAATTCAGGCGCCACCTGTCGCGCACCGGGCGCCATGCCCGGACAGACGAAGCTTGGGGCGGCGGTAGTTGGCGTCGCGATGGGAACCGTCGCCCCGGTGGCGATGCGGTAGCACCTAGAAAGAGGAGGCGGGCCGGCCGACGTATGCGAGGAGGCTTGCTTGGGGCATGTGAACGCCCGCGCGGAGCCACGCGCGAGGCCGGCCACGCCTTGTGCTGGCAGGCTGCCGCGCCGGTTGGGGGGGGGGGGGGGTGCGACTGGAATCCCAGCCGGGGGTGGCCCCGGCGTGCAAAACAGGGCCCGGCGCCCGCGGCAAAAGTGGCCCGCCGGGGCATTGTGTGGCGCACCCACGCGCCGCGGACCGGCCCCGGGCGGCTTACCGCCGGCGCGCGATCCGCGCCAGGATTTCGATTTCCCCCCCTCTATTCTTTTCCGCAGTTGTTTGGCTCTAGTATGTTAACAGTCACGGGCAATGTTTTAGTTTGAGCTGGGCCCCTCAGTCAGTTCCAGATCAGTGCCAACCTTTGGACGCCAACGCAGGAAATTTGTCTCCTATGCCTACCGAGGCCACACGCCGGCAGCATGTGGCCTAAGCAGCACGCGGCCTAAGCAGCATGTGGCTGGGGCCGGAGGGGGGGGCGATTGGAATCCGAATCCCAGGCCCGAGCGGCAACGGCGCCCGCGCACCCACAAGCCACGTTCCTGGCCGCCCCCCACGCGGACAAACCGACGGCGGAGAAAAACTGGCCTGCTCCCGCAAGCCAGCGAGCTGAGCTCGGCAGCAAAGCCGCGCGCTGTTTTCTGCCAACATGAGCCGCAGGCGAACAGCCGTCATGGGCAGCGGCGCGCGGGCGCGGGTGCTGCAGCTGGCAGAAGCTCGAGCGCCGGCGATGCAGCCAGGCACCGCACGGCAGCAGCAGCAACACAACAGAAAGACGCAGCAGATTGAAAAACCGCAGAGCGCGCGGCGGCTTGCAATTAGCCGGCCCGGGCGGCAGGCTGAACGGCGGCGGCGGTGGAAATAATCAAGGCGGGGGAGTTGCCAGCACGCCGGACGGCCGAGAATTCGGCGAGCGCAGGCGCGCGAGAGCCAGGCGGTTGCTGTGTGTGCGAAAAACAATGCGCGGCGCCCGCAGGGACTGCCCTCCTGGGGCGTTGTGTGGCGCGCACGTAGCGGGCAGGCCGCTGCATTCGGGCGCGTGTGGGCGTGTGGCTTGGGTCCTCGTGACCTGCCGCCGCGCCGCCGGTGCTAGTTTGTACGTTCCCAGAAAAAAACACCTGCGCCGCACTTTGCCGGGCCGCGCCGCCGCCGCTTTGGTTCGTTCTTAGTTACCCGCGCCCGCCGGCCGCCGCCTTGGCGCGACTGCCGCCGGGCCCCTTCTCGCCCCCTTTGCCGCCCGGCCGGAGGGCCCCCCCGCCGCCCCCCCGCCCCCCGAACTTGCCCGGCGCTGCCCCGTCGACACGTGCCGGCCCCAATCAGTTACTTACCTATCGAGCACTCCCGCGCGCGCAGTTGGCGGCGGCGCAGGAGAGGGGGGCGGTGGCGCGTTGGCTTTCCGGGCGGCGCCGCATCGCACAGGGTCTCCCCTCCCTTTTGGCCCGTTGCCTTTGGCCTGCCTGGCAGGCAGGCTGAAAGTTTGCCTCGCCCCCGTCTTTGGTGGGTGGCGCGCGCGCGTGGCTCCTGGCCCTGGGCCCCGTTTCGGCCGGGGCCGCCGCGGCAGCCAGCCTTATGCACGCTCGTCCTCCTCTGCCTTTATGTTTGCACGCAGGCAAGCTTTGGACGCTCCGGTCTTGTCGGCGCCCCTTTGTTATCATTATCTTCTTCACCGGCCGCGGACGTAACGTGGGAAGCTATTCTTGACGGTGCTGCGGCGCATGCCTTCTCTGGTATGTCCCTCCGGGTCGTCACGCGTTCTTTGTTTTCCAAACGAAAGTCATGTAGCATGATGATGTGCGTTTCCCTTTATCATTGGCTATCTTGCCCCTTGGTAGTAGTTTTTGATGTTACTTCGAAGTACTTTTAGGGGCCGGAGAGGGAGTACCACAGGAGGTAGCAATCGTGACGCGCCGCCGTCTTCTGGGGCCTGTATCTGAAAGAAGCGTTTGCAAATTCCGACTGTTGTTCGTGTTGTAAAATAAGTCGTCGAAATCTCAAGAGTCGTTGTTCGTTATATTTCATAGATTCAACAACTAAAGGGCAACATCTTCTGCAAGGCTGTTGATGACTAATATGACTCTTGTGGTTGTCAAGGAAATGCAAGGGTCATCTTCGTCTATGTCTTGTCGTTGTGGTCTTCTCCTTCTCGTCGACGTGTCTGTTCGTAGTCGAAGACTTGGGCGCCAAGTGGCCAAATAAGAACTGAAAATGGAAATCCAATAGCGTATCTTTACATAGAAACAAGCTGGTCTCATCCTCGTTTTGGTTTTGATTACTTACTAGTACGTCGTGGAGGGAAATCATGCGAAGAAGCCCCATTCATCATTTATTCACAAATACGCCCCAGACTGCAGCAGATTTTTTTGTGTTTGGAAATCAGCAGGGCATTACCAAAAAAGGGGCTGAAACGCGGGGAACAGTAATAGTAGGCTTTTGCTATTAATACCTCGGTAATTACGTGTATCTGCTCCTCACAAAGCAGATTTCAAAAATTTCAATCACTACCAATAAAGTAGTTCTCGTCCCCGAAAAAAAGAAAGTCATCATGCCCGCAGCGGACGACGATATTGATCCGACGCACCACGGTGGTATCACCGTAGAGGTCGAGCGATGCAGGGATTGCGGCAATCACCAGTGGTGCAGCAACCACCGCGAGGAGCAGTACGAAGAATACGAGGAGAAAGTCAAATCTGCAATTCTGACGAAATTGGCCGGCGGTCCCGACATCCGGATCGAGGTGAACCCCGGTCCGAAGGCGATCGGTATGTGTAGATTTTGCTTTTTTCCTAATCGAAGTTTGTGATGCGAGAAATCGAGGAGGCAAGCGAAGCTGCCATTTTCATTTTGAGTAACAGGCGGAACCAAAAAAAGAAATGACGCGCCGTCCTTACATCATTCTGTTCTCCTCGCGCCAGGTATGGACGTCCGCGAGTCGCAGCACAAGAAGGGTTTTTTCCAAGCGATGGTGAAGAACCCGATTAACAACAAGTACCTTCCGGACGTGTCCTTCTGTTACCCCCGGATCGGTTCCTTCGAGGTCACGGTGATGCGCGGGGGCGTCAGGAACAACCCGACGAGGTCCATTGTCTTCAGCAAGTTAAAGGCGAAGCGGTGGCCGAACCCGGAGTGGGTCGCGGAAAAGGTGGTGGAGGTGGTGAACAACAAACTCGGCGGCTTCGGACCGGACAGCTCGCTTGCCATGTCGCCAAACCTGAACAAGAGGTTGCCGAAGACGACCGAAGAGCTGATCAAATACGTGATGGAGAAGTACTTCTCCATGCTGTCTGCCTTCCGCGAGTACGACGGCAACAGCGACGGGCTGTTGACGAAAACCGAGTTCGTGGACGCGCTGCGGTCCTGCGGGCTGGAGCAATTGACGAAGGGGGAGATCGCGAAGTTGTGGCAGATGGCGGACGGCAAGACAGAGGTCGATTTAGCGACCGGGGAGCTTGTGTCGAAGATGTCGCACCGGCACTTTGGCCGCGTGTTTGAGCGGTTTCTGCCGCACCACGAGCATTTTGTCGGGTTGAGTCCGAAATCCTTGAAGTCGACGAGAACACCCGGTGGCATGGGAGGAAGCTCGTCCCCAAGCACAAGGAAAAATTCAGGTACATCACGAGCGAACGACTTATTTGGATTTTTTGTGTTGCACGATTATAATTATCTTAGAGATTGACCCGCTCCATCTTTTATCTCTTTGGGTTGTTTTCGCATATCGATGTCGTATCCTGTTCCCCGATCATCAAATTCAAAACCACATTATCAATATCTAACACCAGACGGCATCCTCGGGCAAGAGGGGGCTCACGCCCAGGACCTGATTGACGACGTGGTGCTCGGTTCGCACCCACTGAGCCCGAAGAACTCCCGGCCGAGCAGCCCGAAAATCGTCCGTCGCGGGAGCAGCAACTCCAGAGCCTCACTGGCGGGCCACAAGCCGTCGATTTCCCAGTTGTCCCGAATGAAAGAAGTGCAGGACATGCCGCTGGAGCAGTGCACGCCGGACTTGATTTATCCCACGAAAAAAGTGTTACAGTTACACATTTGTTGTCAATTCAGCAGCACAAATTTCTCTGCATGAGAGAAAACTTGCAATGCAGAAATCCTAAGGGAAAACGCCTATGAAACTACGAAGCTCCTATGCATATCCGACATGACAGAGCTGGTCTGTCTTGCTTGGCCTGCAACACAATGTGTAACTGTAGCACTTTTTTTCTTGCGATATGATTCGGGCGAAGATTTTGGCGAGAACGGGGTCGTTGACGAACGCGTTCAAGCAATTTGACGAGAACGGGGACGTATGAACTGCAAAAGTGTCTGGGTCTGGATGAAGAATGCAGGTGTGTCATGCTTGTCTGGCATGACTTGAGAATTTGTGTTGCATAGGCACGAAAAGGCCTTCTTACCTGTCATGCAAAAACGCAGTTTGCCATGCGGAATACGTAAGACATGGCAGCCAAAAAATTTGTCATGCATAGCTCCGTATTGCAGTGCGTCTATCATTCACTTTTAGCATTACAAGTTTCCAGACCCAGACATATTTGCAATGCATAGGACGGACAGATCAACGCGGACGAGTTTGAAAGGCGGATGCCGTTTGTGCTGGGGGTGAAATCCGTGCCAGACCGGGTCATGGAGGACTTGTTCGAAACCTTCGACAAGGATTTGTCGGGCAAGATCGAACTGAACGAGTTCCTGTCCGAAGAGTGCTTCACCGACGCGCACGCACTGCAGCAGAAGTTTCTGCAGCAGTTTGTCATGTCGTAACAACGCCGCGTAAGGAAGATAACCATTGGTCTTGTGATGTGCCAGAAGTTCTTCAGAGTATGCTCGTCGTGCTCTTTCCGCAGGTTGTCGCGGAGGTCAGCTTGACAGATTGACTTCATAGATGACAGTTTGACTTTACGTTTGCTGCTTCAATGAGTTTCAATTTTAGCATTAGCAATGTTAGATTTGGTATAGCTTGTCACAATTTCACTTTCACACAGCCTTTTTGTCGTTTCGCAATCATCGTAGGTATGTCGTAGAATTTTTCACTTTTTCTGGTAGATTTTGCACAAACAAATTTCAATTTACACTTTTATCAACAGTTGGCATCCGTTTCGTTCGAGGAGTAAAAAAACTGGTTTGTAAAATATGCATATTGGCGCACTTGAATTTAGATTTACATTAGACAAAGAAATCCACTTCAACAGTTTTCTCTATTGGGCTTGTTGTTTCAGATGAGATTATCTTCATCATGTATACCATTGAACAAAAACTTCGAAAACAATCTTCACTGGAGCTGTGTACGTAACCAGCAAGGCAGCTTGCTCGCCTCTCCGCACGCAACTAGGTGTTTGCTTTTTGATGTCAGTACTGGAAGGATCAGATAGCTGGTCATACGAATCCGGTTGTATGCATATGCTACACAAACACAAGCACAAGTGCTCACCCGAGAGAAGTACAAGGAGCGAGCTTACAACAATTTCAATTTGATGGGCCACCATCAACTACCTGGTCGTGCTTCTTTTTTGTGCGTCAACCAATATGATCCCCAGCATGTTGCCCATCACGTGCAAGAAACTGGCCTAAGAAGCGCCGTCCCATAACAACATCAACAAGATGATGGAAGCTGCGTCCTGGGGTCTCCGCATGGCGGAGGAGCGCCGTGACCGTTTGAAGTCTTTTGATTTCCGGAAACAGGTGGAGCTGGACTACAACATCGAGTGCGAGAAACATTTAATCCCGCAACTCGACCAGTTGCTCATTGCTTTCGGGGGGATAGGCGGAGGCGGTACATCCAATGGGCCTTCACTCACAGCCGGTGGGTCCTTCCATTCCGACCCACAGCAAAACCTCAACCCGCTGCTGCAAAACCCGCGAGTGCGGGAGTGGACGGAAACTTTGATCAATTTTCTCGTCCGCGCCAACATCGACATCGCTTTTCAAGTGATTGAAGAAGACCTCACGTATTGTAAGATCATGGAACATATGCATTGCAAAAGTATCGTGCTCGTACTAATTGCAGATATGCATGACAAATTCAATTTTCTACCTGAAATAGCATGACAAATTCAATTTTTTTCTTTGGAAAATTATTTGTAATGCATTTTATACTAGTACGATACTCTTGCACAGGATAGAACAACAATTGAGGGAGACCATCGAGCACTTGATCGCGTTACAAACGGAGTACTTCAAGGAGATTTCGTCTCTCAGGAACAAATACCTGCAGCAGTTGGACGAAAAAGCGAACATTTTCAACCCGGAAAAGTTCAACAACGAGGAGCAGTTGTACGTCCAGGAGATGGCCGAAGCGTGGAAAGCGTTACCGGATTTCGAGAAGCACCGGGCACTGTTCCTGGATCCGAAGGAGGAGTGGCAGCAGCGGCTGAGGCCGTTATCGTTGCGGAATGACGACGAGAGCTCGCCGAACGGGGTTGGTGGTGGAGCGGGTGGGGCTGGAAGTCAAAAGAGTCTTCCTGTCCTCTCCAAACCCTACGAAGTCGACGCTTTGCCCTGGTTTTTCGACGTGAACGGCGGGCATTTGGGGAAGAAAATTCAGGAGTTGTGCGCTCTCATGGTGGCGCACCGGGTGAAAGAGATACGAGCGCGGGATAAGGAAATGGAGGAGGCGGCGCGGAAGGCCAGGATGGCAAAGGACGACGAAGCGGTGCCTAGTTCGATGATGGACGAAAACTTGATGAAGGAAACACTGGAGGAGAACAAGTATAAGTAACGGTTTTCGTTTTTTTATTGTGTTCTGTTCTGGTCCTGGTGTAGTTCTTTGTTCCGCTAAGAAAAGTACGTTTCTTTGTTGCATCTTTGTCGTCTCGGAGCTGCACATACGACAACAACTCACACCAAAAACAGGCGCCTCCAGAAGGAGAACCGAGAGCTCAAAGCGCAAAACGCAGACAAGGATGAGGAAATTGCAAATTTGCAGAAGCTTCTGGAGGAACAGTCTAAAAGGATAGAAGAACTTTCCCTGGAAAACGAAGAGTTGAAGCAGAGCTCACGACGGAACTCGACTTCAAAAACGCGGAAATCGCAGGAGATGGAACTGGAAATGGACGAGCTGAAGCGGCAAGTCGCGCAACTCGAATTCAAGAATTCGGAATTGGACCTGGAAAACGAGAATTTGAAGCAGGAACTGGAAAAAGCACTGCAGCAGCTGAAGGTCGCAATGGACTCAGATGCAGAGGCTGCAACAGCAGGTACTGTTGACGTGATGAATGCGTTGCAACGAAGAACTTTTTTTCAGATTTTTTTGAAAACCACACGTAGGGGAGATAGCCTCGAGCAAGGCGATCTTTATTAGCATAAGCAGATGCAGCCCTTAAAAAGTCAGCTGCGATACATAGAAGTGCCTCCCCCACGCTTTGTTTTCCACAGGTGACCCCGACGCGCGGCGGCGGTCTTTGTCCAAGAAAGAAGAGATTCAGCAGCTGAAAGAGCAGGTGGATCAATACCTGAAGATTATCAAGATGAAAGATCAGGAGATCGCAACTCTGTCAAAAGACAACACGACCAAGCAACGTACGATTGACGAGCTGATGGCGAAATTAGCCTTGATGGAGCAGATTCTGGAGAGGCAGAAGTCACAGCTGTCTGCTCTCTCCGCCGACCAGAACTTGAACTTAATGGATGAGTTGGGCTTGAAGAAAATGGTGGACGAGCATTTGGACAAAAACTTCCACAGCATGCGAAACGTCTTTGAACGCCTATACCAGGACGCTTTTGACAAGCGCGACCGCATGACAGAGCTGCAGCAACGGTTTAGAGATCTGCAACTGGAGGGCTTGCTCGGGATTTTACAGAGTAAAAAGATAAAAGATGAATTGAAAATGAAATAAAGTGCGTTTGTTTCTCTCTTTTTTCTTGAATTTGTTTTGTGCAAGCTGTCGCGCAGTCGGTGCAAGCAGTCCACGCCGTAAAAAATTGTAAAAACAAAATCCTTCAGGTTACCCGCGGTCCAACCTGAGCCGCAGTCCGCGGGCGTCCATAGTTTCCGGCTTGAGGCAGGTGTCCCTCTCACCCTTGAAGAAGGGCGGCTTCAAGTTCATTTTAGCTCCGCTGAAGGACCACGAGAGCAGTGGTTCTGTAGAGGAAAAACAGCAATCAGAACTGCAAGCTGCATATCAAATGCAAACGTGTCTGGGTCTGGAAGAATGCAACTTGTGACGCTGCATTTGGATTGCAAAAAAATCTGTATTGCATGAGTAGCAAAGGGAATGCGATTTTTGCTACTCGGAGAGGGCATTTGTAATGCGGAATAGGCATCAAGAAGCCCTCAAAAGATCTGTGATGCTAGGGCACGCATCACAGACATCAAGACTCATGCAAAACCTGCATGACAAGTCTCAGAATCTTCCAGACCCAAACACTTTTGCATTTGATACCGCACCACCCAGCACCAAACCTGTTTCCGACGTTCCGATGAAGTTCGGCTTACTCCAAAACGGATCCTCCTCTTCCACCGCCAAGTTCACCACCCGCCCCAGGACCTCCCCAGAAACCTCCCTGGTCCAGATTAACGTGAAAGCAAAGCAAAACTGCGAAAAGAAGAACCTGACCACCCGCCTTCCCGGGTTCCAGCAGTCCCTCTACCACAGCAGTCAAGGGACGCACAGCTGGCGCGCGGGGACCGGGAATTCGATCGAGGAGCTGGCGAAAAAAGATTTGGCAACCCAGAAATTCAATGAACAGCAGAAGGAAAAGAATCTGAATCATGCCGCAATTAACAATTCTAGTAAAGTTGTACCGACTAAAAAGCTTTTATACAACCAAATGAAGCCGTCCGCCTCGACGATAGGCTTGTTCGACGTAAACAGTTCTTCTCACATCGCACCAGCACCATCTCCATCGGATCCTGGATTTTTCTCTGCGTCTGCTCAGCGCATGAGCAACCAACCGCACCAGCATAACGAATCGAGGTATTCGGATCACTCGGCGATGCCGGCGGTTTCTGATGTGGAAGAGGAAAACCAAGTATCGAGTGCAAATGTGTCTGGTTGATGTTTTCCTGGAAGAAACAAATAAACCGCTTTTGTGATGCAAAGTCTGTGCGACACAAAGATGAAGGTCTGTATTTGTATTGCATAAAGAAGCAACACATCCTGCTGCTTTTGGCCACGAGAAGGCGGCACTGGGCATGCAAGACAGGCATCGAGAATCCTCAGTCTCAGCAAGACTTGTAGCTGTGATCCACAGCTCGCATAGTTCCAGACCTTCTCTGGCGAAGGCGTACTAAATGTGCATGACAAATTCCGCAATCGATTGAGAGCCCGACATATTTGCACTCGATACCAAGGGATAAAGATCAACATGATCACGCAGATCGAGGAACTCTTGCCGCAATCACTCGAGGAACTACTGGCACCGCATCTGCAGAAATTGCCGCTGCTGGAGGGGGAATAGCTGCAGTGAAGGACGACCAATGGAACAAGAACTGCGGAGGACAAGACGGAGAAGTCGAGCTGAGTATGGTGTAGAGCTCCATAAGATGGTGCTCGTGCTGACTCCAGCGAGACTAATTTTGACGAATACTCTGTGCACCGCACTTGCACACCAAAAATGAAGATGCTAGCTGCTTGTACTTATTTACTCTGTATGATATACGCTTGTAGTACTACTCCATGTACTAGTACTCTGCAGGAACAGATCGCCACCCGCCTCGTGCATTCAACGAGCTCATTGTACAATTAGACTGGTCGCCCCCGCTCACATGCGGAATTTGTAAAATCAACAGCGGAATAAATGTAGCCATTATTTACAACTTATTTCGTCGTTTATCATCTTCATCCGTTAAAGCTTCGAGCGCTAAAACAGTGCGCATGCCTTGTTGTCTGTCATGTCTCTTGGTTCGTGTTTCGCCTTTTTTTTTCGTTTGTCAAAAGTACTCATAAACTTGTTGCTCATGCTTCTGTCTATGTCCTGAAACAATGTGTCGGATGTGGATCACGCATGATCTTCTCGTGACTTCAACGCCGGCGCCGCTGCTGTCAGTGTCACGTTTTTCGGTGCCGCATTTTTTTCTTTCTTTCATGAGTTCCTGTTGCAGTTCTACATGATCTGGTTCTTGCCTATTGACCAAATAATCCGTGCCGATCTGTGCCTATGCACCTTGCGTTCTGATACTTTGGCAAATCAAAAATAATAATAATTCGTTATGTTTGGTAGTGCCTCTACGATCTATCACTGGACTTTACGCACGACCGATACGTCACTATCCTACCGCCACCACCCTTTTTTTTGACGTGTTTTCCTTTTTTACTCTTTCGGCTTTCCTTATCCTTTTTTGCGCTTCGGCCACCCTTCGGTACAAAACGTATCTTAAAGTTCTTAAAATAAAGATGGACCTCGAACGTGATCCCTTCGCTGATATTCGCAATATGCAAACGCCGATCACCACCCCGGAAGTGTCCGCGTCCGAAAATAGCTATAGCGAAGAACTCGCTCGTAATTTTCAGCGCGGTCGGGAGACCTACAACTTGCCCTTTCCTGCTTCGACCGGGGTTTCAGCTAGTGGCTTTGGAGGAGTAGTTGGTGGTGCAGCACGACATCCACCAGGAGGGTCCTCCAGTTGTTCTTCGCGAAACACTTCCGTCTCACGGGCTCCGGCACGGAACCGGAACACCAGGGCGATTCCCGAAGAAGGCAGCCTTGACGTGCCACCGCAACTGGAAGACAGTCTCGCAGAACTGCGGGGCATCACGACGACCTCGAATGATACAGCGGGAGCACAGCACCAGTTTAATATCGGCGGCCCGGAATCACCACCGCCCCCACTCTACCGACACGGAACCGCCGCGCGGATTACCACGGTGCCAGAAGATTTTGGAGACTTGGGCGGCTTCGTGTTGGCACAGCACGAGCAGGACAAGAACAAGGCTGACGACGACGACGAGGCGAAAAAAGCAAGTCCTTTGATACCGTCGCTCCGCCTCCGGCAAAGCCTCAGCATAATTCCGCAGCCGGAGAGGTCTTCGAGTGTGAGGACGAACTTCGAGAATTTGGAAACGGACGGGCCGCGATTGGTGGCCAGGAGCAGCCGGAAGGTATTTGAGGAGGATATGAATGTAAGACCCACCACCAAGAACGCCAAGCCGCGTGCATCTACTTCGATAGAAAAGCAGGGACTGGAAGTGGATCTCGCCTCGAAAGAGGCCGCGCAGTTGAAGCGGAAAAGTTCAAAAGACGGCGCTGGTCTGAAGAAAGAAAAGAAGAAAAAGAAGAAAATCAACAGTGGTGATGAAGATGATGGTGAAGACGCAGATAGCAAAACGAATTCTTCGAAGACGGCACGCAAAAAGAAAACAAGGTCGTCAACAGAAGCGCACGCAACGGTAATTCGGCAGATGAACTCTTCTGGACTAGATGCAAGCCCCGGAGGTGGTAAAAAAGAAATCTTCCCACCGGCCCGTCAGAGTTCAATGCAGTCTCCGCACGGCACCAGCAAAAAGAGGAAATCAGCCCGCGGAGAAGGAGAGCAATACGATCTTCAACCGCGTCGCGCGAAAAAGAGCAGCAAAACCCTGCCTGTGCCCCAAATTTATCCAAATCGGCACAGCCTGGAGCAGGCGAGGAACAGACAAGGACAAGACGACGGAACCACGAGCGCTGACGCTGAAGGAAAAGCAGATGTGGACAAACACAAGCTGATGCAGCAATTAGACGACCTTGATTGCACGAACAAGTCCATTCTCAAGGTGTTTCAAGAAGCGGGGGCTTTGATTGCAGAAAATATCTTCAACGATTTCAAATTTCTCGGGAATGAGTTGCTTTCTTCGCCCGTGGACAGTCATCGACCGAGGAAGCAGGCTGCTGCAGACCAAGAGCCATGGTCGTTGTTTTCATCTGGCAGAAAGAAACTCGTCGCGATGGAGGAACCAGCTGGCCGGGACATTGGTGAACTGCAGAATGCTTTGCCTGGTGTAAAAAATTCAGCCCAGCATAATACTTTTGCCAATGGTAAAAATGACAGCTGGCCAGCAGCGGTTTCAAACAGTCTTAAGATCCCATCCAACGCGAGCTGCTTCACCCCGGGAACGATTCTCGATGCCAGCAGGAACTTTCCTACCACCAGGACCGTTCCGGATGTTTTTCCGAGCTTAATCTTAGACCCGAATCAGCACACCAGCAGTTCGTCAGCTGCCAATTGTGACGTCAACAGAAGTTTCAAAAACCTCAAAAATTTTGCACTTTCTTCTACAACATCTTCTTCAACAGCTGCTCTGGCGACCGTCAGAAGTGCGAAGTTCTCAAACGACGATCGCTTTCTGGCACTATTGACAGAAGAAGAAGTTATTTTGTACGATGCGACAGCAGGGTCCTGGGAACAGGTTGCGCGGATCGACCTCTTTCCGTCAAACACAGGGTCTGCCGTGGAAATGCCTGCTGAAGATGAAAGCACTGAAAACACCTACCGAAACATGGAAGCAAGTAGACCAGGAGCATCTTCTTTTTCAAGAACGTTGAGCGGTAGCACTGGTGCTGGACTTTTATCACAGCAAGTGGAAGCAGTACATCAACAAGACACCAAGCCAAGCATTGTCCAGATCGAGACGATCGAGCGCACCGTTTCTGCCGCGAGGTCCAAGTTAGGCTACGCCGCGCTCCATGGGTCCGCTTCTTCCCGCGCGTTATTTGACTCCGTCGCCAATCGTGTGCGGGTCAACTTTGCGGCGGAGTTGAGCCCTGAGCAGGACGGGGTAAGGAGAAATTTGGTGAAGCAGACGGGGAAATCGACGGTCGTCGGGCCTCTCGCGGTTGCGGTTGTGGAGGAGGAGCACGTGGAGGACGAGCATAAATGTGCTGGACCAGCACAAGCAAATTTGTCCAACGGCTGCTCTCCAAGCACCACAAAGATCATCGTTGCTGTGGCCGTTCGGCATCCGTACTGCCGCACTGGTTTACGATCCGTTGTGAAGGTATACGAGTGTAGTACTCGCGCTCCAAATATTCATCGAGGCTCTGTTCCGTGCGGATTTACAGGCGGGTCCATAAAAACAGCGAGCGACGCCTTCGTCTTCAACTACCGACACAGCATTCCTGGGGGCGACGGTTTGCATTTGTTTTGCTCAAGAAAAAGAACTGCCTCTACTTCTCCAGCTGGAACGAGTGGCACCGTTCTTCTCGCCGTCACCGACCGCTACACGATGAAAAACACGATCTACCGACTTTCATACGACAAAACGCGGAACAATTATGCGACTACGAGAAGTAATCTCTCCTACTTGGGAGCAGCGACCATGAGCAACGATTTTGCGATTTTGAAGCCTGTGTTTGCCTGGGTGGTGCACCAACCTGGCAATACATCCGCAGGCAAAACGACTTTATCTGCAGCGAATTCAACCGCTGCTAAATCTTCGGTGCTAGGTGGAATAAACAGGAATAAGTACTACAACTCCACGATATCAGGCGGCGGCCCACCTCCTAGTCTCCACCCTCCTGCCTCTCGCCAGCAGCGCGGCGCGCCGGAGCTCCAGTCGCCGTTGGCGTTTTCCCCTGCTGATTTTTGCCCGCTAATAGGACCACCTTCACAACCACGCTGGACTGGACGTGTCCACATAGCATGTACGAGGTACATTCACGAGATCGAGTTTCTTGAAGATGCTGCTCCGCCGGCCTCTAATACGTGTGACACCGACCTCCACGCCGAGGACGGCACTCCACCTGAGGACAGCTGCAAAGTTACCGAGGTGTATGCCCTTTCCCCCCGAACTGCGTTTCAACACCATTCCTGGGCGTCTTCGAACGATTTTTTTGCGTTTTCCCTCGCGGGCAATGCGACGATCTATTTGATGGAAGTCCATTCCTGGGCGATCGTATCGCACATCTCAAGTAGCTCTGCAGGTGGAGCTGCAATTATACCGGCGTCGATTCCACCATCAAGCCAGCAGACTTCTAATGTCAGTCAGAAAAACAGCTACAGCAGCTCCAACAATGCTACTTCTGTCAGTTTCGGCCGAGAAGGCGGCTTCCAATTCGTCTGCGGGTCTAGGTTTTTGGTGAAAAGCTGCCACAATCGGAGGCTGGGAATCTGGGACGCGAGAACCTGCACGGTGAATTTATCCAGGAAAAAACACCCATCCACATCCAATTTGTCATGCAAAACATGCATAAAGTCCACTATTTGCCATGCAAAACATGGATGGGGATGGGTGTTTTTTCCTGGATTGAATTACGTCATTGCCGACGTGATGTCGGATTGCGCAAATGCTGTCTGTTGCAGCAGTGGGGGAGGAAGTCTTCTTCTTGGGGAAGTACATCCAAATCATTTTAAAGCTTCAGACAGCACGGTCAGCATCAGCAACCCGGGTTTAGTTGTCTGTCCCGCTCCGTCTGGGACGGAGGTGAAGGTCTTTGACATGCTATTCCGCGTGAACCGGCATGCGGTGGCTTGTTGTCCAACTGCGATAAGTTCAGGTGCTAGTAATATTTCGAGCAACCAACTACACCTAGCATCTGAATCGGCGCCGAACGGTGCAGCGGATGCGGATGAACGCTCTGGAGGAAAGAACCCACTGAAGTTGACAGATGAGAAGCAAGCCACTTTCCAAGAAGATGAGCAGCCGCAACCCGAAGTGCAGCGTGAGCCTTCGTACATTGTCGATTTTTTGCGGATGAAGCGCACGTCCTCGACTTCTACCGCAGGAACGACCAACAGGATCAGATCAAATGCCAGTGCGATGAATGAAAAAAACCGAAAGAGTTCAGGTTGTCAGAAGCTAGAACCAACAGCGGAGCATGAAAGCAAAACTCTAACTCCCTCGCCCCAAACGACGGCTTCCACCACAACGACGGTCGCTTCAAACAAGATTCCTGGTACGAAGACGCAAAATGCCACCCGGTCTGCGCTTGCGATAGACATTCGAAATGATCACGAGGCGACTGCGCGTGCGCCGCCACCAGCAGATAAACTTCACGAAAAGGACCACCGCCACCCTACTAGCAAGAACCCTACTTTCACTACTTTTCCGCAAGAACCAGCACACGATGGCAGAAGTCCTCTACTTTCTTCTGTCCCCATCATGAACTACAACTCGTATCCTGTGCAAAAGTATCGTACTCGTAGTAATCGCAAACATGCATTACAAATCTTGCTTTTAAGGCAAATCAGCATTACAAATTTCATTTCTCATGCTGAGGAAATTTGTAATGCATTCATACGAGTACGATACTTTTGCACAGGATAACTCGACTGACCCAACCAAAGCCCGGATGAAACAGCAGGAGGAGATTTGCGTGGACTTCCGGCAAAACCGCAACCAGCGACTGGAAGCGGGGAACGTTTTTTCCAAGGACGGCACGCACATAGCCTTTGGGTACGACGACGAAGTGAAAATTTACTCCGTCACGACTTGGCAACTGTTGACCACCGCGGTCTTGGCGCCCGTGGACCCCCTGATGTCGGACGAATTTCGCTTGGTGTGCAACGATAAATGTGTGGTCGAAGAGAACGAAGAAACCAAACCAGAAAAGAAGGACGCACAGAAGGCACAGACCAATGGCGCGTGCACGTCCCCCGCACGACAGCCGCGACGGACCTTCTTCTTCCGAGACAGGAAGCAAACCGCCTCTTTTGCATCTTCGGTTTGGAGCGGAGGTGGCGGTAGAAGTGGTGCTGGCAAGACGAAAAGAACGCTGAGCGGTCTCTCTACTGTGGGAAATGGCCTTGCAAAGGAAATAAAGGGAGCTGTAGGTCGTGGCACCAGCAGTGATTCCTCTTCCACCAGCTCCAGCAGCAGCTCCTCTACAGACGAAAGCACTAACTCTTCTTCCGATAGCGAGGAACATCACCAGGACGATGTTCTTGATGAGGAGGACGATATTTGCGAGCGCCATAATCAGGACTTTTTCCTTCTAGACTTTTCCCACGATGGACTCGTCGCAGTCGCTCACGGAATTCTCGACGCAAACTCAAATTCCGAGGATCTGCGAAAGCAGTGCATCGGAAAATCGATCGTCATTTACCGAGCTTTGAGCTCTGACGTCGCGACCGAGAAGAAGTGGAGCACGTCGCCGGTCAGGCGGGTTGGAAACAGAGGTCTTTGTCCTCGTGGTGGGGATGCAACAGCAACCGCGAATTCTACTGCGGCCTGGCGCATCGAAAAGGAAATTCCGTGCACAGAAGATCACGTTGCGCGATACTGGAGCATCCAAGGCGCTTTTTCCTACGCGAACAGCAAGCCCTTGTTGTTTGCGGCCTGTGTCGCGGTCTACTCGATCGTAGTCTACGCCGCACCTCCCACTGCGCCGCCCACGGGTGGAGGCGCGACGAGTTGTAAGCAGGGAAAAAATGCGGATGTGAGATACAGCAGCACGACGAGCAACAGTGACTGCAACTCCGGGTGGGAAGTGGTGCACATGATCGACCGCAACGAGAACATATGTCGCCCGTTTTTCAGCCAAGACGACCACTGGTTCTGTGTGCAGGACAAATTGTTCGAGATTTCCTGGGTGCAGAAGCAGAAACTGTTCGTCTTGCGCGACGAAGACACGAACAACCGGATCAGCTGCCTGGCCGAGGGCGGATGCTTTTTGAAAGCGACAAAATCCACCACGACCTTGCCTCGCGTCAGTGACGTAGCGGTGGTGGATGAAGACGACGAGGGGGCAAGAACGCCAGTGGGAGCCGGAAGCAGTGATGTTGCTGGCAGCAAGAAGAACAGCGGGGCCGGCAGCGGTTCTCTTACTGGACGTTCTCTGAGCAGAAAAAGCACGGCGGTTGTAAAGATGGCAGGCGCGTACAGGACGGGTAGCAATGTGAAGGACGGAGTGCAAGAGCAAGGCGCATCTTCGCCGGCATCGAAAATAACAAATCAGCAAGACGAGGACCAAATCAGCGCCACAATCAACTCTCTGCCCCGGCTGAGCCTCGCTGCGGCTGCGAGCTCTTTCTACCGGGATGTGCTCCTTTCCGCCCGGGTTCCAGTCCCCGGGACCGAAAGTAAGGAAGACGAGGAGAATCGCACACGGACTGGACAGCAGCAAAGAAACTCGTCTGATCAGCTGCTTGCCTCCTCTCCTACAATTCTAGCCGCGCCGCAGAATTCATCGTCTGGTAGCTTATTCGACGACAACACAACCGACGCGCTCCAGCCCACGGGGGCCCCTGCGTTAATAGAACACGAGGAGGACCATGACCCCAGCACCAATGCGTCATCTGGTGCCGCAGTCGGCGAAGTCGACCTCGCTCCCCTATTCACTCCCGCGGAGGTGCAGCGCCCCTGTGGCCCCCCGGTACCGATCCAGCGGCGGAGCCGGGGCACGGTGTTTGTGGGCACCAACAACTTTTTGTCCTCTGGCCGCCCGCTCGCCCGCGACAGCGAAACAACCAACAACGAGCTGCAGTACGGTTCGCAGTCGGAAAAATCCTGCTTCAGCATCGGTTTGTGCTTCTCCCACGACAGCGGCTGCTTGTTGGCGTACTGCTTACAGGAGGATAGGGTTTTGATCTTTCGCCTGGACAGTCAGAAACTCCGCGCAGAGTTGGCATCGGGGTTGAACCAGTTCAGCAGTTGCGTTGACGGAAATGTAGCTCCTGGCGGAACTACCAAGGTTGAAACTCAAATTAGCGCAACCAATTCTGGCTCCGCACCGGCAGCGCAACAATCGAGCTCAACAAACAACGATCCAGGGAGAAGCGCAACTTCTGCGGCGCAGCACACCGGACGACAGGAAGGTCGCGGTGAGCGGATCGAACCTGTTTCGCATGAAAACCAAACGGACCACGGTCCCGGGATTTCGGAGTGCGAAAGCAATTTGAGCTGCGAGAACAGCAAGGAGGAAACAGATCCAAAGGTGTGGATATTGGAGCGGAAACTGGAAGTGAAGTGCGGCAAGAACGAAATTTTCCAGACCGAAGCACTCGGGTCCGGGCTCTTCAGCATTTCGCCCTTCAACAGCCGCTGGCTTGCGACGAGCGTGGGCCGCTACACGCGATTCTGGGACCTGTCGTATGCCCGGATTAGCACGAAAGACTACGTGGAAGATATCATCAAGCAGCAGCTCAAGAAGTCAGCGAATTCGAACAACTCAAACAACTCGCCCACGATGAGCAATTTGAACAAATCCTGGTCTAGCAATTACTTTTCAACAACGATCGGCGGAGCTGGTGCGCAAACCCAAACGCTGAACGCCAGTAAAAGTCAGGGCAGAGCAGGACGAGGGGCGGCTGCACAAGTCCAGAATAAGCAAATGGGCGGCCTTCAACAGCAATTACATGGCCCTGGCGGAATGCTGAAGTCCAAATTTGCGACCGTGGCACAAAAAACCGCCACTGTAAATGCGACCGCGCAGAAATTTGTGCAGGCTGGTACGGGCGGAGGAGCCTCCGGCGCAGCAGTAGCGGGCACAACTGTCGTGGTTCAACAGCCGCTGCCACGACGAAAAAAATTGAACTTCGACACAAGCGCACTAGACGGTAGCAGCGCGGTAAGTGGGGCCAGCGGAGGACCACACACAATAAGAGGAGGGTTTGTTCAACAAACTTACAGCAGTAAAGCTTCGCGAAAATCCATGAAAAACGCCGGTGGTGCACCAAACACATCCTCACAAGCGAGCCCGCAAGGTGGCTCTTCTTCTAGCACAAAGCCCCTCGAGCTGGCGTTCCTTCTGGAAACCGATTCTAACGGACTGTTCATGCCGAGTTTGAACCCGAGAACTAAGTCCTACTACTTCGCCGACGGCAGTGGGAGAATCTACAACGGCCAGTGCTTGCCTTTTCTTTACTGCCCCGGGACGCCGAAGCAGATGGGACAGCTTTTGAACAACACGGAAATAAGGGAGAAACAGCACAGCATCAGTCTATCCGAGAAGGAGCATTTGCTGAAGCGTTGGAACGCCAAATTTCCCGGCTGGGTGAACATTCGGGACTTTCAATCCGAGCACTCGGTGTTGCATTTCGTCATCACGAATCGCGAGGTGTTGAAAATGATCTTCGACATGAATTTGGAACTCAGCTTGTACGACAACGATGAGCAGAACCAGTTGCTGGACTACGAAGTTGGAGGCGGCCACAGAACTACGGCGCAAGATGGTCTTCTTGAGGACCGTCGTGGTCGCGTAGTCCTCTCTACTCAACCTCGAACGGCCGATCCTTTTCGTGAAGACACCGCCGCACGAAACCTCCGCAGGAGGACAGCGACCACGACCGCGAGACAAGAATCTTCTCTGGCTGTTGTGATTCGGATGCAGGAGCGCGATGTGTTGGAGATGTTTGTGAAGCACATTCTAGAAAACAAATCCTCGTCTTGTTCCACACTCACCCGCGTGTCCCTGCTGCGTGTTTGGAAGGTGCTGCCGGATTTGCTGCACTGGATGCCGCAGGCCACCGAGAGACTGTTGGATGCATTCTTGATTCCGGCGCCCTTCAGCGGCGGGGGTGGAGCATCTTGCAGTCCTGCGCTGGACACTACCTCCTCTGCAGTGGACCCACTCCACCATGGTGGCGGGACCTCCTCCCCCGGGGGGGTAGATTCGTCTGGGGAGATGAAGGCGGATCTTGAAAACACGGAGGACGGGATGCTCACGCAGGGCTCTGGCTCAAACGGCTACCTGCTGGATCGAAACGAGTTCTGGGGGTTTCTCACCGGGGAGCTGGGAAGACGAGAAAGTGCAGTGCTAAATAATTCATGTTCGTCTGCGGATCTTCACGTGGCAGGAGAACAAGCAGCTGCACATCATCGCGCCAGGTCTCCGACAGCTTATGCTGGTGGTCCTTACGAGCGCAGAGCGGCTTCCTGCTCAACATCTTCATCCAGCTACGTGACGAAGACGCAGAATCAACCGCTGAAGCTGGGTCCGGTGTCTCCCTTCGTCGTCGCGGTGCCGGAGTTGATCCCAGCGGAAACTGGGCTGTTGGACGTTCTGGTCGAGAACGACGTGCCTTCGAGTTTCTTTTTGAAGCCCATTGTCCGCGTTTTGATCGACTACAAATGGAAGATTTACGCGCACGACGAGCTGATCTTCCATCTCCGCGCCTACTTCATCTACCTCGTCGCCTACACGGTCTTTTGCCTGCAACTGCGCATGCACAGCGAGCAACCCAGCCTGGTAGACCGGTGGTTTTCCGAGGATGAGTGTTTGGAGGTGGGGTTGTGGGTGTCTTTCGCCGGCGTGTGCTTCGTGGGCGTTATGAACTACCGCGCCAAGCCGGAGTTCGGTGCTGGCGGGGAGGGGACGGGTCCAAGAATTGGGGCTCCTTCTGTTGTTTCTCGGACGACGAGCCACCTGAATCGATTGCCATCTGGTCGCGGGAAAGTAGACCCTACTACAGGAGCCACAGTGGGGCGGGTCGTGTACCACGGAAAAGAGGAAGTAGAAGACCAGGGACGACCACACCTAGGGACGAGGAAGAACAACACGAATGAGCGACCACCTGGGCGAGCAGGTTGTAGAAGAAAGAAACAGGACAGCATACCCACCTCGTCTTTTCAACAAGATCAAGAGCAGCACTTACATACCGAGTACGGGCTTCGGGCAGAAGCAGAACAAGCGCCGCCCCCGCGCAAACGGTTCAACCTGTCCGTATCCAGGAAGATCGACCTGATTTGGCGCAATTACACGAAACGCAGGCCGGTTTACACGCTGAAGTTCTTGAGGTCCGTCGCCAGCACGGCCAGGCTGAGCAGAACTTTGAACAGAAGAACGAACTACGGCCTCCTCCGCGTCCGCAGGTCCCTGACCGGGCACCATCTGCGGTCGCGGCTGCTCCCCGAGGCGCTGCAGAAGTACGCCAACCGATACTTCCTGGTTGCCCTGGCGGTCTTTATCCTGATTGTGCAGTGCATCACGGCGCCTGCGGTGAACGCGATCGCGTGCCTGGTCATGTTTCTGTACACCATGCGGGCCGTCCTGAACGAGATCATCGAAGCGAAGTCGAAAACCATGGAAAACTACTTGTTTTCCGTGTGGAACGTGTTTGATTTGACCCTGTGTTTTCTGTCGATCGGCCTGCTGATTCTATGCAATGCAAAAGCATCGTACTAGTATAAATTACATTTACATTACAATTACAAATTCCCCCAGCATTACAAATTGAATTTGTAATGCTGATTTACCTTGAGCAAGAGATTTGTAATGCATAAATGCAGTTACTACGAGTACGATACTTTTGCACAGGATAGATTCTATACGTCGTCGACAACCTCTCCAGCATCGCCGATCCGCAGTTCATCAAAGCGGACTCAGATGACAGATCTACGAATACCTATTCCCAATCCACTTCAACCACTGCAACTACGAACTATGCGGGCAATAGCAACCTCCACAGCGGTGTTGACGCCAACGGACCTAGTCCACCAGACCCGGACGGCCCCAGCAGCCAACGAACGCGCACCACCACGTGGGCGAGCCTGGCGATTTTGCTGGTGTGGCACAAGTGCCTTTACTTTTTCCTGCCGTTCCGCAAAGTCGGGAGCTTTATCCGCATGATCATCGAAATTTTCTCCGACATCCGCTATTTCCTGTTGGTGTGTTTCGTCACGCTCGGCGGGTTCGGGTCGGCCTTCTTCGTTCTGTACAAGGAAGATTGGACCAGCCGGGACACCAACACCTTTTTCAAAAACCGAAACGCAGAGCTGTTGGCGGAAAATGACTACGCAGGGGAAAAGTATCGCAATCGTGCAAATTGATGTAGTAGTAGATTTTTCTTCATACAAGAGAAAAGTGTGAGTTTGTGAGGAAAGAAAGAAGTGCGCTGTTCTGGAAGGAAAGGTGATCTGTCATATTGTGTTGCAAATGCAATCTGGACGTCGATTAGGTGATACTTTTCCACGTGATAACGACAGCAACAGTCGTCGTAATGTGATCTACAAAAAGGGGTCCTACATGCTTGACAAGGACTATGTGAGGCTGACGCAAGACGACATGGAGAACGAGGTGCCGCATTTTCCATCGGTTTTCCAAACCCTGCTCTCGTATACACTGGAGATATGTCTGGGTCTGGAGCAGGAGCATTGCAGGGCTCTGTAATCAATGCACCTTTCCCATGAACCAAAAATGCAAGCCAGACCATCATAGGTTTCGCAAAGGCTTCCCAAACCCAATGACAATGTCTCTCCGAGGACATTAGAAGTAGTCTAGTTCTCGGGTGAAAAACAGTGGGTAAGAACATCTTGTGCTGCTGATGCAAGATAATTCTTCATACATATCACGCAGAACCTGGTGCCGCGTCAGTGTCACATACAAGACAAGTGTGCATCTTTCCAGACCAGACATAATTTGCAATGCATATCTCGATGTACGTGCTAATGCTCGGGGATTGGGAACTGCAGAAATTCACGCACGCGGAGCACTACGTTCTGGCGCCGTTTTTGTTCGTGGTGTTTACGTTCATGATGATGGTGGTGCTTTTCAACATGCTGATCGCCCTGATGTCCGAAACCTACGAGCGGGTTATCCCAAGGAAAATTTTTTTGATGCTCTTGCCGTACACAACGTACAAATAATGACGCTCTTGTACTACCAGGTTGTGATGCTCATTGCTGATTTATTACCAGCGACGTGGTGCTGACTCAGCCAAAATTTCGTCTGGTTTCCATGCCCATGCGGCATTGTTTTTGTACGTGCGGTCGTTTGGTTTTGTGTTTCATACGAGTGCGTGAGAACGAAGAGGCGGAGTTTTTGAAAACCCGGGCGGAGTGCATCGTCGACATGGAAAAGCTGCGCTGGCGGACCGTTCTGTATCCGGATTGGGTGCACGCATTATTGCCCGCGGGCGGAAATAACGGAACGGCAACGAGCAACAACAGCAACGCCGGAGCGACTTGGTCGTCGTGATGTAGTAAAGAAAAACCAGGGTAGTTTGTTTGTAGTGCTGATTTCTCCCACATTTCTCGCGCTGGGCCGCAGTTCTCTGCACTGATTGTAGAACACACAGAGGTGAACAAGCGGCAATACAGTTGCAGTTCTACTCGCTTAGCACTTTGTTCATTTTACAGAAGCAGAGTAGTACTAGCACTACCAGTGCTAGCAGGGTGTCCTCTGCAGATTCACGTTGTTGCCCATCATCTGCTTATCTGCCTCTCAACAAGATCTTCGTACCTAACACACAAGATAAAGAAGTTTCATGTTCAGGTCCAATGGCGACGCCCTCGTCATTGTGGATGGTTGACAACTACATGAGATCATTCATTGAGAACAACTTCCTGTCGCCGCACCCTGGTGCAAAGTCACGCACTTCTCATTTTACATTTTTCTGGAATGGATTAGCTGTAAGTACGGGCTGCTGCGGGCGCAGTGCCTGCTGGTAGCTGTTCGATGTCTGTCTAATATACCACCGCGGATACATCATGCTGTCGGTTGATCTTCATCGGTTCAGGATCCAGTCGTTCTGTTTGCCTTTTCGCTCAGTGCTCGTCGTCGTTTGTGGTCAGAAGCATCATGCGTATTCCGAAAGCGTGGACGCACCGCCTTCGTCCAAACGCAAGTAATCTAGTTTTGACATTTTTTATTGTGCCAACTTAGCAGTAGTTGTCCGTGCAGCCTAATTTGTGATCAGTACAGCAGACGCCTGTTATCGAAGTGAGATTTTTCAAAGCGTTCATGAAGAAGGTGTTGAAGTTGTAGGTTATTTGTTAATATTTAGCCGCTTCTCAATGCAATAGTCATGGTGTTAAATGAAGGTGCAGCAGATCATGAAAAAGGGAAAAGTAGATCGCAGTCGCAAGTAATTGTATTTACGACGAGCCTTGTGTAAAATTTGATTTCCGTGATAGGTGGCGGGAAATGGGTACCTATTGATGTTGAAATTCACTCGGTCCCAAGCAGATCGCTGGGTATCAATCTTGTCTTTGGATCGGGCCAGAAGAGCAGTCGTTTCGTTTATTTCGGCATATCTCACTTCATGTTACTGCTTAGTCGAGCGGATTCGCTCTTGGTCGAGGTGATTATTTTTCATTGTTATCCTCGTCGTCGAGCAGTCACAAGAAAAAACCGTCGCTAGCCGCCACTGAAATGATCTACTCGTATGGGGGCACGAATCTATCAATCTAGTAGAAGGAGTGAGGCCATGTCGTGGCGGTCGTTCATTCTATCTTGTGAAATAAGGCAAGAGATACCTACTAGTGTAGCCAAGCAGAAATCTCCAAAGAAAACAATCTTCCGGTGGTCTTTGAGCTTGCGGTCTCCGTCTGTGTCGTGTTCCACCTCTCGTGGTCGTTCCGCATACGTGGTATTAACATGAGAACAAGTAGTTCGTCATCTGCAGTGGGGCATCGACCGCCTCAGGAGCAGCTCAGCCTGCGCGGCATGGCCGAGGAGGAATCAGTAGCGACGCACTCGTTTTTGACGCTTTCTGACAGCACGAGGTTGATCTCGCCGTTGGAGCCATCACGACAGTCATTTGTTCACCGCAGCAAACATCAAGCAAGAGGACGCGACGACGCACGTTGAATCTTCGTGTGGACGCCTACAATTTCTACAACGTGGAGCGCTGCAGCAACACCGGCACTACGCCTTGCCGGTCTTCCAGCTGCTCGGGCTCATTGCCTTGATGGTGTGCCTTCTGTACCTGCTCTACTTTCTGCAGTGGTCACTGCTCGGAGCGGGGGGATCCACCTCGCCCTCTGCTTCATTAACCGTGGGTGCTGGTCCTGGTGTACCGGCAGCTTCGACGCAGTCGGGAGTGGGTGGACCAACATCTACATCTTCTTCGTCATCAGCATCTTCTGGGAGGGACAATCAACAGGAAGCAGGAGCTGCTGCAACTAGTAGCAGGGCAGCTTCTTCTAGTACCACGCGAAACGATGAGCAGGCACAGTTTCTCGAGTAGGAAAATTCCTCTTGTGCTGTTGTTGCCGCCTGATTTCAGAGCACGTGCTGTACCCGCGTGATGCAAGTAAGTACTTCTAACGTACTTAGACTTACTCATTTCCTCGAACAAGAAGTACAAGAACCTGTAATGCGAGTGCGGGTGATGTCGGATAATGTCAAAAGTCCGGTGGGTCCTTGCCGTACTGATACTAAGTGTATGATTTGTGCGAAACAAGCAATAATTGAAGTAAACGAGCACTTCCGACACAGAAGGGGAGGGACTTTGATTGCCAGTGCTGTATCTGAGCCTGATCCTGAAGGTGAACTCTTTTTTGCTGTGTGTCGTCTCTTCCTAATATGCTCATCTCTGTTCGAATTATGTTCTGCTGGGTTTTCATTAATTTCCGTTTTAGCCGTATCCCGTTTTGTATGTAGAGATGGCCGACATGGTAAGCGGTGTGCGAATGCGGAGGTCAAGATCATGTAGTGTGTTTGAAAGTAACATAAACTTAAACAAGTAGAAGATCATCATGATCATCCGAGTCCACGGCGTTCTTGCTGACACCTTTAACCTGGTCGAACGACGATCGTGTTTTTTTTTTTCGGCAAGAACGACGAAAAATGCAAGCAAAACCAATCAAGAGCACTAGAGATCTCGATGATCGGTTGTACTGAGGGCATTTTTGACAAACCGTAAATAAAATAATCATGATTTTTATATTCCTAAAAAACAAAAAGCGAGCGATTTGCTTTTTTTTTTCGCTTGATCCGCTAGCACTCTACGTAGTTTATATAAGTTTGACCCAAGGCCATGGCGCATAGTATCTCCGCTTCCTACGTTTCGTAGCGCTCAACCTGCAGTTCCAGTTGCAATCAAAGTTTTATTTCAGCGGTTCTGCATCTGCTATAGCATGGCACAGATTATGCACCGGCACCGGCGCCGGCCGTCGAAACCGAAAGGAGGTTGCGCTAGCTGTAGATGAAGCTCCATCTTACCGTTCCAGTAGCTCAGGTCTGTTTTTTTTCACTACCTTTGGCGCTTTATTTTTTTTCAGTAGCTTTATTCTCAGTGCTGGTTTACGTTTAAGCGACTTCTACGTGATATTGATATCTGCAGAAGCAACTCTACCACTCTCTGCCCAACTTGTTCAGCGCTGGTTGGTAGTAGTAGCACATAGAGCAGAAAAAATCTTCCGTGCCGATCGTTTCTTCAAAGATTATGGTTATGTCTCTTCATGTACAAAACACCGCATCCGCAACCGTTTCGCCCGGTGCGACGACCATGAGGAGCTCCGTCCTTGTGACGGACCACGCGCAAAAAAAGTCGCCGAGCCAATTTTCAGACGAGAAAAATGACGATACTTTTTTTCTGGAAGAAGACCTCCATTGTGAAGAAGGCCGTGGGAGCAGTAGTTATAATTTCATCAACGATCACGATTCACTTCGAGAACAAGTAGAGGAATACGATTATCCTTATCCTCAGATGAAATCCACATCGCCAGTGCCGGTCGAGACGTCAAGATCATCTCCCACGGCGTCGACGGGGGACGAGGGGGGCCACAAGATGAACTCCGGTAACATATCATCAACAGCGTCAGATAAAGCTAAATCAACCTTCTCCGTCGCCACGATCGTTGCTATCTGGTACTGCTGTGGCATTTCCGCGGTGCTCCTTTCGAAGGAGATTCTCGACATCCAAAAGTCCGGCGTCGTAGTGTTTTGCCTCTGCAGCCACCTCGCGGAAACCTGCTGTTTACTCCTGTTTGTCGCCTTGACGGATGTCGTGCCGCGGATATGTGCAAACTGGACGGCTTTTGGACCGGAGTGGAGGATGTTTATTTTGGGGGGCAGTGACTCGACTACGACCGACGGGGTCGCCCACGTGCCTACTTCTAGCGTGGTCAAGACCGACGAACAGAGACAGGGACACCCACACCTCCTAGATTCGGACAGGACAACAATAAATAACCAAGCTGGAGCTTCATCAGTCCCTAAAACAGTTCGACGCCCACGAAGTACAAGTAGCTCATCTCAGGACCACCGCGCGGATGGTACAACAACTCCAGATAATGTTAATGATCATGTCCTCGTACGTACACTAAATACAAATGAACTTGAGCGAGACCGCGTCGAAGAGGTCGTGGCCGCAGAAGATGTTGAACAAGACACGACGTCAGCCGCGCGAGGAGATACAACTACAGCTAGCACTGGTACTACTCCTGGTCGTAAAAATGGCACTTCATCTTCAACAAGAACAAGCCCCTCGTATTCCAAGTACCATTATTTCTTCCTGGCCTCGGGTTTTTGCAACGCCGTCGCTACGGTGTCCAACATTAAGGGACTCCGCCACCTGATCGGCTGCCAGTACCAGATGTTCCGGGGCGCCCGCGTCTTTTTCATCGGTCTGATCACGATTCTCGTTTTGAAGCGACGGCTGAAAAAGCGGCAGCTTCTCGGGATGTTATTCACGCTAGTCGGAATAGTGGTGGTCAGTCTGACGGCAATGCAGGCAAGTAACGAAAACGATGGCGGAACCCCAGCCCCTGGAGGTGGTTCTTCGGAGAAACGCGCGGTCGCGCATTCACGCCTCCAAGAAGACAACTTCAACAATAATTATGCTCAGCGCCATGAAATATTAGCCGGAGGTCAACAACACTATGCCACTGCGTCTGCTTCAGTAGAGCTAGAGGCTCGCCCTGGTAACCAGAATCAGAAAAACAAGTTTTTGCCAAAGCAGGTGGTGCGAAAAGCTGTGGAGGACGGACAGCAGGCGACCACCATTGATGGTTCTGGTCACGGTCGTTCAGCGGATAGTACGAATGAGCCGCAGGTGATATCAGACGTGCTTTCGGTGCAGCAACAGCAACAGGTGGACGACGAGGAGCACGAGCATTTACAGCATGATGTAGTCGCACAGAAGTCCTCTCCATCTTCTGCTACGAACTCAATAGCGAGTGATGCGCCTTCAACTACGAAAGGTGGTGAAGCAGTTAAAGTACCACGACACGACGACCTGGGCTATTCGCGCCTCCGCGACGAGGAAGTTCCAAAACTCCACAGCAAGTCTGTTTCTGATGAGCGCGCTAGTGTCAATGAGTATCGTCGCTCAGGAGTAGTAGAAACCATTTTCGCACGACGAGCAGCCCCCCCTATAATAGAAGAAGTATCAACAGCATCACCACCCACTTCTCCTGGCCCTGTTCCAGTTCCTTCCCCCTCCAGCTCAACGTCAACGCTTCACGGCGTTCTGTGGTGCACACTGGGTGCGTTCATGGGTTCCTGCCAGATATGCCTCCAGGAATACATCTACAAACACGCACCGCAGACGCCCCCGCTGTTTTCCATCGGGATTGAAGGGGTGGTCGGGGTACTCCTCGTCCTCACCGTCATCGGTCCCGTGTTTCTGTTTCTCATACCGCCGGAAAAAATAAGAAGCACGACCTCTGCTCTTTCCCAGTACGAAATCGAGCAGAACGTGCTACGGGACTTGTTTGTGGAGGAAAACCAAACAAAGATCCGGCTCCTGTTCCTGTTCTACATGCTGTGCAACGCGGGCGCTGCCTGCTTGGGATCGCTCGTGGGAAAGTTGCTCTCGTCGAATGGACGGGCGATCTTGGAGTCCAGTCGTACCATTGCCACCTGGATGGTAGAGGTCGGGATGCTGATTGTTGCTGTGCTGATTGCAGCCGGGAATTCTAGTGACACGACAGGAGTAGATCATGGTACGACAGCGACATCACCGAGTACAGCTTCTCACCCAGCAACTACTTTTACTTCATCTGACGCTCGTTCGGATCCTCCTCCTGCTGTAAGAACCTCTGACTCGTCTCCGTCCACTGCAACAGAGCTTCTGCACGAGAAACTCGACGTAACCAAGTTTCTCTGGTGGACGGAAAAGTTTGGGTTTCTGTTTCTCTTGCTCGGCACAGCGCTGTACTTTCAATTGATCAAATTAGAAGGAATTTTTGAAAACAGCAACAGGTGTTGCAACTCTAGGCAACATGAAGAAGCAGATAACGACCGCAGGAATATCAACGAGGACAGAAGACGAGAGCAAGAACAGCATGAAGAAGCTGCAGACCGCAGAGCGTTTGACGACAACTTGGATGAAGATGACTGTTTGATGTTCACAGCCGCGGAAGATGATATTACCACGCAGCGCAGCCGGAACAAGCGAGAGCTCACTCCCGAGATGATTTCCAACAACAGCGTACCCACCCTGTCAAAGGAGCTGCGGGCCTACAGTACCGAAAGTGAGATGGTACCTGTGTTCCCCCGGCCACGGGCGTCCAGTAAGTAACGTCGAGCAGGGGGGTTCGCTTGTAATCGAAGTTTTGGCTCAGCTTCTGTTCTATATTCATTGCGTATATCGTCTATCACAAGTTATACTTCGTGAACAGGTGCACTCCTGAAAATATTAGATGCTAAGAAAATAAATACAGTTTGTTATCTCCAACTCCGTTTTTCAGCCGCCACAACCGCATAAGTATCCATGGGCAGAGGGAGAGCTCGAAGAACTTAAAAACACATCAGCGACATCACGCTGATCACGGTCTACTTAACATATTGAGCACACAACTCTCGAATGAAAGAGAGGATATATGATTTCATCGTACTTGATGACGAGAAGTTCTGCAGCTCCTAGTAAATCTAACAGGAACGAACTGGGATTCATCAAGAAACAGAAAGAAACCACGTCATGTTGACCACATGTACAAAGTCTTCACAGGCCAGATCCACAATGCTGCAAATGAAAGTGAAACTCGTATCTCGGTTGTTGCATTTATTTTTGGCTTTGGAAAGCAGGATGTTGTATGTTGAGTTGTATTCGCAAAATTAGAAGGTCACAGTCAGTCAAACTCATACCAACACGCGAAAGAGCTGCACAAGAACCCGATGAAGAGTACACAAATCTTCACAGTCGTCGGGTCAGTATCAGTAATAAAATTTAAAATGCTGGTGTCTCATATACAGTGGGACGATTAGAAGTAGATAAGATCTTGCACTTCGGTTGAACAAAACGCGTCGAAGAAGTTCCACTTCTTTCGCACTCGGTCTGTAGAATTATAGAAGATACCTGGAGATCCCGGTTGAGCGCGATCGATCTCCTGCAAAAGAACCTCGGTTGGTGTACAACAGCACAGGTCTCATATTCGACGCGCGTGCTGCACATGCAATTTTTATCGAGTGCACCAGTAGACTCCACGAAGTCCGTCGAAGCCATGGAGCAGCAGCCATACGCAAAACGAGAAGAAAAACAAAGCACCTGCAATGACCAGAGGTGTGAAGATTCTGATTTTTCGAAAGCCTTTTCTATAATCTTGGAGAGCGGCACGCAAGATGAGAGCTGGAGGTTCCGGCGGGACCTGCTACTAGAGCGGACGCGAGAGGAGTAGCAACGCCTCAACGTTCTATCATGCCAATTTCTTTTACTATTACTTAATAAACAACAGCTGGCGTTTCCTAGTTGGCGTTTTGGCCTATTAGTATTAACTCACACTACAAATACAACACTTGAAAGATTGACAACATTGGCATTGCGCCACAACTATCATTTTTACACGCACCAACCATTGCACATACGACATCAAAAATCCTCTTACATCGGCCTCCGTGTCCAACATTCATGAACTCCAAACGATCTTCATGTAGATGTTTCTCTCTCGTCTGCTGTCGTCAAAATAATTATGTCAAAAGGAGACAAAGCATCCAATCAGCACCTTTATGAATGTATCGTCAAACTACGCGACGCAGCAGCCCGAGAAGTAGAGGAAGTACCAGGTAAAGAACGAACAAGCTCTACAACGGCCTACTCCGACGTGGTCCCCGATAACTCGGACCACTCTGCATATGGAAGTGTCAGGAGCGAGATTGACAAAGTCGAAAAATTTGTGATGCACAACATTGATGTCAGTTGGAGCCTCAGTTTCCAAGTGGCGCATGACAAATTTCGGGAGCACCCAAATCCAGCCTGTCATGCTGTTTGGGCAAAGAAGACTGCTCCTGTTATGCTACTCTGGCAGCGCATTTTGTTGCGCCCCTAAACGCTAAACAGGCTTGTAATCGGTCTCATTTGCCTGCTCCCCAATACAGGCCTTCAGTGCCCTATATTTTATGCATCACAAATTTTTCGATTTTGTCGATTTCGATCCTGACGCACCCACTCTGCAGCCAGTTCTTCACACCAGCAAGAAGTAGATCAACAACTCCACCTCGAGTTTTCCCAGAAACTTGTGATAAAAAGTAGCCCGGACGACGAAGATTTTTATCCTGCTCCGTTTGCACCGCCGGAGAGAACGGCAGGAGCTTCTTCAACCCTTAACAAAACAAGCAACAAAAGCACAGGCATGATCGTCCTTGCGGGCGATGTGGGTGGGACAAACACCCGCCTGCAGCTGACCGAGCACCTTGACAGCCCCTTCAAGTCGAAGTCTACGAGCGTTGGCGCGGCGCAAATCCAGGGTTTGCTGAGCCAGAGTCCCCGTTCGGTCTCCGAGTTCTCCTCGCACAGCCTCGCGGCGAGTTCGCACTTGAAGTACCAAAGCAACTACCGGAACTCGGTGCGGGTTCTGTTCGACCGACGGTATAAGGCCGCGGATTATATGGGGTTAGAAGAGATAATTATCAAATTCTACCAAATGTAAAAGTGTCTGGGTCTGGAAGAATGCAACTTGTAATGCGTATTTCAGAACACAGAAAAGTCTCTCATGCATACGTAGCAAAAGCTCCCACTTTTTGCCAGCAAAATAGGGGACTTGTCATGCGGATTCGGCATTGCGGAAGGTTCTCGAAACCTGTGATGCCAGGGCTTCCATGCCAGACCTTCTGTGTCATGCAAAAACAGCATGACTCTTCCAGACCCAGACATTTTTACAGTTGATAAATTCCTGGCAGAAGCAAAACAACACTTCCAGACCAACGCGTCGGCTTCCCCGATGACCGCCGGCGCAGGGGCGAGTGCTTCTGGCACGACCGGGGGCGCAACTACGACTTCTATGGCCGCTGCTGCAGCGAAGAGTACTAACCCCCGCGAGACCACCAACAGCAACAGCCCAAAACGAACGGGCAGCAATAGCAAAATAGCGTCTTCTACCGCGCCCCCAGCGATCAATGTCTCCGCGTGCTGCATTGCGGTCGCGGGGCCGGTGGTAAATGGCGAGGTGGAGTTCACGAACTTGCCGTGGAATGTGCGAGAGGACGAGCTGGCGGAGTGTTTATCGTTAGAGCCCACCCGGGTGCGGCTCATTAACGATTTCGTCGCGAATGGGTACGGGATTGAAACGCTGGAAATCCGGGCGGAAAAGACCTCTTCCAGCCCCCCCACGGTGGAAAAGGTGCTACGGGATAAGCCGGACGTGCTGTGTCTGCAGGAGCCGCTAAACGACCACTCGCTGGAATCGACCGCGAATTCGCCAATCGCCACGATCGGGGCAGGAACCGGATTGGGCTACGGAATTGTCGTGAGGGTATATAATTTGGCTCTAGTACTACGGAGCCGCCCGTGCGAGCTGTTCATGATCTGAGTTCTTACTTGCACGGATTTTCATTTTATTGCTCGAAAGTTTGTGGACCTTGCACTTCATTCATTCTTTCACGTTTCATCGTCCTCTGCAACGTCGGTAGACACAATAGCTTTATTGGGTAGTTTTTTGGAGGATTTCTTCATAGCGACTCTAACCTTCTCTCAGGATCCGGTGTCCGGCACAACCACCAACGTATACCCTTCAGAGGGTGGGTATGGAAGCGTCAGAATCGAAATTGACAAAATCGAAACGATTTGTCATGCATCAAATGGATTCCAGTTCGAACCCAGTTTCTAAGTGGCGCATGACAAATTCTGGTGGTGCCTGCATCCAGTTTGTCATGCTGTTTAGGCAAAGAAGACTGATTCTCTTATGCTGCTTTAGCAGCTCGAGCTATAACCCCAAACAGGCTTACAATCGGCCTCACTTGCCTGCTCTGCAACACACGTATTTCGCGGCATGCATTTTATGCATCACAAATTTTTCGATTTTGTCAATTTCGATCCTGACAGTTCCATAGTGGGCACATGGATTTCGCCCCCGTGGACGACGAGCAGTTAGGATTGTTTGCTTTTTTGAAGTATCAAATGTAAAAATGTCTGGGTCTGGAAGAATGCATTAGACAAGGAAAATCGCAGAAGTTCATCAAAAATCGAACACCCCCCTGCCCGGGGCTCCCGGGGAATATAGTTGATTTGTGTGGGCCCCAACCATCTTGCATCTCCCACCAGCGGAGCCCGCCCCGCCATGCACTGTCGCTGGCAAGTGTGTCGCTTTTAGTTCTCACACCTGCGCATGTACTAGGCAAAACGCCCCCGACATTTGCTCTGCAGCCTTGCTCCGGTTCAAAGGCGCCCGCCTATGAGAGAACAACTCGAAGGGGTTTGAAGGTGGTGCGCTTTTGAAATGAGTCCCATTGTTCCGAAAACGTTCCCGGCCCCCGTTTCTTGTCCCGTCACAGCGCGGAACCCTTCCAGCCTGCCGCCTGAATCGCTCGCACAGCCCGGATAATGTAGAGCAGCGCCATCATATTCACCAGCAGAACCCCCCAGAGCGCCAGTAACAAACCAACAGCCGCCCAGTTTTTGTCCCCGCCCCGGCCCGGCTGCCGGAAGTGCCGGGCACCGGCGTCGCCGAAGGTGCCGCGCGCCTGTCGGAAGTCGGCGGCGAGGCCGCCCACGATGTCAGTGGCGTGGCCCGGTGCGATGCACTTTGAGCGCGCGGCCTCCGCACGATGGCCGGAGGCCGCCCGAACGTCTCGCCCCAGTCTGGAAAGTTTCCGGCAGAGGCAGAAGCGCGCGGCCTTTTGCCCGCCTTCGCTGCGATCGGTTTTTTTGCCCGGCGGCCGGGGCGGCGGCCGGTCCGAAGGGGGGCAGCTTGGCGAGCAACGGCTTGGCTCCGGGGCCGCCGGCGTTCTTGTTTCGCAAAAGCGAAAAAAGCTGCTTCCGCGGCCGCCGAGGGCCCCAGCCGGGCAGCCAAAGGGGCCCCCTTCTTTGCGAAAAAAAGCACCCCCAAAAAGCACCCCCCTTGGAAAGCCTTTCCCCCACCTAAAACTGAAGAATTCCGCGCCCAAAAAAGTACCCCCCTAGAGCACCCCCCTGGGGGCCCCCCCCGACTTCGCCTTCGGACAAGAAATCCTCCCGACCTTCTCTTCTCGCCTTCTTCGCTTTACTGCCTTCGCGCCCGCTATGTCTTAAAGACAATCACACCCCAAGACACCCACGGCCGAGGGCCTTTAGGAGAAAGAACGTCGCGCCGCCTGTTCTTCGCAGCCAAGGCGGGCGCAAGGCCGCGCGCTTTTGCATCTGCCAAGAACTTTCGACAACAGGAGACGGGACGGTCGGGGCGCCTCCGGTCATCGGGCGGAGGCCGCATCCGCAAAACGTATCGCATCGGCCCAGGCCAATGGCACCGCGGCCGGCCTTGCCGCCGATTTCCGACGGAGGCGCGGCGCTTTCGAAAGCGCATGCGCCCGGCGCGTCCGGCAACCGGGCCGGGGCTGGGACGCAGGCTGGGCGGGTGCCCGTTTGCTCCTGGCGCTTTGGGTGGTTCTGCTGGTGAATGTACTGGCGCTGCTTTACATATTTCGAGCTGCGCGAGAGATTCAAGTGAGAAAGTGGAAGCGCTCTGCCCTGCGACAGGACAAAAAATAGGACCCGGGAACGCTTTCGGAACAATGGCGCTGATTTCGAAAGCGCGCCATCTTCGAACCCCTTCGAGCTGTTCTGTCATAGGCGACCTCCTTTGAACCGGAGCAAGGCTGCAGAGCAAATGTTGGGATCGCGTCGGCTAGTACATGCGCAGGCGTGAGAACTAAAAGCGACACGCATGCCAGCGGCATGGGATGGCGGGGCGGGCTCCGCTGGGGGGAAATGCGCGATGGTTGGGGCCCACACAAATCAACTATATTCCCCGGGAGCCCCGGGCAGGGGGGTGCTCGATTTTTGATGAACTTCTGCGATTTTCCTTGTCTGAATGCAACTTGTCATGCTAAATCTGAAGCATGCAAGAATCTGTGTTGCATGATTACCAAAAGTCGTCCAGTTTTGGCCAAGTCGGGAGGGAGTTTCTCATGCAGGATAGGCATGAGAGAGATCGCGCAGAATCTGTCACGCTAGGTCCTGCATTCCCGGCCTCATGGGTCATGGAAAAGCTGCATGACAAGTGAGTCGCGCACTCTTCCAGACTCAGACACTTCTGCATTTGATATGAAGAAGAAGCTGCACAGAGTCTCTGCGGAACGCGTCTGCTGCGGGCCAGGCATCGTGAACATTTACAAGTATGTCAGGGAAAATCCCCTGTATAACACGCCAGAAGATCCGTGTCTGAAGCGGGAGATGTGCAAGGTATACAGAAGTCACAAAATGAGATTATTTGATGTCATGCACCTGTGTTGACAGGATGATGTCGATGACTTGACGATGATATGTATAAAATGAATTGGATCCACCTCATGGCATTTTCTGATGAAAAGAAAAAAAAACAGGTTCGCGAAATTGATCAGCCTGCTCTGATTTTCGAATACGCAAAGAAAGGAGACCCAATGTGTCTGCGAACGCTCGACATATTCATAAAGGTGCGTTTATTTTCCAATTGAAATTTTTCTTTTTTGTTGAAGATGGTGTTGATGAGTATGCCTATGTTCGTCTTGTATCCCATCCATAAAAAATAAATCGAAATCCCTAAACAATCCAGGTGTATGGTACTATTGCCGGCAACTGGGCGCTCGCCACGGTACCAAAGCAGGGCCTCTTCATTCTTGGGGGTATCGGACCGAAGATGGCCAAGGAGCTCAGCGACGGCCGGTTCATTGACAAGTTTCGCGATAAAGGTCGCATGACCGGCGTAGTGCGGGACGTGCCGGTCTATTTGGTACTCAACGGCGATGTCGGGTTGCAGGGCGCTTCGGTGTACGCTGCCAGGTTGGTGTACGGGAGCTAAAATATTCGTAGCGTCTTTGTTATTTCGTACACAGTTCGTGCTCTTCCAGGCTGTTTGATGTGTTTCTTTTGAAGCGACGAGATTAAAAGTGATGCTCCAGCGAGAGTGATTTTCCTTCTGTCTAAGAAGGCGGGTGTACTGGTTTGGTCTTGACTTTGACAGTATTTTCATCTCCTGATGAAGAATTGTCTATGTCTTCGGCAACATACCGAGCGGAATCTCACCTGCTTTGCTTGGATGAGAGGAAGGTTTCTTCTGTACCTGCCTGCCAGGAAGAGAACTAAGTCCACGAAGAAGAACAAACTGCTTTAGCCCCTATACCCTCCCACCGTCACCCGGTGGGACAGGAACGCCGACCGCCAGTAGACCAACCAGCGGGCAGTTGCAGTACTCGGGAGCTGTCTACCTGGGCGCAGCCGCTTCAGCGGATCAAATCTGATGAGCTCGTTTCGCTGCGGCTATTCGTATTCCGATTTTACTTTTCGAATTTTTGAAGCATTTGCCCATGAAATACTGAAGACGAGCAAGAAAAACTACGTAAGTACCGATTTATTGCGCAAGATGAAGCATTAACCAAGATGAAACATCGAGATGAAAGGAAAATCTTGAAAACTGGGGAAGAAAAACAAAAAATCCATATGGAAAAAAAGTATATCCGTTTTGCATTAGCGCACCCCAGTAGAAGAAAAAACAATGTGTAAAATACAATTTTCCCGAAAAAGTTGTCCCCTTCTTGATGTGGTGCTTGCCACCTGATCATTCAAATGTTCCATAAATTGGAATGGAATCAAGAGGAAGCGCTGCATCGGGGGACTGTAAAAATCATTTCAACATCAACATCTTCCAATGAAAAAACAGTTGCACACACACGAATTCCGTAAACCGACGCGCATAATTTTGAGAAACACTTGGTGATAGTGATGATGAAGACATTCATCATAAGATCTCGTGTCCCACTGTAGCACCAGCTACCTGCAAGAGATGGATGAGCAAACGGGAATGTTGCGCAAGTGCAAGCTCGCGAAGAAGGAGCAGTTTTGCAACGTCGAAGAGCAGCACTGTTCCCATTTTAATTCAAAACCACGATCCACCGTCTTTTTGCTTTTTTTTCCTGAGGACGCCGTAGTATTTGCACTTGTACCTAGGACCACAAGAACGCGTACCAGGAGAGACTGCGAGATCATCAATTCTCGTATGTCGAGGCGACTAGGAGTCATCTGGTCGCTCAGGAGCGGTCCGCAAGAACACTTACTTCCTCGATCGAAGAAGCTGATATCACAACGAGCAACAACATCGGTATATATGTCCTTGTCTCGAAGCAACAAGTAGATTGCTCTCGTCGGTCTGCACTACTTGGTTTTTTTCGGTATTTGTGCTCGAGGAGGCTCTTTTTCAGATGGCCGCCAATTTGATTGGCAAGCGCTCGGATCATAGAGGCGATGCAGCACGAAGCAGTGCGACCAAACGGGGTAATAACACTTAAACAGCAGTACGAGGGGAGATTCGATTGTACGTATCGTAATCAGCTATAGCGAAGTGTAAGAAAGTGCACTGCTTATGCTTTCACACAGTATCGTGTACCCTGTGTGTTAGGTTTTTTCGACATGTGAATCGTGCGTGAAATCGTCAGAATCGCGGACGAGATGAAATAAACCATAAACTACACAAGAATCGTTTCCTACATCGCTCCCTCGCAGATCGCTCTAATATTCCACCCAGGAAATTATAAAATCGGCAGTCGTATCTCGTCTGTTTATCGACATGTGAAATTTGGCGAATTCGACGAATCTCTACCGTGTAAGATAAAGAAAAAATCGCAAAACAACTAAGCAAGCACAGAGTTTGCACACATACAAAAAAAGAAGTTCAGGAACGATCATGGGAGCCTCCTCGAGCAGTTCCGACGCGGCTCCATCCGGTGGAGCAGGACAGAGGGGCTCGAGGACCAGTAGAGATAGGCGTGGCGGCCAGTTGCCTGACCTGGCTCCCGATGCAACGATGATCATCGACGACGGAACTGCTATCCCACCCGGGCAAGAAAGACAGAGTCAAGAACAAACCCGTCTTCTGCACAACGGGTACAACTACCTGGACGTACCAGGTGGAGCTCGATCTTCTTCGAGCGGCTACGATTACAACTTTGCGCAGACACAGCTGCAACAGCCTAGAATATTATCCGCAGACTCTCCCGTGAAGGAAATCCTGCCGGACCCGCGTCGGCTGCCCAAAAGACGGCCCCCGGCGGCACCCGCCGAGGATTCCTCGATTTTTGCCTGCTGCAGTTCGGATCCGTGTTGCGGGCCCGACGAGCGACAGGACGAGATTCGACCAAGCCCGCAGAAGCGAATGGTGCGCCCGAAAGGAGGTGAGAGGTCATCATAATTAGTGTCTAGGCTCGCTTTATTCTCTCTTTTTCGTTGCCCTCCTGTATAACTGCTCTAATTTGAACTTGCAAATGCAGAGTTTGTCTTGGCGTTTGGGTTTGATAAAAAGAAAATGAAGGTCGTGCAACATCTAGAAACAAGAAGTCTCGATTTATGCAAAATATCACAATCCTCGATCGAAACAAGCTCAACAACCACCCTATTCCCATCTTCAGGTCCCCGCAGCTCCGGCTTCAACACGGGCACCTACGAAACCACCCACGACGCGGAACTGGCCGCGTTGATTATCCTGAGTAAAAACACCCCCACACCAGAGTCAAGATGGTGATTTTGCAACACAAACCTAGAACTTTTGGGGGTCACGCATCACAAGTTGCAGTCCGTAGTGTAGTGCAGGTTCGCAAGGCCAGCTGCATCAGAAATCCATCTGCTCATCCTGTTTACAGCGTTACAAATTCCAAAACACGACTAAAAATGCCTCTCCTGGCGATGCGCATTACAAATGTTTTCGTCATTGCAAATCTGCATTACAACTCTGGTGTGGGTACGTTTTTACTCAGGATATTGATGGCGAGAAGTCCACCGCCGATGCCGAGGAGCAGTGTCCGGTTGGACAACTACCACGTGTACAACGGGGAAAATGTGCTGTATGGATGTGTCAGGTTTGAAATCGTCAGAGTTGAAATAGTTTGTCATGCATAAAATGGATGCCAGTTGGAGCCCAGTTTTCAAGTGGCGCATGACAAGTTTTGGTGGTGCCTAAATCCAGTTTGTAATGCTGTTTGGGTAAGGAAGACGCCTTTTGTCATGCTACTTCAGCAGCTCTATTTCTACCCCTCAACAGGCTTGCAATATGCCTCCCTTGCCTACTGTGCAAGACAGGCGCTTTGCGGGTTGCATTTTATGCATCACAAATTATTTCAACTTTGACGATTTCAATCCTGACGCTTCCATATGCTGAACGAAGCGAGGAGGGAGAGCAACAGTCTGTCCAGCATGATAGAGAACTTCGTCAGCACGTCCGGCTCCGCGTCGGTCCCCGTCGGCCTCCGCGGCGGGTTGGACGTCCCCCCGCTGCTCTACCCCGGCACCTTTCACGACTACCGCGACACTTTGTCGCAGAGCAGAAAATCTACGTCGTTGTTGGGCGGAACAAGCTCGCCCGGAAATTCACCCCGAGGTGCGACAGTCATCCAGGAAATCTCTTTGAACAACTACGACGACCAGAATTTCAACACCAACGACAGGTTACTCCGCTCGCAAAACAGCAGAAGTGCACTGGAGGATAAGAGGTTCTACAATTCCGGTGCGAACTACGCCGGGTATGGTAGTGGTGTCGTGATGGGCGGCGGTGCTGGTGGTAGCGTAGTTCTCCCCCCGCAAACCTCTCTGCCGGTGCCGCTGCAGGTTATCGACCAGGGGCCGTCGCTAGATCAGTACCAACGAGTCGGAGGGGGTAGCAGTGTCGTCAATGTGCAGCCCCCGCAGCCGCAAACGCCAGCTTCGCTGGTACGAGAACTTCTACAAAGTTAGTTCTCACAATTTTTTAAGAAGTGACTGTGATACACGATACACGATAAACATCATCATGTGATACACTTTAGAGGAAGATCGAAGCGAGACTAAACTCGATGAGGTTCATCTTTTTGTACAAAAATGAAAACAAAAATCGAATATACTCAGGTCGGCGGCTCCTACGCAGCAGCTTTCAGGGCGGTACCGTGAAGAATCAATATGGCCGGCGCCTAAGGAAATGAAAAGTCTTTACTGTTCCAGTCTGCCAATCCGTTCATTAAAGTAACGTATACAATAAGTCTTGTACTATCCACTGCAGCCATGCTGCTTCTTCGTTAATACAGTCCTTATCCTTAATACCCAATTTTGTACACCCGTGGGCTTCTGGTCTTGAAAATCCATTGTACGCACACGTTTGATCGTACTAGGACGCTTCTGTATCTAAGTCTAGCGATGAAATATGTCTTGTCTTTCGCACAACGAGGATGTGGATGACCATCCTGCATTCTGTCCCACCATCTGGATCGCAGTTGAGTCTGCCTTTTCAAATAGGCCTGTCATGATCTTCTACTAGAACCAAAATACCGTTTTTTCCGTTATTTTAACCATATTTGTTCCAATTCACGAGGGTATGATTGGCGTTGGTTAAGTCGCAGATGAAGTGTTCGCGCGTTCACCTCAATAATTCAAATTCTTTTTTTTTTATGTCCTGGGTAGCGATCTGTGGGGAAAAACCCACTCGGTTATGGGTTCATTTTAGCATTTTTTTTCTGGTTCACCACAGGAACAAAAAAGATAGGCAACTGGAGAGAGAGCGAGGGGAAAGAAAGATGACTTTAGTCCATGAGAAAATGAAAGCTGGAAACGGATTTCAGTTGCACGATAATCATCTTCACCGTCAGCGTCTCCATCCTTGCATTTCTTTCGAGCAGCGGCTGCGGCATTGATGAAAGCATCCGCATCGAGGGTATAATTAGAAGCAGCAGCGGACAACTAAACAGGCGTTACACTTTCAACAACTGCATCAGGGCTTCATGATTTCTAATTGACAGTTACCAGAACTACCTTCACAATCTTCACCTTCCTTGTTTTGAACTTCTTCAACCAAAAAAACGTCACAGGGCCCCCCGTATTGAACCAATATTCCGAAATCGTTTACCGACCTTATTGAAGTGAGAACCCTTTCTCAGTCAGATAGAGATATCGATGAGAACAAACAGGCCTCACCCTAGTTTTGAAGATTTCACGCTTCGTGTGCAGCAGGAGGACGGTTATGAAAACCATGTAAGTATTAGAAGTGCTCTAGTAGAGGCAAAAGAATCTGGGAAAGAAGCGACAGCGAGTGGCGCCACGACGAGAATAAAACGAGAGTAAATTCTAAGTTAACCCCCGTATTTTTACTTGTTACTCCAATCAACTTGACTTCCAAGAAGAGTTTTACTACTTTGGGAATAAACTTCCAGAGGTAAAAATGTTACATGGATGGTAGTTCATCTTGTACACGAGATCATACGACAAGAGCATTTTTATACTTTTTTCAAGCCTTGTTAGGGGCACTGACAGTCTTCGTGTCGTTGCTTTATACCAACTTTGATAGTGTTGCACGGCTCTTGTTCTTATCCACTTTGATTTTGGCGGGTAGTGTAGTCGTAGTCAGATAGGAACAAAAAGGAAATGCGTTTAGGCTGAAAGTAGATCACATGACGTATTGAGTATAGCTCCTTTACCTTTACGAGTACGTCGCTCTTTCACACGCATTTTTTGGGTGTTTTCTTTTTTATAATATACTTACAACGGCCGTGCGTTGCTGGTAGGTCTCACTGCTAGTAGCGTACGAGACCCCCAAAGAGAGATTTTTTTGTATTTGATAGACTTGGGGACCTGGTATTCAGGTCGTTCAAGCCTGCTGTAGAAAACTTTTGATTTTTTGAAAAGAAATTGAACGCCTTGCCTCCAGCGTCAAAACACCATCACACTGTAGAACGTACTAGGGGTTTTGTCTGCAAAACGGATCATGGCCAGCACCTACTAGTGTGATTGAAGTTTCTGAATCGTCGAAGGGTGTCAAAGTATACCTTGTGCAGCCCGCACTGGAAGCAGGAACATCCAGGAAAAGGCGTAGTAGACGACGTCCATCTGCTTCTGAGTACAACATCTTTGGACAACTAGACCAGAACAACGCAAGCGGGGCCCCTGGCGCCAGCGGTACCGCCGTCGTGCAGGCCGCGGCAAGAAACAATTACAGGGCAGTTGTTTCATCTTTGCTAACAGGCCCGGAGTAGCAGAGGAACTTCTGCTTTTCTACTCTTCTTGTCCTTCCACCAACATGAACCGGAGGCAGCGATCTGGGCGGGACTCGGACGAGGGAGCCCCACCCTACATCCCGGCCGCGGGCCAACCGTCGGATAGGCGGATGGTGACGGAAATTTTCAACGGGTTGGCGATCACGGATCTAGCCGGGCTGTACAATCAGCACGAGATTCTGGAAAAGTACGAGGCCTCCTGTGTCATGCTCGTCTCTCTCGCGGACCACCAGCTCCCGGAGTACTTGAAGACGGCTACACGGTACAACGAGGATACGGGAAAGGAGGAACTAGCGCTCGACTTGTTCCGGTTACGAACGAGGATAACGCTGCAAAATTTGGAAATCGAACCGTTAGACGCGGTATCAAATGTAAAAATGTCTGGTTCTGGAAAATTTTGAGACTTGTCATGCACGTTTTGCATGAGCCATGGGGTCTGGAATGCGAGACCTAGCATGACAGATTCTGTGAGATCCGTATCATGCTCGTCCTGCGTGAGAAACTTCCTCTCAACTTGGTAAAAAGTGGACAGCTTTTGGCATTCATGCAACACAGATTTTTGCACAATCCAGAATTAGCATTACAAGTTGCAACTTTCCAGACCCAGACATTTTTACAATGCATACGCGGAAACGGACAGCAACAAACCAGCCACGTCGTTGGGCATCCAGGTGGCGTATCCTGTGCAAAAGTATCGTACTCGTAGTAATCGCAGTCATGCATTACAAATCTTCACCCCATCAAGGCAAAACAGCATGACAGATTCCATTTGTAATGCTGAGCTAATTTGTATTGCAATTACTACTAGTGCGATACTTTTGCAGTTCATATGGCGCAGATACGGGTCGGGGGTTTGTTCGAAACGGACCCAGAAACGGGGGAGTACCTGAAGCCAGAAACGGTGCAGCCGGGGCGCTTTCACGACGTCGAGGTGACCATGCCTTTGCCAGAGGACCAGGGATTGGAAGCGGGTGCAACAGCAAGCAACATGAACAGAAAAAACAACCACAAAACCGCGGAAGGGGCGGGGGCAGGTAGAAATTCAGTACGTACTTGCTGTTGTAAAGCTAAAGACTGTTGTTCTCTGCGTGCGATGTAGTTTTTGTTTTATCGAGGATATCGTATATTGTGTTTGACAATTGACTGTGCTTCAAAACTTCCACTAATATTGATGTTGAACAAAGAACATCAAGCTGCGTACAAGAAGTCCAAGTGATCTGAACTGAAAGTACCGTGCACCTTCATTCCCTTTCATCTTTCAGGTGTGAAGGGTCAGCCGCTCGCCGACTTAGACGAAGAGGATGAATACGACGACGACGTCGACAACAACGCGGTTCCCTCCCCGGATGGGGCGACCCCCAACCGGTGCCGGTCCCGCCAGTGGTCCGGGGAAGTGAGTCACGCGAGCAGTCGGGGCACGAGGTCCTCCGGCACCGCAACGAGCCGGGGCAGCTCGCGCGAGGGCAACGCCGCCTTTCCCTACATTCTCTACCGCACGGCCAAGGGCCCGCACATGACACAGGCGTCGCTACAGCGGCTGGGCGTGTTGCTGGAGGTGATGGAGGACTGCGTCTTGTGGCTGAAGAACAAGATCGGCGACTGTGCCACCTGCCGCGAGGAGATCCAAAAAGCGGTGATTGTCTGCCCCACGGGCGCCTTGCAGGCCCCGGTGGTCGCGATCTGCTTTCTGATGCGGTACCGCAGTCTGACGCTGTTGGAAGCCTTCGACATGGTCTACCGGTCCCGCGAGGGGCAGGGCTGCTGGCCGACGCCGTTCGCGATGCTGCTGTTGATTGCGTTCGAGAAGAGCCTGTTCCGCAACAATTTGACCGCCGACGCCCAGAGGCAGTTCGAGCCGACCTATCCAATGCAACTACGTCTAGGTCTGGAAAGAAGAAGATGCAGACGTTTATTGTCATGCAGGTCGTGCATGGTAGCAGACGAAGTCTGGATCATCTGGAAAAATGCAGGGCCAAGCATCTTCATCACAGGTTCACTTTTAGCAGTGTCTATGGAAAAATGTCTATCTTGCTGCATCAGTAGAAATTGCCTGATACTATAATCATCCGAAAAAATGTTTTCATGCAAAGCAGATTTCTGTGTGACCCGCAACTACAACTAGAACTACGAGCGTCACAAGTTTCTTGCACTGTCCACCCAGACTCAGAGAACATGTTTGCAATGCATACGACCCTGGACTACACCATGTATGTGGACTGCACGCTGTACGCCCCGAGGGAACTGGACACGCTGCTCCGGCTGGAGGCGAAGGTAATAAAAGCAAAACAGGGGATTGCCATCGACAGCGAGGGGAATCTTGTCATACCGCCGAGCTCGAGCAGCATAGGAAACGCAACGCTGCTCACCGATGGTCACGCGACGATTGATCCGGCCAGCAACGGTGCACCACAGGGTGGCTCCAGTGCCAGCGGAGATAACAGTCCGACCAGCATAAAGCCGAATGAGTTTGTGCGGAACCAACCACTGTCTGCGATTCCGGACCAGCACGGGAGGTTGCAGGTGCGGGAGCGTACGGTCACCTCGGACGGGGCCAGTAGTGGGGGAAATGCGTACGTGGTCGGGGGTGATCTGTGAAGCAGTCACTGTCCACTAAAGTGATTGGCTCTCTCAATGTAGGACTAACGGTCTGCTGAACACCGCACCACCCTTCCACTTTTGCCTACCACCTCCCGAAGACTCGTCTGTCGTGTGGACCAAAATTTGTATCTACCGCACGGACGCAGGAAGAAAATCCACCTATAGCATCCAACTCTAGTCACAAAGATGATCACAGCACGAAGCTCTTAAGGAGGTAAACGAAGCAGCTTCGAAAAAATTTGACCTAAGCTTTAAGTATATGATGAAGTACAAGTAACTACCACGCAGAAAGAGAAACAGTACCGAAAAAAACACTAAATATTGAATTATAGTCACAAACGAAGAGAAAGCAACAGACTGCACAAATAGACTCTGGCAACGAGCTGTCGCTCTCTAGCGGCCGAAATAAAAACACAAAAGAAATTCCAGCGATAGATTGACAGTAGAGGAAACCACTTCCACTAGATGATCACACTTTATTGATTTTTCAGGATGACACACTTCACTACGAAATTCAAAGTAAAAGTTAGTATGTTAGTTGTGAGCATTCTGGCGTAGTACAGCTGTGCGCAAAGAAAAATAAAGGGCTTTGTCGATGAGCAAGAAACAAAACACAAGGCTGAAAGGTCTTCGCGAAAGCAAGACAGTAGGCTGTTGTCACACGGCGCCATCGATATGAGAAAAGGAAATTATCAAAGAATCCGAGGAAATACTGAGGATTGTTTTGGTATACTTAGTTGTAGTCTGACTGCTAAAGGGGCTAAGAGTAAGAGCAGCAGAAGAGATTCCCAATAATTCGGAAGTCGTGGGCTCTGATATTATTCATTTCTTGCAACAAAGACGTGTTAGTTCGCAACGCGTTGCTGCATTGCCAAACTCTCACAGTGGGGTGCGACTTAGCCTTCCCTTTCTTTGCTGCCCAAGCATGCGCAAACTTTTTCAAGCATGATTTTGATTTAAGAAGGAGAAAAACGGAACTACAACAACACAGAATAGAATCATAGAACACTTTGCGGCTGATGAAGAGCCAACAACATAGTCTACTATTCATTTTTTTTTACCGCTGGTTTTGTCAAGCTGATTACTGGCCGGGGGCAATGGTAAAAGAGAATAAAAAAAAAGTTCAGAATATGATCATACTAGAGAGGACGAAACTTACTTTGTAAAAATTCGATCGACACGAGCCACGATATTAGTCAAGTCTGCTTTTGGCTCAAGGTATTGCGTCGTGACTTGTTATGCCCAGTCCCATTTCACCCTTCGCGCGGCATGGCGGGTGCGAAGTTCGCCTTTAGCCCTTTAGTTTTCCGTCGGGAGTAGGGCTCTGCAGCATGGCCTGGTGCGCGATATTAATCCGCGCCCCATACCATGGCGGAACACTTTATTCTGGGTGCTACGCTGCAGATGTTTTCTGTAGTTGATGTCTTTGGAGGCTCGCCGACTCTGATCGCCGGAGCCCACCCGGCGATGTGAAGCGCCATGATTTGGATCCGACGATGAACAAGGGTGGGTTAGGTTGTCTGTTTTCCAAAAAGTTCTAACCCCCGCTAGTGGGTGGGCACTAGCGGGGGTTAGGGTCAGACGAATGTAACCCACCTTTGTTCATCCTAGAACAAATGAACAAGGGTGGGTTACATTCGTCCGAAGCTAACCCCCGCTAGTGCCCACCCACTAGCGGGGGTTAGGCCTTTTTGAAAAAAAGCTGATGTAACCCACCCTTGTTCGTCCATGTCAAAGGAAGCAGAAAGTAAGCAGCCTGCTGAAGTCAGCAGCCGGGATGCCAGCCCCGGCGGATATGATCGGGCACGACCATGCTTCTGAAGTGCAAATATTTTTGTAGAACTTTATTCGCCACGGAGTGGTCGTCTCTTAGCAGGTATCTTTCTCTTTGCTTTTGGGAAGATGTCGGCCCAGCAGGACTTCTAGCAACAAAGAGAGGGAGGTGGCTGGTTGGGTGGTCGGTTGTGCGAGTGTTGCCCTTCGCTCCCAATGGATTAGTGCAAACAAAAGGACAGAGCAGTTGTTGCAGAAGCTGACCCAGAGCCAGCAGTCGACCCCGGCAATTCAAGGCGCCGCGGGCTCTGCAGCGCTGGGAGGCCCTGTGGCGGATGAGTAGAGGCATGCCCGAAGAGGTGGATTGCCGGGCGCCTATTCTGTGTCAGATTCATTCAGCGCGCCCGGAGTATCTTTTGCGATGCCCTTCCGCGCGCCATTTTGCGGCAGGCAGGCGCTGCGTGCGTGAGCGTGCTTTGTAGACGGCCCGGCGGTGTGTTATGCATGTGCCTACTAGACACTATCATAGAAGAGGGCACTTTGGCACTTAAAGTGCCCTCTTCTATGAATGTGGCGGCTCGGGGGGCACTAAAACAGGCGCAGCCGCAAAAACAGGCATAGAAACAGCTACAGAAACAGGCGGAAAATCAGGCACGCAAAAAGGTGCAAAAACAGGCACAAACGCAAGCGATGTGGGGTTGGCGCACCAAGCCCAAAAAGAAGACAATTGTGACCCCGTGCTTAAATTCCGGTAGTCGAAGTACTTTGTAAAAATTCGATCGGCACGAGCCACGATATTAGTCAAGAAGTCAGACCAGATCGCAGACGGGGATGCAACAGCTACTTCTCTGTCTAGGCCGCGAAATTGGGGCCGGAAACACGCCGCGCTTACATTCCAATCAACGAAATCACAGCTGTGCAAAGTCGCGAATATACTAGAGCACGCGGTGCAGTTATTGACGGTGGAAGAAGAACGATGGAGAGCAGTGGTGTCCTCTCCTGAGATGATTGCGGACGACGAGGAACTTGTGCCTTTCTATCTCTTCATTGTGGACGAAAACGAAAACAATGCAGATGGAGATGACAAACAGCAGCTACAAGAAGAAACATCCTCAAATAAACCCGGCTCCACCTGTTTGCCAAAAACGTCGGGAAAAATCTCAGTCGGCACTTCCGGATCTTCCTCCTCCTCGTCCTCTTTTGTTTCTCCAGGTGCAAGAACATTACCGCCTTCCACCTCGCAAGGTAGAGAACAACCATCGATAAACACGACAAAGATGCGGCAAACAAGCGGTTCTGGCCTCTGCGGCCTGGGGGACAGTCGGGCTTCCAGAGGGAAACAAGAGGGGAGCGGGAGTACGAAAGCAGTTTTCCTTCTCGAAGAGGCAGTTGCAAAATCAAGACATTTTTTCCTCCTGACTCGACTTAATAGTGCCACATCAGGTATTAACAACTTTTTCGGCTAAGTGTGTTGGTCTCAGCTAGTGAAACTTGGACGCGGCCCTTGGGGTTTTAAAGGACACAGGTACAGTTTCAATGCTCTCCAATTTATTCGCAACACTAAATTTGTGATAAAAACCTTAAAGACGAATAAGGACGGTTGCCTCGTCAGCGCCGTTTGCAATAGCTACAAGCAGTCACAAGCATAACAGCTACACGACCCACACACAAAGCAATACCAAATCTAAAGCTTTATTATTTTCTTTCAGACAGTTGCCGTTGCGCTTGCAGCGTTCTTATTCGAACCTTTTTGATTTCATTGTAAAAGTATGGTCTTGTTTAACGAGCCGCACAACTAGTAGTACAGGATTTACAGCAGTAGCAGCAGCGCTGGTTGGCGCAAATCGAAATATTGATCAGTTGTAGGCAACAAGTGGACATCAGATAAATACAGACACAGACTCAGAGAGTAGTAGATTTCACTTTTAGAAATGCGCGTGGTGCTGCGCAGTGACTATTAGTTATTGTAGAAATTCGATCGACACGAGCCACGATATTAGTCAAGATGGTTGTCCGAAGGTAGGACGGGCTCGTTGGCCCCTCGTGCGGCCTGCTGCCCTCCGTGCCTGCGCGCGCAACAGTGCAAGCGGCGCCCATGCATCCGGGCAATTCGTATTCCCTTGTCCCACCGGGCGGGCCGGCGCTGCGTGTGCCCCCCGCATGTGCCCGGCAAGGTCGGGGGGCGGCCCATCGAACGGGCGGGAAAGGCCTGCGCCACGCGCTTCATCGCTCGGCCGGCCAAATCTACGAAACTACGGTGGCGCACCACCGCGACGCCGCGCAGGCCTGCGAAACGCGGCCGGGCCACAAACGTAAAGCCAGGGAAAACGCAGGGGCCGCACTGCTAAAGTGGGGGGGCCCGGGCGGGGCCCCTCGTGAGGCTGCAGAAATGAAAACAAGCGCGCGCCCCGGCAATCGGGGCTGCCCAGTGATTGGGCGGCCCCTTTCAAACCAAGCCGCCGCAGCATCTTTAAAAGCCGGGCAACTCGGGGCCCTTAGTCCCAAGCTGCATACGGTCGGCCCCTGGCAGCGGGCAGACACCTGCCTCGGATTGGTCGGCCCCCCTCTCCAGCAAACCCGCTGCTGCGCAGCTGCTTGCCGGCCGTTGCAATTCAGATGTCGTCGGGCGCACCCGGCGACGCCACCTCATCCTGCGCACGGACAGGCTCGGGGGCGTGGCGCGTGCCTGTTGCAACCAAACCCGGCAAGCTGCTAGGCCACCACGCTGCGCAGCGCATCGACCGAAACTTTGGCCGCGCTGGCAGCACGCACTGGGTTGCGGCCATGGCTCTCGACGTAATATCCGGAGGCGGCGCGGACGTTTCATGCCTGTAGCCGAGCCCGGAACATTGCGCTCCGTGTGTTTTGGCATGTTGCTGGCCCCCGGGCTTCACCCGGCGCGGATGGCGGAACTGTCCTGCATTTTTTGCCCGCAGTGCGCTTGTGCCGCCCGTAAAAATCCGACGGGGGAGTGCTCGAGGCGGGCTGGAAACGTGATCGATTCTGCTGCTCATGCCGAGCATGTGGCCGCGCCATTTTTTGGCTCCTCCGGAAGCGCCAAAAAAGCCTTTTGCGCAAACGATTTTAAAAACGTTTTTTGCGCTTTTTGTTCAAAAAATTCGAAAAACGAAAATGCGCGTTTTGTATTTTGTTAGAGCATACGAAACTTACTTTGTAAAAATTCGATCGACACGAGCCACGATATTAGTCAAGAAGAGATGCTTGACCGGTATGTCGTTTATATTATTGCCTGTCGATGCAAAATGATATACGGTAGCTCGGTTGTGGAAGTAGGGTGCTTGTCCTACACTGCAGCTCTGCTCCTAGGAGAATGATGCCCCAATAAATTTGCCTACTCAGAACAACAGCAGCTACGGCAGCATAACTTTTACGCAGCTCATATCGATTGGGTTTTCCAATTCGAAAGAAACAGCCCGAAAATAAATTGTAGGGAGCAGATCAACAGAAGCGATTGAGTAGTGTCTCGATGATGTTGGCAGCTCCTATTGATGGCATCGACCGACAGCAACGTCCGCTAGTTCAACAGCAAGCAAAGACAGGAGATGACAGGCGTGCTATCGAAATTTTTTTTCACACTTATATGATATGGCAACTACCACAACTGCGATGGCGCAAGCACATTATGTAAAAAATTGCGTCATCAATGTAGATATTGCAATTGCATGCCAATTAAGCATCATCAAGTTGTCTCGTCTTGTGCCCGCTGTGGTCGCTTCATCAGAAAATTTCTGAGGCCCGGCAGAGCTCATCAAGATGAGGACGAAATAAACTGGAATAATTAGTACGAAGTCTAGGTCTATTTATATGATTAATGTTGCTCCGTTGCAATTCAATATCACCTACCCGTTTCCGGTATTAGTGGTCTCCATTCTACCGAGGTAGCTCATTAGTAAACAACAACACACTTCTAAAACAGGAACGGCAAGGAATACTGTATGCTTAATGTTTCCAAAGCCGCACAACTATATATTTAGCGGCCATAGTCGAAATTCAAACTCATGAAATAGGATCAATTTTATGTGATGGAAGTCAACAGCATGATAGCTGCTCGGTTTCGAGCAGATGCTAAACATGAAATTATCACCCTCAAATTTGTGCAGTATACCTCCATGATGACCTCAACCTCAATGACCTAATTAAAGCAACCTCTACCCGATGACGCATCAAGATGTTCTTGTGTGGTTTTTTTGCTTAGTCAAAATTTGATGACCGCTAAAAAACCTCTACTCACATCTACCCTTCTTGTCAGGAGCCTCATGGACCGCTGGAGTTCCGTGCTCTCCAATGTTGATATAAACGAAATTCGAATTATATTCCAGCCTTCTGAAGATGCAGTTGCATTGCTACCCCCGGTGCTTCAGGCCCCTGCAATTGGATGAACGAAAAAAATCATTTTCACATACTTTCGGGCACTACGGCAAAAAATCGTATTCAACGGCAGGCCGGCGCTGAACTCGTCAGGCTCAGGGAGTGTCCTCGTATCGTTGCAGGCCGGCGGTTTGTGGTGTTCTATTGTCGGCGTCATTTTTTTGAATTTGATGATGTTCATGTTGCCCTGTCAGCCCAAGTAGAAGTGTAGTATTCAGGATTGGTTTTGTTGTTTTGATGAGAGAAAAGAGAAAGGTGCGAGAGCAGCATTGAAAAAAAAGAGGCCCTAGCCCTAAGTTGCCAAAGGCACGCGGACGACTTATAAAGCAAACAACGTGGCAAGAGGTAGTGCTGTGATGTATACCGTGAAACTTCTAATTGATGTGTCAGATTTCCCCCTCATGACTGCACAAGACGGAAATCACTACCCCAAGTCGGCATGACATGCTTGAGCGCGGCTCAACAGCCCGCCGTCGTTGTAGGACGTCAGATCATCCTGATGCTTCCCCAGTAGTTCTCTAAACAAAAAGCGCATGCGCATTTTGACCGGATCTTGTTCTCATACGATGCTACAACTTCAAGAACTTCAGCGTAGGCAGCAAGAAGCTTGACGAGCCTTCCAGAAAAATAAGTTTTGACGTTGCTGTTGTTACTGCAGCTGCAAGTATTGAGCAGGAAAGGGTCCTCTTAGTGCAAAAATCGTACGAGATGGCGGACGTTTCGGATCCTAGTGCAACTGCTGAGGCGAAAAAGCCCGTCGTGGTTATTGGTGGAGGCTTGGTCGGTTGCCTCTGTGCTGTGTTGCTGCAAAAGACAGAGAAGTTTCAAGTCACGGTGTACGAAAGGTATGTCAAAAATGATGATCATGGTTTGACCTTAGATTTAGCATCAGGGTCAGCTTGTTTGACACCATGCGACGCGGTTCGTTCTAGACTTCTACTACAGGGTTCGTCGTTGCTGGGTTGGTGTATGACGATCTTCAAAAGGAAACAACGATAATATGACTCATGTAGTTTTGGCATGTCAACAAGGTCAACAACGGGCCGCTGACCTCAGTAAAGAAAACTTATCACCAGGTATTCTGACATACGCACTATTCCGACTGGCGCGGGCCGGAGTATCAATCTGGTGATGACGCGACGCGGGCTGAAGGCGGCAGAGTTACTCGGAATGAAAGAGGATCTGGTCAACCTGTCTGTGAAGGTCCGAGGCCGAACGATGCACCAGCTGGACCGGAGTCAGGTGTTCCAAAAGTACGGACGAGAGGAGGATTGCAACTACAGCGTCAGCCGCTACGAATTGAACTGTTTCCTTTTGAAGGAGGCGGAAAGGCTCGGGGTGGACCTGCTCTTCGGCTACAAGCTCAAGTCCGCCGACTTCGGGATGAAAGCTCCTGGAGGTGATAAAAGCAAAAACTCGGCCAAGGTAGAAAATGCCAACCCGGACTACCGCACGAAGCTGGTCTTCATCCAAACCACAGACGCCACGAAGAATGCACCGAAGTCGCATAGTACTAGCACGACTGATGAAGCCCCCACAACCGCTGCTCCACCAACAGACGAGCAGTTGCACTCCGTCGAACTCGACCCGCACACGCCGGTTTTTGGCTGCGACGGCGGGCCGAGCGGACTGCGCTACTCGCTGCGGGACCAGGGCTTCTTGACGTTCAAAGAGGAGATTCTGGGCCAGAGCTACCGGGAGCTAATTTTCCCGAAAAACAGCGAGGGCGGCTACTGCATGGAGCCCAGCGCACTGCACATCTGGCCCAGGAGAACGCACATGATGATGGGTACTATCGAGTAGAGAAGTGTAGTTTTTGGTCTAAGAGTAAAGAATTTGGTTCTAAGGTTTTCATTGTGTAGTTGTTCTACCTAGTACCAAGATCATGTTGATGGTTAAACGAAAGTAAAATAAACGAAAACTCAAACTACTGATTAGTGCACCACGACACTACATCAACCAGGTCTCGCGGATCGCGGCGGTACCTTCACGGGCACTCTCTACGTCGACAACGACGCGTGGTATGCATTGCAAAAGTGTCTGGGTCTGGAAGAGTGCAGGACTTGTCATGCTTGTCTGGCATGACTCTTGGATCTGTGATGCGTAAGCAGGAACGGGGCCTCCCGCCTGTCATGCAACAACGCAGTTTGCCATGCAGAAAACGAAGCACATGGCACGTGCAAAAACTTGTCATGCTTGGCTGCATATTGTACGTAGTGCGCCCACGACTCACAGATTTGCATCACAAGTTTCCAGACCCAGACTTTTTTGCACTTGATACGTTGCCGCAGGACACAAAAGAAGCGGAAGAATTTTTTCAGCAGCACTACCCCTCTTCGGTCCCGCTTCTCGGCGGCATGGAGTCCGCCTGCGAGCAGTTACTGCGGAAGAAGCCCGGGATTTTGGGAACCATCTTCACGTCGAAGTACAACCTCCACGGGAAGGCGCTGTTGCTGGGCGATTCGGCGCATGCCATCGTCCCGTTTTTCGGCCAGGGGTGCAACTGCGGTTTTGAGGACTGCGTCATCTTGGATGACTTGTTGAAGAAACAGTGCGAGAAAATGGACCGACAAAATGTCACCGCGAAGGACTTTACCTTTGACGAGTTCTGGTACCCGGTCTTCGAGGAATTCCACGCGTTGCGAAAACCCTCCGCGGACGCGATCGCCAAGCTGGCGTTAGAAAACTTCGTGGAGATGCGGGAGCTGGTGGGGGACCGCGAGTTTTTGAAGTGCAAGCACGTGGAGAAAATCCTGGAAATGAAGATTCCGGAAAAGTTCCGGTCCCGGTACTCTCTCGTCTGCTACGGGAGCGCGGCGGTCGGAGGATTGAGCTACGCAAACGCGTTTGAACTCGGCCAAGTGTATGCAATGCAAAAGTATCGTAGTCGTATAAATGCATTACAAATTTTCTCAGCATGAGAAATAAAATTTGTATTGCGGATTTGAATTAACAAATAGATTTGTAATGCATGATTGCAATACGAATACGATACTTTTGCACAGGATAAAGTGATCAAGGAGGTGATCTTGGAAATCGTTTTGAAATGCGAGGTATCAATCGCAAAAATGTCTGGGTCTGGAAGAAGACAAGATTTGTGATGCAGGTTTTCTATGGCCCATGAGGTCTGGAATGCGAGACCCAGCATGACAGATTCATCTTTGAGGTCTCTATCATACCATTCCTACATGAGAAACTACCTCTCAACTTGGTCAAAAGGGGACAGCTTTTGGCACTCATGCAACACAGATTTCTGCATGATTCGGATTTAGCATGACAAGTTGCAATCTTCCAGACCCAGACATTTTTGCAATCCATACGAGGAAGTAATGAATGGAGGGGGGAGTGGCGTGTCCGCTTCAACAACCGCGAGCGAGGAAGCGAGTGAGGAGACGAAAGATGTTGGCAGTGATAAACCTACAACTTCCCCGTTGAAAGAGTACATCTACGACTGGACGAGCTTACTGAAGGACGCGGAGAAGACGGAGCAAGAAGTGCAAAAATTGCAGGAAGATCAGGACGAAATGGTTTTGAAATACGGCGAGCCGCTGGTGGATGCGCGGATAGTACCGAAATGCAAGGAGTTGGGCATGGACCTCGGATTGATCTACGCGTGATGCAATTACTTTTTACCGATCTTATCCACCTCCGAAACCGCTTTACCAACATTCTTGTTCGAAATTATTCTTTACGCTGTACTATCGCGAGATGATGGTTGAATTTTTGACGCTGTAATGTATGAATACTTCTTGCTTTACTCCTGGGAAAGAAATGAACTTCCTCGTCGTTCTAGCAGTGCGCAAGCATTTCATCTGTGTATCCAAGAACAAAAATGAAAAAACTGGAGAAGTTGTGATGATATTGTCTACTTCGTGTGCAGAGGACGTCAGACCACTACTTTCAGTCACATTTGTGGAGCCTCGCTCTGTATACATTTCGTATCTTAGGTGCTGGCATTTCTTTCTGCCGATCATGGAGCGCGCCTCTCTTTGAATTTGAAGATATTATGGTGTTCCTGCTGCAGCCGCGGCTCCGCCGTCGCTATGCTTCAATTTAAAAACCTTTCGCGTATCATCAGCATTCCCCAGCAGAAAGAGCGTCGGTTGTTTCCTAGTACGGAAAATTTCGCTGCGCAACGACGACTTTATTGTGCAGCTCCCTTTCGCAGGTGGTGGCATCCTGCAAGTGTAAAACCAGTGTCTCCTCGAAGCACAAGTATCATCATGACGTTCTGGCCCCAGTTCTTCTGCTTCGTACGTCGTTCTTCGTTCGCATTGCAGCTGACACTGCTCAGCTGTTTGTTCTTGCAAAACACCAAATCGGAGCGGTTTTTCCTGGACAGTGATTTTCTTCCAAACACCGGGGAAACCGTTTTATTGCACGTCTTTCACACCGGCGGCGCAAAAACCACGAACGCAGCGTCCGCGCAGAGTTTTTCGGGGATAGAAGCAGCTGGTAGCGGCCCTGCATCAAAAGCAGCACCTGTTGGTGGCAGCTATGGAACTGCAGCTGGAAACGGATTGTATGCAACCAATCCGAAAAATCCACCGAGAGCAGCGGAGACCAAAACTGCAGCTGCAGCTGCTCTGCCCAGGTCAAAACCACCATCGCCGACGGGCAGCACCATAACTACGAGTGCGCCGAAGCCCAAAGCTGCAAGTATAGCTCTGGTGACTACAACTTCTCCGCCACCTGCCACGAAGCCATCACCATCGGCGACGACTGCAGCACCGATTGCAAAGGCGAAGTCCACCGCGCCACTCGCTGCAACTGCGGGCGATGTCGTGCCGAAAACACTTGAACAGACGAAGCCGCAGAGTTTGCTGGGATTGGGAGAGAAGCAACTACAGAAATCTAACGCGACGACGGGAGCGGTGAGCAGGCCGGGTAAAAATGATGGTGGATCAACTTCTGTTGCTCTTCCTGCAGGTCGTACTACTGGTACCAGCAACAGCACGAGCACCGCAGGAGCGCCAGGGTTGCTCGCGAGCAAGCCTAGTAGTGCTACAGCAATTGCGAATGCAACCGCGCTGGGGACGAGCTGGAGCAACGCAAAGACAAAAAACGAGACAGGTACAGACCACTCTCAGACGAGTGTAGCGAACACATACAAGAGTCCAGCTGTAGCAGCTAACAGGACGATTGAAAGTAGTACAAAGAAACTGACTGGAGCTGGACCTGCAGCAACGGCCGCCGGCGCCGCGCCATCCGTGTTGACGCAAAATCAAACTACAGCGACGAGTGCCAGCAGTCTTTATGATCGGGCAGCACTAAAGCCGAAGCCGAACGCAACGTCGGCCGCAAACGGTGCCACAGCGCAATTGGCTCTTGATCGAACAAAGGAATACAGCTCAGCATCCGCGCCGTTAGCGACCGGAATATTGAAACATGTGGCCACGACGATAAATTCCACCACGACAGTTCCTCCGTCTGTATTGCAAGCCAGCGCGACACTGATAACCGGACTACCCCCTGCACCTGGACTTGATGTTGCACAATTGACAACTCTAGCGCCTGACGCCAAGGAGGTACAGGTTGTGAATTCGACCGTAGGAGCTAAGGTAAGTACACACGTGCCAGCACTCTCAGAGGTTTCTCCAAGGGTGGGAGGTTCGTCTACGTCCTCATATTCCTCTACAACAACGGCGCCGCAACTTTCAAAAGTTGGGCAACCTCCGGTCGTAACCACGAATTCGACAAATAAAATTGTCGCCGCAACTGCGGCTGGTGCTGAACCAATTCCACCTTCACTAAAAAGTGCCCAAGCTGCTAGTACAACATCCGCGCCGCCAGCCCCGGTTTCAGCACTGGCTCCGCCCAGAGCTGCCACTGGATACACAGGAGGTTTAGTAGAAGCAGCGGAAGGCGAAGGCGCGAGTGAGGAAGTCCCTCTGCCAGGCACAGCGCCTTCAACTATGGACGTAGATGACCGGCGGAGGAGGTTACAAATGATCGCACAACCGAAGGTCGAGAGCCCCATTTTTGGCAATGAGTTCCTTCTAGACGTGGATACGAGAGCCTGGAAGACGAAAATACCGGAAAATCTCGCCATAAACTACAGATTTGCGTTGATGCCCTATTCGACCTATCGGGCCGAATGCAAGAGCCAAGTTGGAAAGTGCGTCTGTGCAGCTAGTAGCACGACCTCCGCAGCTGCGAAGGGCCTGAGAATTGTCCCGATCTCAAACAACAACAATCCCGGCGGCAACAAACCGAATACCTTCTTTACCAGGCGGAAAGTCACGATAAAATCCTCCGGTAGTGAATTGGAGGAATACTATTTGCTGTTATTTGCAAATTGCAACCAGGAGAGGTTGGCGCCAGTTGCGAGAGGTGTGACAACGAGTTCTGCCGGTGATGCCGGAAACGAAGTATCCGTCAGGTTCTCCTACGGTTTTTTGAACGGCGTCAGCTTGGCAAAGCTCAAATTCTACCAAGTGCTCCTCATGGCCTATTTCGCGTTAGCTGTGGTGTGGGGCTGTATCACCCTGATGGCCAAGGTGTACTTTCGGGGGAAGGGGGAGGTACTTCTACTTACTTACTTCGATTGAAAAATTGAGCATGAGGATTGATGTTTTTGTTTGCCTTCCTCGTGATGTTAGCAGACCAGGCCTCAACAGCATCTCCTCGTACGAAAATCACATGACACACTCACACAGGTAAACATCCTTCTGGTCCACCAGTACCTCACCCGGGTTCTCATCCTCTGCATCGTCGAGGTTTTCCTTTGGTGGGTGAAATTCTCCTCTTGGAATTCCACCGGATCGAGGCCCTGGACGCTGTTGTTCCTCGCGCGGATGGCGTATTCCTTGAAGGTTGGTATGTTCTGGGTCATGATTTCGTTGTTGGTGGCAAAGTGCTGCGGCGTCTACCGACTGATTCTCTCCTCGGATCACAAAATCACCGCTGGAAGCGTCGTGTCTTCAGGAGGAGCGGGAGGAAGCGGCGGTATTATAATCAATCTGATTTTTTTCTTCAAGAAGTGGAGATGGAGGCACTATCACGTGCAAACAAGTAAGTACTAGTTATTTCACCCTCGTGCATAATCTTATCTGGGATGCTGTGGTAGGCATGTGATGTTTCCGTGTAGTTTGCCATCGTGTATAACATTATGTACTCACGATGGTTTCATGCGATGGAACTTCAATTTCCTTTCTTCAACGACAGGGCAGCAAACTTGCAGCCTGTTTAGCATGATCCGCGGTCAGTTTGGTGAGCGCGCGAAACGGGTGATGTGCGTTGCGGTCTGTTATATTTTCGGCGAGCTGTTCTGGCAGTGCATCTCGATTTACAAAAATCAACGGACCTTCATTCCCAGCACCGACAGGGGGCGATTTATCCGGGACCGTTTGTTCTATGGGTTATCAGAGCTGATCTTCGTCGTCTTCATCGCATCCTGGATTCTGAAAACTTTGAAGGACAACGAACCGCTCATGCTGCAGAGCAAGAATGCGATGCTGATTCAGGTACTAAGCTGAGATAGTACAACTTGGAAGTCTGTGCGTCTTCAATGTGATTTTGTTCCGTACTCACAAAGGACAGAGCCAGACTCGGTTGGTGATTTGTCAGTCTCTAGCAAGGCTGCAAGCACAATTATGTTGCTGCACATACAAAAACCACCAGGCCTACTCCCGCATGCGCGCAGTCCTTCGCGTCACCTTCGCAGCTAAGATCCTGGTGCAGGGGTTGAAATACGTTTACTACCCGGTGAAGTTCCTTTTTTTCTACAATAGCTACCTGCAAGACAGCAGCAAGGAAATTGCATTTTACGACTTGGGCGACAGCTACTACTTGCTCGAGGTGATCTTCCCGCACTTGCTGGATTTCTTCATTCTGTCTTCCCTCTTCCTGATTTGGTACCCCCGGCCAGAGTTCTCCCATGTGGACACGGAAGACAGCAGACTGGCCGTGCTGGAGGATCAGGAGATGGGGAAGGAGCAAGGGAACAGCGGTACTAGTGGTTCCAACAAAGCAGGAACAGCAGCCGCAGCGTCAACGTCTTCAACTTCTATTCTGGAAGTTGGCCTCTCGAGCCTGTTCGGCAGGTCGCGAAGTGCGACCCAAGCTTCTACTGCAAAAGTAGCCAAGAGCAGTATTGAGGATGACTTTGATCCGAACTTCAAACCTGCGACGTCAAGTTCGAGATTTCATGACGACGACGAAATGGAAGATGACTTTGATCCGAATTTCGGCCAAAAGCAAACAGTGGCTGTGGATTTAGACGACGATGTTGGGATGGATAGCGGCAACCTCACTCCCGGAGAAATGGATATGAATTCGTTCCAGTTCCATCTCGACGAATTGTCGCGGACGGGCGGGGGTGCTAATACTAAATCACCTTCGGGAGGTGCTGGTACGAGTCGAGCGGGTTCTCCACAAGTGAAGTTGGATGCTGGTGCTGGAACGAAACAAGAACAGCCGAAGAATACGAGAGCTGTGCGGGGATCAACATCCTCGTCGTCTTCACCTACTCCAAAGCAAGCGGATGCTGGAGCTCTTGCATCAAACCAAGCGGCAAGAGGAAGTGGAAGCGGAGGCGGCCTTGGTTTAGGCGTCGGCAGCGCGACGACAACCGGAGCGATAGAAATGACCACGAACAGCGCAAAGGCGATCAACCAAGCCGGCGGTGGATTGGGTTCGACGCGAACACAGGTTGCAAGCGGCGCTCCTTCGCCTGTTCGCACAACTGGCGAGCAGCCAACGAAGGTGAGACCAGCAGTGGATGTGAGCATAGCAACGGGAACTGCAGCTGCAACAACAGCAGCGACTAAAGTAGAGGCTATGACTGCGTCTTCCTCCTCTCTCGCTCCTACCCCAACCTCTATCGGTATTGTCACGGCGAACAGCGCAGCCAGCGCGTCCCGAATAGCAACGATGGACCCGACCGCGGCGTCGGGGGTGAAAATAGAGGGCGGAGTGATGTCTTTCGCAGCTGCACCGAAGGCCTCTTCGACCACACCGACTTCGATGTCAAGGAACTCGCCGGTAGGAGCAGATAGTGCGAAGAAAGCGGCGACGCAAGTGCCGCCGGGTGGATCTACTTCAGATGGGGGCTCGAAGGAGGCTGCGGGAGTGCTGCCTGCTGCTGGGGGAGAGCAATTATCTGGTAGTGGAGGCCCACCGAAAAAGTTTGCGATAAAATCAGCCCGACTCCGGCGAGGAGAGAAGGAGGATGGGGCTGCTCAGGGAGAGGTGGAGCCAGGAGGTTGGCAGAAAATGCCAGTTGCTGGTGCTCAATGATAAGTGTAATGCACATGCGCATCTACTCGTGGCGAACGCGAACATGATCTGCTTACTGGCACGAATCCGAATTTCTTGAGGGTTCCTCGTATCATGAGTAGTAGTTAAAAAGGAGCAAAATATAGCGCAGTCGAATCAATCCTAACCCCAGGTGGAGGCACGCAGAAACTTGAAACTGAAGCTGAATGTACTCCCCGGACTCTGTTGATGATTGGGTAATTAACACGAAAACTGGAAGATGAGAGGCTTGGTTGTGACTCGCGCATTTGCAACATGCGGTCAGCGGAGGACCGCCTTTATCGGTCTTGTTTACTGGAGGTGCCGGCGTGTCGGTAAAATGTGAATTGCGATGTTCCAGTAACTAAAAGGAAAAGCTGTGCCTCCCTGCGCTACCATGTGTCTCGTCGTGTATATGCATCGTCGTGCCGTTCTTGGTGCGACTCTTCGTGGGTGGCTGGCTCTCTCCTCGATCTTTTTCGAGCCGAGGCGTGGCACCAAAAGCGTTGATCTTTTTTTGAAAGCACAGCAGAGAGAAGTACATATTCGAGTGGGGTGGTGACTTGCCGCAATGTATTACGAAGTAAATTTGGCTTGCTACCCGTCGTCGTTTGTCGCATCCAAAAGAAAGCACAGCTGAAAGGAGGCTCCTGCGACAGGATCACACGAGCAAGCGGCGTGCCTCGCAGTTACGGGATGCCTAGCAGCAGACGAGCAAGACCATCATGGTGCGCGGCTGCGGCCGTGCCCACACACCAGCATTCTTTCAAGAGTGTGGTCGGAAGCCATTCATCACTTTTGCTTTTCCGTTTTTCATCGTCAGTGCTCGCATTGCTGCTCCTTCACCAGCCCTTTCCCTGCTTTGCCGCGAGTTTCTGGTCCTCCTTCTCCCCAACAGCAGGCAGCGTGGACACCGCAGTACGACACCAAACGCAAAAGGAGCCCTTCTTCACGGCATTCGGAGATCAACTTCGCCCGCATGTTGATTCTCCTGCCGCCGTCCCGGCCGCCCTCAGTGTCGGTCTGGATTCGCAGTTGCGCGGTTTGGTGACGAAGCAAACTTCATTGCCGTACTCTCCATCTTCGTCCATCGCAACGACCTATGGCCGTGGGGAATCCCCCCTCGCCGCATTTACAACTGCAGCGTTCCACCAGGGGCAGAGGAAAAAGTTCAGCATCAGTCCGCACTTCTGCGACGCAGCGCGCGTTTTCCACCGGTCGTGTGATTCAGGCTACAGCTCGTCGTCCTCGGACGATTCAAGGTCATCAGCGGGGCAGTCCGTGATAGAGTACGGCGATGTCGCAGAGCGTCGAGATAATTGCACATTCGGCCACGAGGAATTCGCATCGGGTAAGAACGGGAAAGAAGGAGATCGGCTCAGCCGCCCCGAGGAGGAGGACGAACATTGCAATGAGCGACACGGCGGACCATGTCATGATCAGGAAGAAATCACTAACGATGTTGCCGCGAATCAAAATCTTGAGCTGGAAGCGAATGGCGGTCACGGAAATTATCCACCCATTGGCACACAACATCGAAGCAAGAGACTGCAGCACCCGCCCGCTTCGCCATCTGACGATCATTACAGTTTGACATCAAGTGCCTCCGAGCAGGTATTTTTGTCCTCTTCCCCAGCGTCCGGCTCGTCTCGCCAGGAAACGACGGGACCACTGGAGTTGACAACCTCCACATCTTCCGCTTCTTTCGTCGGTGGAAGTAGAGACGACAACGAGTCTGATGATACAGGAATGGGAGAGGGAACTGGCACTGGGTACTACGGTAACGAGAATGAAAAGCAAAGTGATTTGCGGGCGTCGTCGTCGAGATCGAGCGCTATGTCACCAAGACGAGCGTCAATGTGGTCTAGTCCGCGTCGTGCATTGAACCGCCGAACGCGCCGGCTGGAGCGATCGATTCTCCGGGACTCCATCAACCACCGGGGGTGCAATGTCATGACTCGTGATTGGAAGAAGGTCTTTCAACTTTTCAACTTGCTCAAAATCGGTTCTTGCGCAGAGGAAAAACAAATAGAGCAGGAGAAGGGCGACGACCGAGATCTCCACCCTGTGGGTGTCGAAGGAATTCTTGGGGCGAACGAGGACAGTGTTGGCGAAAGTAAAGCCCACAATCAGGAGCAGGACCACCAAAGAATCCAACCGCAATCATTGGAGTCGGAGCAGACGACGCCGCAGGAAATTTTTGTAAAATCACAGCCCGCACCTGTCCACGCACCAGATACGCCTTCAACATTCTCCTCATCCATTGCATCAGCGACTTTGCCCCGCGGACCCGAGATGTTCACCATTTTCGGTGGTTCCTCCTCCTCTGGTGGCGGCGAAGAAGGGTCCAACGTTTCCTCAGTGGCTTGCTCACCTCCAGCGCCTGCTTCTTCTGTGTCCTCTTTGGCCGGCGCGAGCAGCTGTAGGTACAACCCCGGCTCCTCATCGTCCTGTGTGTCCTCCAGCCTGGGGAGCCGTCAGTCCTCGATGACCGAACCGGGGGAGTCTGTAATGCTGGTTCCGATGAACAGAAGCAATAGCTGCAATACGTCGAATACTCGAAGCCATTGCAGCGGGAGTGAAAATCACGCTGGTCCACCTCGCCGGCAAAAATCAAACGGCGACGCGGCTTCTTCATCCCCGCCTACGGTGTGTCGCTCCAATCTCCAAGAAGGGAAACGAATTCCACTCGTCCCAAAGAGCAGCAAGCGGTCCGCCGACCATTTTGCAGCAAGCAAACCAGTGGGTCCCCCAGACCGGTTTGGTGCGGTGCTCGGGCCGGCACGGAGGTGGAAACCGAAGGAGCAAGAGCAACCGCGGCAGGTTTCCGCTGCTTCTGCTGCGTCCGGCTCTACCAGCACGACGCGGGCACCGGCTCTGGAAGAGAGTGCTAATTCGTTTCACGTGCAGGATGAGGCTGAGGACCATCCCGAGTCGCCATCGGCGGTCGACGAGGAACTAGCACCCAGCTGCAGCACTCCCACGACGACAGCAATTATTGAGAATCAGCCACAACTACGACCAGAACACGACGATCAAAGTCAAGTTGTCCCTGATCCGGCCTGTCACGACCTCCTCATCCCCCGCACAACGCCTCCGGACAGCGCAAAAATTTACTACGATGAGAGCGTCAGCCTCTTCTCGCCCTCGCCGGTGTGCTTGAAAATCCGGCGATCCGGCACCATGCTGCGCTCCTGCACGGAATCGTGCGCCTATTCGCCGGATAACGACTTTCATTCCTTTTTGGAAAATGCGCAACACGGAAGAAAAGCGACACTATTGCGGCAGAAACTGAACTCCTTTCGCCGGGCACGGTCGGAGGAGGCGGGTTTGCGTTGTGATGTTCGAGGGCTTCGTGGATCATTTTCTTCAAATGCGGATAGCAGTAGTTCGAATCATGCACGCACGATTTTTAGCGAAGACGACACGACCACCGGGGAGCATCAACATGATGTTGTGGTACGAAATCAAAGGCACCCTCCTCGGGCCTTTTGGTCCGCCACTCCGACGGCGCACGCGCTACCGCAGATAAGTACGGACGGTTTTGATCCTGAAGAAGGAACTGCACATGCATCGCCGGGACAAAACGAAAGCAGCAGCTCTTCTAGAAGGAGCACCCCAGCGTCTACTACTATCGCGAGGTCCTCTGCTGCAGTCCAAGGGGCAGGATCTGCAGAGCAACATGTTCAACAGCAGCAGCGCGCCGTAGTTGTTGCCAGTAAAAACCAGGAAGGCCTAGTACCTCTACTTTCACCTGAGGATGAGGACGTCAAGGCGCCGCCCCCAGGTGCTTTTTCATCCAACACCTTACCAAGTTCCACTGCGCCGGCGCTACTTGAGGCTGAGTCTTCAGCCCCTCGCCTTACCGCCGAGGACACCAGCACTCGTTCCACATCTTCTTCGCGCCAGGCAATCTTCACCTCCGCAGCGCAAACGTCCAACACCATCCCGATTGTGCACGACATGAGCACGCCGATGCATGTTGACCAGGACGTGGAGCGGATTCAGTTGTTAAAAAAGAGGAGGAAGGAGCAGCTGGAAAATTTGCAACTCGATCACGACGAGCTTTACGACCTGGTTCCCTGGCACTATCAAGTGCAAAAATGTCTGGGTCTGGAAGGTTAGAACTTGTCATGCTAAATCTGAATGATGCTAAAATCTTTGTTGCGTGAGTACCAAAAGCTGTCCGCTTTTGACCAAGTCGAGAGGGAGTTTCTCATGCAGGAAAGGGATGATAGAGACCTCAAAAAATCTGTCATGCTGGGTCTCGCATTCCAGACCTCATGGGTCATGGAAAACCTGCGTCACAAATCTTGCATTCTTCCAGACCCAGCCATTTTTATATTTGATAGGCACCTCGTCTCCACAATTCACAGCAAGGGGAGCCCGAGCGTGACACCGCCGGAACACGGCGGGTCATCTGCTACGGCCTCGTGGGCGGGAGATCATGAGGTGCTTTCAACTATTGGCGGTGCAGGGATTTCCGTCGGCGTGGAGCAAGAACGTGGTCGTGCGACGGGAGATGCAAATCAGGCACAACAGCTGGGCGGCAGTGGAGGTGGAGCTGCTGCTGCCAGTGCATCGGGCGCCGCTGGCGGTGGTGCCACAACTTCTGTTGATGTCAGAGATGGCGGAGAGGACGATGACGCGAGGAGCGCGAGCTCTCGGGTTGCTTGAAGACATCGGAATAAGAGCAGTTGTCTTGCTGATTTCCTATGAAGATTTCGACAGTCTGCCACAGCTGCTCGTCAAGTTCCGTGATGCTGAAAAATTTTGCAATTGAGTACAGCCATACACTTTATTGGTTTCGAAAAATTATTCGGAAAATGAGAATAATTGAATGTACATGTTGACAACCAACAAGCGTATACAATGACAATGAGATGGAGATCAAAATAACGTACCACTATCTTCAATTTTGCAGTGATATTGATAACAGTTTAAGATAGGATTAGAGCAGGAGCAGCTATTGGGCGAAGAGGTCCGCTCTAGGTTATAGACATCTTCACAAATTCAAATGCCAAGCGGTAAGGTATCTCGTTCGCTCTAGTAATCGGAAAGACAACAAAAAACCGGCTACATCAACTTACACACACATTTCATTTCCATATTGCCTGAATGCCAGGCGTGCTGGATCTATTTAATAGTCGTTTTCCAAAATAAATGACGCTGCTGCGAGGCGATTCATTTTTGAAAACTTCGCAATGGTCACACACGACAAACCAGGCGGATCGCATACCGGAGAAAGCACGTCGTAGGTCGGTTTGATTTCCAGTTGGAAGTGATACGACGAGATTGCTGATTTATTTGCGAAATTCCAATTAATTTTGTAAATTGATTTCAAAAACGAACCGCAGTCCTGTATGAACGATGATATTAGCCGACATAAATGAGACTCGACAGAGTTCCAACATTGCGCGGAATTTATTGGTAGTTGTTCAGCCGTGGTCCGTTCCTGCGGAAAACATACCTGCTCCGATTCATTTCCATTCCCTTTTATTAGCAGCAGAAGTGTTCAGTTTCAGTTTCTCTTTCTCACCTCCTCAGTCGCAAAACGAAATCACATCGCTGAACAAACTTGTTTGCAGCAAAACGAAGACCAAGATCCAACTTGTTTGCAGCAGCTTTTGCAGATGCAGATACTTGATGAATACAGTTCCAGTTCGATTTTTCTTGCGTTATTTCATGGAAAGCCGTCCTCTTGAGGGCGAGTCAGATTGTTGAACAGAATTGACCCTCTACCTACTGGACGAAGTCGAGGGTCATTCGGACGCTGTGCAGCCCTTGATGCTTTCATCACCCCAGTGCGTTCTCCTTGATTTAATTTTCCAAACGTATTTCGACGCACGGACAGTATACTACCGACGTGCATGCAACCTGATAACTGTCAATACGAGCGACCTGCGCACCGGCGGAGGAAAGAAGTCTATTGTGATCATGCGAACGACGAATACGAAAGAGCAAGCGCTTTTCTTTCTCGAAAAGAGACCGTTGAGTGCTGGGAGGTAAAAAGTGAATCACGATGGCATGCTGCGATTTGGGGCTTACGTGGCAATAGCGGAAATGTCGTGCTTCGTGTTTTCAGAATGGAGGCAGTCCGCCCGTGGTTGGCGTTGCCTCCCGCAATTCAAGCAGTGCGACTTGGCTTGCTTCAGGCGGCTGCTCCTTTTTCGATTCGCCCGGTGCTACGGCGCACGCGGGGCGAACCATTTTGCGTCGCGCTTTTGCGCGCTTTTTTGCGAATCGCGACGGTATGAAAATTGTTGCAGTCGGTTTTTTGGTGCTCATGTTGAGCCGTTTGCGTGCCCGCGGGCGACGCGTCGCGCTGCGCCATACCGCGCGGATGGCCTTGCTCTTGCCTTGCTCTCGGCTTCTTGCCTTGTTCTCGGCTTCTTGCCGTGCTCTTGGCTTGCCTTGCCTTGCCCTCGTGCCTTGCCTTGCCCTCTTCGCTTGCCTTGCCCTCTTCGGTTGCCTTGCCCTCTTGGCTTGCCTTGCTCTCTTGGCTTGCCTTGCCCTCTTGGCTTGCCTTGCCTTGCCTTGCTCTCGGCTTGCCTTTCTCTTGGCTTGCCTTGCTCTCGGCTTGCCTTGCCCTTGGCTTGCCTTGCTCTTGGCTTGCCTTGCTTTGCTCTTGGCTCGCCTTGCTCGTGGCTTGCCTTGCCTGCCCTTGCTCTTGGCTTGCCTTGCTCTTGGCTTGCCTTGCTCTTGCCTTGCCTTGCCTTGCCTTGCCTTGCCTTGCCTTGCCTTGCCTTGCCTTGCCTTGCCTTGCCTTG